CCCCGCCCACATGTTCAGGCATTAGCTCTCCTCCCTGCACCCTTGCGCAACGCGCGAAAACAATTCATTCCCTCCAATGCGCATCAAAGCACTCCCAGCTTCCAACGAGTTTCCTACGCTCTCGTCATTGCCAGACTTGATTTTCTGTTCGTTGCAGAATGGATGGATACCCTTATTCCCTTTCCCTGTGAACCTGGAGCATAATAATGGAAAACCCCGAAAGCGAAACCCAAGAAGACGTGCCCTTTGTCCGCCGGTGGAGGAAATCTTCCAACAGCCATATCAATCGCCTTCGCGCCCAATTCCAAGAGTCAGGCAGCAGCGGTTCCCTCCTGTCATTAATTCGTATGTCAACCAGGTCCGGCTGCGAAATCTGGTAGAGACTTCGGCCGCTCAGAGATGCCATGTCGGTCATCCGAGGCCATGAGTGCTCGGTCCAAGCTCCGTTAACCCATTCTTGTGATCGACCAGCATGTTGCCATGGTGCCTTGTTCCCGGCCCTGACTATTGGCTTACGTTACTGCTGAGTTCGAGTTTGTACTTCAAATCTCACGAACTAAGCGGATCTTCGTATTCATCTCCACTGATCTCGGCCAGCTCGCTGCTATTGTCCTGCCAGTCCGCCGAGCTCAGCGTCTCGACAGCCAAGTCAGCCTTCGTCCTTAGTTGAGCCATCGTAGCTTGCGCTTGGGCAATCTTCTCCTCGTCCGCTGCATTTTCCAGGTCGAAATACCTCAGACAATGCTCCACCACGTCCATCACTTGATTCACTTGACCAGGTTGCAGGTTGTTCCCGTCTCGGCTGCGTGGGTTCAAAAAGTTCTGTTGCACAAAGTTGGAACAGCTGATTGTCAGCTCTTGCGCCGCCGTGACAAGCGTCCGACACAATGTGGGGTCTCCAGCGACTTCCTGTAAAGGCGTAAACAGAAGCCTCTTCAGCAAGTCCACCGTATGCGCTCGAGTGTTGAATTGCCCTTCGGTGGGAGCCAGCAGTAGTGTTGGTGCCCATTGCGAAACGGTCTGTAACATCAGTTCTTCTAGGACGGATGACGGTAAGCTGCAGGAGTCGTTGTCGATCTTGGGAAGAACCTCTACAAACTCGTAGTACTCCTTGCCATACTCGACGCCCACGGTCGCAATGCTCTCCAACGCGGATTGGGCCAGTTCAATGACTTTGGCCCCGATCGGACAGAACTCGCAGAATACCAGCGTCGGTCGAGTGAAGCAGCTAGCGATATTGACGCTGCGGTCATTCAACCCATGCGTCAATAAATTGGCGATATAGGGTGAGAGTCGTCTGTCCGAGGCAAAGATCGAGATGATGGCATCCTGTGATGTCGCATTGTGTCGTCCTACAATAAGCCGCCGAAGCCAGTCAAAGTCGGGTGGGATCTTATGCAGCCCAAGAGCCTGCAACTCGGCGGCGTTCAAGCCGATCTTCTTGTCAAACGTGCGATAACCTTCGTCGACCGGCAGGTGGAGATCGATTCTCTGCAGCAGACTCGCGAAGACTCTGATGAGTACTTGGTAGGGGAACTGTCGGTTTCTCTCCCGCGCGGTAAGATACAGCACGTATCGCGTCTTCAACCGCCTCGTCAGGGGGAAGTCGGGACCGGCGACGTGCATCATAATCATGTCAATCATCTTTTCCAGGAAGTCCTCTTCCAGGATCCAGATGGTCTCTTGGTCACCGAGCCGATGAATGTGATGGAGGATGTTGAAATAGTCCGTCCATGGACGGCCGTTCTTAGTGACCACGTCCCACAGCTTAGACATTTGGCTGAGACAATTCTTGAGCCAACTGCCGTACTCTGTCGAAAGCCTCAAATGCTCGTCGTCGTTGGCGTCTAGTTCCGTAAGGAGCTCATGTAGGCGCGTGAAGACTCTGATGAACAGAGTAGCAAAATTCTTTCTTACAACCTGTAAGGGACTCCGGACGACGACGTCTTCGAGCACTCGGTTGGTGCCGAACCAACAAGCAACAGTTCTAGCACACTCGGAGCATTGAGGCACGTAGCTAAGGAGGACATTGACAGTCTCCTCCACCGAGGGTAGCTCTTTGAAGCGAGAAGATATAGTGTGGACGTACTCCAACACCATGTTGATTGTCTTGGACTCGAGGGTGTGATCCTCACTGCATTTCTCCACACCACGCCTCATGTGCTCAAGCAGGCGGAGCACAAATTGTGCATGTGCAGGATCTTGGGCGCAATAAGATCGCAGGTAGAGTTCATTCTGTTTGGCTATGTGCTGCTCCATCCCAGGTGTTAGCGGGACGCGCACAGGATTGATGGCATCGTGTAGTCGGTACTGCCCCTCGATTTTCTCGATGCTGGAGGTTCTCTGATAGAACAACATGTATGCGCTGTAGAATTTTGGTAGATGGTAAAACCCGGCTTCGGATATGCCTCCAAAGCAATTGTCACGCATCTGACTGGGATCGAAAAGGCCGACGTCTTGATCATTGAACTGGACCCAAGCCTGCTGCACACCCTTGATGGTTGGCCGCTGGCGGATGAACGAGTAATAGTGACCAGAGTCCGCTGTGCCTGAGTGAACGATGACCCCTGTGAGCTGGAAGTAGTCCGGTTCCCCTGACTGCTGTTCGTCACTAAGTCTTGCCAAAGTATAAGGCGCCATATCGAGTGTGTCGGGAAACTGAAACTCGTCGTTGACTTTCGTCCTCATTCCCGTCATAATGTCGTAGTCAAACCGCTTGAGATTGAAGATGAGGTTGTCAGGCACATCTTTTAGACATGCACGTTTGACTGCGTCAACGTGACGGCCACAAGAGGTGCAGGAGTATTTGTTCTCGCCTTGAAGAACTTCACCTTCGACATAAGCGCGAAGGCTATCTTCCAGCCGCGCTTTACCCTTGATTTCCACCTGGACGGCAGAGAACGGCTCTAGTCTTTCAGAGATATGCTCGCACTCTTTGGACTTCACTTGCTGCACCAATTGACCGCCATACATGGACTTGAATGTGTCCCTGGCGGAAGGATCAATCTGTCCTTCGATACGATCGAATAGAAGGTTGAAAAACTCATCGACGTCCATTTGCACGGATACGTCAATTTGCTCGCCCTCGTATGTTGTGATGGCTTCGACCGCGAATGACGGATCGATGGATTTTTCATAAGAATTTTGCATATTTGCAAAGACCTTTGCAAGCTCTGCGACCAGTTTCTGCTTTGATCCATCTGCGCCAATCATCTTCAGGAAGAACTCTCGAAATTGCACGTTCATGAAGAGTTGCGAGAACAACGAATTGAGATAGCAGGTGTTTGAGAGATTCTTCAAGCCTGCATAGCCAACATCTGTGCGGAGACTCTGGCGCTCGTGACTGTAAAATGGTTCGAAGAAGTTTTCTGGAAGCAGGTCGTCTTCGAGCTCGCTAACAATTGTTGCTAGATCACGGGGTCCTTGACATAGAATCAAGATGAGACTGTAAAGATTCTCACGGACTGTACTGTCTAAAACAGGCAGTCTTGGACTGTCTCCATCGTCTGAAATAGGCGGAAACAGGAACTGCGAGATTATCCTGTCGATAATATGAGTGCCGGAAGGAAGCGCATGTGCTGCTTTTAGCAATCTGCAGGCCTCGAGCAAGAGTCTCGTCAGGCATAGAACCACATGATCTGACAATGGCTGTCCGACAACTTCCACATGCTCGTGCTCCAGAAGGATGGAGCTCCATTGATTGAAGTATCCAAGAAGACCTTCTGCAGAGAATGACTTGCCTATACGCCTCAAAACAGCAAGCATCGTCTCAAAAGCTTCCGTGCACCTCTCAAGATGTAGGCAGGCACGGGGGAGAATCTCTGATAGCGCCGTCCACAGATGAGACAGGCAGACTTCGATGGTCGTAGGTGGGAAGCGAGATCGTGGTGCTCTCGGATTATTGATTTTCAGATGCAATTTTGTGCCGATAGCCCCAGTCAGCCCGACCACAACTTCGAGAAGCGAATGTCGAACTTCGACTCGAGGATCCTGAACAAAAGCGGTGACGATCAAGTCTTTGAAACCAACCTCTGTGTCCAGAGACGCCCAGATCCGGTCATCGTGGAGGCACGCCTCAATGAAAGTTTCCAGGACTAGCTTCACCATAGCTGACGCCGAGATCTCGTCCAAGTTGGTGTTTTGACTCGCTAGCGCGAACCGAAGCAATCTCGAACATTGGACCGAGAGATCTTGGTGGTCCTGTATGTATTCGCGTGATGTTTCAACCGAAACCTTGGCCCGAAATGCCAAAAGTAGAGCTTCCATCAAACCGTACGCAATGGACATCTGCAGCTGATCGGCAGCGTTGCTCAGGTCCAATTTGGGCAGGACCTGTATGATGGTCTGGACGCTGTAGATCAGGAACTCCACATCGGGATTAGAGCTGAAAGACTCATCCTCTATACAAGACCTCAAGGCTTTGGCACAGTACAAGAGTTTGAAAGGTTTGCCAGGTGGGAGAAGTTCCGTAGGTGATTTGTCTTTCGATCTCAATATCCGGACCAGCTCAGTCTGCGCAGAGAAAAGACTCAGGAAGGTGTACACCTCTCTGGAAAGGCGCTCATCAGCATCGAGTAGATCGTATAGGTCGTCGAAGTGATGCATGATCTTGTTGTCGACTGGGGAAGTAGCGCGGGTGGACCGAGTTGGCGGGCTCTCTGGAGTGTTTAGGGTCTTGTGGACGATAAGGCTGCCGGAGGCTACTTTGGAGTCTGCAATGCTGGTGGTATGGCCTGCAAACGACACCTTCTGTCCCTTATGGAAGATGGAGAATTGCGTAAAGCCGCTCGCCTCGCACAGATACTTGTGCAGTTCATCGCACGTATTCTCCGAGCCTACTGCGACTTTCTGCATTTTTTCTGTGACGTACTTACTAGCCATGACTTGTATGTTCAAGTCGACCGTTTCGCCTCTTCTGGAAGGGAACTCTGGTAGAACTTGTGCCTGTTGATCCGGGATTGGACTGTAGCGTGGCCGTAGCTTCATACCCTCGAGGAATTTTCGAAGAAACAGAAGCGAACGGTCGAATCGCAGTTCTTCGGCACGTATCTCGGCTTCGGATGCAATGATGACCATTGGCTCGTCCTCACCACTCATAGTGCCATCAGTGTATGATTTCAACTTCGAAGCAGATGACATGACTTGCTGCACTGAGCGATCCACAAGAGACGAATGTGTGGCGTCGACGACCGCCTTTGGTCGCTTGGTGACGATAGGGTTATCCAGGTACATGCGGATGATGAAATCGGTGGCTTCGTTTTCCACGCTGTTTGGAGGCGCTTCCAACATGACTTTCCACATTCTCTCAATCCCAGGTACCATGATGACATCCTTCGAATCTAGGGACTCTGCCGGGGTCCTGCGAATCGTGTACTGGACAGAGGTCCGGATGAAGTCCGATACTGATTGATTGTAGTCGTGAGAGGCAAGAGTCGGCAGATGTTTCTCAAGAATAAGGTCTACCACGATATTTGCATCCTTATTCTGCTTTGGTTTCGCGACATGGCTCAGTTTGTCCCAGGCGGCCGCTCGCACAGAGGAAGGCAGTTCCGAGAATGCCCAAAATGACGTCCAGAGCTCTTGTACCAGATCCGGGGTGAAGGATTCAGGCATATGGAGAAGAAAGTACGTAAGACACGTTGATCGGACCTCGTACATAGCCTCTATTGATAGCTGCGAGACATGGCGTTCGAGCATGGCGTTGTAGTGTTCTCGAAGATAAAGGAAGTCAGCCACTAGAAGACCGAGCAGGTCGAACTTCTGCATCGCTTCTGCAGCTCCAAGCCTTCCCAATAACACCAATAAGCAGTGTAAGACCTGGAAGTCGCCAGTAGCATAATTGCTATGGGATTTGAGGTTTGACACCACTTCAGCAATGATCTGATCCCAACCACCATCGTTACTCACGCCAAGGTGGAAGTCTGAAAGTCCAAGGGAGAGTAGATTGGACAAATACTGCGGGAAGTCTCGTCGTATGAGAAGAGCCTGTTCAAGACACAGATTCTGTTCCAATGAAGCTTCACGTATCAGCTTGATACAGAGAGTCCAAGTTATTGAGTCGATAGGAAAACCAGGATGAAGCATCAATGCCGAAGCCTTGCTTCTGATATTGTCGAAGAGGCTAGCAGCGAATTGCAAGACAGAAATGTCGAGGCGCTCAAAAGGATATTCGGAGAGCTTGCGGCAAATGTAGTAGAGGTCGGGGAGCTCATAAACGTTGAAGCAGTTCCGAAGGAGATTGAAGACCTCGTGGACAGTCCGAGGGTCTTGACTGTCAACGATGGTTTTCCAGATCACGTCGGTGTCGGCGTCGGTGTAAGTCTTCGAGACGCACAAAAAACCCACCACATTATATGCTCGGTGGATCAGTTGCGGGTGAGAGTCCACGCCAACGACATATTCAACAAGTTGATTCGCTTTGATGAACTTGACCAAGTATCGCACCACGGGATGGTTCATTGGTGGGTATGGCTGGTTGTCAATGTAAACCCGGTGGACCCCAACAAGATCGCTGGACATTGTCTCAACGCCGTAGACACGAAGCTCCATGCGCCCACTGGTAATGAACTTGCGAAGAATCTTAAACTTCCAGGCGTATTGCATTGTAAGTGGAAGGTCCGTCAGATCAGAATCAGCGAAGCCAACGCCCGACGTCGAGATTATGTCTTGTCCAATTTGGGGGATTTCCTCTCCAATGGCGGATATCATAGGATTCAGGGTGTCTATGATTCCCTTGGCCGTTTCGAGGTTGAGCCACGCGAGTTGCTTGCCGATGGCGTGCTGGATGGCCTGGTCAGCTTGGAGAATGATCTCCGCCGCACCGTTGCGAATGTTTTCCAGCTGCGGAAATGAAGCAGGGACAACATCGATGTCATTGGTGTACATGCTCGGCATAGGAGCCATCATGGCCTTCGTCACCTGAACCAGAATGTGAAAGGATCGAAAGAATTCTGCATTCTTGGGCAGAGCGGCACAGACTTCAGTCAGCAACGCCGACAATGACCGCAGCAAGGACACTTCTCCGAGCCTACCAATTACCAGGGTATGAAAGTCTGCCCGGTCAAAGCTGTGGGCTCGGATTAGGTACTCGTAAAACGGAACCCGGGGTGAGAGTATCCAGACCAAGGCTTGGAGATATTGAGAAGACACGAAGATGATGGACTTCAGCTCACGCGGATCGCCCCCATCAAGCACTCCATGCAGCTTCCGCGCATCGAACTCGGCCAGAAGCTTGGCGATTCCGGCAAATGCCACAAAGAAGTCGACCAGCTCTTCTGTCCGAGCACCAGGAGGAGGACCCGCCTCCCGTCTCAGCAGCGCTTCGACAAGATCTGGAAGATGAAACCAGAAGTCTCTTTCCTCTTGGAGCAATCTGAGGGTGAAGTCGTCGCACATGGCCACAAATTCGACCATCCAGTCTTTGACCTGACGAAAGATCGCGCCATCCTGTGCACCAGTATGTTGAAGCCGGTCTGACATGCGCGAAATCACTTTATGGGTACCGCCTGATGGAGATTCTTGAGAAAACGGAAAGGTGCGGTGTACGTGGCCCAATGGCACAAACTTCGGGCTGGAGGTAGAGGTAGTTCCGCCACCGATACGCTGGGTCCATCTCGTTTGAGTGGGATCTTGATCGAAGTCTTCTGGCTCCGCCACTTCGATTTCGGGGCTCTTGCTTGGTGACGAAGATAACGAGATGTGCTCTGGAATTTCGGTGGGATTGCATTGAGCTTCAGGCATGACTTTGGGGTGTTTCGAGCTGTCGTCACAGACAGGTGGGCCCTCGGAGGCGGGAGAGTGGGAAGGCAGGCCAGGCCCGGCAGCTGCTATAGTTGGATCTGTAACGGACTGAGACGACAAGGGCCGAGTGTTAATCGTGACCTTGCTCGTTGGCGACATGGCTGTCGGCGATGCAACTGTTCTCGAGGGCAGCGGTGGAGTGTTGGGGTTTCCTTCCGCGGCATTGTTGCTTACACGGACGTGGATGTCTGGCACGGAAGGTGCGGAGTGTGGATTATCTTGGTGTAGATCCGACATGACATGCGACTCATCAGGTTTGGACTCGCTCAGCCTCGGGCGTTTGTGCTCATGCTCAGGCAGCTCAGAACCTTCAGTGGAATCACTTCGATTGCGGGTAGAAGAGTCCGAAATTAAGGACGACATGGTCGGGAGAGCTGCATCTGGAAGTCCGCTGCAGCGGGGATCCGCAGGGAAGAAGCAGTGCCGCGAGAAGGTGATCGCTCGCGGAGTGAAGTTGACGGTCGAGTCGAGGCAGTGAGAGGTCTTGGCGCGGCTGAAGAAGGCCGCCACTCAGAAACAAGGCAACTGAGGCACAGCCCGACTTCTACTGTTCACAAACAGAAGACTGTAACAATCTGTCGTGCAGTCAAATCAAGAGGCTGTTCAGTGTATGAATGGCCGATCTGACGATGATAGAGTGATGTCCGCTTGGTCCATTTCTCTGGCGTAGAAATGTCCGGGGTACGGAGGTGTTGAGAGGTGGGGGCCTGGTGAATCTGTCTGCTGGTGCAACGGGGCAGTCAAAGAGGCAGAATGTGAGGCAGCTTGATATGCACCACGAGGGGACGCCTGCTTCAGACGAAAAGTGAAGGGTACTTCATTCACGCTGGAAATAAAATTTGTTGACTGATCTGTGAATCGGCTGGCTTGTCGTTGGACGGAGGGGACCAGGCTGCCGTTGATTTAGAGACGAAAGCGTGATGAGCCCACTTGTGACTTTTCTAAGCCCGCCCGGACAGCGATCCTACTGGCTCCCAGGCGTCACAGACGCGTTTGGCGCGAAAGAGGGGCAGTCGTTAGTCCACTGCCTGCGGCCCACACGTCATCGTCTTTGTTTCCATTCCATCTTTGCAGCAAGGGGAAAACACCCTCCAGCAATGGACAAACAGAAGAAAACCACGGTCCACTCTTTGTCCCTCCCATATCCGGAACCACAGTGGTATTGTGTCCCCAGAAGTGAGTCTCGTATCAGCATCTCTAGCTAACAGGTTCACGCTCCCAGGCCTCCCATTTCGGCTGAGAACGAGCAGGCAATACTGAGGTTTCTCCTACCCCTTCTACAGCCCATAGGCGACTTCAGACGCCACCATGTTCCTGTCTCAAAAGGCAAGGGCAGGGTTTGGAAAGCAAACAATGACAGAAAGCAAGGCAGCTTGCCGACATGGATGCCAGATGTGTATGACCACCTAACCGTCGGATTCAACAGTACAGTACGCAGACTTGAGTCGCTAGCGCGGAGCCGGAAACCTCAGATCCTCGTGGACGACACCGACGCCGAGCAGTCAGAGCCCGAAGCGAACCTTTCTGTCGTCTTCGTTTGCCGCGAAAACCTCCCGGACATCATGACATCCACTCTCCCACCCCTCATAGCCACGTCGGCTCCCAAACCTACGAGAGCCAAGCTAGTCAACATATCTGCAGAATCAGAAGAGCAGGTTGCGCAAGCACTATATCAGCGTCGCATTGGCGTACTGGGTATCGCTGTGGGGATCGTCGGCGCGGGGGCTTTGCTGCATTTCGTACAAGATACTATTGTAACGGTCGATGTACCGTGGCTTGACCAAATATCCCCACCGGTCTATCATCCCGTCAAGGTGAATACCGTTGTGACTGCTGCCAAACCCAGGCCGGCTGCCAAAGGCCAGAAAAGAAAGAGGCCTTGAAACGGCTGAGACTGCACCGTTCTCACCGGATGAAAGGAATACGCACTGGAACACGTTCGCGGTAATCGAGATAGTCTTGGCCAAAGAACGACACAAGGTGCTGTTCCTCATCTGCCATGCACCATGTCAGTTAAAAAAAATGAAAGGGAGTTTGTTGCTGGCACTTACGGATGATCCTGTGGTGGAAAAACTTCCACAAGATCACTGCGTACAGTACAAAGCAAATGCGATTCCCGAGCAACACCTGCGTCCCCAAGCCCCACCAGAAGAATCCAAAATACGAAGGATGTCGCGAAAAGGCGTATACCCCGTCAGTTACCAGGACGTGGTCCGCTCTCTTGGTCCACTGGATGATGTGGTTAAAGTTTGTCTTCGCCGTCCTCATGGCAGCGCTTCGGACGAGCTGGCCGAAAACGATCAAAGTCAGACCCAACCCGACTGAAACGGAGGTAGGAAATGACGGGAGTATCCGTGGGACATGGAATGGCAGGCTTAGCCACGCGGGCGCGTAGCTAGAATACAGCCAATATCGAACGAGAAGCTCCAACATGGCCGAGGTATGCGCCGCAGCATAACCAAGGCCATTGGACGACAGGAGGAAGGAAGAGATGGACGCATCGGCCGGGTTGTATCGGGCCGTCAGGTCGAATTCAAGATAGTGGAATAGCGCGAGTACCGCAATAAAGCACGGTGCCCTCCACAATCCGTTGGCCCAGTATGCCAGTTCCGCTCCCAAGACCGTAGAGATGCCCACCGCAAGGCCCAACGCAAATGCGCGAAGCGAGATGCCCGAAATCGCTCGCTTCCCGCCGGGAAGATATGGCGGGGGGATATACATTGGCTGCACACGCGCGTGGGCATTGCCATTGCCGTTGCCATTGATGTGATCCTCGATTCGATCCCCTGGGAAGTCGTGGATAATGCCCGGCGAACTAGCAGTCGAGGAATTGGACATGATCCTGCGGAGCGTGGCGTAGCAGGGATATAATACCGTGGCTTAATGGAAGTGGAAGTGGAAACAGGAGGGGGGCCACAATCCGTCCCCTACGACAGAGTAGTGTGGCGGTATTACCGATTAGCGGCTGTGAAAGGGCATAATAAATGATCAAGAACCAGAACAGGCCGGCAAGAGATAGTGATCAATGTGGTCGCATTATGTCCAGGAACAATAGTAAAAAGTCGCTGGCAGGGGTGCTCGATCGATGCCTGTGGCTGTCCAAGCGTTGGACTCGGAGAAGCTGAGCCTCCACCGCATTAACCTTTTTCCGGAATTCACGCGTTCAGATGCGCGGTGAGTCTCATCTTCAAGCATCTTTGGCATCTACAGACAGTGTTAAGAGCCATTGCACTTGAAGATCGCTTGTCGAATCTTCCATGACTGATGCCCCAAAACGGAAGACGGGCCCAATCAGAGGATCCCTTCTGTGACCTCATCGCACTTCACGGTTATCACGAGCAGTCTGAATCATGGACCGTACGCCGTGGTCGAGCCAGCCGCGGTAGAAGCGTCAACCCGGTTACGCTGCACGGAAATTGACCGTAAGAGTAATGTCAGTACACAGTACTCTGGCTGTGATGTGTTGACTATCAGGCGGTCGTCCCCCAGTTGCTGAGGATGGCCAGTATGTTGTACTCGTCCAAACGCAAGGTAAGCGGAGCTACGTGGGAGCCTGACGTACGGGTGCAGTATCGACTGAGTAACTACTTGTACGGGTACACTAACTACCAGGTATCCTTACGGTTACAGTAATCACCCCTTATGGAATAGTTACATGAGTTTTCGGGCAGCCCAAGTGATTTCTATTCTTTCCACGGCTCTCCAGACATACACTACAGTCCCCCTTCCTGCGGGGTTCAAACTAATTACTCGATAATCATGGACTTTATCCCGTACCATACCTACAAATCTTCAATCCCCGCCGCGACACTCTCCTCCAAGCCCGTCCACCCGGCCACGCCAAAGAACGACTTGATGAGCTCCTCGGCCCTCTTCCGCCCTTTCACGTGCGTGATATCGTGGCCCTCGTCCACCGGAGGCTTGGGAATTTGTGAGTTGTCAGGCCTCAGCTTGGTCAGGATGCCGATGATGTCGGTCCAGTTGAAGACCTGCGCAAAGGCAAAGAGCCGCTCATTCTGAACCGTCGGGTCGAGCAGTGCGGCGACATGGACGCGAGCATCGTCATGGACGTCGATGAAGTACTCTGAACCATAGGACACCGGGGTCAGTCAATTTGTCCTGAGTTAACCTGGATAGTAGTGCGCTGCGCGGCACTGCGGATACTTACGAGGCGGCGTCAGTTTTATCATGTGTCCATCGCCCCGGAGCAGACCACGGACCCAGCCCATCGTACTGGTCGATCCCTCTGGCATGAGGACCTTGCCTATCTGGCAAGGCAGAGCAGACGAAGTCAGCATCTATTGGACTGTGGGAGGTCGCGCAAATACACGCAAAGACGGAGCACTGACATTCATGTCCGGAAGCACGCTGTTCACAGCGAAGCCGGGCTTGTTCTCTTTGGCCCACTTGAAGAAGGCGCGCTCTTGCTCCGTCTTGGACGCCGCGTAGACCATGAAGGGCATGAACTCCGGGGGAGCCTGCCTTGTGTGCACGGCTTCCACGACCGAGTCATTCCACGTGTCTGGGAGGACAGGTCGTATCAGGTCAGGATGCCACATCGACAAGGCAGAGTGGCAAACAACGTACTCTCGTCAATGACAATCTCCTTATTGGGCTCCGGTATGAGGGCCGCGGTGGACGAAGACGTCAAAACGACGCTCTTCACGGACGATTCCCCAGCAGCGGCCTCGAGCAGGTTGATGGTCCCGGCCACGACCCCCGAGATGACGGCGTCCGGGTCCGGATTCATCGACGTGTCGGTGGCCTAATGATCACGTTAATTACTCTTGTTCAGCAGAGGTGACATGACATTTGGAGCATGGGCAGGCATGAGAATCTGGTCCTCTCCGGAGGCCGCCAGGCGTACATACCACGTGAACCACCCCTCCCACTCCCTTGATGGCCTCGTTGAAAGCCCCCTCCTCATTCAAGGCCGCCACTGTCTGCGTCTCGAATCTCCCAGCGCCGTACTTCTCGTCGAAAAACTTGTTGAGCCATGGTTTGGCGGCCCGCACGGTGCCGCGGACATTGTACCCCTCCTCGAGAAGCACATCCACAACGTGTGTGGCAATGTACCCGTTGGCACCTGTCACGAGCACCCATTCGCCCTTCGCCAGTCGACGCTCCGCCGGACTCATAGTGGTGTGCGGTGTAATCAATGTAAAGGAAGTACGTACTCGGGGATTATAGCAAGCAATGAGTAACGGCTGTTGAGTGAGAAGCCGGCTGAATAACGATATTGCGGTCCGCTTCGCCCTCGTTGAGCTTTATATCTCGTTTCCTCCCACCACTTTGCGCGGCAGTCGAATGCATATTGCTGACAAACTTACGAGCGAGATCGCAGGTTCCTCATTGGACCTGGCCGTCATGATAGGCCGATAGAAGCGTCTCCAAAGTCCACCGGTCCTGCAGCGTTGAAGCGTGGAACCCCCCTTTCAGTACTGCACTTCGGCCCGAATATTGGGTCTGATAAATGTTGGCTGATTCTTGTCGCTCGGGGCGGTCCTAGTCCGTGTTTATAAACCCTGCCGAGTCGAGGACTTTGGGATGCTCATCTCTTTGATGATTGTGCTTCCCAGATCGTCGGAGAGGTCACCATGTAATTACACAACGGAGACTCCGACACCAGACGGCGACCTGAGCCTATCCGGCTTGAAACGAGGGCGCCTCCTCTTCTAGTAGCGCCGGAGCGTCACTTACTTTGGGTAGGAGGAAACGGAATGAGCGCCTCTTTCCGGGACAGATTGTCCTGTGCGAACTTGAGGAGAAATGCGACTCCCACAATTGGAAAGGAAACAGTCTCAGTCGATGGTTGAAACCGTGCGAGTCGGCGGCCCGAGACTGGATGACAGGCCAAGTCGACAGAGCGACATCCATACACGTAGTGATGTAAGATGGACGGTGGTCATTTGGTATTCACCGTTGGCCTTCTCGCCGCAGGTGTCAGAAATCTCCCCTGACCATGCGTGCTCTTACGTCTGCATTGTTCATCTGAGCCGACAGGCGAGTGTGGTGCAAGGCTCAAGAAGCATTGGCTGCGGACTTGTTTATTGTGCGACAAGCTTCTATCAACATGACCCTAGCCTAGGCGCCGCCAGAGTCAATTGTAGGGCATAAATGCAAAGAATTGTCAAGAACGAATGTGTCTTAGTTGGCAGATATCTAATTCTCCTCGTTTCTACCCTGCTGCATGGCTCCAAGCGGGATTCGTGACCGTCTCCTTCGCCGACGAAGAGCGCTACAATAACAACACGCCGAAGATGTTATCCGTTCCAGCTGTAAAGCTTCTCCGCAGAACACGACTGCTGCACCAATACCTCCTCTTCCAAACATGGCTCCGAATATCTCCCATGGTCCTTGTCCGAGTTATGCAATCTCCGACATATAGGTCAAGTGTGGAGCTACCATTCCCTAAGCTCTCGATAGATTCGTATGGTAACGGGGCCATGGCCGCTCGAATGCCGAGTGATAGAGTTGGCGATCAGTTTGGGCTGCAAATTGGAGGCGAATTGAAGACAACTGGCCAGTCACCGGACGGGTTTGGGCACCAGTCTTTCGGAATCAGATAATCGACAACGCAGCACATGATCTTCTTCCAAGTCTCCAAGCTTCTGTCGTCCGGATTGTCCTCTCCGCTTGAAGCTAGTAGCCAGAGGAAATGCCAACACTCAAACGTGGGGCGGCAGCATTCTGAGTCCCGGCGTTGGGGATGGGTAAGCGGAGAGTCGAAAAGCAGGCCCTGGTGATGCTCAATGTCGTGGATTGTCTCGCTGTTCGTACCGCGTTTGTCCTTGTCAGTTGAGATCAGATACACTGTCATCTCTCCGTCCTCTAAGTTGACCGCGACACCGGGACCGCTTCTGGTGTCACTGTCGTAGTTCTCGGATTGCGACGGCCAGTCCGCGAGGCAAGTGACTGGTGAGCAGTCGTAGTCTTCATGTCCCAAACCGGCAGCTTTGCAAGCCCAGCAATCAACATCAAACAAGCCACAGTCGAGAGCGATCGTCGTAGTGATATAACTGGACACCCATAGGAGAGCGGGAAGCGCGTATCGTAGTCCTTTCATGATGGCGACTGGTGGTCAAGGCGTTGTAATCGAGAGGTTCAGTGAACCCGAGAGTCTTGGAGTATGGGAATGGCAATCTTAATATAGTTTTCGGTCTTCAGGCTGATGCGCCATTTCAAGTTGGTTCCGAGCAGGTCCTCAGCATTTAAAGTTGGGGTTCTGGTGGTTGTGCTTGTGAGGTTCGGCTCAGGTCTTGGCGCCTTGTCTAGCATAGGTGTTTCGGAGAGAAGCTAAATTATGAGACTTCCAGCCCAGATGAGTGTTCAAAGTCCGTGGACAAATGAGGTGGAACAGCTGATAACATCTTCCAGATTCGTCGGCGGGAGAGCTGGCACTGTGGTATGCCAACGGGGCTGAGCCACAGAGAGATTTGCTGGCTACCGGCTCAGATTGGAGGGTCGTCGCCAACATGCGGTTCACGGTGAGGTCCGGCGTGAAACCGTACGGAAGTCTTGGTCTTCTCCATTCCGACCCACGGCAATCCTCAACAAGATGGGAAAAAGGACATCTGCATGGTGGAGCAAGACGTGTAACCTGTTCAAAGCTGCCGGTATCCATCCCGCATTATGGTGACCTCCTTTGCAACCATGGCCCTCCAAGCCGGAAGGCCCCTTGTTCATGTTTGCCGAGAAATGAAATCCGAAGGACTGGAGGTGGTGCGATCACCTTGAGGCGGAAGTTGAATCGTTGCGCAGTGTTTTCAGGCAGATACTGACTGATTCGAGGCACACGTCGGCAGATACTTGTGGTCGCTGACATTTTTGCTTGGTTCCGATGTTCGGTAAGGTGGCCACCCTTCGCCTGGATTTCTCCAGCTTCCAGCGACGCCGCGTGGAGGCGATGACCATGTCGCTGCCCAGCTAGTTAGCCAGCACGCTCGACGTCGGCCACCAGTGCTTACCCTTTTTTATTTTTATTTTCATTTTTTTGAGTGTAAGATGTATTTCTCTTTCGTTTTACATGGGAGAAAAGCAGCGTATGCAAGCAAAAGAACCCACGGCCTCCGCAGCAAGTTGCAGTCTTGGAGCAGTCAAACTGCACAATGTTAGCGTTGGCGATCTTCAGATGCCAATCACACTCACCGGAGCAGCAGGCCCCCTCCGTGCAGCCATCAAGGCCAGCCTCCAACTCGGCAGGAGTGCGACCTGCCTTGCCACCGTGCCGTTTGTGGCAACGACAACAGCAACAGCCACACTCCTGCCGGTGGCCCAGCTGCTTGCGCCACTTGTTCCTGCACCAGGAGAGGAGACCAGGCCCAAACCGTATAATAAAGCTAGCTACGCTGGCACCGCCGCCCGCCCCGGTAAACGCCCAAGCGGCGATCTGCCCCGGGGTAGAGGCTGGACAAACTGCAAATCGTGTTTCTCTAGCGTCCGCCAGTCAGAACCTCGTCGGTTTTCGATGCTAAGGGTACTCACGACATAATGATAAACTATTGACTAGTTAGTGGTGGAGGTCTTTGAGTATAGTGTAGGGGGCGGCTTACAAAAGGGGAACACCGGGAAAGCAAAGAGCGGCGGGAGTAAGAGTTCAAACTATAATGAGTCAGTCCGCGATGTGAAAGGCGCGGATGGGGGTGAAAAACAGAGCGTGGTGTTGTAGACTGCGGACAATTGTGTCAGCCGGTACAACGTCGAATGTGTAGATTCAAGCACTTACCGATAGCTAACGAGTGGCCGCTGTAAGAAACGTTGTTGAATCTATGTCCCGTTAGTGCCAATGTGCAGTGTAATGTGCAGTGTACTCGTACGAAGATGAACCCGGTGCGCCCTGAAGAAGAGAAACGGAAAGGGAAAATCGCGAGCACAAATCGTTCGCAGGAAATGTAGGAGGCGTCCAACCATGCTATGCCCTGTTAGGAAACGTGTTTATTGTATTGATTCGATGGGCGTCATAGAGGGGCAGAATGGATGCGGCCGAGCCATTGGGCGGTCACTGTTACCAGCAGCAACAGCCTCCGAACGTAGAGAGGGTGGACCGGTGACGCGAGGACCTATACAATACGTGTGTAAGCAACAACAGCATCAAGTGGAACACCAGAGCCAGAGGCGTTGATGAGCAATATTGCAAAAGCACTTGTCTCGCGATCGGCAACTAGATATGCAGTCTTCAGTATATGGGAATGGCCCTCGGTAACGAGGTGCACGTCCTGTGACACACGTAGGTTCTGTCTTCCGGATATTTCCTGCATATGTGCCGATCAATCCCCTTGGCGGATCGGATACAAGGGGCTTGTGCTTGACTTCATCCTTTTGGATGACGAGACAGGAATTGTAGCTCGTCCTCAGCCAGGCTCATAACAAGCGGACCGAAAGCTCAGGACACTTCCAAGCGCCTTTAAACACCGGACAGGCTGTTCTGCTATCGCCGGCGACAAGATGATGAGTTGTCAACGCCGAGATTGAGGACGCGTCGTTCAGACCAGGAGAGTGAAAGAAGGCTCAGGCCTGGCGACGTTGCGAGCGAAGGCAAATTGAAGTGCTCGATGCGAGGGTAAGGGTCGAGGTTCAGCCTGCAGAGCGAGGTAAGAAACATCCTTCACAGGTCAAAGAGTCTCAGCAGGCAGATGGCGCCGTTAGGACAGTCAAATCAATCCAGCAGGGCCATTTTGGGGGCTCGATCAAGGAGGAACAGGAACAGCGGCAAGATGCTGTTGCGAGATACGCGGCGGAAGCTTCAACATCGATGTCGGCTTCAGGATAATTTGATATCTGGGCGATCCCTAGAGGGTGAAGATGTCTGTGTTTGCGCTGCTCCCGGAGCTGCAAAGGTACTGGTGCACTGAGACACCAAGGAGGTACCCTCGAATCACGTATCTGGGTGCGTTGATTGCCGACATGCTTGGAGGAAGATTGAACGCATCGCGACAAACCAGACGTATTGTTCGAATCCAAAGCTCATGCTGAGCACAATCAGAGCGCGGCCCCAGTGGTTTGCCGGCATGGTAAGGGGTTGACACATGAGCCGGATATGAAAGCGCGCAAAGGCATGGTGAAGGGGCATTCCTCGATGTCGGGCATTTCCAGAGGCATGCAAGTTCACATTTTTGCTCCTGCATCTTCTTCTTGAAGGAAAAAGCGAGGAAAGAGAGAGAACATAAGGAATTGAATATCGACGACGTTGAGTTTGGCTGGAGCGACCGCTTTCGCTTGCGGAGACCGATCCGAGCCCGATGACTAAGCTTTGGACTGGTGGACTCACCTACACTGTAAGCCTCCAGGTACCTAGGTATATTTCACGCAAGTCTTTACGTGACGGTCGTTCGTATTCTTGGTGCTGTGTCTCTGCCTGCACCGACTCTACCGGTTGCCTGCAGGCGCTGGACGGGCTTCCCTACATACTACGGAGTGAGCAGTGTGATTGCGCCAGGCCGGTGAGCCTCCGTTACGCCGAGATGGAAAAGACCCTCTTTGAGGATGCGATATTTGGATCTTAACTCCATGCAACTCGAACCAAGCGCTCACTCTGGTTGTTGGCAGCCTCACATTGTTTGGGGTTGTTGATACTATGAATTCGCTGCCTTGTCTCGCTACAGCGAGCACAAACCATGTTTACATGTGAAGTAGACATCGTCGAGGATCTATCCAAAACAAGGTGAGGCGGCCAACACTATAGGTTGTTTGGATTGCACTGGAATCTACATTGCACGCTTGCTTGTACGGGGAGTACATAATCGGATCAGGGCAGGAAGAGATTTCTCAATTCTAAGACTTACGAGACATGGCAGTTGAATGACAGATCTACAGTACCACGGTTGGCTAAGTGGTTGGAGTATGTCTGCCATTGCGTACGAACATAAGGCGCCCCGTACTCGTACCTTGTAACTCTATGTGGATCGCATATTCCCCACGAGCATCAGAAGGACCGGGTCAGGCAGGAGATAGACTGCTCATCTGGGGTCGACAACATATCCCCGGACGTCATCACAACCAGGCGGACATCTCCAACCATACATCATGATCCAGTTGTTGCATTTGATGTGATCTCCTCTGCCATTGCAGTGTGCAGAAATCGATTTGCGCATCCAGACACTCGCGAGTTGTGTCGTATAGCTCAAGCCATTGATAGAGTTGCAATATGTCTGACAGCACGTCAAAGCCGAAGAAAAGAGTTCTGGTCTCATATGGCGTTGACATAGACGCAATTGCGGGATGGCTTGGCTCATACAAGGGCGAGGACTCTACGAGCGACATCTCGAGAGGTACGGCTTTGTTTTCCTCGCAATATCAGATTCCATGCCGCTTGCGGCTGCGGAACATGTTGTGGTGTTGTCCGGCTTGACTGACTGCTAAATGCTTTTGTGGGAACAGGTTACTTCGCTGGTACCCAGGGCGTCAGGAGACTGTTGAAGCTATTCGAGAAATACAAGATCAAAGCCTCGTGGTTCATCCCTGGCCACAGCCTGGAGTAAGCCCTGCGTGTGATGGGTAGTTGCACGACGCACACCTGACAGATTCGGTTGCCAACAGGACCTTTCCTGAAGAATGTGCCATGATCCGTGATGCTGGCCACGAAATCGGCCTCCATGGATACAGCCATGAGAATCCCGTTGATATGACGCTCGAGCAGCAGAGAGATATCCTCGACTATACGTACCGCATGCTGACTGATTTCTGCCATGGCAAAACCCCTCGGGGCACCGTGGCCCCGTGGTGGGAGGTGTCCAAGGAGGCAACGGAGTTGCTACTCGAATACGGAATCGAGTACGACCATAGCATGAACCACCACGATTGTCAGGCGTACTATCTCCGGACTGGGGATGACTGGACGAAGATTGACTATGGCAAGAAAGCCGCCCACTGGATGAAACCTTTCAAGAAGGGCCAAGAGACCGGACTTGTCGAGATTCCGGCAAATTGGTATCTTGACGATCTGCCGCCGATGATGTTCATGAAAGCGGTACCAAACAGCCATGGTTGGGTGAACTCCAGGGACGTCGAGGACCTGTGGCGGGTGAGTAATGGCTCAACCTGCCAGCGCCGATGCAGTCGTTTTGACCCGTGCATAGGACCATTTCGACTATTTTTACAGGGAGTATGATGGTAGGTCACAGCTTGCCTTGGTCCCGTAGTCTCGCTTCTGACTCTGCGTGTCCCAGAGTTCATTTTCCCAATGACTATACATCCGGATGTCTCGGGCAGACCACATGTCCTCCTCATGCACGAACGACTGATCGAGCACATTAACAAACACGAGGGTGTGGAATGGGTAACGATGGCAGAGATGGTCGACGACTTCAAGAGCAAGAACAAGCCTGCCCAAGGTGCCATGATGCCAGCAGCGCCGGGGTCGATCTTGAAAAAGGAGCAGAAGTAAGGCGCATGTCTCACCTGCTCTTGTTCATAAACTTCAAAGCACCACCCAGTTTGGCGACCTTGGTCACATCTCTTAGGGTGAGACTGATGCGCGTCTGGCGCTGAGCTTGTCCAGTCTGGTACAATGGCTTATCCTCGACAAGATCCCAGTTGACGATGCTTTCATGGCTCAGCTCTGTGTCAATATGAATCCTCGAGATGCCGTGGAGGGTGCTGACGTACATGTCACCAGTCGTGACAAGCAGGCTTCGAGGTTCCTGTAGAATGCGCCACGTTGGATTCGCCTCCCGTTCACCCTGCTCGTTCTTTTTGTATATCTCGAGCACGGTATGGCTGCCCAAGCTTACTGTAGCAGTGACGGGGCTATATGCAGGACCATCTTCGTGAGGCATTATTCCCTCTCCTGGCTTGTACTCGTTGATTAAGACGTGGTTGGGAGCCTTGTGTGGTGTGAACTCGAAGTATTTCTCCTCTTTCAGACGTGCAACAATCGATTCGAGGTAAGCCGGTAAGGGCGCAGCAAGGAGAGTATCATGGGCAGGTCCCGTCAGGGTCGATGGAAGAGAAAGCAGACGTCGGTGGGTTAGAACAGTCCATCTTGATTCTGGAACCTTGAGGATTTCATTGGTAAGGCGCTGCTCCTCGGTTTGGGTAATGAAGCTGGGAAGATAGTAGCATGAAGGCGGTAGGCCTTTGACCGAAGAGACACTCATGGCGCAGCATGGAAACGTAAAAGAGGACGAGAGAAATGTTCCAGCTCAGATGACAGCACTTAGTGTTCGTACTAGAACCATGTCATCTCACTGCGCTCGAAACGTGTGGAAGGCGGCTCATTTCAGGACACGCTTGAGATGTAAATCACTTCAAACTGGGAGGCACTGGATTCTCCGAGACGCATTTCACCACCACTCAACGAACCTCACCAACATGAGTCGCTACACGACCTCCTCAATGATCCATTTCATTGGAAATCTTCGAAGCAACATGCTCAGACGGTGGGTCGGTCAAAGTGATTCCATTGTCTCTTTCAGTGTTGCGCTACCTGATCTCGCTGTCGAGACGTCATGACTTTGTCGCGTGAATTGACTCTTGTGCCACATTCGTTTTTATTCGTATCTGCTCTGTTCAATCAGATAACCCTCACTAGACAGGTATGGCTCATGAGGATTTCTCTTTGTACCGTCGGACACTATTAAACCGACAGCATCAATATGATGCCTCTATCCGGCTCGGCGAGTACACTCCTTTCCTCTATCCGTGGGACACGCTACCGGCACTGTACCTGTTGCTTGCCGTTGCAATCACTCCACGTCTTCCTTTGAGCATAGCCAGAACTGCTCGCTACATTGCATTCATTCTGGTGCTCCTCCATGGCGCCTATGTGGTGTCTCGCAGGCGTACACTCTGGTTTGCTGGCGGATATGGAATCGGGTTATCTAGTGCCTGGGGTATCATCATGTCAGGCGCTGTCCTGGTTTGCAATGACCTGGAGCATGATTTCAAGAGGCTTGAGACACGAGTTGTGAGGTCGGGACCTGGCGATCATCAACCGAACAGATCAGCGTCGCATTCTATTTCTTCCGACGTCGGGAAGTCGGTCGGCGTTCTGAGACAAAAGGTTGCAAGCGTCGACGCCCCAACCAATTCCAAGCAGAGATCTTCTGATATCCTCGAGCAGCCAGCTACCCGACCGTACAGGCTGGTATGGCAAGGCTTCCCTTATGGTGATGGCTTGCTTCACCTCACCGACTGGACAGTGGACCTCATGACGAGCTTTCGAGGTGTGGGTTGGAAACACCGGATTTCGACCGTCAAGTCTATCGATGCACCAATACAGCCTGATCGAGAGGGAGAAGTGCGCCAGAGCAGAACTGATGAGGAGCCCAAGCCGAGATCGATTTCTGCCCAAAACTTACGATCTCTTCAGAGAAGGGCTGTACAGGACTTCATGACCAATTACTTACTTCTGGATCTATTAAAGACGATGTTCATCACAGATCCCTACTTCCTTGGGTTGGCGCCACTAGAGAGTCCTACGCCGTGGCACTGGCTTGGCCACCTCAACGAGACTCTCCCTATTGCAACACGCCTTGTACGACTTTCTCTGTCCATGGCAGGTGTCATCGCGGCACTATCACTTATTTTCAGCCTGAGTCCGTTGTTCTTTGGCACCATCCTCCCGAGCCTGATTGACACATCAAAGCTCACCAAAGCGCCCTTGCTTGAGCCTGGCCTATATCCCCCTATGTGGTATCCGCTTACGACATCGGTGATGTACTCGGGTCTAGCAGGGTTCTGGGGTAAATTCTGGCACCAAATGTTTCGTTTTGGCATCTCGGAGCCTTCGAGGGTGTTGGTCAAGAAGCTTCGCCTGGATCCACGCGGCAATGTGGCGAGAATGATGCAGCTCTTGATCGCATTCGGCTTGTCAGGCACAATCCACGCGCTCGGGAGCTACACTACATTCTCTCTCCAACAATCTCACCCTTTGTCGGGACCGTTGTTGTTCTTTCTCTTGCAGGCGCTGGGCATCTTTCTACAGACGTCCGTGGTCACGGTGGGGAACACACGCCTCTCCTGGACCAGGAAGACGCCATTAGCTGTTCGCCAGACTATCAACCTGCTCTTTGTTCTGACTTGGCTTTACTTCACCGGCCCGCTTTTGGCCGACGACTTCGCGCATTGTGGGATCTGGTTATTCGAACCTGTGCCCATCAGCCCTCTGCGTGGACTAGGTTTTGGTCCGGGTGGGAAGGACGAAGGATGGTGGACATGGTATCAGGAGGGCTCGCGGCTGATGGGCCTGTGGAAGGGCGAGAAATGGTGGGAGAGAGCATTGGCGATATACTAGGCATAGACGGCAGAGCCTCAAATGACAATCCCCTGCCATCACACAGTAGGGGTATCAAACCAAAATATGGGCGTGGAGGCGTGTCAGGCGTGTCAGGTCGCGGTGCTGGTGTGACGTGTGGGAGAGGTGGGAGTGTCGCCTGTCGCTGCCAGATGATGTCACCGTTACCGAGGCCGAAGATGCAAGCGTTCCCAAATTTGGGGGGACGATGCCTGCGACTTCGGGTTCCTGGCATTCCGCCGTCTGCATGCAATCCACGCCTCTCCCGCTTCCTGCCTCCCACACTTGAGCATCACCGATACGGAGTACAGACATCGAGGTTGCCATTCTGAAATAATCAAACGCCCAGAGCAGAACGAGGCCACCATCAGGTTACATTGGCTGTCGTTCTGCGTCTGACCTAGTTAGCACCCACGCTAGCTAAGTAAAGACCCTTCCCCCCGGCGAGCAGCGTGCAGGCGTCAGTCTCGGAAACAGTCGCTGCACAGTGTCCAAGCGTTGGATCAAGCCCTGCACGGGCCCAGGCTTTTCGCTCATTGCTCATTGCTCATTGCGCTCTCGAAACTCCATCCCCCAATTCTCGCGACAGGTCAACACCACCTGCACTTGGGACTGCGCTCTACTTGCGTGCACGTCATTCCACAATTTCCATCTCACTGTCTTCAACCTCACCCCTGTTCCCTGCGATACAATAGACGCCCTGCTCCTATTACTCGATCCGCCTGCCTGCAGCATTGCGCTCGCCTATCGGCCGTCGACCTGGTCTTGATCTCAGATCCACCCCGCGCCACCTGTTCTGTAACACCACCTCACCAGCGACCCTCGCTCGACGTATTCGTGAAAGTCGCCACCCACCCAGACCAACCTAGCAGTTCGTCTCGTGTCGCCTGGCTGCTGATGTCCGATCGTTGCCCTCCCTCTTCTCGTCATGGCAATGCAAGGCCCGCTTGCCAACGACAAGAAACGAGTAAAAGTCTATGAGCTACGCGACAATGACTGGTTCGACAGAGGCACCGGATTTTGCACGGGCCAGGTCATTAATGTACGTTGAAGAAGTTGCGCTCTAGCAGTGGTCTTGTTGGCGAAGTCACCCGCTGACCGTAGGCTGGATAGGATGAACCGCGCATCTACGTCGAGTCCGAAGATCAGCCCGATCGCATGCTCCTTGAAACACGGATAGTGAAAGATGACGGGTACCAGAAGCAGCAAGGTCCGCAACACGAGCGCGCACATCAAGAATGTTGTGGCGGTTAACGCGTAATAGATACACTCATCGTCTGGACCGAGACCAATGGTATGGATATGGCTCTCAGCTTCCAAGAGGCTGAAGGGTGCGCCGTGATATGGTATGAAGGACGACGGCTTTCATTGCGCAACGTGCTGATATCGCTTTAGGGAATTCGTTCACCAAGTACAGCAGCAGTTGCTCGCTCTTCCGGGTACGCACTGAATGCGCCCAGCCATCCACGCGGTATGCTGATCAATCTGCAGATGACGGGCTGTCGGACGATGCGCTTGATAATATCACGACCTCGTTCGCCCTCAATCCTCCCGAGCTGAGCAACCTTGACGAAATCGAACAGTCGATTCGGCATGCGAGCATTACTCAAGGTGGACGGGAGGCTCTGGCAAAATTCCTGATTCGAGAAGAGTACCTGCTCAAACTAATACCGCTCGTCGAAATGGCAGAGGACCTCGAAAGTCTACCGGACTTACATCGCTTATGCAATATAATGAAGGCCTTAATTCTGATGAACGATAACACCATCATCGAGCACTTGGTGACGGACGATATAATCCTTGGCGTGGTCGGCGCGCTCGAATATGATCCAGACTTCCCCACGCACAAGGCAAACCACCGTCAATACCTTGCGGACGAATCGAGGTACAAGGAGGTGGTGGAAATCAAGGACCAAAACATCAAGCAAAAGATCCGTCAGACATGGCGATTACAATACTTGAAGGATGTCGTGCTGGCGCGCATTTTGGACGATCCCACCTTCGGTGTTCTCAACTCCCTCATCTTCTTTAACCAAGTCGACATTGTGCAACACTTGCAAGGCAACACTGCCTTCCTGAAAGAACTGTTTGCCATATTTAATCAGGACAACACCGACGTCAAGCGGAAGGAACAGGCAGTGCATTTCTTGCAGCAATGTGCTGCCATCGCGAAGACCCTGCAGATGCAGTCGAGAGCGAATCTCCTGAACAATTTCATTGCCCACGGCCTGTTCGCTGTGATCACATTTGCGGTCAAGCACCCGGAGCCGTCAATGAGGACGACGGGCATTGATATTCTTGTGGCGCTTCTCGATCACGACCCGAACATGATGAGGAGTTACATGCTCAAGGCTGTTTCGGAGAGGAAGGTTCCCTTGACGGACACCCTTATCGAATTGTTGCACGCCGAAACCGACCTGGGTGTGAAGAACCAGCTGGCAGATGCCATCAAGATCTTACTCGATCCGCAACCGCCCTCGACCGACCCGATGGGATCTCGACAAAACTCGGAATTTATGACCAAACTCTCACGGCCCCAGATGACGCCGACCCAGCAAGCCAACGAGCAATTTGCTCAGGACAACTTTGACCGATCGTGCCGCAAGCTGTTCCAGCCGCTAAAATCCCTCGAGTCTCGAGAATCGATGCAGAATTTCAGTTACCAAGAAGTGTCGTTGTTTTCGTACCTCGTCGAGATACTGTCCTTCTTCGTCCGGCAACACTCGATACGAAGCCGACCATTTGTTCTGTCGGAGAATCTGGCACCCAGAGTGGCACAGCTGTTGCAGGTACCGCAAAAGCCACTCAAATTGACAGCATTGAAGTTCTTTCGAACGGCAGTCTCATTACAGGATCCGTTTTATGCTGCACAAGTCATCAAAAGTGATGCATTCGATGCTATCCTGGATATTGTCATTGACACCATGCCCCGGGATAACCTTCTCAATTCCGCGTGCCTGGAGATGTTCGAATTTATCCGCAAGGAGGCGATAAAACCGATCATCATTCATCTCGGAGACAACTACCGTCAGAAGCTCCAAGACATCAATTACGTTGACACTTTCGAGAACCTGCTGATGAGGTATGAACAGCTGACAAATGACCACCCTGAGCCAGAACACACGTTGTTCAGCCAAGACGATGCGACGCCGCCAATGAATCGAACGCACATCAATGGGCGGTGGCAAGGCTTGCCAGAAATGGACGTCAGCGCGGAGGACTATTTCAACACCTCGGACGACGACGAGGAGGAAGGCGAAGAGGATACCGATCGCGAAAACATCGAAGACGTCTCAGAGCGGATGCAGTGGCATCGTAGAAGGATGAAGTCCGAAATGATGAACGGCGGCGCTAGCCCGATCGGAAAGCCCCTTGTCGATTATCCTGACGACGACGAGGACGAGTCAATGGGAAGTAAAGCCGACGCCACCCCTACAACGCCGCTCACTCCCGAGAGCAACAAGGACGTTTCGTCGCCGGAAGCAAAGACGGCATCCGAGAAGAAGCTACAGCCATCCCCAGAGATCAAGTCCGCTGCCGAGGCAGAATTACAGCATCCTCCGGAAAGAGTGACCGAGAAGCGTAGGAGGCAAGAGGACGACGACGAAGACGAATTGAGCAAGCTCTCCAGTGGCCCGAAACGACGGAATTCCACGTCCAGTGCTTCCAGTCTGGCGGCGCAAGGGTCAATACGGCGCAAGAAGGGTTTCTTGCGGTCTAAACAGACGGCTACTGGCGAGAACGCCAACAGCGTTTCGACGAACGACGTCGACACAGAGAACCATGTTGAAGGACGGAAGCCACGGAAGATCGCCATCACTTTGTCCAACGTAACGAATAAACCTGACGAGGCGCCGACGACGAGAGCTGATACGAAGCTGCGGAGTCACCAACAGTCAGTGACGACCAAGGAGTAGGGATATGAATAGAAAGCTGTGACAATATGCGACCACGTTTCTTCACTTTCGGCGACGGTGTTGATGGAGTACGAACGCCCTCCCTACCGCATTGTACCATACGACCACTCTCTGGGTGTTTATGGGGCGAAGGGCAAAGGCCGAGTTCAGAGCAGTGGAATGGAAAGAGGGAGTCGACACCGCAGCCTAATGTCTCTGGTTTGGACGATGAAATGATGGCGTTTGACATCTACTGCTGTACAGATGCGGAGATTGGGAGCCTCATCGGTCCTGGAAGCAGGCAGTGAGCAGCAAAGCTGTGAGGAGGCGTGGCTGGCAAGGGATCTTACTACGCTCTGCTTTTCTGTAGCAGCAAGAAGGCTTCAGACGAGGAGATGTGAATAACGCCTATTGAGGCGAAACAGGCAAACCCTCGCCTGGTTGCGAGCGAAGAGACAGATTTCACGGTACGGTATATCCCATGCTGTGCTCTAGAGTCTTAATTCATCCCCTTTCCAGCTACCGTATACCTACCATTGTTGCCGCCAGTGCCTTGGTTCAACGACTCCCAACACATCCAATCCACGCGGAGTTTGCCGCGTTTGTCGTGCCTCGTATTCGAGCCTCGTGTTCCATTCCCTCTGCGGCTGAGAAACGCATCTCATCTCGCATGTCTTCCCTATCGGTTGCCGTGTGGCCTTGACTCAAGTGAGCATGCTTAACAGTGCAGCAGTGTAGCAGTGTAGCAGGGTCCCTCAAATCACATCACAACAAGCCGTGTCGTACCAAAATGGCGGGTCTCTCCATCTCGTCGTACAGCTTCGACCATGTCATTCTCCTGCTCGATACTGCGGACTTTGAAAACCCGCCGGAGTGGTTGAGCAAGAATTTCACCATCATCGAGGGCGGGACGCATGCCGGTGAGTGTGGGCGTGAGCGTCGTGCTCCATTCTTTCAGCTCTACTGTGCATCCCTTCTCTGAGCCCGATGCTACTGTACAGGGATGGCGGATATCATGGTTTTGTCCCCTTCCATTCCTCGTTCGCTATGCTCTCCCTCTGCGGTCTGTCTCCCTCAACTAGACCGAAAACCTAACGAACGTTTGCAGGCGGCTCTTCGCGCAACAAGCTCATCGTCTTTCCCGACGGGACATACATCGAACTGATCAACTGGATCAGCGAACCCAAAGAATTCTTCGACTGGGCCAACAAACCGCCGGGACTCATTGATTTTGCGCTCACAACACCCACTTCCGTACACGACACGTTCGACGAAGTCACTGCACGATTAGAAGCCGACGGCGGCAGTGGAGACGGCGGACTGGGCGTCAAATACAAGCTCCCCCTCGCTGGCGGGCGGAAACGCAAAGACGGCCAACACGTCCAATGGCACGTCACCAAGCCGGTACTTGCCAGCGACAGTGACGCCGCGCCCAACCTGCCCGTGCCGCTCGACAAGTTCTTCCCCACAGGACGCCTGGACACACCGTTCTTCTGCCACGACGTTACCGAGCGGGCGTTGCGCGTGCCTTATGCCGAGAAGCACATCTCCGAGACGCACCCCTGTGGCGCGAGGGGGATTGTCTCCGTCGAGGTGGTCGTGCCGGAGGAGAAAATCGACAGTTACATTCGCTTGTATGGGTCTGTGCTGGGCGTCGAGGCCAACGTGCATGGCGGGTATCGGTACTCGCCGACGACGAGTGTGAGTTTCCTGCTGAGCACACCCAACGCGGACGAGCCGGCGATGAAGGCTCTCAGGGGCAGGGTGGGTGTTGAGGTTCGGGCGCCTAGGGACCAGGATGACGAGGCGTGGGTAAGGGAGCGGGGCGTGGGGATTAGGGAAGTACGCATCTTCGCGGAGGCCAAGGGCGAGGATGAGGTGGACGAGGCGCCGCTTGATAGCGAGGGCGTTGGAGCGAGTTTGGTCCTGGTCAAGGAGCCGGCTGGGTTCTGGCAGGATGGACCTCGGTGATGGGGTTGGAAGTCGAGGCGGCAATGCCCGCCCTTTCGCCTCGAGACGAGCAGTATCAGGACTGCTGCATAAGCATTGTACTGGCTTCTGGACGAGGAGTTGTGTCCGTGCCTGAATTGGCCGGCCGGGACGCAGGGACTACGAGCAGCTGGCCTAGGCTCATTGCTCTCTTTCTCTATACAGTTCGAGACAGTCTCATCTCTACACCAGCCGGTTCGCCCAAAAGTGACTTCACCCAGGCAGGCAAGCAAGCGAATACTGCAAGGAATCACGATAATTTACCCATCCACTTGGTTGCTGTCACAACTTATTGTCCCTCGCAGCAGAAGCAGCCTCCTCTCCTCTCTCATCCATACTCCCAGGATGTGTCCCGCTCCTCAGCCTCGCACCGCCATCGATACTGATATCCTCGCCATTAATATAGCTCCCCGCGCGACTACACAGGTACAGCACCACGCCCGCGATGTCCTCGGGCCTCCCCAGCCTGCCCAGCGGGTTCTGCTTGCCCACTTTGTCCACGCCGCCGAGGTAATCGATCTGCGGGTTCGCAAGTCGTGAGGGGAAAAAGCCGGGCGCCACGATGTTGGTCGTGATGTTCTTGGGCGCCAGCTCCAGCGCGAGGTTCCGGCCCAGATGGTGCGCGGCGGCCTTGGACACGCTGTACATGATCGCCCCGCGGGCGCCCACGTGGGGCACGATGATCCCGCCAACCGACGAGGTGATGAGGATCCTGGAGGGGTCATCGGGCGTGGCGGACCGGGAGAGGAGGGGGACCATGCTGCCAGTCGACACGTTAGTGCGAGTCATTTGCGTCTATGTCATTACACACTTCATGTACGTGTGCATAGTGATTTCCCCATCCAGGCAGCCCAAGCCCAAACCCAGGAAATCGCACACGTGTTCTCGACGCACAGCAAACACCAGGAGCGACGAGAAAGAAAGAACGCGCCTCGACAACACTACACAGCACCGCGCAACACAGCACGAAAGGGAGAGGAAAAGGGCCAACTCACAATCGACACAGATTAAACACCCCCCTAACATTCAAATCCAGCGTCTTGACACTCTTCCAGTCCTCAAACTCCTCAAACGGCCCGCCCCAACTGGCCGCCGCGTTCGCGACCAGGATATCCACGCCCCTGGGTTTCCCTTTACCCGCATCTTTTGCAACTTCGGCCTCGACGTCCCTGACGAACCGTTCGATCTGGTCCGTATGCCCGACATTCGCGGGGATCGACACGGCCACGCCTTTGATGCCGGGGAGAGCGTTGAGCTTCTGCGCGGCCGCTTCCAGATTCTTGGCGTCCCGCGCCGTGATGATGACCTTGGTGCAGCCGGCCCGTAGGAAGGCCGTCGCGCAGTAGAGCCCGATGCCGCGGGAGCCTGTGGTTGATGTCAGAGCGTCAGTGGGAAGCACGGTTGAATAACTTGGTAGGAATTGAGGCTGAGGGCAACAAGTCGACAGAAGTCACCAAGGTCAGCCAGCCAGGTCAGCCAGGTCAGCCAGATCAGCCCGCGAACCAACCCCCATTCATCGGGGACCACCTGAGGCGGCTCGCCAGGGACATTGTGACTTTGACTATGACGCCAGCACGAGCACCCTTTCGCGCGATAGAAATTCAGTTACACACGCACGCACCTCCTGTGACGACGGCGATCTTCCCGTCAAGCCGGAATAGCGTGTCGAAGTCCTTGATCTCCGCCATCGGAGTCTTGAGCGAGGCACGATCGGTGGGCCGAGACAAGTCCTACTCTTGTCCTTGTCCTCCTGAGTCCTCCTCCTAGGCCTCGTCCAGTGAGATCAGAACCCCGTAGAGCGCGAGCTTGAGTCAAGCAAGTGTTCGTGGCCGATGCTCATTCAGATTCTCTCGGCTAGTATGCCCTTTCCCTTGCGACTGTGGTCACGATATCGTGTCGCTGAATGACGTTTATGGCCCTCAGGCTGCAACACGTAGAGCGAGGCTTCGAAATTGAATGGTATCAAAGGGACGATACCTCAGATATCTAACCTATAACTTGACTGTGAGGTATTCGGGGCTATATCATGACCTGACCTTAAACGTAGATAAGTCGGGGAAGAAGATGGAGAAGTAAACGAGGCTGCCACTGATCCGAAGTTGAACCTCGGTCTTAGTGGCCGCCAGTCATCGAGTAGCCGGCTGGACCGACTCGTCAAGCCGATATGCTTAATACAGTACTTGATATACTAGTTCTATGAAGGTGCATGTACAGGTTGAGCGAGCTGCCTCTCTACCGTGATATCCAGAGTCTAACTTTGTGACCCGATTGGCCCCACAATGCATTACTATGCTGACCGGCGACATATTATGCTTATGCTCATACCGTTCTTCCATTCTCTCCTCTCAGAAGAGCTGATCCAGACTTCCTCTGCGACTCACGTCCTTGCTGATTCTGCGTGGAGGTGGAGCATACGCCGGGCCATCAGCATCGACCGATCCACGCGCGCGCACATGTCTGTCCGGGCTCGACCTCCGCCGCGGCTTGCTGATGCTTGGTCGATATCTCGGTCCCTCTGGGCTTGTCTTCGATCTTGATCTCATGACTGCGGACCCATTGGGCGGAACCCACGGATCCTTCAGCTTCGTGCTTGTACTTCGGCATCCTAAAGCTGCCGCACTAAAATTTCCGACATCGGACAGTTTGGGACCAACATTAGGATTCGCGACCACGTTGTTGTAGCCAGGAAGATCTTTGGACATCCGCCGTCCGTCTCCTCGCTTGATCTCTCCGCTTGGCCTCTTCTGCTTCCGTTGAACCAGTTGCTGCCGGTTCTGGAGCTCCCTTTGGCGGTTGATCATGTTGCGCTCCTCCTCGCTTAGCATGACCTTGCGAGGAGGGGAATCAGGAGGAATCTCGAAATCGGACTCGGAGAAGCCGAGACCGGAGGTCGAAACTTGGAGCCTGGGCAGCCGCAGGCCTTGTCGCTGTGCAGGGGTATTGTTCTCTGGCGCAATATGGCAGTGATAACAGCTTGCATGTCTGGAGAGGTGATGGTGAGAGGACAATGCCCTGCTATGACGCCCTGGCGCCATGTTTTCATCTGTTGTCGAATCAAGCAGCCCATCTCGGCAATGTCGATGAACATGATGCGACCGGCGAGGAGACTTGTCAACATCGTTCGTGAGATTGCGAAGATCAACCGACGGGAGTGACGCCTCCTGTCTTGCACGCTCAATGGACCGCCGCACAGGGATCTCGAAAGCTTGACCTTGATAAAAAGTAGCGTGACTGGGCCCACTAGGTGGCACCGGTACCGTTTTGGCTCTCTTAGCTTCGATAGAAGCAGCGACCTGCGCAAGAGAGTTGGGTGGGATATCCAAAGAATTGATGGGTATGATTGTAACAGGTAGTTGCACCGCAACCGTCTTGAACATCTTGAGCGTCAGGACGACGTTGACGAAGTATCTGACCTCAAAGAAGCGCCCAGTGCTGATCGTGACATGTCCGCGTGGAGCTTCAAGCTCGATAGTCCGGACATCTGAGGAATGCGCTGGCACGCCACGCCAAGCAGGCGACCTCTTCAAAGTTGTTCCACTGACGACGTCGGTGTCTGTTCGCTTAGGAAGGCGGAGGTAGTTCGCGCTTTTCTCTGCAGTTCCTGCAGGGGCGTGAATGTACCATAGCGTCGACTTCTCCAGCTGAACCTCGATTTTCTTGACTGCCTTTGCCGTAGTGTTGGCGACGTGGACATCAATGAAAATCATGCCGCCATTGACCCACGTTTGGCGATGCAGGCCCGCAGTCAGCTTGACTGTCTGGACATCTGGCTCCCGTGCCAGATACAGTGTATCTGTGGCCAGAAGAGGACTTGGGAGGCTTGCCAGTGCCTTTTCTGGGTCATGCACCGTAAGCATTTGTACTTTCCACGTCTGTCTAATGACAATTCGCTTATCTCCGGTTTTGACCACGATTGAAGGGCAGAGGAGATATCGGATCGAAGCTTGCTTTGAGGAATAAGGAGGTGGACCTAGTTTCAGAGGTAGATTGACGCAGAACGGGATGACTGACGTCGCTGGTTTCATCTCCCACCACAAATCAGGGCCAGGCTCTGGATGCTGAGAGGTGACTAACGAAGGTGGAGGTGGATTTTCCTTGTCGAACAATTCCGTAGCGAGGGACAGGAAAACCCAACGACGACCGTCAGATATCTCTTCCACGCCGATGACATCCACACAAGCCCTCGTGATATACATTGGCTTAGTCTTCGGTTTCCGTGCAACTCCGCCATCAACCTGAATGGTCAATTGTCCCTCCACGGCACCTCCTCCTACACATAGTGGAGAGGGCAGACTGATTGATAGCTCAACCCGAGGATGTCGACTGCTGCCGTTGTCCAAGACTTCATGAGGAGGCGAGGTGCGAATAAAGGTACGTGCGAGGGAGGGACGGAGGATCTCTGATGATTGAGCTGCGCGGGCTATTGACCCACGGACAGGGGACTCAGCTCGTCCTCTGTTCGGAATTACTGTGCTGATGCCGTCCAGTTCCGGTATCCTCCATGTGGCCATATCACGCATGGAAATTTGACCTGCTTCTCCAAGGCTGCGTGAGAACATGTTCGCAGAAGAACGTCTTTCGGGGACAGCCCGATGAGGTAAGCTGATTGCACTTGCCGCTCGACTACCTAAGCCTGAGAGAGCATTTCTCGGACCGCCACGAAATGCTGAAATGGTAAGATACTCGGACGATGTCGTATGCGAGAGAGAGTCGGCCTGGGCTGGGGGAGTTTGCGGTCTGTCTCTGCTACCATCGCCCCATACTTGTGTGGGAGTCCCGAGCGTAGCAGTTCTTGACGATCCAGAGACTTCTCGTATGTCTGAAAGTCGATGGACTCGGTGTCGTGCTGAAGCAGAGATAGGGCGGACGAAAGCTTCACTTGAGGGCAATGGGAAACGGGTAGAATTGCCATCGTCCGTGGACATTCGCTTGGGCAGGTGAAGTCGTTCCAAGGAGTCTGGCCCTCTTCGTCAGTCTGGCTTGATGAGAGTGCGGCGTTCTGGCTGTCTTCAACACACCTTTCGCTGTCCAGTGCTCCATGGTAATCTAATTGCTGATATCCATACGGTAAGAGGCTTCCTATTTTCCGTCAAGCATTGTTTTCGACCTCAAAGAAAGAAATGTCATTTCGTGAGCAGGGTCATCTTGACTGGGGAAACAGAGAGCACGTCCCCAGAGGATCGAGTAAAGGAAACCATAGTGATCGTGCCTGCCGTGATGTCCAGCAAGCAGCGACGACATTGTTCCTTCCACAGCTAGTAGAGCAGGAGCAGCTGGCGCACTCAAGAACACCGCTATTTCGCCTCATTTTCAGATCCGCCGCAGACGTCTTACTGTATGTCAAGTGCTCACATGACCAAGAGATCGGGAGAATATCATGAAGCTCCTCGTTGACTCAGCATGGGGAGCATCTCGGACGCTCTGCTACCTGCGACGTACTTCACTCTCGGTATATTGACTCTTACATCTGCCTCAAAGGATGCTGCGTCGATTTTAGCTTGCCAACAGCACTATGAACCAGCATTAAGAAGACTTCCCAAAGCCTATTGTCTAATAAGCCAATCTTGACCGTTAGGCGTTGTAAAGTCCGGGTAATGTACGCTTGATCCGCCTCACCACCACTTAAGTTCGTGCTTTTGAGCTCGAAGTAGCCGCGCAGATTGTGGTACAGTTTCCACAAGATCAGCTGCTCCCGCTGTTGCGGCGACCATTGGAAGCCGAAGAGCGGAAGTTTGAGCCGAGGTCAGGCGGTGAACGACCGCATAGCTCCAAAAGGATGCTACCTTGAACTCTCTCGAGCTTCAACTGGACAAGGGCTACTGCATCTGCTTTACATCTTCTAGGATGTTGGATGTAGGGGTTGTGATCTGCGGCAACCTTCAAATCACAACTGCGGAGGTTAAGCAGGTCTGGCCGGAGGTGATGGTTTCGAGTTGGATGTGCGCAAAGTGAGGTTGAAATGAGGTCGAGTTGAGTCCACGGAGAAAGTCGACACAAGAGGGCGGGGAAACCATGTTACAGGGACCAAGAGCAACCAAACGCAGGGCTCTCTTCGGCTAGCACCCCCCCAAAGTGAGCTACTAGTGGCTGCTGCTGGTTGAATTAGGCTCATCTGACGCAGGTCGGCGCTCGCCTGACGTTGGATCAGCCTTGTTTCACCTTTCCTCTTGCAAATGTTAGTGATTGCTCTATTCCAAGTGAGGGCACAAATCGCGGCAGGGTTGTGCTCTTATTGGATCCCGCACATTGCAGACCCGGCTTGAAAATTTTTGCTCCACGTGGCGTGGGGCCGGTTTCTGTCCAATGTCGTAGCTGCCCCATAGCGTCTTCTACTTGTGACTCGGGGTTCGAGAAAACTTTTCCTGCTGTTGGAAATGCGCCTGAGCTGGAATGCCACAATGCTTGTCGTCCAAACCAAGAGGCCGGACCAGTAACTGGGTAGTTTCCCTCTCTTCGTATTGAGATCGCTCGGGCTTCAGTTTTGATGGCGCAATGATCGGCTGGTGCCCTCGGGTCCTCTCCCCTTCCAGTTTCAAGCAAGCTCCTCAGTTTGGCTCCTGCAGCGAACTCGGCTTCGGCCTGCTCCAGCATTTTAGGTCCAGCATCGTCTGTCTAAGTCCTGCAGGCGGAGATCCGGATCACTGAACCTGGGGTTCAGAAGGCGCCACGCACGACCAGGGAGGAGAAAAGGAACCCTCACCCGTGGCAGTCTGTGCACCGAGGTTTCTTAAGCCCTGCTTCTGCCTCCCCACCACCCGGATCCTTCCACCACCCATGAAAATTTGTTAGCTCATTCGATTACCTCACTTCTGGCGCCGTCTTTGGCATGCCCTTTGCTTTACATCTCTTATCTCTGTTTACTGCTGTCAACTATCTATCTTTTACGTGTTCGATATCGGCTCACCCCAGGAATCGCGTCTATTGTTGCGTTTCCCCGGATCGTCCGTCGACAAATCGACCCTTATCGGCGCTTATGCCAGGCACATTGCATTAGACCGGTCGCGTGGAGCAGGCATGGGCTCTGTCGCGAACACCGACGTCACACTATCCGACGCTGTGGTACCGAAGCGGGAGTCAAGTGTTGACCGGTATTCCTCCTTCTCGGTTTCGACTCCAGAGGGAGAGGATGGCGCTCCGGGCAGCGAAGAGCGCAGAGCAGCGGAGCCTGCTCCTGCTCCGAAGCGTAAGGGTGGGAGGAAGCCGGTAAGACCCTCAAGGTCTACGTTGTATTATTCCACTCACTGATTCATGCAGATCTATGCAACGTCCGAAGAGCGGAAGCAGAGAAATCGCCAGGCGCAAGCCGCATTCCGTGAGCGACGTACCGAGTACATCAAGCAGCTCGAAACTACCATCCAGCATCATGAAGAGACTCTCCAGAATCTCCAGCAGAGTCATCGCGCGGCCGCAGACGAGTGCCTGATGCTCCGGTACAAGAATTCATTGCTCGAACGCATTCTCCTTGAGAAAGGTTCGTGCCATTCCCCATGTGCTGCCATGTCGGCCTTTACTTACTTGTCATGGCAGGTATCGATGTCCAAGCTGAACTTGCGCTCAAAGGGAGCCCTACACTCCGACCGCATCGCGCACCCCCCATCACGGGTCAGGCTTCGCCTATGCAGAAGGCGATGCTCAGCCGGCAGCAATCGAGACACCGAAATTCAATGGCGCCTCCAATTCAGACTGTAAATCCTACTGCCCAGGCTGGAGGACCGCGGAATTTCGCAGGCTCACCCACAGCACAGCCCACCCCTCCTTCACAACATTCCTCTCCTTCCACGGCAAAATCACCGGGTTTTGCTCTGCAAGGTGGGATGACCTCACCTGCGACGGAAATGGCAGCTCAGCAACCTCCACAGCAGCAGCAGGTCCGACCGATACCACCTTCGCACCCCGCCTCGTTCCCACCGCAGCATAGGTCGCAGGTGCGATCCCTATCGGGATCCAACCTGCCTCAAGCCTACCCTCCGCGAACGCAACCAGAAAGCTACTATCCAGCTTCATTCCAGAAGCATTACACTCAACTCGGCAAGCTGACCCGTTCCCTTTTCCCTTTCCGCATGTGGAGCTTTGTTCGTCCTAGACTGATTCCGTGAGTACAGAGCAGGAGTACGATGCGCAAGCCGATATGATAGATGACCTCGATGGAGCCGGCGACGAAGTCGACACCGATAGCTTCATTCCTAACTTCCGGCTTCCACCTACGGCGTCGACTGCCGGCATGTCTATGGGCATGCAGGCGTCCCCGCCGATGACTACTAGTGCAGCTAGCGATGGCGGGGGCGGAGGCACTTTCATCGACCCCTACGACCCCATGCTGGACGCAGACCCGTTCGGTTTGACTGCCAGTATGCATTTTCCGAATCCCTACACATACCCGCCTGTGCATCCCAGAAGATGAATTTTGAGGACAAGATACCCAGCGTCACGCATGTCCAGTGATTATTGATTGAAACGCATAACGAGCATTGCGAAAATGGGCATTGAGCGAAGGCGTACTGTCGAACTTGCACAGCATTAGTGGGAGGGGTGGATGGTATTCAACTGCATGCGTGTACTTGTCTTGGAGCCTGCACCCGACGCGATGACCCACAGCATTTTTATACAGTATGCTTCGTTGTAAATAACGCGATCCAAAAACCACCCTTATCGAGCTTGTCGCGTGCTCTTTGCTGGAACAGATCACGAGCTTGCTGTTGCTTGCTCAGATCTACGTTCCCAGTAGTTTTGGGGTGGCAGAGTGCCAAGCATAATCCGAAAGTGGCTAGCGCACATTACAATCGAGGTCCTGCGAATTGTCACGATTGCGTAGCGATTCTGATTCTGATTGATTTTCATCACCTGTTCAGACCCAACCCTTCTCGACTTGACAAGGTCTCACGACTTGGTAGTTGTGGACGTTGTCGCGGTCGAGCGTTTCACTTTCTTCACCTCGAATTGGAGCCTCATTAAAAGCAAGCCTTCACGGAAGGCGCTCGAGAGGCTCACGTCATGGCGGACGTCAAGAGCAAGGTGAGCATCAGCTGGAGCTGCTTTTTCCCAAGCTCAACCTTTCCAAACCATCCTCGCACAGCCACTGACAGCAATCTGCACAGAACCTCTACGAGCTGTTGGGTAGGACCACCATTAGCGCTTCATCTCCAGCCTTGCGATTGACGTGAGGATTGCAGGGAATACCTCGGACCAGGACTCTGACCGCGAGCCTGATCCACCCACCAAGACCGTCGACAAGCCGGCTCCTCGTCACGGCAAACGCGACGCGCCAAAAGAGGCTCCTGCGCCCCCAGCTGACCGTGCCGGCGTAGCTCCTCGAGGCGGTCGCGGTGGTCAGCGCTCAGGTGGTTTCAATGACAACGAAACTGGTACATACTTGTGGAAAATCTGGATGTGAAACACCTTGCTGACACGTTGAAAAGCCTTCCGCAACAGAGCTACCGGCAGAAACTACAATCGCGATCAACCTACTGAGGGTGCTGGCGAAGACGGCTATGGCAATCGCCCTGGTCGTGACAGCGGCCCTGGTGTTCGGCGCGGTGGCCGTGGTCAGCGAGGACCTCGTCGTGGCGGAGACCGTCACAGCCGCACTGGCGTTGCGTAAGTATCTGCCGCTATTCACGTGTCTACTGTCCTAATACGTGCAGTGATCATCCGAAGCAGGTGGACCATGGCTGGGGTGAAAGCACTGGTCAAGGCGAATGGGCCGATGAGAAGGCTGGGGAAGCCATAGCCACCGAAGAACAGAAGGAGGGTGGGTGGGATGCCGGTACCCAGAACCCGGCGTGGAATGAGAATGCTGAACAAACCACCATTCCGGAGGATGGCGCTGTCCCGGATCCGGCCGCTCCAGAGGCTGAAGCCGAGCCAGAGGACACTCACAAGTCCTATGCTGAATACCTTGCTGAGCAGGCTGCCAAGAAGTTGGAAGGCCTTGGTCTCAAGGAAGCTCGACGACCCAACGAAGGCGCCAAGGAGAACAAGAAATGGAATGCGGCCAAAGAGCTTACCAAGACCGAGGACTCGGACTACTTCAAGGGCGAGGAGAAGGCCAAGCGCGAACGCGAGCGTGCCACGAAGAAAGAGTTCCTTGACATTGACTACAGCTTCAAAGAGCAGTCACGTGAGGGTCGTGGTGGCCGTGGTGGCCGCGGCGCTGGGCGCGGACGTGGAGACCGGGGTGAATTCCGTGGCGGACGAGGCGGTGGTGGCGACCGTGGCGATCGTAGTGATCGTGGTGAGTTCCGCGGCGGACGTGGACGCGGACGCGGCGAGCGTGAACGTGGTGACTTCCGCGGAGGACGAGGACGTGGTGGCCGTGGCGACGGTCCTGCTGTTCCCGTCGACGACGAATCTGCTTTCCCCAGCTTGGGAGGAAAGTAAGCCCGCACGCCCATGGCTGTGTCTGCTTCCCGACCACAAACCTATCGCACAACACCGCACCGACCGTTTACTTCGCGCCATACAACATCACCGGCTTTGTACTATGTGAACAGCAAACACTCGCTGGCTCGATACCGCCAATCACTACCGTACTGGCGAGTTCGGAGGCAGGGAGCAATGCATTTGCACGGAGAAAGATCGGGTTTATTCGACAGACGGCAATGAATCCACACAAAAGCATTGAGCAGTGACCAGAGTAATGGAGGAGGAGGGATTTTGTTCTACGATATCGAGCAATTCCACCTGGCTAGCTTGGAATTCGTGTAAGATAAGAATACCCTTTCTTGTCCTTTCCAGTGCCGGGGCTGCCTTCAGAATGGAATGTCAATTGATTCTCATGTTCCTGTGCCTCATGATGACGCCGGTTCTCGTGTAGTCATTCTCGCTCTCCTATCTCCTCTGCATCTCAGGATGGAGTCGGCCTGTGTATTAACTAGGTAATGACCACTTCGAATCAGCGACACGTTTGGTGCTGACCGCGCAACTGCCGCGCGAGAGAGAACGAGTATCTTCACGATGCAACATTGATTCCTGTCGTTCAGGACGTCGTCCGGATGCTTAGAATATCCGTGCCGGTTCCATATCGGCAGTTGAGGGACATGCTTGTCTTGAAGCGTATGTAACTCGTACCACAACAGAGTCAATCGCACAGTCGCGCCGGATGTTCTCTTCTAATTGAGCCAGGCGGCTCCGTCGGTCAGCAGTCGCAAAGGCCCGATGCCCATTGTTGAGCCTAGAAGGTGCAGATTGACGGAGGTCCAAGTCGGCAGTTGTGGCTCACGATCATCTGCCGAAGCTCCTCCGCCCCCCAGATCCCAGGTGTCACGACCCTTCGCTCTCTTTTGCACACCCTTTTTGCTCATCTCTCAGGTATCGGCATGTCGACTGGCCTTTATCTCATCCTGGCCTCGGGTTAATTTGCATCTTCGCCCACGCCACACCCCACATCCAATGCCGCCCTGAGCCGAGCCCTCCACTCGAACCTTCGACTGCCATGTCTTTCCGCCAAAGCCTGCCATTACTGGCCGACTGTTCGTACCGTTTTCCCATGGAGCATGCCCCGCGATCTGGCGGCTGGCGCTGAGCATTACCAGCGGACAGCCGCTCATTCGTAGGACGACCACCGAGCCAACTAATCTGTTGGCCCTGTGGATGGAAAGTGTTTACATGATGTTGCCGCTGCAGGACCCCCCCCCATTCGTGCGAAAGTGAACTGCCGAACCCTGAATTGGCCACTTTACTTGTTGCAGTAGTCATTCAAGATCACCGGGGTTGGACAGATCTGGAGCTCAAATGACGGAAGCATAAAATCGGGAGGACGATTGACGTCGACTGTGCTACCGTACATCATGACCACCATATCTCGCATCATCCCAGGTTGAGTGTGTGAGTCCGGACTTGGGTGCATCGTCTTCCTCCCCGTCTATCAAACGCTGTGGTTGCCATGCTCGAGTCCATAGTTCCCGCCATCGTCAACAACTGGCCGATTGCCCTCGCCGTTGTTGGCGTCGCTTACTTGCTCAGAAACTACTTCTACCATGGCCTGAACAAGTACCCGGGGCCTGTGTTGGCGAGATTCACCGACTGGTGGAGGTTCTTTGACGTACTAGGGAGACGACCAGACATCACACATCTCAAACTACACCGAAAGCATGGAGACATCGTCCGACTGGGCCCAAACATGCTATCCTTTGCGAATCCGCGGGCGTTGAAGACGATATACGGATTGAACAAAGGCTTTGTCAAGGTACGACTACCTCAAGTTCTGAACGTGGCCACCCTAACGCGAAATTCACAGTCCGGGTTCTATCCCGTGCAGCAGGGGGTCAGCAAGGGCAAGCGACTGCCGTCGCTGTTTTCCACCACTGACGAGGCCTACCACGCCAACCTTCGGAGATCCGTGAACAATGCCTTCGCCATGAGCCAACTAGTTCAGTACGAACCTGGCGTGACTGAGTGTGTCGAGGTGTTTCTTGACCAGACGGAGAAGCTGTACGCAAGCACAGGCAAAGTGTGCGACTTTGCCGAGTGGCTCCAATTCTTCGCCTTTGATGTAAGTGGACCGTTGATACCGCCGAGCAAGGTTTACTGATCCGCGTCAAGGTCATCGGATATATCACTTACAGCAAACGCCATGGTTTCATTGAAGGGAACAAAGACGTCGACGGCATGGTCGGATATCTGGGACATCTCTTCTCCTATGTGGCACCGGTAGGTGTATCTTTCGTCCGAATCTTCCACAGTTTCTGACTCGCTCGACTCCAGATCGGACAAATACCGTGGTTGGATCTCCTTTTCTTGAAGAATCCGCTGGTCCTGCTGCTGGATCGACTTGGGGTCAAGCTGTTCGCTTTTCCAGTAGCAACCTTTGCTCAACAACGAATGTCGGAAAGATTGGCCGAAATGGAAGCCCAGGGCGTCGAAAAGGGCACGTCAAAACCGGACTTGTTGTCGATGTTCTTGAAGGCACAAAACGACCGTCCGGACTTCATGACTGACCACCGAGTTCTGACCATGGCCATCTCGATGGCATTTGCCGGGTCAGAGACCACGGCCATCAGCTTGGCGGCCGTGTTTTACTATCTCTTGCGCAACCCGCGATGCCTTGAGAAATTGAACAAGGAGTTGAACGACGCCGTGGAAGAAGGAAAGATGGCAGACACCCCCACGGGAACCGTAACATGGACCGAATCACAACAACTACCATACCTCGATGCCTGTATCAAAGAGGCATTCCGGATGCACCCAGCGGCAGGACTGCCTCTGGAGAGAATCACACCCCCGCAGGGAATTGAGATCGACGGTCACTTCATTCCGGGAGGCACCATTGTCGGTTGCAATGCGTGGGTCATCCACAAGCGGGAAGACATCTTTGGAAAACAGATCGACAGCTACATCCCGGAGAGGTGGCTTGATGCTGGAAAGGAACAGCTGAAGGAAATGAATGGCGCCTTGTTCCAGTTCGGAGCTGGCTCGAGAACGTGCATTGGCAAGAACATCAGTCTCCTGGAGATGTACAAGCTGATACCAGCATTCCTGCGACGTTTTGAGGTAAGCCGTGCATCATGGATGCTGCAGATCCTCCACACTCGATTGCCTGACTGACGATTGCGTTTTCAGATCGAATTTGAGGACCCCAGCAAGGACTGGAAGTTGCATAATGGTAAGTTCCCCACAGACCGCCTCGATTCTTGGGTTGCTAATGATGCTTTAGCTTGGTTCGTCAAAGAACACGATTTCTACTGCCGCTTCAAGCCAAGAAAGGCGCAATGAGCCAGCTGGGGCCCCGAACGTGCATATGGATGATCGATCACATTAGCCACCTGCCTTCCCGACGATAACAAGTATGGTACCGGAATGGCCGATGATCAATTGAGACAATTCGCCGTCAAGTGTTACAGTATCGGGTTCGCGGAAGAACGAAGCGTCCGGGTTGCAGAATCCGCCTGGCCTGAAAGAAGCGGGCGACTGTATATACAATACTTTGTTTCTAGCACAGTTGTCCCTTTCTCCCAACGGCCGTATCATTGCATTTCTTCCCGTCTCCGCTCCACATATGGATCTACAATGCCGCGACGTCGCTCGCCACGTGACTGCGGGATGTTCTCGCCCGATAGACAACCAGCCGGCGCAGAAGCGATGCCGTCGACCGATAACGGCTTCAACACGACCTGCCAGATAGTACGGTGATCGCATAATCAACCTTCATCGTTTGAGAATGTTCCGCCGTCGATTGAGCGTGATGGGGTCCGCGCTAGGGGCTCAGTAGGCGCACCCGTTCTCCCTGACGATCAGCTGTAATATTCTATTTCCCCGGAGCACAGCGGCGACATCGGTTGTCCTCGCAATCCCGCTGCAAACGTGACAAGGGAATTTGAACTGATGCTCGGAAAATAAGCCATGTGGCCGTCGGTTGGGCGCCCCCTGATGAAAGACATCTCGTCTCACCCACTGCAAGCGCGGCCTCAGTAATTACCTGAGTACTTACAGTACTGTGCGGTATGCTTTTTCGCGCTATCACGAGAAGATGACTCCCCATTTACACAGTAGCCAATAATACATACTACGTCACGTCGCAGTTCGTTCGATTGGCGAAGAGGGTTGGCGGTCACGGTAGCTACACACATAGTATCATAGTATCATAGTATCTCACTTTACTCTGTACACTGCATGGCGTTACGGTTTAATTAGCATATTTTATGTAGAACGCCGCGAAGCACGTCAACGTCACATGCCTCTCGCCCAGCCCCTGGTGCCCTGGTAAGCTGCCTGGGCCATCCCACGAATTCTTTACAACCACTGGCGGCCCAAGTCCGCGCGGCTTATGTCAGCCGAACCCTGTTGCTGGTGAAGCCCATGGCTGCGCTGGGACACTTGGGCGACACTAGTAGTAGTAATAGTGGTAGGCTTCCTGATACACTAACTTCTTCTCGGCCGAGTACTTGTACGTACTACTTGTGGTTTACCGACTGTCCCTTGTCCTAGCGTCGAGACGCATCGCAGCTGGAACGTCCACTCATCCACTGCCCTTGTCCTGAGCTCGACGGTGTAAAGCTGGAACATCCACTTACTGGCCTTGTCATTGTGCTAGCCTTGACGGGTCAACGCTGGAACCACACCCACTCGCAAGCAAGAGGTATTATCCTAGCCTCCACTTGCAAGCAAGAGATCAGCTTCATAACTGGGTCTGCACGGCTGTAGCCTGTAAGGCGCCTTTTGCGGGCAGGGGTTCAACGAACAAGTGCGTTTGGGTTCGGATCGAAGCATGTGTATTGATTGTTAATTCAGCGCGGGCACCCGGCGGGTCAGCTCGTATTGTGTGTCGTATCGTAATGCGTGGCGAGACGTGGTCGAGGGTGGAAATGATAAAGAGGCTGGGTCCTACCCTCACTTGATCAATTGTCCTTTGCGCCGTCATCGGTTGTCTCTTAGCTGCAAGGACTTTAACTACTTCTCTGCTCATCCACGCATCGGCATCTTCCTGGACTCACCTCAGCCACTTCTCTGCTCGTCCACCAGGCATCTTCGTTGACTGACCTGAACCACTTCTCTACTCATCCACCACCTATCTTCGTTGACTGACCTGAACCACTTCTCTACTCATCCACCACCTATCGTCGTTGACGGACTTACTTTGTCCTCCGCAACCATTCGGCGCGACCATGGGCTCGCTCAGCAAAACAGATAGCTTCCTCGAGGCCGTCAAGGACCGGCGCTCCCTGTATGCCCTCGCGGCTGAATCACCGGTCCCGGACTCCAGGATCGAAGAGATCGTCAAGCACGCCGTCACGTGGGCCCCCTCCACGTACAATGTCCAGTCGGCTCGCGCGGTCGTCGTGTTCAAGGAGAACCACCACAAGCTCTGGGATATCGTGAAGAAGCACATGGCCGATGTGCCGCTTGAGGGCGGCATGCGTGGGTACATGGACGGCCGCATCGCCGCGTGGAGATCGAGCTATGGAACCGTGTTGTGGTTCGAAGATCAGACGGCTTTGGATGGATTGGCCGAGAAGAACCCCATGATCGGTGGCATGTTGACGGAGTGGTCGGACCATTCAAGCGGCATGCATCAATTCATTGGTAAGTCCACGCACCCACACTCACATTCTAGCAAAGCCTGTCCCCGAGTCCCCTCAGAATAACGACAATTACTGACCATCACGCGATGCGTGGGCAGTCTGGACGGCCCTGGAATCCGAAGGACTGGGCGCCAATCTTCAACATATGAATTTCCACCCCGGGATCACCGCTGAGATCAAGTCGACGTGGGATCTTCCTGAGGCGTGGAAGCTCAAGGCCCAGCTCGTGTTTGGAAAGCCCCAGGAGGAGGCCAAGGAGAAGACTTTCGAGCCCATTGAAAAGAGGGTGCTTGTGAAAGCATGAGATGTTAGAAGACTGCGAGCGACCCACGCAGGGGTCCATCAGCGTTGTCCTCGGAAGAGCCAGAGTGGCGATGAGGGGGCCGAAGATGGACACCTAGATATCAGCGACGCGTGGTGTGTAACAACACGATGAGAAGCTCATGGTCAAGACAATACCTATAGTCAGCCGCAAGACAAAGCAATCAGTGCATATTCGCGTTGTGTTCCATGACGGCTGTTTGCTGTCCATCGTCAAACTTGGGTGGAGAGATGAACAAGGCCGGCGTTCATTCGGGTTGGAAACAACCTTGTGACACGGTTCGCATCATAGTCTCTCGAATACGGAGTACACACGTTGGAGACGAGAGTCCTTCGTACCACATGAACCATGATGATTGATTCTCCAGTGTTGTCCCGCGCAGACAGTGGCTTGCACCCCTGAAAGCTTCGAGTTTTGGTGCCGAGGCGATGGCCCAAATGGGAATAGCGCGGCTGACTGGGCCAACCGTCACTCCACCATTGGCAATCAACCACCACGAGTCCTTCCCCTGCTCACGCAATCCATCAACCACACGACTTCCTCTCGTGTCCTGGGACACTTTCACTTCCTCTTGCAGCGGCATCTGTAGATCCTGCAACGAGCATTGGAAGAGCAAAAGTGGCTCAGTAGAATCGCGGCGGACAGGTCTGGAAGAGGAGCATCATAAGCGGATCTCACGGCAACACAGCCCCTATTTCGGTCGTCAGCAGCTTCGCGTCTCACGTTATTCGACCTGATTTCGACGACAAATTCTTAGTTTCTCTTCTTGCTACTCCGTGTATTGCATCAACTTCAAGTGGGCACAGCCAAATTCCACACCATGCTGTTCTCAACTCGGCTGCCCGCCGTCCTGGCCGTCTTGGTCACCATCTTCACCGTCCTCGCCAATGCCTACCGCCCCGTCCAATTCGTCAAACACACGGGCCAGTCCGGCCGGGCGGACCAAGCCTTCAGCCTGGTCAACTACTACAACACCACGACGGCGCAATCCGACCTGTACGTCCGCATGTGGATGTTCCGGTACGACTCGAGCAATAGAGGCTGGGCGGCGCTCGGTCTCGGCCCCCAAATGAAAGGCGCGCTCATGTTCATCATCTACGGCGATCCGGCCAGCAATGATCTCACCATGACTGTGCGGACCGTTGATGGGCATCATCCTCCTCGACCGCTCGACGAGATGAAGGATTTCTACTCCGGCGACATTCCCGACGTGGAGGTTATCAGTACGCGCTTCGAGCCGTATACGGGGGACTGGTACTCCGAGCAACTCCAGGCCAAGCCCTCTCACTTGGGCGTGGCGGAATTCATCGTGCGCGGGTACGAGAAATTCACGGCCCCGGCGCTGGGGATCCACAGCGATAGCACCAAGCAGTCGATGATCTGGAGCAGTAACTTCAAGCAGGACTTTGAAGGGGATTTCTCCTACGAGCGGAGCATCGACATGCATCAGTTCGGCCTGGGGTTCGGGTTCCTGTGGGTCGACCTGCTGAACGCGAAGAGTGAAGTCCCATTCTTCCAGACCATCGACGAGGTCAGCGACCACAGCGGGCTGAGTGAGATTGGGGACCCTACGGCTCCGAGCGACGAGGAGCTCAAGAAGGGCGATGCAATCATCGCTGCGCAGTTGAATCCCGGCACCGGTGACGGTGCGCCGGATGCTAGTGGCGATAAAGAGGCTTCGCCACCACCGACCGGTTCGGACTCGGACACATCCACGCCCGGTGCCGACGATGGCTCCAAGGTCGAAGAACCCGTCAAGACGGTCAAGCAGTGGAACATCCGCTCGTGGATGTGGTATGTATCCCCGTCGTATCTGCACTTCCCTTGGGCAGTAACTAACCACGGTCGGCAGGCACCTCCACGGCCTGCTGCTAACCCTGGCCTTCCTCCTCGGGTACCCCTCGGCGATCTACCTGCTCCGCTCCCCGCGCACGGCCGCCGCCGGCACGGCCTTCAACTACCACTGGACGATCAACGCGCTGTCGTCCGTGTCGGTCTCGATCGGCGCCATCATCGGCTTCCTGAACTCCCGCTCCATCTCCATCTTCCACCAATACCTCGGCATCCTGATCGTGTGCGCCCTGGCCGCGCAGACCGTGCTGGGGTGGCGCCACCACGTCGTCTTTGTCGCCACGGGCGGCCGCAAGACCTGGATGTCCGCCGTGCACGTCTGGCTCGGCCGCGCCGTGTTGCCCCTCGGCATGGTCAACGTCATCTTGGGCCTCATGCTCCGCCGCTACGGCTGGCTTACCATCTCGCTGTGCGTGGCGCTGGCGGTTGTCGAGGTTGTCGTCCTCACGCTCGTGGTCGGCCAGGCGAGGAATCGACGGCCCGGGCCCATGCAGAAGGGTGGCGCGAGCGCGCCCCCGCCGGCGGACGAGGCCGAGGAGTACTTCCAGTTGACGGGCGATGACGAGGACGAGGACGACGACGCGTTCAGCGACGATGAGGAACGTGCCGGGGCGAGTGCCGAGGAGAGGGCCAAGAAGGAGGGCCAGCGTGAGGAGCAGAGGAAGAAGCTGGCAAAGTTGGACAGGGTATAATTTGCGCGCCACAGGCATATAATCATGGGTGCAAGGGCACATGGGGGTATAGGAGGCAGGACGGGCATCATGAGGGCGATCGATCATCGATGGCATAGCGTGGTCTGGCATACATATTGGCATGGCCGGTACTGTGGCAATCCTTCTTCCTCTTCTTCCTGTTTTGTCGTCCTTATTACAGTATTTCTACGGTACCCAAAATGTCCCTTCTTTACACGGTTCTGCCATGCAAGCGACGTGGCGCGATGTGTAGGACATGTATACATTATGGATGCAGTGCCTTGGATTGCAATGGTAGACTGGGAGGGGAGAGGCGTTGTTCAGAGCATCGGCTCAACTTCCTCCATTGTCGGGTCTGAGGATACAGGCGAGCCAGGCCACGCACCATAGTCCCAAAGTCATCTGAGTCTGAATCCGACAGATGAAGACAATCCGTACTACACATCGTCTATATCCATGTCTGTGTCTATGGCCATGTCTCCTCCATATCAGAGATATGTCCTTCTTCCCCGGGGACTTCATTCGGCGCTTCTGGCCCTATTGCGGGCCGTCCTTCAATCGTCCGTTCAAACCCTCTTGGCATGTTCTTAAGAAAGCTTACAGATAATCCGTATTAGCCTCGATGATGACGATGACCAGGGCATGCCAGTGAAGAGCCTCTCGTTTCGTGAAAAGGTTTGGAGTGGGCAGGTAGACAGTGTCCAGGATATACGGGATAATACAGAGTGCTTAATTCCACTTCGCGCCTCGTGAAGCAGACCATCAAGGCCATGGACAGGTCCCATCCATTGGGGCCCGCTGGCTACCTAGATGAAGGACGCTGCGTCGGCGGCACGGCTTCAGTACGTAGACACAGCGGCAACGATCCTCCGTTCCTGTTCAAGGGTATGGAAGCGTCCTCATGGCCTTCCGTACTTTGCTCAATATGGCCGACACAATAGTTTCGGCGCGGCTACTGTTAAATTCGTCCAAACCCAAGTCGTGTTCTCGCCATTATACTGTGTCATTGTCCAGATGTTGAACGACTCTGTCGGGCTAAACCAAGACCTTTCTATGCCTTGATCATGCTCGAGGCCTGGACAGGGCAGAGTCTCGGTAGCTGGTTGCGGTATCGCCTGCAGGTGGTTGCTGCCATCACTATCTTGACTGTCTTGGGCTTTTTGTTGCAAGCATATGATAACAAACAAGCTTTTTACTCCCACGTATCGCCCTGTTATATCTGTGGCCGAGAGAATTGGCGGCAAACTCGACGCTTGGGGTGAGTGCTGCAGTTTCCCTTGGGTGGACCCAGTGGCTGCGATCAATTATACTGACCCTTCCTCAGTTTCAGAAGCTGCTTATGCTTTCGACCGGAAACAGCTGGCGGGTCCGAGGGCTGGAGGCAGCAGCAAGTCTTGTTGGCCTGGATTTCACGATCCCCATCCAGCCTCAGAACCGGCAGGAGTTGATCACAGCCTTCGAGCATATTGGGAGGGACTCTGGAAAACCCACACCGGCACACGGTTCTGCCACAGCATGGCTGGCACACATCGACCTACTCAAGTTCGTCGTTGCCTCTAGATTCGAGACAGCGTTCATAGTCGAGGACGACGTCGATTTTGACGTGACGTTGAAAGCTCAAATTCGGCTGATCTCCGATAATGTTCGCGAATTTGTCGAGACGCCAGATCACCATCCTCGTCCTTATGGTGACAACTGGGACGTCCTTTGGCTAGGTCATTGTGGCCTGCAACCGAAGACTGGATGCCACCGGTTCACAAATATCGGGACGAGGCTCGCTGCAAAATGGAACATCATTCAGGCTGGTCGAAACACTTCCTCAGGGACAAATTGGAGGAAAATCATCGCCTTGTGCAGACGTCGGAAGAGTGTGCACCTTTGGTTATGTTGTCACACGACAGAGCGCACCGAAGGTCCTCGAGCTCCTGGCAGCCGGTGCCAACGAAGCATTCGATGTCGCCATGTCTTCGTTCTGCAGCTCAGGTGACCATCGTTGCGTGATCGTGGATCCTCAGATCGTGAATCACTACGAGCCACCGGAGGATACTGGATATTTGAGCCAGGTCCATGTTGGCGATGGACAAGGGGAAGCAGCTAATGACACTGCTTTCGAGACCAAGATGGGGATGACGGGCAATGTTGAACAGAGTGCTAGGTGTAAAGCTCTTTTTGATAGTACGTGTATGCGTCCGCCGTCAGACATATAGGAGCTGTGAGTGTCTTTGAGCAAGTGGTTGTTGTTTTATGTTCCACCAACCATTCAAGCGCTTCGAGATTTTCTGGAAATACTATACTCCGTACGACAGAAGTATTTTTAAGAAGAGTACACTCGGCATTGCTGTAGTTAAAGTTCAGATCAGGACAATACTCCGTAATTGGTCTCCGCCATGCTGACCGCCATGCTGAAAGTTTTTGTGCCTCACTCCTCTACTGAGACATGTCGTGAGGAGATGCTGTGTGCCCATGACGGGAAGCAGTGTGCTTGTGTTGAGCATAACGCGGACACCAGGATCTGGGCATGCAGCGATGTCAAGTTTCAAGCCTTGTTCTCCTGGTGTTGTAGTGACGGCTCTTGTCTTCTACTGCTGAAGCTCCTTTGAGGCATGATTTCGTCGAAAGAGAGTACTCCGAGAGGTCCGACGGTCAGGCCGCAAAGTACATGGTTGTCCTCAATCATATCTCCTCCGCCCTTACTCAATACACCTCTCCTAAAGTAAGAGTCCGCGGTCTCATGGCACACACATGAAGCCTTGGGGGCAAACCTCGAGAGCCGATTATGTCTGATCCCTAACCCGGCCGCTGTGGACCTGGGCAAACCCGGGGGCGAGCACAGGGCGGCATCACCCTTGTCAAGATTCGTGGTGATGTGCGAGCAGTTGCCACTCTGCATGGCTTCCAAGTATATTTTGGGATTGATGGGAGTATGATTGTGCGCGTAGCGAGAGTGCCGGCGCCCGCCTTAGTAGCAGCATCAATTCATGATCCGAACGTGGGCTCGTTGTCGCAACAATAATTCCGCTCACTCGTCTGCCCTCCGCATTATTTGTTGATGCTCTTCCCGTTACAAACCACCAACCAGCTCACGCCAGAAGGGCACAATATCGCCGAGGAAATAAGTCCCATGCACCGTCACAGCCGCGATAAGCAAGCCCGCCAACTTTTCCAGCCAGGTATGGAACCATATGGCGGTCATCATCAGCATCCAGAAATCCAACAACACGACCGCGTAGGCAAAGTATCTTGACCAGATTCTGATCCGCGCTTGGGTCTCTGTCTCCCAGCCTCCTACTGCCTTGCGTTCCTCCTCGGTCATCTCGTGCGCCAACCTTGCTGCCGCCTGAGGCGAGACAGATGGGTGTGAAGAGTCGCGGTCAGAGATGTGCAGCTCATAGAGGAGAAAGGCAGACGATAGCACCAGCATGAAGACGTGGCCTGAGATGTCATATCCTCCGCGCCACCGACCACCCGCCACCTTGCAAGCTAAGCCGGAGCTGATCCTACTCATATCTATTGCCTCTTTCAAACCCGTGTTATTGACTATTTGAGGCTCGCAGTGACCACCTGTGATCGTAAAGCTGCGGTCGATGAGAGCGGGCCCAAAGAACCATTGCGTGGTGAGAAACCACGACAGGGTAACCAGTGCGTAGCGCAGGCCCGTCTGAACGTAGTGTCTTTGGTTTGCTGGCCGGATGGTAATCTGAAGCAACACAAAGGCCAGTGTTGTCCAGAGCCAGCCAAACTTGACAAAGTATACATTGACGATGTTGCGTTTGCCTGCGAAGTAGTTCGTGTGGTGGAAATGCGGCACATTCAAGTCTGAGGCGATGCCAGGCGTAAGTGGTTCTGATGGAGGAGTCGCAATTGGCGAGAGAATGGAGAAGAGGGATCCCAACGCTAAGATCACCGGGTAGACGAGGAGGAGGTAGGAGGACGGCCTCGGTCGGCTAGGAGGCATTGCTTGCGAAGTGAACTGTTGCGATGCCTTTTCTGGCCTATCCTGAGTTGCGACTGTACGCCCGTTGCGCTGAACGGCGGGCATGATGGTGGAGCGAGAGGGTGACAGTAAGACCGCCTCAGCTACAAGGTAACATAGTCTTTTAAATTAAGGTAAGGAGAAGGTGAAGTGTCCACAAGGTTGTTGGCAAGTTGGCTTTGGCAGAGGCAATGACGAGAATCACAAAGAAACACTCAAGATTCTGCGAGGCCAATGACGTCAACCTTCGTACCTCGGATTATTTTCCGCTGTATTTCTCGTTCACCGAGCTCTCAAATAAAGATGGCTTGCATCTCAACATTTGTCTTGACTAATTTCACCATCGTACCGCTCTTCTCAATGCAAAGATCTCGTCAAAGCTGGGCACCCTTTACTTCTGGCTTCGTGCTACTGGGCACTATCGCTCTTGATTGACCGGCATTTCCTCCGCCAGCAGTGAGGGTATGCAGGTGGAACTTCAATTCATAAGTCTAAAGAGTCCGGGTACACAAATCAACTAAGCTCCATAATCGTGGCATCTGAACCACCTTGGGCCTTTGGTGCCGGCTCCCTGGCTTCTTATGATCCAGATGCTACCCTACACGCGGTTCATCTTCGATGCTGTTGATGAAACGCACAGTCAAGGCGCCATATTTCAGTACGCCTGGTCTCGCCGGACTCATTAGGACCATTTCACCTATATTGCCCTTCCTATGTGTTGTGCGTGACAATGAACCAGAAAACCCCTAGCCTGTTGACGCTTTTTGATACAGTATCATATCTAGGCTGGTACCGCTCGTGCGGAGATGACACCTCAATGGGCAGACACCGATATCATTTCGGAAAACGTGGAAAGCCTTAGGGGAACGGACATCTCGACAACTGGGCACTATGAGCTCGCTACTGGGTACTTTCCGGAGAGTTACTAAAGATGAGGAAGGATTCGACATGCTGTATCTCCGCTCATTCTCAGCTTCAATTGTGGCAACCTTATACGGAGCATACGCCGCACATGCCACTCCGAGCCATTGCAGAGCCGCATATATACGTAGCGTCAGGCATAGAACGATGAGAAAGCCTATAGATATCTGCTGGATGGGCTGTAGGCAGCAGGGCTAAAGCTGGGACTCAGGGTTGGGTTGTCTTTGTCGAGTCCAAGCTCCATGACACTCTGAAGCGTTGGCGCCAGATCGTCCGCTCATCACCGACCTGCAAATCTCATGCACGGCTTCCCACCAAAAGTGTATCGAATGCAGCTGAATGTCTTACGAGCACCTATATCTCTTCTCCACATTTGTATGATGATATCGCGGCTGCCCAATCAACATCGAGGTGAGCCTAGTCAGTTGCTGCCTGCTGGTGCTACTGTGCCGGATGCTTGAGAGTGTGGCAACCTGCAGACATACATACCCATGCTCGTTGACCGGTCACACCGAACAGAGGATTTGTGAGTACGGCGCAATCCAAGTTGAGTCGAGTCCCATCTCCATGATTTTCGGAGATTCTGCGCCTGGCACAGAGGCAACTTGAAGTCTTTAGGCAGAGAGCGATTGCGTTTTGAGTGGTGCAATCCAGTCATCGCCACGGCTTTCAGGCAAACCCATCCACGACTGTTGCCTTGCAGATCCTTCGACTTCATTGCACCGCTGTTGTGGCCTGTCAATCAGTCCTGTGAGAGCTGGACTCGACATATGAGCTGCCACTGTCACTCATCCCTATCAATCTCCAGTCCGCATCAATATCAAAGGTGACTGCGTTCAGCGTCTCTCGCAATGGATCTCCAACGCCTGCGGAAGACCGCCATTACAAGCGGCAGCAGCCTCGTCGAGCTGCCAGAATATATCATCACGTCATTCTTACCAGGAGCGCGACCTCTGCTCGAGCAATATCCCTTCCTGTTTCGCTTCTTCGGCATCATCCTCGCGCTGTACTACTTTGGCCCCGCCGCGCGGCTAAGGTCACTATGGACGCAGTTCTCGTCCATGATCGTCGCCACCATCAACGTCAGCTCTGACGAAGACCTCTTCGGCTACCTGACGTCGTGGATTTCGGACCACCGGACCTTCCGCACGGATCAAGTCCTCAACGCCATGTCCAACACGCCGCAGGACACAGGCCGGCGACGGGTCCGCCACCACGATCCCGACGTCGAGGAGACTAAGCGCATGAACGAACCGCCGAAGATCAAGTACGAACAAGGCCAAGGTACGCAGTTGTTCGTGCACAAGAAGCGCCTGTTCTTCTGCTCGCGCCAGTTCGGCGAAGGGCACACCTACTTCGGCAACCGCTACAAGCGCATGGAAATCATCTCCATCTCGTGCCTGGGCCGCACGACCCAGCCGATCAAGGACCTCATCGAGCACATCTACTTCCTCAACAAGGCGAGGGAGCGCTCCCTGACGATCATCCGCAGACCCTACAGAGGCGGGCAGACGTGGAGCCGCGTCACGAGCAAGCCCCGACGGGCCCTGGACACGGTCATCCTCGAGATGGAGCAGAAGGAGCAGGTCCTCGCCGATATCGCCGAGTACATGGACCAGGCGACCATGACCTTCTACGCCAACCACGGTATCCCTTATCGGCGAGGCTACCTGTTCCACGGTCCCCCCGGCGTGGGTAAGACGAGTTTCGCCCTCGCCATCGCGAGCAAGTTCAACTTGGACGTGTATAACTTGTCACTCCTGGACAACGATCTCACGGACTCGGACTTGATTTCCCTGCTGAACCAGCTGCCTGGACGGTCGTTGCTACTGCTCGAGGACATTGACACCGCGGGTCTGAATCGCAAGGGCAAGTCCACGGCCGGGGCACGACGCGGGGGCCCGGCCTGGGTCAACGGACTCCAACGTGGCCAGGTGCCGCGCGATCCAGACGACTACAACATCAATGACGATGACGAGGCCGGGAGTAACTCGCGGGTGACGCTGAGTGGGTTGTTGAATGCGATCGACGGCGTCGCAGCGCCCGAGGGGCATGTTTTGATCATGTGAGTCTGACTCTTTTCTTCCCCCCACGAAAAAGTATCCACCGTTATGTTACTGGCTAACAGATGGCGAACAAAAGGACGACCAACAAACCCAACGAATTGGATGACGCACTGGTCCGTGCCGGGCGCATCAGTGTGCGCGTGGGGTTCAAGAACGCGAGTAAACGCCAGGCCGAGGAGATCTTCTTGCGCATGTTTATTGATATGCCTACCTCTTCGAGCTTGAGGGGGATGGAAGAGGCTGCTGGGCCGAATACGCCGACCGAGGATGAGAAGCCCAAGGATGATCTTCGGTTGCGCAATGACGAGGAGACCACGCGTTTGCGGGGCTTGGCGGATGCCTTTGCGGCATTAGTCCCCGAGGACGACTTCTCGCCGGCAGATCTGCAGGATTACCTTCTCATGCACAAGAAAGATCCCCAGAAGGCCGTGGACGAGGTGAAGAGCTGGATGGAGAACGTCCATGAAGAGAGAAAAAGGAAGGACGCGGAGCAGAAGGTACAGAAGGAGGCATGGCGGGAGGAGAAGCGGAAGGAGAGGGACAGGTTTAGAGAGGAGATCAAGGCGGCAGTGAAGGGGTTGAGCTCGGAGGAGGATGAAGGAAAGAGAGGTGGAGAGCAAGACGATAAGGCGAAAGGCGATGAAGCAAAGAAAGATGAAGAGCAAGACGATAAGGCAAAAGGCGATGAAAAGGATATGACATCTAAGGAGGACGGCGACCGTGACGACAAGGCACAAGGGCAGTGACAAGAATGTGCACTCGGACAAGCGGCCAGGTCGGCTGAGTCTGAGAAACACTCTACCTTTCTTGACGTCGTGGTCCGCCTTGAGTACTGGGATACTGGCGGATCTGGGAAGACAACGAGGCCAAGAAGACGAAAGAAAAACGTGCTTCCAAGCTCCATCGATGTAACCGCCGGCGCTGTTGCAGGACATGACGGAAAATCAATGCTGGAATAGAATCGAGCTTGGCCATGGAGAGAAATGGGATCTCACGACGTGCCAAGAGCTGCAGGGCTCAAAAGAGAAATTGAGGCATATTCGGTTTGATCTGGCCGTGCATAGATTAGGCGAAGGTCATAAGCTCATAGCAGCCTCGTAACACAAAGGCGCGTGGCGCGATCGCTCGCGTCCTGGGCGTCGGATCTGTTAGAACAACCATGGAATGATCCTCCACCGCTTCTCGATCTCGGAGCTGTTCTCGTGGAATTTCTGGCGCTGCCACTCCTTGGTCCCGTCTGCTGTGACACCAAGGTTCACCGCCACAAACATCAGGGCACAGACGAGCGTCCAGTTGATTTTTGTGGCCATTGGGAGCTGGCTCTCCTGATTGAATATGGATGGCGTGTCCAGAAGGGCCATGCTCAGGTAGATCACACACTCCATGGTGTAGTGCGGCGCAATCAAATATCGGAAAGCGTATTTCTCAGGTAAAGAATATTTCTTCAGGCTGGATAGATACCGGTGATAGCGGTTTTGTCGTTCTGAAGCGCCGAAGAAAAGGACAGTGCAGATGATCGTCCTCCATGTCCAGAAAACGATTTGTTCTGCTGTGGCTGGCCTTGGAGACGGTGGTCGACATAATTGCTCAATCCAGATTGCCATATTGGTGGCTATGTAGAACGCCATCCCAATTGCATAGTGACCGACCCACATCCGCGACGTGCTGTTTCGAGTAACGTAAACACATTCGAGCAGTCTTCGCAGGCCTTGCAACAGCATCAAATGGGCACCGAAGGCCGCAGTTGCAAGGTCCGGGTTCTGCTTGATAGTCGCTCCAGCATAGTACCCATAGTAGTAGAAGGTAGATAAGGCGGTGAGTGAGCACACAAGAGAGAGGACGTAGAAGTGTGTGAACCACGAATGAGGCACAGTAAATGTAGCAAGGTGGTCGAGGAGCTGGGTGCCTACCGACTGTTGACTCTGTCCTACAGTTCCTCGCTTGCCACGCGTGTCAATCGTGTGACGCCGTGCCCTTGCGCCGTACGCAAGAAACCTGTCGGCGAAGGCCGGGATGAGGCAGACTGTGATGATGGCAGCAGAGCTGAAGAGGTAGAAAGCCCTGATGGCCCATACGACCGCAGAGGGCGGTATTGCCATTGACGGACCTCTTGACGGACAACTGGAGGAGAGTTTGCAACAAGAACACGGAGAGGTCGATCAGCCGAAATGCGCGTGAACAACGCACTGAGGGGACAGGATGAGCGGGGCTGGGGTGTGGAAATTGGATGGGTGCTGATCTCAAGGCCCGGCTGCAAGTGGATTAGCTGGGACACGGTCCCGGAAGACGCTCTAGGCTGCCTAGGCTGCGAAGAAGCCTGGAACTAAGGCCTGGGGGAGCCCGGCACCAATCCTAAATTAAATCACGTGCTTAGCCAAAGCCACCTAATCTTGGTCCTGATCCAGTTTCGTCTCCGAGTCGCTGTGCTTGTCTATCTGGATCTCACTTGAATGTGGTGAAGCCATCGGAGAAGTCAATCAAACAACCTCCTTGACCTCGGCGCGCCTGGTCGAGCGGTCTGGGTATTCATCAGCAGCTACTCAGAGTCAATTGAGCCATAATTGGAGACACCGAGCAGCAAGCCGGCCTCATTCACCGCTGGAACCCATCCCACGTCCTTTTTAGCCTGTCGCTCTGCTCGCAACGCTCCTTCTCAGACAAAACGGCCGACGGCAGATATCAGGACAAGAATGAAGAGGAGGCGAACACAGCCATGAGTGAGGTGGTCGACTCCAACGGGCCTAAAGATGCCCCAATGGAGCAGACCACCAACCAGGCAACCGGCATGAATCATCCTAGTGCGCCATCTACTGCTCTCGAAGCGGCAGTAACGACATTGGACTCTGCGGCGGCCTCTACCGGCGCAGATGAGACCATGGTTGATGCTCCCGCCGAGCCGGATGCTGACGGCGATTCAGAGGCTGAGACGTTGATCCAGTCACCAGAGAAGCAGAGGACGGCTGCCGATAGCTCATCTGTAGCCGGATCAGCAAGCGTACCGAGAACCAAAGATGGCGATTCATCTGCTGCAGCAATTGCGACCGAAAACGACACCAATTCGAGAAAGCGCAAGCGTAGTCTAGACGACGATGAAGCGTTTTCCACCTCGAGTCGTCGCAGCTCACCATTATCATCACCCCGAATACCGTTGCATACCCCAGATAGTGATTCAGATGTATCAAACCATATCGCATCTCGGAAATCGAAGCCAACGGGTCGGCGGCCTGAAAGCGACGCGGCCGATTCGGACTCTCCCACGGGAAGTCCAGTCAAGCATCAAACTCGCAAGCGGCGCCCAAGCGACATCCTACCCTCGATAGGCAAACAACGTGCAAAGAACACTGGCGGTGGAGTGGACCCAGGCTCCAGTGAACGCCGCGAAACCAGATCAGCGACTTATCCGCGTCACAAATCCGAAGATCGATCTCCGTCACCGAGGCCACTGAGGCGCGAACACAGGCGTGGCGTGTCAACCCAGTTAACGCTTGGCGACGTAGAAAGGAAAAAACGCGGTCGGCCGCCAGCCATTCACACCAAGAGGAGTGGTTCGGCAGATCACAACCGCATCGTTATGAGCTCAGAGTCGGACTCAGATTCGCCCCAGCAGCCACGACCCGATTTGCACAAGTACACATCCGTCGACCATGATACCATGTCTCCGGCAAAAGTCACGGGCCCTCGCAAATGGCGCGACAAGAATGGCCGTACCTTTTTGTCGCGTGCTGCCAGTAACAACGATCTTGCGGCCGTCAAGATCAAATTCGCTGAGAGACCGGAAGACTTGAACTTGCCTGACAACGCAGGCAACACACCACTCCAAATTGCCGCACTGCAGGGTTACGTCGATATCGTACGATTTTTGCTGGAAAACGGATGCGAAGTGGATACACGAAATATCGACAGAGACACCGCACTTATCGACGCGGTCGAGAACGGCCATGTTGAAGTCGTCAAACTCCTCCTTGTCCACGGGGCAAATCCTCGTCTGGGCAACGCTAAGGGCGACGAACCATACGAACTTGTTCCTCTGGATGATGAAAATTATGACGAGATCCGAGCACTGCTGGCCGATGCGAAGGACAAGCCTAACAGCCATCGAGTTTCTATGGACTACACCGACGCGCCGCGCGATGGCGCATCTTCCAGAGCGGCTTCCGCAGCCAGTCCCCGCGATTCGCCCCCTATGATGGGTCCTAGAAGTCCACCCGCCGGGTTTGGAAGACGGAGGACTGGTCGAAGTGAGTCGACGCGGAATGATCTATTATGGCAGGCAAATACGCAGGAGAATTTGAAGAAGCTTGCGGCGCAGGGTGATGTGCAGGGTGTGGCCAATATTCTCAACGTCTTGCAGAAAGCGGAAACAGAGTCTTTGATCGCCGCGGCCAAAGCAGGGCACGAGGAAGTCTTACAATACCTCTTGGCGATGGGAGACACGGAACCTGATCCTGATCCGATTCGGCACCTCAAAGTCGGCTACAATACCCCACTGCTGGCAGCCATTGGCAGGGGACATCCAGAAGTCGTCAAGCTCCTTGTTGAGCAATCAGGTTTTAATCCCATGAGAAAGCTTCTTAAGGGGAAGTCTTATCATGAGATAGCTGCAGACCGACGAGGGGAGCAGTGGCAAAAGGAATATGAGATTCTCAAAACTGCATATGACAAATACGCGGCGAAGCACCGCAAGGCACAATCGCCTCGAGCCACCAGAGATGCGGACAAACTCAAGCCTCGATCCGGTCGCCGCTCCCAATCTCCAATTCCCAGCAAGTCGGCAAAATCTGCGAGCCCGTCGTTGACCCACAAACAGTTACCGGGCAAGTCGCCGCACTCTTCAGAAAGAGATAGGGATCTGGACGCTGGTAGCCCCGATGGCATGGAGAGGCGCAAGCAGCATGCTGCAAAGCGAGACATAGCAGACCTCTCTGTCGCAGTGTCCTCTGATCAGGACCAAACAGTCCAGTCGGCGAGGAAGGGCCATGTCAAGCGACGAAGCCAGAGCGACTTCTCGCAACAATCCAACGCGGATCCTGACCCTGCTGCACACCGACGAAGAAGACTTGTCACTGGGAAAGAGCATCGCAGACGCAAGAGTAACGTTGGAGCGTCATCAGATGAAGATGCGGTTTCAGTGAAGGGCGAAATCAGGTCTAGTACATTATTGAAGCGCACAAGAGATAGTGTCTCACCTGGCCGGCTAGTGACAGGTGCAGGTGAAAATGGACGGAGTGCTGCCAAAAAGCGGAGAACAGTCATTGAAAGCAGTCCTGAAGAGACTCGTCCCGGTCCAAGAAAAGGCAGCTTTGTGTCTTCGTCTCCGGCTCGTGACCGTAAGGGTTTGGAGGAAAGTGCTTTGAAGAATGAAAAGTCGGGATCAGACACGGTTGCACAAGAGAAGGCGGCAGAAGTGATGGATGTTGACAAGCCTGGAGCTGAAGCACTCACTCGGACAGAAGTCACGGCAGCTCCCATACCCACAGTTTCTGAGAGTGACGTACCACTTCAACGCACTGAGACCACTGAAGAGATCAAGACTGAGCTGATCGACCCTGGTTCAAATGAGGCTGAGCTTCAGGCACAACGGGAGGAGGAAGCGCGTAAGGTCGAGGAGGCGAAGCGAGCCGAAGCGGAGAGGGTCGCGGCTGAGAAGGCGGCAGAAGAACGACGTCTTGCCGAAGAAGCTGCACAACTCAAGAAAGCTGAAGAGGAAGCTGCGCTTCGAAAGAAGGAAGAAGAAGAGCGGGAAGAGCTGAAAAGGAAGGAGGAAGAAGAACGTCGAGAGCGAAGACAGAAGGAAGAAGAGGAGCGTCGAGAGTTAAGACGGAAGGAAGAAGAGGAGCGCCAAGAGCTCAGACGGAGGGAAGAAGAAGAGCGCCAAGAACGAGTCAGACGAGAGCTAGAAGAACGACAACGCAGACACGAAGAGCAATTGAAGGAGCAACGACGCAGACAGGAGGAGCTGCTTAGGGAGCAGCAGCGCAGAGAACGTCTGGAGGCCGAGGAACGCCGTCGAGATGCTTTGCCAGCCCTACTCAAGCAATCTGCCATCTTGATTGACCGAAACGATCCCGAAGCGAGAAGCGGAGACTGGCTCAAACTCTTCCTGCCATTGTACACGGCCAAGTCGGTTCAAATCGATCCCAGCACTCCGGATGCCAACAAGAACGAGCTGTGGGTGCCGAATTTCCAAGTTGCTGGACTGCTTGCGACAAAAGATCTGAACCTCCGCAATTACACTTCACTGGAGACGCGGCCTGTTACAATGCATGAGCGGCAGCGTTTGTGGAGTGTGGCAAGAAACAGCCTGTCGTACGACGTTGAGACTAGCCACTGGAATACTACGATCAAACAGGCCATACAGCGCGAGGAGGAGCAGCGACCAAAGTTCTATGCCATGGAAGAACTTTTCTGGGTTAAGGTAAGTTCTTGCTGGCGCAGGGACCACAGTGTACTGACCTCGACAGCTCTCCGACTTTGAGGATCAAGTCTTTCGTCACCCTCACCTTGCAAATCTAAGCATTGGGAAGCAGCCGATCTCGCTGAGAGTGATGCCTTCTCGTCAAGTAAACGGGAACGGACCTTCGCCACACAGTCCGACGTCACTTCCAGCCTTCGCCAACGCAAAGACCCCCCAGCTGGCAAACGGCATAAATTCTCACCCATCACCTACGGCCAATGGCAATGGATTCGGATATCCCCGTCGAGAAGATTAGTTGTCTGAGCACGTGTGGAGGAAGGACCTTGTCCACCTACGGAAGCGTACATGGTCAGAGACCTTGTAGCATGATCCTAAGATCATCTGGCACTTGTCATGTGGGTGAAAGTTGCGCTGGAAACCGCTGAGGGATTATGGAATATGATGGACGCGATGAATACACGTCCACGGTTGGCTGTAGAGACATTCCCTTGAAAAACATAACGACCATAGCATACGGTGTATGACGAAGGCGGACTCCTGATAATTGAACAAGGAATGTTTGATGCAGATCGATAGTGTAACGAGCCTCCTTTACTTGATCCTGGATGGTTGTTCTCACCAGATTGCTTCAGGTAATCTATCACGTGACCATACAGCAGATTAAATCTTGGCGAAGCTTGGCGGTCCACCAAACTTTCCGATCAATATTCGGCTTTGCATCTTCAAGACGCTTTAGATCCCTTCCATGATATCCATTCCTTTCACCAGTTGACTCTTTGAGGATCATCCGACAGATTTGCAATCAAGTTAACGAATCGCCAAGATGGTACGTCTTCCGCCATTTTCGTCCCATTGTCGCTTGATCTCAATCAGAAGGTTCAGAGTGTCGCTTGTCCATTGAAGTGAAGATGGACTGGGCCTGCTCGAGGCTGGACCTGAAGACAAATTGATCCAGAACGATCAACTACCATTCGATCGATCACTTTACTGACATGTATTTCCCCATCACAGTCGGACGGAGAAGAGCCCACTTCCCCAGTTGAAGAGGTCGCCGCGGCCGACGAGGTCGAAGTCTCTGGCGATGCTGGCGCCTCCGGTGGTTCCATGTCTGTCCTCGACGCCTTGAAAGGTATGTGGTACAACCCGCCAAAGACGCGTTGTAGCCCGCAAGGGTCGGTCCACATGACGGAAGATCCCCATCGCTAATACTTGTCGTCCACCAGGTGTCCTCAAACTCGCCCTCATCCACGACGGCCTTGCCCGCGGCCTGCGCGAAGCCTCAAAAGCCCTCGACCGGCGCCAGGCGCACATGTGCGTCCTCAACGAAGCCTGCGAGGAAGAAGCGTACAAGAAGCTCGTCATCGCGCTGTGCTCGGAGCACAAGATCCCCCTGATCAAGGTGCCCGACGGGAAGATGCTGGGCGAGTGGGCTGGTTTGTGCGTCCTCGACCGTGAGGGCAACGCCCGGAAGGTCGTCAACTGCTCATGCGTCGTCGTGCGCGACTGGGGTGAAGAGAGCCAGGAGCGCAACGTCCTCTTGAATTACTTCCAGACCGAGCAGTAGAGGAGGAGAAGGACGCGGTGCAGACACAGAAGGGGAGGAGAGAGCACGGATCATTCACACACCTTCGCCCTTCATCCTCGGGGAAGTGCACGACGCTATTCTGGCCGACGGTGGTGGTCGGGACGTTGATGTGCGATAGGTGATACTGGGAAAAAGATGACAGTTGCTGCTCTGCATTCATGCATCCATGGCGTGGCATTGCATATGATGCATACTGCAAGGGACCTGGAAAACGGACGGTAAAGAAGACCACAAAAACACACGTCTCAGAGAATGGACAGGATGAGACGCGGTCGGCGTGGTGAGTTTCCGCACTGCTCGCCTGCTTGGATGTGGGCATGCGGTTGGCACGCGGTCTTCGGGCTGTGGAGCCACGATGTATTCCAAGAGCCTCTGTGATAGAACGAAGACACCATGGATGGACAGTTGACCTGCATTCGCTTTTTGTGGCCGAGATCATATCTCGGCACAGCCTCGTCTTCACACTGCCTGGATCTGTTCGTGTCCTTATTCATCGTACGTCTTCTCATAATGCTGTTCTATGCTACCTACCTGTATTTCATCGGCCATGCATGTCCACAGGTGTCCCTCCAGCTGCAGCTTAGCGAACAAGACCACGGACATTTCAAGGATGCATGCCTCTCTCTCTCACACTAGCCAACGTCTCAGTATCCAAACAACTGCAGAAAGTATTATGGATGACCACCTGAGATCAGCTCCAAGCATCTCTCGTCACTTCCGGCGCACCACTGACCAAGCCTCATCGGGCCTCAAATCACCTTCAGACCTAACTTAGACAACGCCCATGCTCTCGGTGCCTTCCTGGCCCCTCGTCCCATTCCCAGTCTCCTGCATGAGCCTCAGCCGTCTCTTCGCGCTGCCGAACCCATCGATCCCCTTCTCCTGGTTCTCGCCCAACCACGCCTTGGCGGCCTCGCCGAGCACGCCCTTGCCAAAGTAATACACAAAGTGGCCGATCATGATGAGCGTAAACGCAATGGGGTACATCCAATGGACATGCAGATGAAAGACGCGCAACCCGATGATGACGCCCCAGAAATTGCCCGTCAGGAGGGAAATGTTCTGGAACGCGGCCGACGCGAAGCGGTACAGCACGGGGACCAGAGTGTAGAAGAGGAACAAAATCAGTGTATACCCGGTGAGATAGCCGCCAACTTTGCCGTTCCAGGTGGCAGTGCGGAAACTGGCGCGGTCAAAGATACCCGCCTGGGCGCCGTTGATGATGGTCGCCCAAAAGCCGAGCTGGCCGATGACCTCGTACAGGGGGCGGCCCGAGACGAACCACTCCTCGTAGACGTTGCACAGGCCGTAGAAGGTGGCGCCCAGCAGCGCGAACAGGTCGCCCTTGAGCTGGTTGCCCGAGGAGACGTCGCCACCGTTGGAGCCCGTGATGTGGTCCGACGCAAGTAACAAACCCATGCCGCCGATGCAGACGAAGATACCCAACACCTGGGCCCAGTGGTAGCGCACTTTCAGAAATGTGAAGGAAATGATGACGACGATGACGATGGCCCAGAAGTTGATCAGCTGCGCCGACAGGATCGTCGTGTACCGGTACGCCAGCACGGTGAAGTAATTGCCCTCGACGTCGAAAAACGCGAGGATGATGTCTGCAATTCGCAGCGTCAGTTGCGGCCGGTCACAAAGAGGAGAGAGGACACGTACACTTCCACCCGTCCTTCAGTACCATGCGTCCCCACTTCCTGAACCCGTACTTGTAGAGCGTGTAGCCCGTATACACGATATTAAGCAACACGTAGTTAAAAAACGTCTGGAACGCCGGCAGGCTGGTTCCCTCCATGGCAAGCAACGTGGTCAGCGTGTTCGTGCCGGTGATACAGATCGCCAGGACCTGTCCCAGCGCCAGAATGAACCAGAAATCTCGGGTCTTGAAGAATGCGAGCTTTGCGCGCCATCCTTGCTGCGGCTTGAACTCGTCCGAGGCGAGCGCGATTTCTCCTCCACGGTCGGGGCTCGAATCGACGATCTCTGGATGGCCGTGGGCGCGCGACGACGAGCCGCTGCCGGTGCCGTAGTCGCGGCCGAGATCAACGCTGGTGGCGCGCACGACGTCGATGGCCTTGGAGTCGCTCATGGTGGAGAGACCGGTCGCTAGTCAACACGCGGGAGGGGAAAAGAAAATCACAAGATAGCTGCCGGTCGATGCTACACGAGCGGCTACTAGTTCCAGAGCTGGATTGGAGCTTTATGACGAGAAGTGAGCGCAAAACTCCAGAAGTCGCTCACTGTGGAAGGGGGTGAGGGCAATGCCTGGGAATGGACTGGGAAAGAGAGGAAGGGAGAGAAGTGAAAAGCAGGCTCCGTAGGGACAGCATTTTGTAGCTTGCGTCGGTGCTGGCTAGGCCCTATGATGTTGCATTTCGACGATCGGTGAAGCCCGAATGATGTGCGCTTGATGCGTAGCGAGGGTACAGTAGTTGTTGGTGCGGGAGGCGGCAGAAGGGCCACTCATCACAAGTGGGGGTGCCTAGAAATTTTTTTCTGCAGTTCAAGCTCCAGCCCGCTTATCGATAGAAGCAGCCACGTGATGGCACCTGCGAGATCGACCTTGACAGCGGGCCCTGTCGGCGGTGTCACGTGAGTTGTGAAGAGCATGAGCAACACCCACTTACCAGTAACACCTGCCCGTTCTGAGAGCCATTTCGACGGCGACGGCGGAGGTGACGATATACGTGTCGGTATCAGTGCGTGTCTCCCGACAAGGCACCTCGTTACATGTTCTGATTCGCAATCTCACCGGAGACACAAGGGTTCATTGAGACCTGGGCAAGCAGAGTTCAAAGCGGTATCGAAATAGCCCGAAAGTATTGATACCGAAGACATGAATACCCCCTTGCAAGTCCTCGCGATATATTGTGTATGTTTTGCATCCGCCACACTGTGCTCAAACAGTCTTGAGTCTTGCCTGCGCCCTCAAGCCTCGAGCAATTGAATTGTAGCGTACGGGACCAGCGCTTCATGATTTTGCCGTCAATCTTTGCGCAACAGATCTGGGGCCGTGGCCTCCTTTCCGCGGCGCTAGACTCATTGACGTACGGAGTTCGGTGTATGAGCAGGTTGGGCCAGGGACAGCATTTGCCTGGTGATAGTCTCCCGTCGTGAGTCTCTTTCAAGCGAGAGAAGCGCAGATCGCACACTGGCCATACGGGTCTTGACGGGCAGAACCGGTTGCATTGAGACACTCACAATACTCGTACCGTTGACATACGCAGGGAGAAGGGTCCGTGGGGATCAAACTTCAACAAAGATTTCGCTCCTTCTGGGTAAGTGCTTCCGCTCTGACGAGACGGGTCCATACATGACGATGCAACAGCAACACCAGGTGCGACGGCAGGTGGCAGAATTCGTGTCGACTCGGTCCTTGTGCACCTTGATGCACTTTACATAAAGCCGCCTGAGCGACGAGCGATCCTTAAGAATCCGGAGGAAGAGGATTTCAGGGGTTCGCGTACAGCCGTGGCGGGCCTGGGGCTCCTCTTTTCAATTTCGGCCTGAAGGTGGATGGAGCCGCGTGGTAATGCCGCCAGTACAAACTCCATAGTTTGACCAGGGCGAGAACCTCCCACTGATACTCCGTACAAGTCGCTCCTTGCTGTGCATTGTTCCGACCGAAGTGACCTCGGCATGGCAACGCGATACAGAGATTTGCTGCGCTTCTCGCGGCATGTTTCGGGTACTTGTACTCCGTACGTAGGAGCGTAGCCAAGCAGAGCGCCTTAGACGAGGGTTCGTGCCTAATGCAGGGATGATCCAGCCGGGAGGCGCGCTTGCCGGAAGAGGGCTGGAGAAGTGGGTCCGGGCGGCGTCCCTCAGCCTCATCGGGCTGGTGGAAGGCGCCGCCTTGCACGCGAGCAAATAGCAAGGGGCCGACAGGGGGCGTCATCAAACTTCTGGCGTCTCGGCGAAGTCAGTCAAAGACATGTCGTGATTTTGGTCAAGATCGCGTCCTCTCCCGCAAGTCGCTCTTCGCAGGCTTGTTGGGCTCGTGGACATTCATTTAGAGGCCAGCTCATTCATTCCTTTGTGACTCTTGGTCTTGCAGGACACTCTTTTGACCGCATCTCACTCATTCAACCCCCAGACCCGGGGTAATTTGCAAGGCGGAGGATTCAGGGGCGCGGGCGCGCCCTGTCTCTCCAGTTCACTTCGTCCCACTCTTTCAGACACTGTCCAACCCGGAGACTCAATTCACTGTGTTCTCTCAACCATCTCTAACTGCCATGCGATAGCCATGAGTGTTCACGAGCTCCCGACCCTGCGAGAACCTCTCATTAAGGATGAGAGGGACGTCTTTCTGGATTCGGACTTGAACGACGACTTTCTCAGTCTCGACAGACAATCCCTTCGACAACTGCCTCGGCGACTTCTTGCTAAAGCCGCCTCCAAGGCCACACCAGCGAACGCCGTCAAGGCCGGTAAACGATTCGCCTACTGCTTCGCTCCGCAATTTGTGCGCTCTCGATACTTTAATGATCATGCTCCCAAGCCCAAACAGTTCTCAACCAGCTACCTGAACGGCCTCCGAGGTATCACATCAATCAAAGTCTTCACCTTCCACTATGTGTTCGCATACACCGATATCTGCTTTCAACCGTGGGGGACTGATGACCGCCATCATTACCTCCTCGAACTCCCCATCATTCGCTACTTCTATGCAGGCTTCACTGCTCACCTCTTCTTCGGCATCGCCGGCTACCTGACTTCTTTCCGCCTGTTTCAATTGCTCGACCAGAACGATCAGGCTTCCCAATCGAAGGTTCTGAAGACGGTCTCGGGTGCTCTGTTTCGCCGAGCGCTCCGACTCTACTTGCCGGTTCTTATCGTCACCCTCATCACTGCTCACTACATCCACTTCGGGTTCTACGAGACGAATCGACCATTCATCGCGGACAACGAAAAGCTCTTCCCCGGAGAATGGAACGAGCCCAAGCCAGAGATGTTTGCCAGCTACTTCGTCCAAATCCGATATTGGATGCGCGAAATGTTTGACTTGACCAACATATTCGAACCCGGCGCCGTGTACCCTTACCATGACCAGCATCTGTGGTCGATTTTGGCCGAGCTCAAGGGTTCCCTGTGCACTTACATGGTCTTAATGGGGACGGCACAGTGCCAGAAATACGTCCGACTGGCCGCCCTGCTCCTAATGACCTACATGTTCTTCCTGTGGAACCATTGGGAAGTCTGGGTCTACATTCTAGGGGCGGTCGTCGCACAGGTCGACCTACTCCTCACCGAAAAGGCGCAGGAAAAGAAGCTCACACTATCGCCCGACCGCCACCTGCCGCCCTCACCTCCGCACTCACCGAAACCAGACCACAAACCGCTGCCGCCAGCCACATGGACAGATTACTTCGCGAGTCATCAACTCCCCGCCCCGGCGAGCGGATGGCTCTACCGCATTGGCCGCGTCTTGGGATTCCTCGTGGCTTTCTACCTCCTCTCGTACCCGATCGACGGCTGGAAAGACCACGCGCCAGGGTACATGACGCTGAACAAGCTGATCCCGCAGTGGATGGACCGCAAGGACAAATTCTTTCCGAACATCGGCACTGCGATGCTCATTCTCCTTTTGGCGCGGTCCGACCCGGCGACTTCGAAATGGCGCAAAATCCTCAACACGGACACGGCGCAATATTTGGGCAAGATCAGCTTCGCACTGTACTTGGTCCACGGCCCCATATTGCATGCAGTTGGTTACATGATCCCGCATAGGATATGGTGGTCAATGGGCACCCAGATGGTCGACACGGGCGACTACACCTGGGCGGCCACGATCTTGGTCGGCTGGTCCATCAGCCTGACGCTGTCCTTGTGGGCGGCCGACGTGTGGACTCGCGAGGTGGAGAGCCGATGCGTGAAGCTTGTCAAGAAACTGGAGGACCTCTGCTTTGTTGCCAAGGCGTGATGTGGTGATGGCACGCAGGACTAGGACTGTAGATACAAGAAGTTGGCGCTCACTTCCACTTGGGCCCACTGGGTTGGCATGCACATACTGTGCACTGGGGACAGGCGTTGGACAATGCAAGGGGCTTCCATTCGTTCAGCGGGCGTTGCACGATCACTCATTCTTGCTTGGGGGAATCCATCACCAGCGTCGTGGTTCCATCTTGGTCTTATCATGTTCTTTTGCTGGCTGAACACACAGATGGTGCTTGCACATGCTGGATGGGGGACGGAGAAATGAGCAGTGGCAAAGTGCTTGAAGGGCAGATACGCAACAGACCAGACACCCATAATCACATTGCCTGTTCGGAACGCGCGGAATGTCACCGTAAGATGTAGCTGAGATGATGCGTGACGAGATGCGTGCAAAAATTTTGCGGACAGCTCAAGACTCCTTCCTCCAGTTTACCACCTCCGTAGCACACCTCACTTGTATCTTCACGGCGGTTCAATGGGTGTTGTACTGTATCAGAAGCCGGTCTTGTGGCTAGGACTCCCGCCCTATCCTACACAGGAGATACCGTCCAGTGCCACGCCTCATGTCTTACCCGCCCGTGTCCGGCCCCTCGCCTCATAATCCACAATATCCTGCACCGCCTCCAAGGCCGACACCCTCGCAGACTTCCACGTCCGTTTCCCGAACGCACTCTCAAACTTCGACATGTCCGTCTTGACCAAGTTCGCGGGCATCCCATCATCACTACCACTCCCCTCTTCCGGAACCGGGGCAGGAACACGATCCCGTAATTGAGGAAATTCCTCCCGGATCGCCGCCGCAATGGGATTCGGCGCCATCAGCTCCGGCGAATGGAACAAGTACCTTTGATTACCCGGGATACGGGGCGATAGGGCGTCGACGTGGATGCGGGCCACGTCGTCGACATCTCTAGAGGACACAGAACAGTAGCGTTAGCATCGGCACCAAAATCGGCACAGGGGATCACAAACACAATCACCAATAGACACGCCACAGCATGCACGACGAGGGGGAAGAAGCAAGCCACACTTACGCAAACATCGGAAACAGGAACCCCGGCCTCTCGACGTCGAATAACCCCGTATACAACCCCGGCTGGCCGCCCAGGTGTCCCCTCTCGGGCTTGAACCCATCCTGCAGACTCCTCCCCGTGATCGACGGCGCGAGCAAGAAAACCAAGTCGAACGTGGGGTGCCTCTCGTTCATGAACTTCCACGCCTCCTTCTCTGCGTGCACCTTCGAGTACTGGTACGCCGTTGAGGGACTTGTGGGTGCTTCGTCCCGCGAGATGGGATTCCAGTCCGCCTCGGAGATGGTGCTGCTGGTGGCACCCGCGAACAAGCCCTCGGGGATGCGCATCGTGGCGACGAGGCTCCCCGTCACGACGACCCTCTTGACGCGGCGGGACTTGTCCGCGGCGGTCAGGACATTGCGCACGATCGGCCAGCTGGGGTTGATCACCGTGTTGACCACGTCGTCGTAGGCCAGCGGCGTGGCGATGTGGATGATGAAGTCGGCAACGCTGGCTGGGCCGTCGAAGGCGTGCGGCGCCGTCATGTCCGGGATTTCGACGAACGAGAGGCAGCCCGACGAGACGTGCGAGGCGTACTTACTTCGAAGAAAGGGCTCGGACTTTGCGGAGGACCTCAGCGCCGCGAGGACGGTGAAGTTGGTGTCGGAGAGCAGGCGGGCCAGCGTCGAGGCTCCGAGTGAGCCTGTTGCGCCGGTGAGGAGAATGGTCTGGGACATGTCTGTGGATCTGCTGCTTGGTTGTATGTGGCACCTCGAAGCAATTACCGTTGACGAGATTGCTCTCTTCTTGTGCTCTACCGTGTGGTATGTACTGCATGCTGAGGCTCGTGGATATTATCCTCCTCGTTCTGTACTGTACCTTTCAATTCAGCGACAGCCCCACCTTCCTTTCCGCCCGTTACTCCAAAACCTCAAAGTTTGCTCACCTGCATGGGGGTCTGTTGTGGTCGGACTGGGTGCAATGGGGATTCTGGGCGAGCTTATTGTTCCCTGGGGATTTTGGGCAGTCGGCGGTGTGATGCGTGGTAATCATGCTTGCCGTACAGGATGGACTTGAGCCTGTCTTTGGAGAAAGATGTGCACGCTGGCACGAAGTCGAGTTACAACACATCTTGACCAGCTTGATGCGAGGAAGGATAAAGGTCAAAGAAGGAAGCTCAGGAGCTTCACCCAGATACGATCCGTAGCATGATATGCTGGAAGCTGGGAGTAGTTACGGACCGCTGGCACTTCAAGAATCACAGTATGGTATGGTAGAGCTCCACCACCCCTGGAGGTGAGGGGGCGCCTACTGTAAAGGGCATCGATACGAGGACGCAAGAAACATTGTTGATTTGAGCAACTGCAACCGCATGAAAGAAAGCAAAAGCGATCGACCGACACCACGTACTTCCGCAGGTGGACGTTCAATCGCTTCAACCAAGATCCCGTCCCACGACAAACATACAGGTAGCCATCACCTGCCCCATCTTCCGCCCGAGAACGACGCTCAGAAGCAGCAGTAAGCGCAGCAGAATGTCGTCTACCTAGCCATGGGCCTTTTGGGCGTTATGTTGCTGGTCGAGGCCGCGAGGATGGCCTCTGCCCTTCATTTACGCGCCACAACAGAAACCCTTGCACCTACACCTGCTTGCTGACTGTCATATAGACGGGACACTATTTGCCCGCTCACGAGCAAGTTCAGTCAAGAGGTAGGCAAAACCTGCTCATCCACCGCGTTCAACCAATCGTGTCGATGAACGGAAATGTGCTCTATCGCTGATTTCGACGTATGGTTCGCGGCTCCCATTGAGAGATCAGAGCAGCATTATAACAAGCGGCCGATGGCTCGATATCATCCATCCGCCACGGGCTACAGCATCCCTCTTGCCACCAGAGAAGTGCTCTGTCGTAGCGACAGTTGCTCCGCACCCTTCCCGCAGCTGAATAAAGCACCATTACAGGGACATCAACATGGTCATGTCCTCGATGATGTTGTCGACAGCGACACCTACCCCTCCAATGTCAATGATGACCTTGGCTACCCCCTCCGGCTCTGCCTCCGCCCTAGCCGCCACGAGCATGGCCGACATGGTAGGCACCACCTGCAAGATCTCCATGACCTGGAACTGGTACACAGTCGGCGCCTGCTTCATTTTCCAATCCCGGCGAATAACCTCAAGGCGCGTGTCCACAGGCTGCCGCATCGGTGTCATCCTCCTCGTCATGTCACCCGAGCTCCTGCGCCGCCTCCAACGAGAATATGACGATTGGTGCCGCCGTGTGGACCTCAAAGGCTTTGTTGCCGTATCGGCTGGATCTGAAGATCCAATCTCAATTTCATGGGAGCTGGGACCAAGCTCTGCCGGCAAGGCAAACAGTGTCGCCGTTGCTGTTACCAGCACGCTCTTGTCCCGGACGGGCGCCTCTTCCGGGCCAGCGCATGGATCGAAGGACCTTGATCCAGCGGCATGTCATCCGCTCGCTCGGCCATACGGTCCAGTCCGGGTTGGCGTATTTTGTCATGCTCCTGGCCATGTCTTACAATGGCATGTCACGGCATGTCATGTCATATCGGGACATGTGCTGGACACGAGACTCGATCACGGGGCTGACGGCAGGGTTCTAGGCTCTAGCATCATATGTGTGCTCATTGGGGCGTTCCTTGGAGCCCTCGTTTTCAACTGGGACCAGGTCGCCAGAGAGTAAGCGTCACTTGGCTACTCCTTTGATGTCATACTGGGTCAGTGCTACTTTTTGGGCACTAATAATCATTCAGAAGCAATGGCGAACAGGACGCTTCCGAAATCACAGGGTGCTGTAGCTGATTGTCAATCATGCATCCGTGACAGTTTCCACCCGTCTACCGCGGCACAAGCTCGTTGTACTGAGGGACGGACTAGATATATGTATTGAGATATGTACTGAGCTTATACTCAGGAAGTATGTACTTGGAATGCATTATGTACACGTCCAGACGAGGCCCACTGCCCCACTGCCCACGCCCCCACTCCATTCAATACTGATACGGACTCTCCCGCACCGGCTCGTAGATATAGACCGTGGAATTATGCTGATCCGGCAAGAAATAGACGCGCATCGTCTCGTCGGCACTGTTCCACGCGATGTCGAACGGGTTCTGCGTCATGACGGCTCCGAGCCCGCTCTTCATCATGACCGGCACCTCATACAGCGGGACCATGGTTTCCACGTCCACGAGCGCGAGGCCACCCACGGTGACGTTGACCGCAAGCGTCGCCACGCCAGAGCACACCATCACCGCGCGGTAGTCGTAGTGCTTCGAGTGCCCGAGGAACTTGCAGTCCTGGTAATCGATGAAGAAGGTCGGGTTCGCGACCACGGCCAGCGGGGTCGAAAAGGCCGGATAAGCAGCACTGTTGACCGCCCCCAAATTCCAGATCGACGTGTTCCGCGCGCCCCAGTTCAGGGTCGCCAGCCGGTTGCGTTGGATGTCGTGCACAATCCCGCCCAGATGGTCCGCGTAGTGGATGAGGGGCGTGGACTCCAGCGTGGTGGGGTCGACGCGGACGATCGTGGCGGTCGTGTTGGGCCGGTACTGCGCGAGGGTGGCCCAGATGTAGTGCCCGTCGTAGTCGATGCCGCCGATGTGGTACTCGATGTCGTTTGGCTCCGTGAGCGTCGCGTCGACCACCCGCCGGCCCTGCGCGTCGTAGATCTCCAGGTGCGCGTAGCCCGCGCCGGGCGTGCGGTCCGTGCCGTTGATGATGGATCCGTTGTAGGACACCGTCGGGGCGGTCCAGTCGCCGCGGGCGGTGATGTAGCGCTGCTCGTCCAGCACGACCATGCCTTCGGGCTCGCCCGTGTCGCCGGCGAGCGTGATGTTCTTGACGGACCGCCAGACCGTCGTGCGGCCCAGGGTCGTGAACTGCTCGATGATCTGCTCAAAGTTCGCAGCCGGACCGGGCGGCGGGAGTGGCGTCGGGACGAAGGACACGTCGGGTTGGAACACCGTCAGATTCGCCGCCTGGGTCGTTGCCAGCAGCAGGCAGGCCGCCGTCGCCGCGAGGGGCGGAAGGGACGCTTTCATCATTCCTTGCGTGCGTGGTTTGGCTTATGTATCTCGACGCTCTTGACCCTTACCTGCTGTGATTTTCTGCGTACCTACCTTTCTGTGGGTGATGCTGATCTTGGGTTGGGGCTGCTGGGTGTTTTGTAGCTCCGCTGCTCGTGTCCGTGACGGGCTGGACACCGCTTGCGCTCTGTGCATGCCTTCTACGTCGAGCCGCATTGGACCGGCAAAGTCTGCAGATTTTGGGGGGATTCGAGAAGCAGGGTTCGATTGGTGGCCATCACGTGTGAGGCCACGGACTTCAGATTGGTTGCGGACGATCAGCGCAGGTCGTGTGCGTAGGAGCTTTCGGGCCCAGTGATGCAAGTCGCTGATTTCCGTGCCTTCGAGCTGGATGTGACATGTACGTATTACGAGGTACTGTGCAGGCAGCTCGAGAACTGCTTTTTCCAGGTGGACAGGAGATTGACGTGCCTTTGTACGGGATGTTGAACTCCAAGGCAGTGATACGCTCGAAGGGTAAAGTGTTGGTGTAGACTACCTGTATGTACTGTACAAGGTACGGAGTGCACAGTCGGTAATTGATGCCATCGACGATACCGAGTACGTAGGGGATATCTCTCCCCGTCCTCCATCTCGACCTCAGAACCACCTTCGCGGCGTCACTAGAAATAATAATTACCTGCTACGCTTCGCGCCGCAGGATCATGCCACCATCACCATGTCGCAATGTCCGCCCTGCAATTGCAACTGCAACCCACAGCTCGACTGCAGTGACTCGGCCTACTCCACGGCCGGCAACACCATGGGGATCCTGACCTTCGTGTACGCCGTGCTGGCCACGGCGTGGATCTACGTCTCACGCATCCGATCAGCGGACGCGGAGCAGCGCAAACTCATGGACACGGCCTACGCCAACTACGTGCGCTGGAAGCTGATGATCAACGAGTACGAGGATGTGCTCAAGTCCGGCGGCGAGATTACCGGAGACTTCAAGATCCTGCTACAGCACCGCCTGGACACGGGCGGCGAGGCCATGAGGCGCCTGGACTTGGCCCTCGACTACGACCCCACCAGCGGCGTCGCGACGCGCACGAGGCAGAAAGGCAAGTTCGTGCTGGCGCAGCGCGAGTTGCACGAGTTGCTCGTGGCGGCCAGCCACGCCACTGACGATGTTGGTGTGTTGTTGGATGGCATCACTCAGGAGTAAGTCAGGTCGATCGAGACAAACGCGCCACAGGCATTCCAGGCTCACATCTGTGGTTTTGCTGACAGGCAGATGCATCGCGAATTGAAACTCCAGCACGCACTTCTGCAGCAGGTCGCGCACAGGGTCGGCGTGGCGGACGGAGCCACTGCCGGTGTGAGGCGACTTGTCGACGAAGCTCCCGAGGGAGTCCCTGTCGCGGCACTGATACGGACAGTGCCGCTTTCCAAGAACAGTACAGACGCAGAGCGTATCAACGACGACGCAGAGGCAGAGCGACGGTCGGGTTCGACGGGCGCGGTGGAGAAACATGAGCTCCCTCAGAAGTACGATGTCTAGGGGCGAGGAACAAGGCAGAGCCATGAGCTCGCACACTGCGTTTGGAGGATTATGCTCCACCGTGGTGTACGGTCGGGTACTTCATTTTCCACGCGGAGAGCCAAAGTCCCACTTTACATTTTCGACTTTGTTGAATCAATTAATCATTCGACAGGCTTGAGACCAGGAACTGGCAGTATACATCTGATGGCTCTGGCTCTGGTCAAGCATCCCGCCCACCGTCAGTCCCGTCATATTATCAATTAGCCCGATCTGCTCAATGGCATTCTACGTCCGCCAGTTCTGGTTAGGGCAAGTCGAATCCCTTTCTGGCCATCTCACGCTGTCATCCAATCGAAGCTCATGGGATGATGCCTCCAGTCCTCATTACTGGTAGTGCTGCAACATTAGCCGTCTTACAATGCTTCTTGTTGGTGAGGTTCGCCAACCGGACTTCCACAAGCAGTGCTGAAAGGGTCGCTTTGTATCTCACGATCCTGCCGTTGAGTTTCATCTTGTTCGCGGCTTTTGAGGTCAGCAATGTGCGGATCGTATGGGCCATGACCTGTCTCACAGGCAGTATCATATTATATACCCAACTTGCCGTCGCCTGCTATCCGCTCGAACTCTCCGACTCGTCCGCGAGCGCAGAAACGACAGTGCCTTACCATCGACGACTGATCAAGCTGTTCAGGCGAGATGCCGTCGCCGCTGCGTCTGACCTGCCATGTGCAGCTTTCCCTTATAGCCCCTTAGCTGAGGGCTCGATCAGGCTGCTCAGATTTCTTGACCGACGTGATGCCGAGGACAATGCTTTACGATTCGAGCTTTATCACTCCAAGCTGAGCTGGAGGCCTGAGTACGTGGCCTTGTCTTATTCCTGGGGAAGCAGTGACAGGCAGAGCAAAGCGAACATCGTGGTAGACGGTCGAACATTTGAGGTGTCACGAAACCTTGCAGACGCTCTCCACAAGCTGCATCAGAACAATATCTCTACGGTCTGGGTTGATGCCATTTGCATCAATCAGCAGGACAACATCGAGTGAGTTGCCTGAACAGCTGAATATGTCATCGTGCTTCAGACGCCTACAGCGGCGTCCGGTCGATGTTGATCATGCTGACGACGGTCACAGGAAAAGCAGGGAAGTTACACGGATGTTTGCAATATACCGCACGGCACAGATGGTGGTCATATGGCTCGGCTTGCACACTAGTGCAGAGAACGATATGCATGAGCTTGTGGCGGCCGCCGAGGATATCGAAAGACCGGCAAGCAGACTCAATCACAGCAATGCCCCTGATTTCGAACTGTCTGCTCTAGAACAATTGTTGTCGCAACCTTACTGGGCCAGGGTGTGGATCATTCAGGAGGTCGCAGCGGCCAGACAGGCACGTATATTCTGGGGATCCTATATCTTTGACCTGCGCTCTTTGGAAACGCTGTTGCGTGACAGACTCGATCCACCGGGCAACGATCGCGACAAGCACGGCCTCGCCCAGAAAGTTCTATCGGTCCGTGCTGCTTGTCGAGCACAGCAGAAGCCTCGACTAATGGATATACTGGCGATGACCACTTCATCTAATACCAGCGTCCTGAGAGACAAAGTATATGGCCTCCTCGGTCTGGCCTCGGATTGGACCGACTTTGTGCAAGAACCAAACTACTCGAAAACCGTGTCCGAGAAGACTCTTTGCCGCGAAATGACGTCCAATCACATCGCCTGGTACAGCTCCGCAGATATCATCTTCCTCCGAAGTACGAATCCCCATCAGGCCGAGCTGCCCTCCTGGTGTCCTGACTATTTTCACTTTCAGCCGCACGAATTTGACAAAAACCTGATTCCGTACGTGGGCGGCAAAGATGTCAATCTGGGCTGGGAGAGAAGGCGAGCCTTTGGTCAAGGATCTCCCACTATGAACGAAGTCATCCCTGACACATTCATCACTAGCGGCGACAGACTGATCCTAAAGGGCCGACGCATCGGCAGGATTACAGCCCTTGGCGCCCTGTTGGACGAACGGACTGCTCCGAGCGCCCCCAACGAGCAGTTTTCTGCCAACGACATCACAGATCGACACATCGGAAAGGCCTTCCGCAGGCTACTTCTCATCTGCCACAATCAGACATTCGGGATCCAGCCATCTGCGGCGTTCTTCTCGCTTCTGTACGCTCTGCCGGATCACGTCTTCCAGGACAGGGGTCATATGAGGGTAAAGCATTGGCTGGACTCTCACAGGGCATTTTTCGAGGCATTTGGCGTAAAGCTGTCCCCAGAGTCCGACGACTTCGCCTTCATTGCACGCCGAGGTGGCAGGTTGAGCATCGCGTCGAGAGTCCTTCCCGAGTGGAGAGAGTTCTTCAGCTTGAATGAAGACAACACGATCAGCCGCCGAGGAGAACACCCTCTCTATCCTATGCTGGCGTCAATTTCCTCGATTCTGGAAGAACGCATGCGGCTGATGTACATCCACGACCAAGTCCTGTTGGGTTGGGCACACCGGCACGCAAGACCCGATGACATCGTTTGGCATCTCGAAGGCTGTACGTTGCAAGCCATCCTGCGCAAGTCGGAAGAGCTATCCGAGAAACACGGCGAGAGCATCTTTAAGTTGATCGGGCACGCATACGTCGATCCTGTCATGGCCAGTGGACGTTGGATGGCAAAGGAGACGAGAAGTCGGCTCGTGAATCTATGTTGATGCAAAGCCAACGGATAGCTGGGTCACCGATGTGGTTGCAACGCCGGCATTTCTATATTTTCGCACGGCGATACTGCTTCCACAAACTTCTTGCCTCGAGCAGCATCGGCCGGACGAAGCGATTGTCCGTCAACTCGCTCTGCTTCGCCACTTCCAGAAGTCCTTCGTAGGGTGTCTGACTTGACCGAGCAAACACGCTGTTGAGCTCATACTCGGTGAAGCCAAGCGCGTCAACCACCCGATCTACATTTCCCGCGAAAATCGAGATGGCGTCCTTATGCGCCAGGCGTAGATTGGCGAGATCTTCAGCTGAAAGAAGGTCTGTACCGGCGAAAGCGGCCAAGTTCTCGACGATGGCGGTGAGGGCAAACTATGGTATTGTCAGCGCTGGGCTGATGGATACCGGAGAGAAGCTCATGGTAGGCAGTACTTACTACATTCGCCAGGGCCTCTAAAGTCGGTCTGTCCTCAGTCGGGCTCTGCTTGACCTGGGCTTGTAACGCGCGGCAGTACGTGAGGTCCGCATGAGCCATGGTGAGCTCGAAGACATCGTAGCTGGTATCCCTCCCGCCAGCCACGTCGTCTAGGTGCCTTTTCGCCAGAAGCGCTGCTCTGAGCTCCAGGAACCCTTCTTGTACTTGCGGGCTGGACCAGGCATCCACGCCGGCAACTTGCAACCTCTGAGACATCTTCGTGTGCTCTCTCAATCGTCCCAGATACGGCAAGGCGCTGATGGAGCTCTCAGTTTTACTGCGTCACGTCAGAAAATTCACGACTCCAGGCAGACAGACATGGCATACTTCTTCCAGTGCTTCACAACAGCATTTCCAATCTGCTGTGAAAGCACGTATGTTTCTCCTTCGTACGTCCGTGACGGAGAGAGTTGCGCATATAGCGGCCCCAGTCCCGTTGCTGCCATGTTCCCTGGCCACAGATGAGCGTCTGAGCCTGGATATTGCGCACATAGCAGACGACCTACCGTGTCCACCGCAACTCAAACGAGCGACCTCTATGTCCCGCACTCCATGTACGCTCACCCAGATCTTCGCCCCGACGGTTTGTAAATGGAGATCCTCGAGGCTCTCATTGACGATGTTGTCGATCCGGGCTCTCATCTCGCGACCAAGAAGCATCATCGCAACTGCCTGAACAGACGATTAGCGGCGGGACCGGGGAAAAGCATTATCACCAGTCGACTCACCCGTGCCAGTGCAGGAAACAGCCGGTGCTGCACACTCGCATACTCAATCACTCTCTTCTCCTGTCCATCTCGGGAGGCGTTGAACTGCCGCCTGAAGCCCGTGTACCTCAAGGCAATGACCACCGCCTTGGCCACTTCGGTCCCAATCTCCTCGGACATCAGCCCCCGAATGATCACCATCGAAGTATACGCGTGCTTTTTGTTAGTTGCGGCACGGTACGTCCCATCTCGCTCCAAGGAGACCATCCCGGCCAACATATTTGCCCTCGGAATCCGACAGTTCGTGAAGGCCATGACGCCGTTGTCCATGGACGCGAACGTGCCCATGCCTTTCTCGCCCTGCTCGTAGATCTGCACGCCAGGCATGAGGTCGTGGGTGTCGAGATTTCGGACCTGCACTAGGAAGACATGGTTCCCCAGATCTTGGCCCTTGACGACGAGCCGCGCAATGACGAGGGCATGCGTGGCGACCACGCCCAGTGAGCCAATCCAGTACTTGTGGCTCGACGCCGTGGGCGAGTTGATGACGATCTCGTCGGCTTCCGCGCTCGGTTCGAACGTCGCCGTCGTCTCGATGCCGCGGACGTTACTCCCGTGGCCGAGCTCCGTCTGGGCGTAACATCCCGCGATCTCGAACCTCTCGGCACGAGGGATCCAGTATGCTTTTTGCGCCGCGCTCATCTGGGCTTCGAGGTTCCTAATGAAGACTGCGAGATATAGTCAGTGAATTGTGCGTCATCTTCGATGCACTACACCATACCACATGAGTGCAGCCGGACAAGTCGAGTCAGACCAGAAAGCCACTGGCGAGTGCTGGCAGGGACTTGTGGAAACTTGAGGGACGCTGGGTGGGGGCTCTGGGAGGGAAATCGCAGTGACCAGGGGAAGGGGAACAACAGGGGGGACAAAAGAGCTGGTGGCCGGCCTCGTTTACTCACTCCGATAATTCACCCCCAACGACAAAACATCGCCCGCAATCTTCGTCGCATCGACAAAATGCTGGTTCGACCACCCCAACTTGAACTTCAACTTTAGCAACTCGACGCCCTGCTTCAGGCGCAGCGTCCATAAGTCCTTGCGCGACAGGGCGTGCGGGTTACTTTGCGTATCCGCGAACACAGGGTTCCTCGAGATGGCTGCCAGAATCTCACATCGGCGCTGGAGCCGCTCCTCACCCCAGAGGAGTTTCGCGAGGGGTGTCGTGCTTGGTGAAGTTGGCAAGGGAGTGGCCGTGGGCGTGGCCGTGGCCGTGGGCGTGAGCGTAGTCATGCTGTCTCGTGGGGTTGCGTCTGTTTTCCAACGACTGGTGCAAAATACAGTCAATTGAGTTATGGGTAGATATGCAGCCACAACCCACCCCTCAATGGTTTCGACCGGGCCAGATCAGGTGAGGTCAAGTCACGCCCAAGTCGAAGCCAAGTGGAGTCAAAGTCAAGTCAACTCAAGTCTATTCCCTCGGGTCTGCTCAATTCAAGCTGCTGATTTCCATACTGTGCTGTACGACGAGAGTGCCCGTACATGGAAAGCTCAAAGGTTAGATGTGTCCTAAAAACAGGTTACATTTACGTACTGCGCCTGAGACACGAGTATTTCAAGAAGCGAAGGGCTCAGACGACATCAAGGAACGATCGTAAAGGCCGCCAAAATATCGCCGTCGGCACCATCACACGCGCCTCGGCCGCGGCCGAAACGCCGAAGCGGAAAGGCGTAGAGCCGAGGCAGGACGACGTTCACCAGGAGTGACTGACTGACATCTTGCTGGTATACTCCATGTACTGTCCCAATTGTGCATGGAGTCTGTTCCATGTCCAGTGCATGTACCTATGCATACGTGCCTTGTACATCACAGGGAGACTCACAGGTTGAAACATCGCGTTGGGGCAACAAATAGTTGGTGCTACTGGGAATATACCTAGGTATGTACGGAGTACTCAACCCGTCTATAATCTAGCAGGTGATTAAGCTTATCTTACACCGTATCTACATCTTCGTGCACATCCGCCGAGTTACAGAGTCGGTCCTGATATCTGCGGGCGACGCGTAGTGAGCAGTTCACGTCAGAACAGTGACGCACAATAGACGATCAAGAAGTACGAAGAGCTCGGATTGCCCATATGAAATTTGATTGCCATATCGACTCCTAGTAGCGCACGGTCTCACAACCTCAGCATATACAAAGATAGTTTGTATGTCATAGACACACATAATGGGTATCATCAAACAAGACAAGTCTAGACATTAGTCTGAGAACAGAAACTCAAGACAGCATCGATATGATGGTGTAGGACAACGCCAGGCTCCTCGCTAACAAGTAAACTAGAAAATCGACGCAAGGAATGGTGTTCTTCAAATAAGCCTCACAAGATTGTGGCTATCACATGTTTTCCGTAAATCTTCCCGCGCTTCGACCACTGCTCTTGCTCACTCGACTGCCATCTTGACTAGCAAGACTTCGGCCTACACCATCGCGCAGCGTGGACACTGGCATTGGCGGCGCGCGCTCGTCCATGGTTGGAGCCTGTTGAATGGGTAGTCGAATGGAGCTCGCAGCGGGACTAAGTGTCACGGGAGTTCGGGCGGGACTTGGCCGCATGACAGCATATCCTTCGGGTCGGGTGGGCGTGGTCAAAGAAACTTGACTGCTGTTGCGCACTGATGGAACGCGGGGATCGGCGAAGTCTCTTGTGCTAGAAGCGGCTCCGGTAGTGGCTGACATGTCTCCAGTCTTTGCAGCCGATGTAGCAGTGATTGGCGATGAGGGCATTGGCGGCGTTTGAGCCCCCTGACCGCCGTAGAAACCGCGACTGTCTTGGTAGAATGATGCACCTGCCAGGCTACTCTCAGGTATGTCGGATGGACCTGCACCGACATCTTTTTCAAAGGCGCCATAGTTCCCACCATATGGATCACCTCCACTGCCTATGACGGGGGCTATCTTCCGTCCGGCTATTCGCTGGAAGCCACGTTCAGACTCTGGCACGCTACTTGTTGTATCGGCAGTGAAAGTCGTGCCAAGGGTTTGATTGCTGTGAGGTCGGAAACGCTTGAATCCATGAGCCACCGCAGCCGCCAGAGGAGTTGTGGACGACCGCTGCGACATTGGGTACGCCTCACCAGTTCCGCCGCCTGCAAGCTCCCGGGCTGCAATCTGCTCGGGAAGTTGACCACGTGCTTTCAGCCGACGTCGATACCAGCGGAGGAGAAAGAGAATTATGACCAGCGTCAGTGCGACTCCAGCCACGCCCCCAACGACACCTCCTACTACTTGTTGCTGAGTCGGGGTCAGACCAGTGCTGCCTCCCCCACCCCCGCCTCCATCTGACCTTGACCTGGAAGTGGATGCTGGATCAGACGTGGGTGTAGTCGCGTCGGTAGCAGTCGCTCCTGCACCGCCCGCGAAGTAATCGGTCGAAGTTGCAGACGAGTCGGATCCAGTGGATGTAGTAGACCCTTGAGAAGAGCCTGTCGATGTGGAAGGTAGTTCGCCAAAGGTGTAGGTTCGAGAAGCACTGGTACTGCCTGTGCCAGTCCTGGTAGTCCTGGTAGAGTGTACTCCAAAGTACGGCTCCGTGGCGACAATAGTGCCGTTGATCAGGGAGATTTCGAATGTCGACGTTGCTGTCACTGTGACCGTCCGCTGCCCAGTACTCGTGGTAGGGATTGGTACAGTGCCATTGACTGGTGGGAGTAGACTTGAACTGGTTATGAAAGAGGTGATTGTCGATGTATCGGGTGGTAACGGAGTGGTTGAAGATGTGATGGTCTCCTGAGCCGAATCGCTACCTGTCCCAATGGTACTGTTGGTGAGACCAGGAATGGTCACAGAGAGGGCAGTCGTCAAGGTACCAACGTCTGTCAAAGAAACAACGGCACCAGTGGTGGCCATAGGCACTTCGGTGACTTTCGAGGTCGTTGTGCCGTCATTGACGTTGACCTGGACAACGCTGGCCGTGACGGTGGCATCCGGAGCCCTGGGTAACAGGTAAACTGCAGCATTCCTCCGCGGCAAAACAGGTCGCGGGGTATGTTGGTGGTTATCAAATACTTGTTGTCTCTGTAAGTCTAATAGACTGATGGTGCGGGTCGGAAGGGATTTTCTATCTGTCTCATCGCTTCGCATGCCCAACTCCGAGCTAAACAGTCCTTCCGTCCTTCTCGAACCCGAGTCTCGAGGATTTCGTACATCAGGGTCAGTGATCTTCATCCGCTTTGCCGGTCTCTCCATCATGAAGACGGTCTATAACAAATGCATGAGATGCAGGATGACTCGGCCGGCGTCGGTGCAGGAGAATGACGGTAGTATACGACAGGTGAGAGCTGCCTATGCGCCCCCGGTCCTGGATCGGTGGAGGTGATGACTGGCGATGGTGGTGGGTCTTCAAGCAAGTGAGTCGTCCGAGTATTTCGAAGGAATGAACAAAACGAGTGGCAGCTGGCGAAAAGCTCAGCGAGAGCGAAGGTCGGGCAAAGTCAGGGATCTGTCAAAAGTGGGTGGTGTCAGAGAATGTGAGACATAGACATGAAGGGGCGGAAGGCTATGCACCTCATAAACTCAACTCATCTTCAAGACGGTATATGATAGACCGACCTCACAATGGGTGCCCTCGTGGCTTCATCAAAGACGGAGGGATGGAGAGGGAGCCGCCGTACCGTGGTCCGGATTGATATTGAATTAATTGTTGCTGGTTGTGTTGCGAATGGGTACAAGCGAGAAGAGCTCCTTTCCTTCGAGCTTCAAGACAGCAATCACCGGGGATTATTAGATGAGCGATCGTTGGTAGGAGCAACAGTAATGATGGACAATATACGGCGTGATATTATTATGCAGAAGACAACAGGGACAAGCGACCGACAGTGTGGAGGAAGTGAGCGTGAGGGTGTGTGTATGGTGAGGTGGTGGTGAAGCAAGGGAGAAAGAAGCAGCAGGGAAGAGCCGTCAGTTGGGTGTGAGAGAGAGCGCGACAGCGCAGTTGCAGACAATTGCCCCGTGCGTCTGAGCTCCACAGAAGTCCGTAGTGGATAAGTCCATTGGCCATGGAATTCATATCCAGGCGGCCTGTGGCCACTAGAGCGTCTAGCTGGATTATAGCGCGTGCTGGGCGGATTCGTTCCTGCGCTGGCGTCAACTTTGCTGCTTCTGAGTCCCGCCCCGGAGATGAAAGCGTCCGACGCGCACCGAATCAGCGGGAAGCAGCAGAGATCAACCTGCCACTTTCGCTCCACTCTTCAAATTCGTTCATTTGACCACCATCTTCTCCTCCAGACCAATCTCTACTTAGTCCACAGCGCATCTCATATCTAACATCTGCTCTGGCTCCTCGCCCTTGGACGGCTTGCCAGGATCACGATCGCGATATTCCGAGCTGGAGCAAACTGAACAGGTGGAACCCTGTGTGCCTGTGAGCATCTATTGGACATTGGTCGAGTGCATCGGCTTACCCACAGCTGGAGCTTCTCCGAACCTCACCTGCAGCTGCGAGGTTTTGTTTGATTTGCTTGCGGTGTCCGACCGAATGCTAGGGACCCAGGACTAACCCGTCGCGCACACGTCTTGGACGGGCCTCGAGTCCCGCTACGCAATGGCACGTGCGAATGCCACATGTTATTGCCAGCGAGCCTTTGTCGTCGAGCGTGGACAAGGTGTGCATCTGAAACCGCGTATGATGCACTCTCGACAGGGCTGCCCGGTAGCCTCATAAGGTTGAGCCGCCGAATGAAATACAAGCAATGACATTGCACAACCCCGGAAGACTGCCACGCGCGATGTTTAATTGCCATTATCGTTCTGCTGACCCGGGAGTCTCCTGTTGTGTCACAGGTCGATTGAGAATGCAATCTTTGACCTGCTCGGGATTAAGCCGCGTACCGTTCACGCGTCCTTTAGCGAACATCGCAGGTGGGCATCCCAGCAAGCCTCCATATCGCCGGTCAGGATGCTGAGCCTTGTCGCCATTTTGAAATTGCTATATTACGCCTCGACACGAGGCTGGCCCTAGTCCAATCAAACTCACATTGTTGTCGTCCCCAGCATAGGTACAAGACGACCAACCATCTAATATCAAGCGTTCTGCCTTGGCAAGGTTGCAAGCCATGCAGATGTGCAGGACCATGCGACTACGGGGGAGGGACGCAGGTTCCAGACCGAGTGAAAGGCTTCCAAGCGATGTTGCAAGCCTCGGTCTCTCCCTACCATCTCAGAGAGCCATGGCTGCCGAATGTACCAAAACTGCCATAATACATGAGGAGGAATGGCTCCTTGGTGAGGAGTCATGGATAAAGCAGAGCGGGGAAGCCCAGTCTACATGTCGTCTGACTGCACAGTCCCTGTCTCCTCCACCTCATGACCACCCTTGATTTCCGTCAGACTTTGTCCCCATTCTCGGCATTGGGATTCGAATGCGGAGATAATCCGTCGAGACCTCGATGCGAAGGATATCTGATTGAGTCGGCGTTATGGTGTTAAGCCTGCTGACTACACAACTTATAGCTCGTCGCCATAGGTGAGAAGGAGCACGACATTTAAAAAAGTGGCAAGGACAGAGCTGGGCGACGATGGGAAGTGAATCGAATGACTTCGACCTTTCCGAGGAATCTATCCGCTCCTCCCTCGCGAAGCTCAATGAAGATATTGAATTCAAGGCTAGCATTGGCCACGACGTGAACTTCGCCATCCAGCGATCCGACCTCAAGCCGGCAATATACCTCTGCGTCAGCGCAGGAAGGATATCCCTTGCGGACCCAGGAGTCAACCCGCAGTTCACCCTGAAGGCGCGTCCCGAGCATTGGCAGCAATTCTTTGCGGCCGTGCCGAAGCGCCCTTTTCAAACATTCTGGGGTATGATCCGCGTCCTGGGGAAGCCCGCTGGCGTAGAAGTCCTAGGAGACGAAGAGGCATTCACCAGGCACGCTCGGACATGGAGGATCGTCCTGGACCGCATACGAGAGGCAGTGCACGGCGGACAAGCCCATTCGGCCCAGGGAGAAGAGGAATACACTTCAGAAGACGAGACCGACGACGACTCCATCATAGGCCATTACACCTGGCTTACCCTCCCGCCGCTAGGGAAATGCAAGATCTTCTACGAACTTTCAGGGCAGGGCAATCAACCGATCCTCTTCCTCCATACAGCCGGGGCCGACTCGCGGCAGTACCACTCCATGATGCTCAACAGGGACCTGCAGTCCCGATATAGAATGTATGCCTTCGACCTCCCAGGCCATGGCCGCTCCTTCCCCGGCCAGAAACAATACCCGCTATCGTACGCCAACTCTGAAGACTTTTATGTGACATGCATCCGCTCATTCCTCGGTAAACTCGACATCCGCCGCTCCATCGTCACCGGCGCGTCCATGGGCGGCCAGGTCTGCTTAGCCGTCGCTCTCCGCGCGAAAGAACTCGACGTCCGCGGCGTGATACCATGTGAGGCGTGCGACTTCATCCCCTCGGCGGCGGGGTCCACCATCTACAAGCTCGAAGGCGACGAGGCCATCCTCAATGCCGAGAGGGTATGCGGCATGATCAGCCCGACCTCGCCGGCCATCTACAAGCGGCTGAACTGGTGGCTTTATTCGGCCCAGGCGTCGCGCATTTTCCCCGGCGACCTCAAATTCTACTTTGACGGGTGGGATGGCAGGGAGAGGATGCACCTCATGGATACGGAGGAGTGTCCCATTTACATGCTCACGGGAGAGTACGATTACAGTTGTAGCGTGGAGATGTCTCGGGCCACGGCGGAGAAGATTCAAGGTGGCAAGAAAGGCAGCCAGGTCGTGTTCGAGGCGATGGACGGGTTGGGTCATTTCCCGTTCAGTGAGGATCCAGTGCGGTTCATCCCGTACTTTAAGAGAGCGCTGGCGTATATTGCGGAGAGGAGTCGAGGCTAAGCGCTGACCTCATCAACCGCCAATCGCGACGTCGGCCGATCGATACTGAGCTTGAGGCCTTGAATTTAGTCTCTCTACCATTGAGTGGGGGCGTTAACGTAGCAAATGGCTTCCTATACCCGCATCTAGTCCCACAGCATGTATCGCGAATATACAGATATGGGGAAATGCAGAAATCAGGCCCGAGGGCACACTGCCCGCTTTGATCCGGCCAGTAAATTTCAAGAACCTGTTCTCTCCACATGGGGGACCTTACGCCAGAAGAACTGGAGAGACGGACGCCGGCCAACTCTCCCAGTCATCGATCCATACTGCGTACCTAAACACTTCACCGAGCCCACTGATGCCGTATGTCCTTCACGACAAGCTAATGGTGGCGGACGTTTTTTTTTTCCGCATGACTCGTGACTTCCGCACTCCGACTCCAACTCACTCTGCATCTCAAATGCGTATACGCACGCGTGCGTACGCTTGTGCTTCGCTGCACCACGGCACGTAATAACAAGCGAACCATGTATGACCTGACCTGCAAGCGCTAGCACAAGGAAATGTGTATAGAAGTATATACCCTGTACGACCGACGTCCAAGGTGTGTACTGTACTGTGCTATAGTGTGGCGTGACATCCATGCCCTAGACACAACCACCGCAAGTCAAAGCCTGGACTCCTCGGGACGTGGTTTAAGAGTCCAGGGTAGCGAGCCACGGACGAAGCATGCTCCTAGAGCTGGCGACAGGGCGGAAAGGAGTGAGTTATTCAGTGGGCGACCCGCGTGGCCCTCCTTCCGGCCATCTATCCAGGAATAGCGGCCCGCGCGGCCTGCAGGGCGCCCACGACCGTGAAGCTCAGGATTGGCGAGATCAGGTATGAGATCTGCGATTGGATTGTGTCAGTCTAATGTACCTCGTATCGGTTGGTTGGTGGGCGAGCATGGCTTGGAGGGTCGGGCCGTTGCCTGGAGACGAAGACCCCTGGGAAGAAAAGAAGGTGGACGAGCCGGGTGGGTGACAGTAATGTTCAGTGGAGAAAAGACATACCGTCAACAGCTTTGCGATGTTCCGTTCGTCCTCCTCCTCGGCGTCGCTGACTTGGATGAGAGTTATGAGTTTCATTGCGGGCGGTCCTGTCGGCTGGAGCGCGAGAGACCACGTCAGCATATGGGATTGGATATCTTGAGAAGCGAACAAACAAGGAAGTACTCCGACGTCGACTCACCATCAACATCATGGCAAACCACAACATGGGATCATCTCCCAGTATCGTCCCCTTCTTCGCCACCAGGTATACAAAGTAGATGCTCGCGGCCGGCCAGATGACGAACCTGATCACCATGATGAAAGTCACGGTGATCCAGGGCATCTTTTTGGACTTGTCGGTCGATGATGTGTCAGAACTCGCGCTCGCGTTCCGGGCTTCCTTCATGGCCGTGTAGAGGCTCACGCCCGCGACGACGACGGGCAACGGCACGAACAGCCCGCCGATACTCTTCAGCGAGGCGGTCAGCCAGGCGGTGAAGATGCCACCCTCGTAGGTGTCGTTGAAGAAGGAGCGGTGCAAGACGGGGACAAGACCAATGACGGCCCCGATGATGGCGCCCAGGAGCGGAGCGTTGAAGAAGTCGCTGATGAACAGCAGCCACCATTTGGCACGAGGGCCCAGCTTGTACCACTGCTTCTTGGGCACGATGGAGGCGCGACGATTCTGGGGGATAGAGATCGAGGACCGTCGCGTGGACGGCAGCCCAACGGACGACCGACGAATCGAGGGGAAGAAGGTATTCTCGGCGTAATTCACGGCTGAGGCGAAGGTGATGGTCGAGCGTCGTTCATTCGGAGACGTAGAAGGACTAGACTGCAGCAGGCCAGTCCGTTCGTCTGCGTTCCCGTTTCCGTTCTCCTGATCGCGATCCTGCTGCTCGTTCGCGTCGAATGGCTCGTCATGATCATCGTCTGCTCCTTCTTTCGAATCGTCCATCTCGGGCGCGTGTTCCGTGTCGATCAGTCTCGGGCCCACGGCGAACGTCAAACAGCTGCTGACTGTGGCGAAAACTAGGAAGTACGACTTCGCGCGGGCGACCATCGCGCTGGTGGTTTCGTCCGTCACAATCAGGGCGCGGAGGATGCCTGTTTCGTCCAGCGCCCCGATCAGTAACAGCGGGTAGGACGTGGTGTTGTTGAACATCAACGCTACCGTGGTCCAGTCGGGCATGCCCAGCCAGAAATGAGCCAGGATGCCAATCACAAAGGAGATGAAGTGGCAGATGAGGGCCCAGACGAAGATAATCAGGTATCGATTTGCCGATCTAGAGTGTAGTTGGGAGCCGATATCAACGATGAGCAGGGCGGGCAGGAACATGCGCACGCATATCTTGCTGATTGCTTTTGTGTTGGTGCCGTTGAGCAGTTTCAGGTGTGCGGCCACGCCTCCGTAGAAGATGACCAGCAAGACCGACACGGAGGCTTGAATGGCGGCGAGGAAGGACTGGAGAAGTCCAGTTTGCGCCATCGTGAGTCCGTCGTGATCGTGGTAGCGGCTTGAGCAGGAAGTGCCACGAAGAAAGCTCAGCTCTCTTCAGCTCTCAGGGTCGATCAGTCGAACGAAACCGTGCAACAGGTTGAGATGGAGCACAAGAAGCGAAGACTATTTGGCTGAAGCTTGGAGACAGCGCTTATCGCAGCTTGACAACTAGACTCGATTCGATTGGAGAGAGTAACCTCAGAGTACTTTCAGTAATTATCCAAGACGCTGGTGAGGCGTGGTGGTGATCACGTCATATCGACAGCTATTGCGCTATGGTGAGCGATACACCGTACTTCTCAGAGGCCAAAATCATTAGACTTGCCAATGCTCGAATCGTGGTGAGATGGATACTTTGTCATCGGCAATTGAGCATTAACAGCCGCGCAGGCCACACTGGCCTCGAAGCGTCAAAGCTGTTGAAGCGCGTGTTGTCCTGCCCTGCCCTGCCCTGCCCTGCCGGAGCATATATGGCCGAGTCAGTCTGCTACGAGGCCGCTCACTTTCGGCCACTACATCTTTGGTCACATTTATCGCGCGATCAGGGTTTGGCTGAACATGGTGAGAGGGCGCGTGCTCAGTCAGCAGCGGAAGGGGGACTTTGATGACTTCAATTTCGACCAAATCGACTATGGTGTACAATCGCTGGTTTGTAGCACCGAAACCTGCATTCTGTTCACCGAAACTCAATCGAAGGAAACCATTTCCTGACGCCGACCGGTTCTTTGCAGTCTGGCGTCCCACATGCGCAAACGTGGGCATGGCTACTGTCGCTTGACCTGGAGCCACGCTCGGGCATCATCTTGAGCGTCTGGTAGGGCTGTGACCCAGGGTCGTAGTACAACCCGTCGATCTCACCGGTCAGCCGGTTCAGGGCAACGTAGTAGAAGCCCGAAATGGTCAGCCCCCATGAGGTAGATCCATTGACATTCCTAGCACCGCCCGAGCCTGACGGTGCGGCTGATGGCGCCGTCGTCGTCAATATCGTCCTCGTTGAACCGGGATATGTGGGCTTTCCAGGTGCCGTAACAAAACATTGCTCTTTCCACCGCATCAAGATCCACTCGTTTCCTAGTTTCTCGTCCATCCATTTCGCGCTCCCCAGGCACCGCGCCATGATTTGATCGGCTTCGATTTCCCTGTCCTCCTCTGTCTGGAAAATCTTTTGATGCGGTCCAAGTGTGCCTGGGTCCGGAGAAGTGGCCGAACTGGCCGTGCTGCCTTGAGGCTCCTTGTTCTCTGCTTCTTGGCCAGCAGCCTTGCGGAATGCATCCCACAGAGGGCTATTTTGCTGGTATTCGCTTCTGCTTTTGCCTCGCAAGTGCCTCACCCTCTCGATCTCTTTCCTGAAAGGTCCCAGTCTCTGCCAATACCGCGCATCCACATCCAGTCCACCAACCTCGTAGTCTCGACCTTCTTTCTCCGTCTCCAAGGGCTTTTGCCGAAAGTCGAGAATCTCTCCTGTAAAATAGGAGGACATGCTGTTTGTAATAGTATGCTCAGGTGATGTGGATTGATGAGCGGGAGACAGTTTGTCCGGCATATGACTTGCCGACATCGTCCCGGTCAGGGTCATCGTGTGCCAATCAACAGTGGTAATGGTTACATTTACCGGCCAGCGGTCCAGGTCGAGGGACTGAGAGTCTCGTGCATGTCGTGTAGATACGAATGAATCTCCACGCCGGGTGAAAGATAAAGACCACCTGCCGTTGCTGTTCTGTACCAAATCCGACAGATAGCGCTCCGCGTCGAGCAGATGGTCGGTGGGAGGAGGAGCAGGTTCGTCTCCACCGGCCCGAGGCATCTCCCCTCTCCGATCGAGCGTCCTTCGAAACAGTTCTCGTTGCCGTTGTCGCCGCAGACTCGCTGCCAGCACGGCCGAATGATGTGAAAGCTGGCGTTCTGTAGACTGCAGCCCGCTCCATGCCATTCCTGGCTGCAACCAAGAGCTCCAATGTGGGAGTGGAAGGCTGCTGATGTGCATCGGCAGATCGCTAGGGGTGTTCGAGTCCTCAGAGGCGTATAACGAATCCAGCCCTAACCTCCTGGCTGCCTCCAGTCCTCCTTCCACGCCAGTGTCTCTCAGCTCTGACAGATATCGGAGCAATTTTCTGACTCGGACGAACGCATCTGATGGTTTTGGGTTGGTTGACGAAATGAAGCGAGGCTCATGCGGAGCCCGAGCACTTTGCGCATGTGCCGGGACCGCATCCCGCTGAACGCGTTCCGCCGAGGGGCCTGTTCGCGGGGGCCTCGTATTATTGTCATCTTCTTCGTTCCAGTATGCTCGCAGGGCACTCGCCGTGGGCACGGCTCCCAAATCAGAGCTTCCGCCTCGGGAAGTCCTCAGAGTATTGCGAGCTGATCTGTAACTTTGCAACGCTCTCTCAAGGCGCTGCAGATCCCTCCGTGCATTGGGGTCGGCGTTGGGAGCGGCCGTGCTCATGCCTTCCGTTTCGCCATCGCTGTCGTCACTCGAATATTGCTCGGGAAACTCTGGAGGCGGGATTCCTCTCATGGCAAAATCGTAGAGGTTTCTGCGATGTATCCCATCGGCAGTCGCAGGATAACTTCGACGGTCCAGTTCGCGCTGCATAGCGGCTGACAGGGTAGTCCTGGCTCTGGTCCTTTCGCTCTGCATGATGACCCTCGCTCTGTTCTCTGCAGACCAGTGTTGAAACTCCTCTTCCGTCAAGTAGGTTCTCCGCGAGAACAGGTCGTCGCTAGTAGGCTGTAATCGAGGCCCTTCAATGCCGTTCTCATGTGTTGCGGGGCGCACCTCCCATTGATCTTGGCGCAGCCTTGGACGAGGCGGAGACGGACTCAGCGTAGCGGCAAGATCGGGGACGGGGGTCGCAATGGCTTCTTGGATATGTTGGAGGTAGGTGATCAGAGGAGGAGTCGAAGGGCGGGTGGCCTGTGGGCAAGAACAAAGTGAGTACGCTGCTACTCGCACGGACAACGCTGCTTAGCAATGCACTCGGTCAGACCATGAAGCCTGGCACACTAGTGACGGCTGTGACGCAGAACAAGTCTCCAGGTGTAATCGTAGAAGAGATGCAGACGGCCTGGATGAGAGCGACTTGGATACCCTGTACTTACACTAGGTGAGTTTGCGGGTGGCATCAGGTCTGAACCGGAGTGTCAAGGGCTGTCGCAGTCGGCGCCGATTGGCTTCGCCCGGTGGATGTTTCCGCACAGATGCCCGAAGTGACAGTACAAAGGACCGGAGCTTGTGAGATATGGATGTGCTTCAGCTCGGACACCCCAGAGTGCCGGACAAGGTCTGTGCGAGAGACAGTCTCTTCGACTACGGCATCACCGTCCAAAAAGGGTGTTACGAAAGCGCCACCGATGAGGAGACGAAACGGTGACGGCAAGCTCAGGCTTGCCTCTGCCTCGACTGCCCAACCACAACGACCGTCTCGATCGCTGCCGCAGCTCGCAGATTGCCGAATGAAGCGCCCGTTTGCCGCCCTCCCCCACTCACTACTGCATCGTCTCCAGCCTCTGGAGAAGCTTCGAGCTGAATGAAGTTCCAATCACCAGTGCCATGTGGTAGTGCTTTCGATTGGCAATGAGGTAACTGATTGTTTCCAAGCGTGTGCTTCGAGACGCCACTTCAATCTGATATCACATTCCATTTATGCACTCAGGGGCGAGACCTGGCCATGGCTCCTTGACAGTTGATCTAGAGCTGGCCACGCCTTTGTACAAGATGCGCCGCTCTAGATCTGGCACTTCGCACCGCTAGAGTACTTGTATATAGCAGACACAAAGTCCGCTCGAATCATTCTTTTAGGCTTGAAGCAAGAGGTCTAGAGAAACACGGTCAACCCTACCACCACATCTACAATCTGCTGCAATAAGGACGGAGGGGCGTGCAGGACATGGGCCGTTATTCCTGGCATGCTCTGGCGCGCGCCACCAGCCAGGACAAGGTAATACAAGAAACATTGACGCCTGTCATGTCGACTTCGATATCGTTTGGACCCTGAGGTTAGCAGGGTCACCGAATATCCCGACCAGGCTCACTGATTGCTAGACAATTACAGTGGTTCCTGCTATCTCTCCACCAAGCCTGCCTTGAGCTCCGTCTGGAACACCCAATAATTATCGAGCTGTGGTGGTGATTCCTACGAGCGACTGCCACACCTTTGGCAAAGAGGTGGAAGAGAATCTGTTGCAAATGTAATAGGATCTGAGGCCGTTCTCAATTCACACTTCCCGGAAACCCAAGCCACATCTTTCCACGTTTTGATACTATGCATCCCGGATGAAGCGAAGAACCTCGTCAATGCACTGCTCGGCCTTGTCGACGTATATTTCATGACCGGCTCCATCAACCACCACCAACTGACTCCCCTCGATCTGCTGCTGAATCGCTTTCTGTTCCTCCACCTTGGTGGCAGCGCTGTTCGCCGGAGCAAGGATGAGCGTGGGTACTCGGATCTGCGAGAGATAGGGCCTTGCATCAAGCGTGCCCAGGAACTCCGCATAGCTGGCGAGCCCCTCGCCAGAACTAACCGAGATCTGGTCCAGCCACCAACGATGAAATGCCGGGTCTGGGTGTGTCATGGTCCCCGGCTGAGCCTTCAGCCTTTCTGCCCATCCACGCGAACCTAACGTCCGACATGCCTCTGGGAAGCTCGCTTCCCCGAAGGCCAAGAACGTCTGCGTGGCTTCGGGGAGATATGCAGGAGAGGAGCAAACCGTCAGGCTTTTCAGCCTCTCAGGGTGCTTCGCGGCAAGGATTTCTCCCAGCATACCGCTCGTGCTCTCGCCGAAGAAGTGCACCTTCTCGATCTTGAGCTGGTCCAGCGTGTCAATGATGTCGGCTAGAATGGCGTCGAGAGTGTAAACGTCCGGTCTTTCAGAGATTGGAGGCGCACTTGAGTATCCATGGCCCCGAAGATCTCGCCGAATTACATTGTAGTGTCGGGAGAGAGCTGGCACCCAATGGTAGAAGAATGCTGCGTGGCGAGCGAACCCGCCTTGGAGGAGGATCGTCTCGCGAGACTCTAGCCACGGGTCGGTGAAGTCGTCCGCGAGAAAATGTGTTGTCTCACCAGACGGATGCGTTATGAACTGACTTCCCTTAGGCATTATCACGACGTGACATTAAGAGTATTGGTGTGGATGTCTGATACTGCCCAAGGCACCATCCACATTGAGATCAATGTTTGCATGACGGAGCGAACGGCCTACCAAGCCACGGGGTTACGATGTTGGGGATGTGGAGAAGAAGAGCCTGCCTGTTCTGGGGCAGGTGTGCACCCCCGACTTGTCCAAACCTTGTGGTCGGATGCTGGCAAGGCTGTCTACCACATCTTTCCTGCTCAACGCGCCTGACGCTCCTGCGCAGCTACGGATTCGAAACGCCTTCCTAATGTTCCCGTTTCTTGGCATAATCCTCCGTTGTGTCACCGGTCAGCCACAGGTACACGCTCGACCCGTCCCGATCGATACATCTGGGGTCCCTGGCAGCCTGTTCAAACACCTTGAGGGCTGTTTCTCCCGTCTTCGGCTCAATTCTCACCTCTCTGCCCGCTTCGACTCCCAGCGAGATGTCCTTGATCATCATCTGACTCTTGAATCCCGGCTTATAGTCGTTGCTACTAGGCACATGGGGAAGCACGTAAGGAACTGGCTGAACGTTGTCACACATCCAGGATTGACCAGTCGAGCTCTTGATGCAATTGTACAGCAATGACGGGTCGACCCCTGAGCGGACACCAATTGCCATGGCCTCGGCGATCGTCAAGAGCGTCGTGCAGGAGATGTAATTATTCGCAATCTTGACGGCGAGGCCGGCCCCGGGTGAATTGCACCAGAAAAATTTGTCGGGGGAACCCATCATGGAGATCACGGCCTCGATTCTCCTTGACATCGGATCCGAGTCAGATGGGGCCGTGTGACCGACCAGGAAGGAGAGTGTCCCGGCTTGAGCCCCAGGTAATCCACCCTAGACAGCACCAGCAACATCATCAGCAATCGGTCTTTGACAGTCCTCTTAGGGAGCCATACAGAGACAGGGGCATCCACGAAGGTGCCCGATCCCGCGTCTTTCAATTTCTCACCGACGGTTCTCGACGATCGACAGTCGATCGTGCTGCAGTCCAGCATCAATCTGTCGGCATCTTTCGGCGCGGCGATCACCCCGGTAGCTGGATCCAGGAATACTTCACAAACATCGTCCGCACCAGGCACAATGGAGATGACAACCTTCGCATGGCTAGCTGCTTCTTTGGCCGAATCGACGACATGGATCGAGCCGTGAGAGCCAAACTCCTGAGCGAAGCGCTCAGCAGCCGATCTGTTAACGTCGTTCACATAGAGGTGAGCCTTGCGGGACATCTTCTTCCGGATATTGCCTGCTATGGCGTAGCCCATCACACCTACGCCTGGCCTCACCATCAGCTCAGTACTGAGCACGTAAGAGTGACTGTTACCCGTACTCACCAATGAAAGCGATGTGATCCTGATCCTCCATTTTGATACGCGACGCTTTAGTTTGCTAAAGACAGCGAGCGACACTTCTGGTCAACAATGAATGGTGAGTGGCACTGTCCACGGAAAGGGTTGAACGTCTACCTTCTCGTAGGAGCCGAAGACAGGGACAGACTTAGAGCTCACGTGCGACGTACCCCAGCGCCGCCACTCTCTCTCGCGAGTCCGGTTATCCTCACCCCGCCCCCAATCCGAACTTCTCCACCCTGTCCCCCTACTCCAGCTCCCACAGCGCCAAGGAGGTGGTGGAGGATCTAATATCAACTGCGTAATGACCGTTCCCACTTGACCTCTTTTCGGATCCTAATTTTCTGTCTTCAATAGAGCATTTAATGCACAAGTCTTCTCGTACCAATCCTGTAATTGGATTTCCGTGCCCCCAGATCACATCAATCTCCATGTTGCAAAGCCCTCTACTATCCCAACCAGACTGACGAGGGCACCGAAAACCCCTAAGCCCAAGTCGACACTATGGCGTGCGACTCCGGCGACGACACCAGCCACGACAGATACGGTAAGGGTGATAGCCAAGAAGGCTGCCAGCGTGAGCTTGCTGAGCTGCAACTTGATCAAGATGGCGTCGCGTGAGATGGCGTTATTGCGAGGCTCGGGTGTAATGGCAAAGCGGGCATAGGAAGTTAGGAACTGAGCTGTTGCCGGGAATTGGCTTGGTTGTCGCAGCGCCGTGGTCAAAACGTGTGAGTATTGTTGAGTCTCGACGTCCACTAGGCAGGGGAGGTCGGAAAGAAGTTCGACAGGGACCTGGTCAGGAGTGGGCGGATCAGCAGAGACGGCAAGCTTGAGGCTCCCGTGGACTTACTGGGGCCAGTACAGCCGTGTAGGCGGCGGGTATCATGAATGGGACGGCCTTCGCCAGCCAGGACTCCGAGCGTAGAGACTGATGGAGAAGTGTCTCTACGACAGCGGGGCCGCGATCAGTGGAGAGGAGGGGCACCTCGTGAAGGTAGAAGGCCTCAGTCTGACAGATGAGAAGACGCCATCTGATCCTGTAGGTAGCATTGATGTTTGAAGAGGGGTCGGGGTGTTGATCTGCCCTGACTGGGTGCGAAGGTTGTGTGATGGGGAGAGGCATCCTCACCTGTCGACTTCAAAGTAAATAGTGAAGAGGTTAGACAGTCACCAAGAATACTTACCGCCGGCATGGTCGTTTCTATCCATCTTCACCACTTGCAGCATATTTGCCGCGGTATCGACGCCGACGAGCTGCGCTACTGCCCGAGTTGAGGTAGTCGCTCGAGTCAAGTCGCCAACCCAGATGCGCCTGCTTGAGGTCGGTTCCAGGGCGTGGACGCAAATGCGCAGCTGGCTACCGAGGACGGACGGTGACGCCACAAGAGCGGTGCCATGCTGTGACTGACAAGCGTTTTGGGGCCTCGACGCGCAGTTGCGCAGGCCTGAGCCATGGTGGGCATCTGAAACGCCCGTGCTCCTCGTGGCGGTGGGATTTGTCTACGCGCTGCTCGTCCCAAGGGCACGATGTGGCTTCCGCACGCTTGAAAACGGCCTGGAACCCGCCCACTAGATTCGATTAGTTAAGGTTTTCGCGAGCGGACTCTTGTCCACCATCCCCAGACGAGCCAGACCCACCGTGAGGGCCTCGCGTTGGTGATGGAACAGGGCACTGGTAAGCTCGGATGTCATTGACATTCCTCTGGACCCATACTGAAGGTCTAAATACTATCACATAGTACTAGGCCTAACGGTCACAATTGAAAATTGAGATGCGAGGATGGTAGCATGGTCACAATAAGCTGCTTGAACAATGAATGCACCTACCCCGGATGATCAGTCACTCCAGGGCGCTACTGCCAGGGCCCGTTGTTGAACTGTGGCTGAGGCCCAAGAACGAAGCACTAGGTGCCACTAAGAGTGGTTCTGGGCTGACATCATGGAGCATGTCTTCTCACCCATTCTGGTGCTTGGAGCCCCTCGAGATGCCATCTCGCGCAACTGCGCAGCGTCCCAAACACGAGGGGATGCGCACCTGCGCTCCCTCTGCGCCATGCCGGCGCAATTTTATCAGTAATGTGCGCAGACGACATCACGAACTCCCTTGCTCTTTTTGCTTCACTCCGTCGTTGCTCTTGAGGACTGAGCCGTTGCACTTTTATCACGAACGTACTCGTTGTTGCGCTATATTTTGATCCCTTTGCTATGGTCAACGTTCCCTTCCATGTCATCACAGTGAGTTGGCCAGCCCATGTGTCCAGTCGAACTTCTCGGACCGAGCCTTTTTCCAGAGTGCTTACACTTCTACAGTTTCGTCCGTTGGGGTTCGTGCGGTCTTCACCATGCTTTCGATCAGGATCCAACTCTCGACCCACAGGAGATGGTCCCAACGAAATGCCCAGGGCATGTCCCAGTGAGGATCCCAATGGAGGACCTATGGCAGCCCCCATTGACACAGTCCGGGCAGAGCATGGACGACGACCTGCTTACCACACCATTCTTTGACTCCCGGCCTTTCCGAGAGACGCATCAAGACAACAGTGCCAATGACCATTGGACGTCGCTATTGCTCTCGGTAGAGACTGATGAACAGAAAGAGTCCAAAGGACTATCACCAGCCCAGAGACTTTGTTCGCCAACCCTGGACTTGACACCGGTCTCAAGAGAAGAGAAGAAGGGTATCCTAGTGGGCTCCAGACACAAATCCGTGAAACCGATAGTTGTTAACACTGCTCCTAATGGTTCCCTGTTCTATTGCCCGTCATTCAAGTGCAACAGGAGTTACAACGGAAAAGGATATCATCGACGTGGAGACTGTGCGAACCACATGCGGTCGCACCATCCAGAATTGCCTCAACATGACTTTTTCGCATCGTTAAAGACGATTCCGCGCCACGGACCGGAGCTACAAAAGCGGCGCCAATATCCGTGGACACTTCCCCTAGACTTAGAGCAACCTAGCTCCGAGGTGGACTGTGGACCTTCGTTGGCCGGGTCTGGAGGATCAGCAGAATGCTCGTCCTCGTCTTCAATCCCGTCCTTGACATACTCGGCTAGCACGTCATCTTTAGCGCAGTCTAGCCGCCGTGCCAGAGCCCCGAACTCGAGAGAAAGAGCCTTTGGTCCCCACGTGAGTTCTTGTCGGCTCATCAAAAAGCGAGGCACAAGTTGCTCGTCTCAGACCGACAATGAAGAGCCGGAGCAGGAGGCGATTGGTGCTACCAATCCCCGATATGTTGCGCAGGCGTCGAATTCCGGCTATGAGCCACCAAATGGGGAAACTTTACTGGTTGACAAGGACGTTCACGATTTTGATTTTCTGGCTCTCGCGACCTCCAGCCCTTTGCCCTCAAGCCATCAGCACTTTCCTCGCAGGACCCAGTTCACCGATACCAAATCTACTGCTCCATGGAGGTGGCAGGATGACCTACGAAGCGCCCACATGGCTTTGAAGCCTCCAACAGGAGAGCTTGTCAACGATCTCAGCAAAATATTTGTCCTTACAGAGCGGGCGAGTCCGCAGACACAGTACAGCGCCCCGCCAGCGAAGGAATATGAAGACCGAGCAGAGGCATCTGCCATCGGTTCTGAAGACGTTAATGAGGATGATGGGCTCGAGGAGCTCAGCGTAGAAGAAGAAGTTGCTGCCTGTTTCGGATCTAAGTCTGCTCGTTTCGCTGCGAATGCGTTTGAGAAGATTGCATCAGATAACTTCGCCAGTTTGCTGCGTGTCGGGAGTGGGTTTCGGCAATGTCCCAGTGGCACCAACAGCAGTCCGGATTCGTCTACGGATGACTTCGCCATTTTGTTGCGTGTTGGGGATGTGTTTCGGCAGTGTCCCAGTGGCACCAACAGCAGTCCGGGTTCATCTACGGAAGCGCATTTGCCAACTCCTGCCAAGACCTCATCATCGCCGGGCAGCGATAAGCGAAAGACGCCTCCTGGTGGCGCTGACGGAGACCAAGGAAAGGATCAAAGTGGCAAAGATGGAGGCGATGGAGGCAGGCCATTCAAAAAACGCAAAGGCGATCCAGAGGCACAAGCACAGGCAAAGCTTCGGTGGGATTGTCCTTTCGACAGAACCCCTTCTGGCGTGGCAAGCAGTCCTCCTGGTTGTGCAGAAACAGGCCTACAACTCAATGATCTTTGGTATGTGGCCATCTACCGCAGATGGACAGCGCTAATGAAGTTGTCACAGGATACATCTGAAACGGATTCACTTAGGCTGCTCTGATTGTGGGCAGAAATTCTCTGGCGAACTTGACGCTTCACGTCACTATCACGACAGGTTCAGGGCTTCGATTTGCATCCCTGATGCCAACAGAGTTATAGGCCCTCACATTGGGTACGATGATTTCTTGCAGATGGAAAAAGCGTATGAGGAAAGGGATCGTCGAGACCTACAGAAAACATGGGCCCAGTGGTGGCGGCTCATACACAAGACGCCGTCTCCCGAACACATCCCGCCCAGTGGCGTCCATCAAGGAACTATCAGTTTCCCAAGCGCTGTACTTCCACAACTGCGAACCTGGGTAAACGGCGAATGGCAGGGGTTGGCAGCCGAGGGAAAGGTACCGTACCTGACTCGGAAGCAGTACCAGGAATTAGGGAGTCTCATTGAGAAAGCAATTCGTTTATTTGGCTGTACCCATGAAGTCCGACAGAGACGCACCAAAAAGCCAGCACAAAGTGTCCAGATGATACCCACCCCTGACTCTGCGTCTGCAAATACTGCAATACCCCCAAGCGGAACCTCGGGAACTACGCCGAGTGCGGAGGTCTGTGCACATCGTGACGGCGAAGACGACCTTGCCGGGCCTTTTGCAGGATACCCCTTTGAACCACAGAGTCTCATGTTCTTCGTCGATGACTTTACAGATTTCTACCAAGGGATACCTGGCGCCAGCCCGCAGACATGACGGCGTCCTGTGTTTACATAATACGCAATTGACGATCAGATATGAATGACTATTGATGATATGGGTCACGTTTTATCGTCTGGAAGCAGCATCGGATTTTCGGACATATAGATGGACTTGAAGGTCATCTAGCAGTCGTGTGTAAAAGCGTCTTGAAGCCTTTCACGTTCCAACATTACAGCAGGACATCTAACTCGGCAATGCTCGCTACCGTCTGCAATTCAAGCCATTCTTTCTAGCCGTACGCTTATGACCCTTTCCTTTCCGCAACTCCCCGGTGTCGTAGCTTGCAGACGTCTGTGCGGTCATGTGATTGGACCAAGGGCGCTTGCCGCGTGCTCGCACCTCACGTTCCAACTCGAGCGCGTAACAAAGTGGGCGACAAATTGACGAAGAAAGTCAAGACGCCTGCCCGTGTCCCGTGTGCCTGTCTCGACGAGTCCAAGCCTTTGAGAGACGCACAGGGTGATGCTGTCTGTTGACGAGTGTCTTCACTATTTCTCGCCATCTTTGCTAGCGCGACGAGGCACATGCGACCGTCGCTGATCCGTCATCATGGCTTTCTCGCTCTCTGGACTTCTCAACCCGGAACCGTCAAACCCTCTCAGCGCCGCATCTGAATCTGCAGCGTGAGTCTATGTCTCTAGGACTGCGCATCTAACGTTCATGTCTAACCCTGTGTTTTCTAGGATGGAAACCACCGAGCCCGCTGCGCCTTTCTTTGCGCCCGAACTGTTCCAGCCCGACGAGGACGCGCCCCTCGACCAAGATGCCTTTGATCGCAGAGCGCATATGGAGGACACAAAAATGGATGACGAACCCCTATTCCAGTCTGCCGGGATCGTGGACAACTACGATGGGGTGAACGAGGGAGACCACGTCAAGCAAGAGACACTAGACACGTACCCTCCTCTCGACGGCGAGGCGGCAGACTCTTCGATGATGGACGTGGTAGAAGAGAGCTTCGATGCAGAAGAGAGCCCGGCCAAGGACAGAAGTCAGGCCCCAAAACAGCGAAAACATCCAGGGAAGTCCCGCAAGGTCGATCCAGAGGCACCGCCCAAATCCTCGGTCCACTCCTCGAAAAACGAAGGGCAGCATACTGATCGGAGATACCTCTGTTACCTCTGCCACAAACTCTTCACCAGGCGTCGCTCTGTCCGAGATCACATCTCCAAGATCCACAATCTCAAGACTTGGGAGCCAGTGCGGAGCCTAGAGGTCGTTGTCGATCCCATTTCCGGCGAACCCATTGAACCGCTTGAAGACATCATAGCCAGAGGGCCGCCCCCTGCACCTGCGAAGCCACCCAAGCCCGAGAAAGCCAAAAAGTCGGCCAAGGGTGAGGAAGAGGAGGATGAACATGGGGAAGAGGAGCACGACCATGGAGACGAGCAGGCCGAAGAACAACAAAGCCTTCCCGTCCGTCCGACGCCTCTTGTCGAATCTCCTGCGCCGCCAATTGCGGTTGCGACCCTGAAGAAAGAACCATCGGTTGCCGGGTCAAGGGCGTCTTCAACTGAACCATTCGCGACACCGGCGCCCGTCGCGGGCAAAAAGCGCCCAGCTCCTGATGACGTTGTCAAGCCTATATCGGCTGCGGCCAGGAAGAAGGGTACAGCCAAGGTGAAGAGCACGCCCAACAAGAAGCCCAAGCTTAGCGAGTCAGAGCAGAGTCCACCTGCGTCGCGGTCGACTTTCCGATCGCCCAGCGCTACCCCATCTTCCCATCAGCTCAAGCCACCGCCCTCCAGACTCAAGAAGCAAACGTCAGCCGCCAGCGTCCAGTCATCGCCGTCCCGAGCTTCCTCTCGTGCTGCCTCCCGTGAGGTTTCGGCTTCTCCATCTGAAGCCGAGACGGCAACAAGCTCAAATGACGACGGTGAGGTATTTTGCATCTGTAGGAAAGGTGACAATCATACCTGGATGATCGCTTGTGATGGTGGTTGCGACGAATGGTTTCATGGCAACTGTGTCAACATCAGGGAGCGTGACGGTGAGCTGATCGACAAGTACATCTGCCCGACGTGTACAAGACCGGGTCTTCAGACAACGTGGAAGCGTATGTGCCGGCGAAAAGACTGCCGAAAGCCCGCTCGTGTCACCCAGATTCCACCCAGCAAATACTGCTCCGATGCATGTGGACGCATGTTTTTCGTCGAGTTGGTACAAAGAGGCGACTCGCAAGCGCAGACCACCAAGAACGGCGAGTATGTTGTCGAGGCGCCCAAGCCGAAAAAGCATCGCAAGAAGCACACGCAGGAAAAGAAACCCGCGAGACCCGTTTCGCATCTTGCCAACGGTCTAGATCCAGACAGCCGCCTCGCCACCCCAGCCTACAGTGACGAGGAGAGGACGGAGTATGAGACGGACAGCAGTGTCGATGATGACATGCTGCCCAATCGCGGCGGAGCTTTACGAGCTGGCGAGGTCAAAGCATTGATCGAGAGGTGCAAGAACATCGAAGAGTGGAAAGCGCTGGGCAGGAAGCCGGATACGCCACCCCGCGACATGGGCGTGGACATGGACATGAAAGATGCCGGGGACATGAAGCGGGCTCCACCAAGTTTGGAGTACGACGACTTGGAATCTGCGAAATTGGCCGGTATCGAAGCGGAAAAGTCCCGGCTCAATGCTCTAAGTGAAGTGCTTACTGCCCGAGAGCAGTTTCTGGAGCTGATCAAGGCACGCTCGACTGCCATTACGGAAGAAGTTCGCAAAGCACAACCCAAGATGAAAGACCTATGCGGATTCGACCCGCGAGTCGCGTGGTCGGACGAAGAGTTCTTGACCTGGTACGGTCAAAAAGGCGGGAAAGCCACCCTTGGTGCTGGCGCGGATGCCAAAATCGGACCACCGGACGATCCGGACGACAACAAACTTCTGAATGGCAATGTCCATCCAGATGACAACATGGCCATGCTTGACGAGGACGATGAAAGTGACACGATGCCCAAGAAGGGCGGCGTGTGCATCAAGAACCGATGTCCCCGGCACAGGAACTGGGCCAAGGGGCAGCTGGCCGAAGTCAGATTCGAGCAAGACCTAGTGAGAAGGGCGTTGCAGAGACAAGAGGACTTGGAAGAGGAACTCAGGGGTAGGGCTGTCGTTAGGGCGTGGGAGAAGAGAGGTTGAGGGCGGCCCAGGACCAAAGCGACCTGGTGATTCTGCTTGTCGATGTATATGACGTGGTCAAAGAAATCAATCAGCAATGATCATGTGGCCCTTCTGCCGTCGAGATGCAGCACTCTCTTCCTCCTCTAGTGCTTCCAGGTTGATATCATTGACGGTCAATGAGAGCGAGATGAATCCTAGGGGGGGTTGATTTCTGCAATACATACGGAGTACAGTACGTGCACTGGCAACACTACCCGATAAGCGGACCCTCTCCGCTCTACCATGGTGCCACGCTAGTACCTACCTAAGGCCCTCCGAATATATTACTGCATCTGCGTAGTGCAATACATACCTAACTATCCAATATGTATATGCATTTCGTGGAAAAACTCGCTCGGAAGACTTACAGTACCTTCGGAGAATGCTCTCGTGCCATCTCGTGGTGTTCTCCCCTGGGGCGCGCGTCCCTGTGACCTGTTTCACTCACTCCCACTGCCAGCCCTCTCTGGATACTGTAGATGCGAGAATACATGCCCTTTCTGTCTTGAGCTTTTCACAACGCAACGTGAGGTGGGTTCTCAATGCGAGATTTCTGTTACGACGTCGTACAGTAACCGCTTTTCCTAGTTCGAGCCGTCACTCCTCTACTTCCGGACGTCAGCTGAGTGTGTGTGAGTGAGTGAGTGAGTATGCTTGTGCTAGCAAAGTACTGTGATGTTGATTCTGGGTCTTGGGCTTTCCTCCTTATGATGGTGATGATGATAATGATGATGGGGCGCTTTCTCACAACATTTGCTCTTCGGCTTCGTGTTCGTGTTGTGGTCCGTGTACCGGTTCGGTGGACCCACACAGTTGTATGCTAAGAGTCCCCCGCGTTGGCCATACGAGGTAAGTACCTACTCCATGCTCCGTGCTCCGTACTCGGTACTCGAAGGCTCGTACGCGAGGACGGGATGATTGTGGAGACGACGATGCGGCCCGACGAACAGACAGACAGCTTTGGGTCTGCCATCTCGTGACTACAGAAAATATTATGTCGTGGTGGCGTGTTCTCGGGCCTTGCACTGTTGGGTGGCCGTACGGAGACCGCGCCGATTACATAGGTATCCATATCGCTTCCGTTTGGGTACCTCGTACCTCGTATTTGTGTCGTTTGATCGATCACCACTTACATACTGGGTCCGGAACAGAAAGTCCAGACACTGACACCCACTTTGGGAATGATACAAGCAATATGATTTGGCATGAAAGTCCGAGTTCGCAATTTTTGAACGTGTGGTACGGAGTATATTATACGGCGACGTAGCATCAGTGGAAGGCACGAACTCATCGCTGATTACTTGGCCGGCATGCACTCGAACAGGTAGGACTTTGCAATAGGTGCTCGTACAGTGTTCGGTTTGTGGGTTCCCTTGTGGCGGTTCTTTGCCTCTGCTTGTAACCACCGATCAGTCGTTACTCGTACAGTGAGGTCACATTTGTGAGTCCACTTGTTTTTACATGTACATCCTGTGACGAGCTACAGATTGCAAATTTCCTTGTCTCGACGACCTTGCTCCTAGTCCGCCAGCAGCAGCAGCATGAAGTCATTATTTCTCTTCCCTACCTCATTCCTCCTCCTTGCCACCTATAGTGCCCTCCCCCATCAATCTCTCCACCGTCTCTCTCACGCTCACTGCCGCCCTGGCCAGTTTCTTCTCCTCCCGCTCCTCCAGCTTCACTTGCACCGTCCGGACAACGCCCTGGCGGCCCAGCAACGCAGGCAGACTGACGCAACAGCCTAGCTTCTCCTGGAAATGGTTGATAGGCATGGGTCCCAGCGGTAGGGCAGTGGCGTGGTCCGGCATGCGTCCAAACAACGGTACCGGCGCCTTGTTGTCATATATAATGGCGGAGATGATGCGCGCGACTGATGACGCGACGCTGATTATCGGCGCGCCTTTTACAGTGGCGATCAGGTGGCATTCTTTCCAGGATCGGGCCGCCAGATCGGCATCGGTGGTGGCGTTAGACTCGGGGAGGGGGAGGCCGCAAATGACGGCCGTGGAGCAGGCAGGGGATCCGGCTTGCGGGCTGTCGTTGTTTGTGCCTAGGACGTCGGCGTGGATGGTCTGCGGGGAGATCTGTCCCGGAAAAAGAGAAAGAGGCGACAAGGTCAGTTCCATTGTCTTGTTGAGCAGACGCACCACTTGAGCAGACGACGACGACATACTTTTAGCTCTTCGGCTATGATTCTCCGTAACCTAACTGTATCGAGGTACGTTCCCAGACCTAGAACCTGGGAGCTTGGCAGGCTTGTCAGCTTGAGCGCCAGCGTGGTGAGGACATCCACGGGATTTGACACGATCAAAAGGATAGTCGAGGGGAGGAGAAACGGTTTCATCCCGTCGATGATGTGACGGAGGATGGCGGTCGTGCGCTCGAGTTGTTGGACTCTTGTTTCGGCTGGAGGTGTGGATCAGGTTACCTCCACGGCATCGTATCACCAAAGACGGGACACTCACCTCTCCGTCGCTTCACACCTGCGGCAATGACGACGACATCGCAACCGGCGGCATCTCGCAACGTTGCGCATCTCATGCGGGTGCTACTTCCTTCTGCGCAGGCCGCGTCCGAAAGATCACGCACTTGTGCGTCTCGCTTGCTGGAGTTCACATCAACGAGCAGGAGGTCAGAATACTGTGACCCATGCAGGAGGGCGTACGCGATGGTTGACCCAACGCTGCCGGTGCCGACAATGGCAATGCGTGCTGTTGTTGGGGATGGTGGTGGTTGAGGGTGGAAGAAGGCTGACATTGGAAATACTTCGACTTTTGACAAAGTTGTTGCGGAGAGGTTGTGCTAAAATCTGAGGTTGCTACATGGGTAGCATACATAGCGTGGCTCGGTGACGTCGTGTGCTCACAGATGGACACCTACCTGAAGTGTTTTGCGGGCATCATCTTATAGCATTTGCGTCCTGGGGCAGTGGTTCGGTAGTGGTATGACATTCGATGTCACATGAGTGTCCGAATGTTCCAGCTCCAGGTAGGCAAGCATGGTCCACTACATACCACTTTCTGAACCCCGCAAGAAAATAAGTCGTATGAAAAACACGCAGGCGCAAGGGGGACTTCGTTTGGCACACGAGGAAGCGGGCAGGCCTTGCCGCCTCACGTGCAATCGGATCGTATACCGCAGTTCGCCACCCGCTTTTGCTGGGATCTGGGGTAGGTGAGTGGGGATGGCTGTAGCGCACGCGGACAGTGTGATAGATATAGAAGCGGGGGTTGTGGTTAGGGGACCTGGTCGAGTCTGACAGTCTCATATTGCCCCCGTCTGCTGGTAAACACAACAGCCGCGGGTTCCTGCGACAGATAAGCTCAAAGTTACGCAGTCTCGACTGGTGGACTGATGTTCGCTCATAGTATCCGGGCAAGAGCATGGATCCGGCTGGAGTCTAGATTTTGAGAGAGTCGCCATGCTGGGACCGACGACTTACCTGACAGTAATCCTCGGTACAAACCTCGGAAGACAACCAAGCGGAAGGTGGAAACGACGAGTTTGGGATCGAGGGGGATGTAGTGGATGCTGACGTACTGCGTCAAAATAGCCGACCGTACCTCTGGGGTGGGCGGCATGGCGCAATGGGCCAAACCTCTCGCGACGATTCCGACTTCACTCCCTGTTTCGCTCAATGTTTCCTCACCAGAAGTTCAATTGTCGTGGTTGTGCTGTTGTCACGATGAGCACCAGTTGCCTATGCGAATACAGCCAGCGCTATATATTACCTCAGGTTGCAATCCTCATCCCCGCCTGTGTCTAGTTGGCACTTGGGACTTAGCAGTGAAGAAGGGCTTTGCAGATTCGGTCTCGAAGGGGTTCCTCCGAGACCTCGACTTACACCTAGGATGACTCTATATCAGTGCATAGTGTGCTCACGATCATTTAAAAGAAATGACCACTTGCGCAGGCATAAGAGAAGCCATGTGGCGGACCGACCCTTTACTTGTCCGATTTGCGTTCGATCATTCACAAGGCAGTAAGGGCAATGGTGCTCCGCGAGATATATATCGAGAATGCTAATCATAAAGGGTGGCCGTAGAGACTCACTACTGCGACATCTTTCGTCTCATGCCAAATCACCAGCCCGAAGCAGCCAGCTGAAGCAAGGCAACCATGACGATGAGTCCCACCAGTTAGACGCATCCGCCGACGAGCCCACCCAAGTACTGCACGATGCCACAACGCTTCCTGAGCCATGCGAGTCCATTTCAGATCAGAACGCCGCGGCCAAGCTCCTAAATATGCCCGGCGCTACCTCGAGCGCCAATGTCGAGGATGAAACGGATATTGACGTTCCGCCGGAGCTCGCTGGAAACTACCATGGTCCGGTTTGTGTCAGACCTGACCACGACGACCACAGGATCAACGTTAGCCTGGACCACCGCGATTCCCTGGAGGGCGCCTCGAACTACGCCATTGCTATACGATCTGCTGAAACGTGCGGTAGCTCGGGTCAAAATTACGATTTAGACATCGTCCATCAACGTCACAGCGCGAGAATTGATATTCAACCAGATCTGCTTGAGCTGCCTGAAGCGCTGTATAGTAAAGCAGTCGATGTGCACGCGAGAAGATGGTTGAATGACTTTTGTGCTGGAGATCGGGAGGGCCCCGAGTGATGTTAAATTTCGATCGGTGCACCGACCATGGCCTCGATCTTCGACTTCAACCGGAATACAGCAGGCCGAGTCAGACTAACAGGCCTACCGACATCCACTTGCCGTAAGTTGGGGAAGCGTTTTACTTTCCACCCTGACGCTGCGGTATCAGCATATAGGCAGGGATAAGCTTCGAAGAACCCGTCGTCCAATTTCTGTGTGTCAAACTCGTCATACTGGAGATCATATGCTCGTGATAGAGCCCGCAACTCCGGCGTGCGCAGAACAGGCCTCTTCTCCAAGCCGGGTTCTGCTGCTAAGCGGTTTGTGCTTCTGACAATCTCCAAACAAACAACATCCCAGACACGGAACGAGGTCTCATCGCTCACTTCCTCGATGATCCTGCGGCTCGAATCGAGAACATCCTGTTGGAACGATTGCCTTCTCCGTCCCAATCCTCTCCGGTGTGCGACAAGATTGTGGATCGCCACCCTGAATAGGTCATCAAGGTCTATCTGGTCCTGGAACTTTATTGCCATATCTCTGACATCTGGCCACGGCATCCAGTCGATCATTGGGGAATGAGGTATCGCCAATTGAGCCCTCGTCGGACGGTACGCCGGAGGTAGCTGCGTGTACGACCGCTCGCAAGGGAAATTTCGCCAGAGTTCGGCATAGAGAAAGCCTCGAAAGGTAGCCTAGTCGACACCAGAGCCAGTCAGATTCCAGTACCCTTCAGCCGCTGGCCACGCCTCACGCACCACCCACAGCACTGCTTCCGCAGTTATAGCCCGTTGCCGGGCATGACTGGAATGATCAGCGATGTCGAAGAGCAAAGCCGTTTCACTCGCTTACTCCAGGACAGTTTTCTCCGAGCAGCAACGGACCAGTTGCCGTTGTGCAGTGATATACATGTCCATTCGGGACCTTGGCAGACTCGTGTTATATCCCATGACCAGATTAAGCCCTGACAGAGGTTGGACGAAAGGCTGGTCAAGCAAACTCGTTCGACCGGAATATTGGAAAGGTCTTTTCCTCTTGAGATTCGAATTTTCAGGCCAAATTCTGTCACACTCGTCTTCAAGCTCTGACTCGCGCCCTGATGATGATGCTATCTGGTGATCGTGCGTACATTTCTGGTTCTGTACCAGCAGGTCAACATTGGGAGGTGTGGCTCCTCGTTGCTGGTGGAGAGGCAGGCGCCGTGCTCGGGTGTGTGAATGTCTCTGTTGAAGATGCGCGTCCGGCTGCCGCCTGTTCGGTTCGGTGACGGCTTCGACGACTGCCTCAGTACTGTCCTCATCGTCGAGGTAGTAGAAACTTTGAGAATCGTCTCGGACCCACCGTCCCGGCATTATCGCATCGGATCGTTTCCTTCTCAGTGGACTTCAACTCCTCCGTCCCGAGGCCTGAAGCCAGCGCTCAATTTCATTGCGCCTAAGCAGCAATCAATCGAACCAGGTCTGGATTGATTTACACCAACGAGATAGTGGGAACGTTAACAGGTCGTTCGGGCACACCTAGCTTGGCGCCCCGCGGGAGATCAGCTTGATGCGGGGTTCTCCAGGATTCCGATGTTCCAGCTCGCTTCTGGAGGCAGCAACATGACGAGGACGTGCCAAATGCGCCGCGCACCAAAAGGGCTATCTCGGGGTTTGCAGCTTCCATGTTCTTTAAGCATAACGCACGATATCAACCAATGAGACATGCACCAATTACGGCTTGGACACAACCAGTTCTGGCACCATTCCCCAGAATGGTTGAGCCAGCCTTCTCCCCTGATCCGGTGCCGCAACCGAGGGATCCGCCACCCCACAGGCTGCTTCGTCGGTTCCGTGTACTTCGGACGTGTAATCGATGATCAGTGCCCCGTTTGAGTGGCCTTACGTCTATATAGACTACCAGGCTAACTAGGAGCATCGATTATGAAGCTTTCTACAAGAGCCTACGGACGATCGAGGAAATTGCTCTTTCAAGCTCTCCGCCGTACGTTTTCAACTGCTGAGTTGGGCAGATCTCAACCGATATGGCGCAAGAAGCAGGTAGCGCGGACGGCCCCTCGGAAGTCGACGTCCTCATAGTTGGAGCAGGCCCGGCAGGGCTCATGATGGCAAATTGGATGAGCCGATGTGGTATCAGGACGAGGATCGTGGACAAACGAGGGACCAAGGTACACAGGCTTCGCCGATGATCTCTCGCGACGCAAGAAGGCTCACTCACTGCATCAGATATACAATGGTCAGGCAGATGGACTCCAGTGCCGTACACTGGAGATATTCGACAGTTTCGACTTTGGGCACCGTGCTTGGATAGAATCGAACCACATGCTGGAGATCTGTTTGTGGAATCCCGACGCGAAGACAGGAATCATTCATCGCTCCGACCGCATCCCCGATACCATTCCCAATATTTCGAGATTTCAGCAAGTCGTTCTACATCAAGGTCGCATCGAGCGGTTTTTCCTGGACTCTATCTCGGAAAACTCCAAGAGGACGCTGAAAGATGTCCCAGGCTGGGAGGATGGCATTAAAGTTGAACACGGCGTGCTCCCGACTTCTCTCGAATTTGACGAGACCCTGGCTGAAAACACGGATGCCTATCCAATCACTGTGAAGCTTCGGCATCTGAGCGAGGAGGAGGCAACGCCCAAGCAGTCTGCTACAAGCCTGAACGGCTCCGGATTGCAGGACGGGCTGTTTCGGAGCAACCTCTCCTCTGACGATACCCAGGAACTGCTTGACAAGACGAAGCTACTGCAAGCAAAGGCAGGAAGGGAGGAAACGGTGAAGGCGAAGTATATGCTCGGCGCGGATGGTGCCCACAGCTGGGTTAGAAATCAACTCGGCTTCAAGCTCCAGGGAGAGAGTACTGATTACATTTGGGGAGTCCTTGACATCGTACCTATCACGGACTTTCCTGACATCCGAATGAGGTGCGCTATCCACAGCGAGAGCAGTGGGAGCGTCATGGTCATCCCGAGAGAGAACAAGTTGGTACGATTATACATCCAACTAACGACAACCGAGAATGCCGGCGGTGGCCAGAAGGCGGACCGGAGCAAGATCAACCCAGAGTCGATCCTTGCAAGCGCCCAGAGAATCTTGAGACCATACAAGATCACTTATCGCTACTGCGATTGGTGGACAGCGTACCAGATTGGCCAGCGGGTAGGCGACAGCTTCAGTCTCAAGGAGCGAATATTCCTGGCAGGTGACGCCGTGCATACTCACAGTCCGAAGGTATTTCCTCCGGTCGCCCAGCTATGGAGAGTATGACTGATACAAGAGGCAGGCTGGTCAAGGTATGAACGTGAGCATGCAGGACGGTGAGGACAATTCTTCCCCATAACAAGGATATTGCTAACACGTTGTCCCAGCTTTCAACCTAGGCTGGAAAGTCGCGAGCGTCGTCAACGGCACCAGCAACCGCTCCATCCTCAAGACCTACCAATCGGAACGCCGCAGAATAGCCCAAGACTTGATCGACTTCGACCACCGGTTCTCGCGGCTCTTCTCCGGCCGACCTGCCAAAGACGTCCTCGACGAGGAAGGGATCTCCATGGACGAGTTCAAGCGCGCGTTCGAAAAGGGCAATCTCTTTGCCAGCGGCGTGGCCGTCGACTATGGCGCCAGCATCGTTGTCGCCAAGTCCGGGGACAGCACGAAGCAAGGCGATGGCACAGAAGTCCTCGGCGCGGAGAAGTTGCGGGTCATCAGCAACCAGGGTCTGGCGGCGGAGATCAAGGTTGGTATGAGAATGCCGTCCTTCAAAGTCCTCAACCAAGCCGATGCACGACCGTGGCACTTCCAGGAATTGCTGAAGAGCAACGGCACGTGGCGCGTCGTCGTCTTTGCAGGCAATATCAAGATCCCAGACCAGATGGCCAAAATCAACAGGTTGGGCGAAAAGCTCTCCTCTTCAGCATCCTTCTTGACCCGCTTCACGCCGCCCAACAAGCGGTACGACTCCGTCTTCGAACTCCTCTCGGTGCACTCGGCCCCTCGGCAGGAAGTCACCATCTTCGACTTCCCGCCTGTCTTCCATCCTTGGGACGACAATGACGGCTGGGATTACTGGAAGATCTTTGTCGATGATGTCTCTTACCATGAAGGGTATGGCGACGCGTACAACAATTACGGCGTCAACAAGGAGAAAGGCTGTGCTGTTATTCTCCGGCCGGATCAGTATGTCAGTTGGGTCGGGGAGGTGGATGACTACGAGAGCATGGAAAAATTCTTCAGTGGATTCATGGTTGAGCAGCCAGGTGGACGGGATCGCGTGGGAGTGAATGGGTGGGAGGGAATGTCTCGCGAGATCAATAGCATCGCATTGCCAGCCACGGATGAGGCTGTCGTAGGGACGGCTGCCGCGTGAGCTACAGTAGCTGAGCCTACCTATGTCGCGTAACAGGAAGACGTAAATGGTGTCGTCGAGCGGAAGACCACGTCCTCTCAAGAGTAGGAGCCTGCTGGCACAAGAAGAAGTATACCATGTAAAACAAGAAATTTTCATTCGCAGGCCGACCTGAGCTGGTTTCTGCTTCCTTAGAAGAACCGGCGCCACTGGGTCGACGAAAGTCGCTGGGCTTGACTGGTGCCCTCGGTCGTTGGTGAAGCCGAACCTTGCTGTTGTCCGACTCCCTGGAGCCGTTCTTGACTTGGTGTTTGCGGTTGATGTGGTGGTGATGAATCTACCGTTCCAATAGCAGGAGAGCCCGAGCTGGACATACGCTCCAGGCGAGCACTGATGACCCCGGCGGAAGGCAAAAATTGTGGCTGCTGCTGCTGCTGTGACATCGATGTATCCGACAATGGCTTCCCAAAGACCAGCGTTTCCAAATCCGCCCTCTTCTTCTCGAACCATCCAAGCCTCTGCGCTTCAGAGGCCAACGGTAGTTGCGCCCATTCCTCCAGACTGGACAGCTTCGCTTGATGCGTGGCGTGGCTCGCGAGCAGCTCGCCGGAAATTGTCGAGGTGTGTCCACTAAGAAACTGGGAACCATTATCCCTTTGACGCGGCGAATGTTGAACGCCCTCGCACCGGGAGAGTAATATTAAGGTATCGAATAGCGCGAGCTCAGTCTCGAGAAGCCGCTTCTCAAGACCCGCGATGTAGCCGGGTGGGAATCCGCTGTAGGGACACGGGGGCGCTCTCAAGTTAATGATATATTCTCCACCACTTGTATACCCCTGAAGCGGCATTACTCACCGTTTGTTGCTCTCTGGATACGTGCATGAAGCACCGACGCTGAGGCATTGAGTACATGCTGGTCTTGCAGCCAACGTTAGCCAGAAGTCAGCAAATGGGGACTGTTGAGCGTTCACTCTTTCTTGTCGCACTGGCGGTGAATTAGTACAAAGAATTTCCCCTGCGGGAGATTGGGAGAAGAGCCGACCTTGCACTTTTTACTGCGGCATGATTCACATGCAATGGCACCTGGTCTTGGTTCAGAGCCAGGTCGACTGGCCATTATGGCGTGGTGGATGATGACCTGGGCGCGACGAAGACTTTGTCCGGGCAGATGTTCGCTATCCCCCGGGCAGACCCCAAACTAGCCTCAGACGCTTATCGATAGGCACGCCCGGGCATAGTTTCCTCCAAGCGTGAACTGACGTCAGCTCAGCTTGACGGGCTGCCTCGGCATGTCCCCAAGGCCCCAGGTTCTTCCACCAACCTACCTGTCTTCTCTTTGCGGCAAGAGTTCCCTCCTGCTTCTAGGTGAGCGTCGGCGATGGACGCGTCGCATCGCATACCCTCGCCTCCGAACGGCGATAACGGTGTCGAGGAGACTCGACCCACCAAGCGACCGAGGTTGAATCCGTCGATTGAAGTGGGTTTCATGCGAGATGGCTCTGGTCGAGACTCTGCCAGTTTCGTCGGCAGTGCTAGTGGCATACACTTCATCCGTTCCGTCTATGGTGCCCTGAACGCGCGGTCAAGCTCAAGAAAACTTCCAGGGGAGACACCTGAGAGCAACATCGTGCCTGGAGAGGACGACAGACTCAACAACGGCCCTGAGAGTGGGCCATCTAAACCGTTATGGCAATCCCACGAAGTCGAGTGGCATGTGGACGAAACAACTTCGGGCACCTTTGATGATCTTATTGACTGGACCAGCAGTTACTTCGACGTCTGGCATCCGCCATTCCCCTTTCTTCATGCCCCAAGCATTTTGGAGAAATTCGAGGCCGTGGCACACCGTGGCCTCACAGCGGTGAACCCATTCGATGTTACAATCATCAAAGCCGTGGTCTCTATTGCCCTCGCTGACCGGCGCCAGACGAACACTGTTAGCAGACCTGTCCCCAAGGCCTTGGTCTTTACCTCGTTCGATGAGGCACTCAACAGCGTCCATGCTGTGATCTCGAAACCAGCCACCATGCAGGGGCTTCAGGCCGCTGTATGTGTGCAACTGTTTCTAGTCTCAATGCTGCGCCTCAATGCCGCTTCGAGACTTGGCGGCCTGATCATCAGGGTGTTGTTCCAACTGGGTTTGCATCGCTGTCCTGCGCGGTTCGCGTCCTTCAAGCCGGAAGAGCAGCAGCTTCGGAGACGCCTCTTCTGGTCGATATACTGCATTGATCGTCACATCTGCCAGGCATTAGGTCTCCCACTGACGATCCGTGATGATGACGTGGACGTATGTTACCCGGACGATGAGACCCATTCCCTCCAGCGAAGCAACGGCTCAACATCGAGGCCTGACAGCCCTTTGCCCGATGCTTCGTTGCAGCAGGATGGCCGCCTCAGGCTTCTGACACTGATAGCAAAGCACGCAGAAATCAGAGGCCTCATAATGGAACTTCGGAACAAAAGAGTGGAATACCGAGCAGAAGGCTGGGACAAAGCAGTCTTGATCAATGCAAAACTGACGCAATGGTGGAACCAAGTCGAGGATTCTATCGAGCAGGCCGAGTTACACGAGACACCATTGTCGGATCTCCATCAGACAGTCTTGAAAGTGCTCAAACACGAATCCGTCATTTCGCTCAATCGTCCTCTACTGGCTGCGTCGAAGACCAGTGCAAATTATGCGGCCGCCTTGCAGTCTGGCATCTCCTCTTCAAAGTCTATTATCAAAGCGCTGAACATGGTTGCTCATTCGGTGATGCCGGCTTACGACCAACCCGAGCGTACTCGAAACGCACATTTTCCTATGTTTTGGCCCTCCTTTACATGGTCGATTTGGATGAGCGCGTTCATCATATTGTATGCTGCACTGGAATCCGAGATTGATTACAATATTGCAGTCCGGTAAGTCTGTATCGGCGAGGTTTACACAGGCACCTGGCCTGGAGCGGTCGAGTCCGCTGACATGGGTGCAACAGGAACACAGATCGAGCGCTGCACGTTCTAACGACTCTAGCCGCGAGGGGCAACGTCTGGCCCACAGCATGCGCTGTCGCCATCCGGGACCTTCGCTCGACATTGGACGAAACACGCCAGGAACAATCTATGGGTCAGACTTCTGGTCGGCAATCATCAGCCCGTGATGGCTCCGTAGCAGCCATCCATCCATCTACAGCGCAGCCCGTCAGTTCGGCTGCTATGTCACCGCCACATGTCCCGACAAAGGATCACAATCAGCAAGCCTCGAGCATCCATGGCGTTCCAGCATCTTGCGAAACTCCTTCACTTGAAGCAAATAATCCACAAAGGGCGCTCTACGCCGAAGCCATGCCTGGGAACTCGTGGCTCGAGCTGAGCATCGGCATGGATCTAGGAACCGAGTTGCCCATGTTTCCAAATGATGGACTTGATCCTCTTCAAGGTTTCGATATCCCGTTTTGGGTGGGCCAAGACAACTATGCAACGTGGATGGGCTCATGACCAGAAGCTTGTTTGAAGGTGCAGTTCTCACTCCTTAAAGGTGAATGTGACTACCGAGAAACGCCCCCGTTCTCGCCGCAGAGCCCACCGGCGTCGGATCCATGGACTAGATCACACAGAAACACCACAAGGTAGCGAGAGCGTCTGCCGCTACGTCAAAGTCAAGCCAGACATGGAGTCGCAGCCCCTTATTCTGTTAACAATCAGCGGGTACAACACACTAAATGGTCCAGATATCTGGTAAGTATGCGGAGGAACAAAACCCGGTATTTCTTCGTCCTCCTGCATCAGCTTTCGTCTGGTTTGTTCTGGCAGAATCACCGGACCCAGGGCGTGGCATTGGCGATGGGCATGAATGCAAATCAGAGTTACTGACCTGACCCGACGGCAAGGTTTAAGACTGGATACCAGGAATATTCTACATACCCAGTTCGTATCAACCTGCCACACCTTGCCCACAATGAAGTCCTCGGGAGCCGCGGGGCCGATCCGGCCGTCTATCCGAGCGCATATCCTTGTTAGGACAAGCCCCTGGGCGCGTCGTCATGGGCGATATTCCGCGCTTGGCACTCCTTTCGGTAAGAAACCCAAGTCGCGCAAACAATCCTCCTGCATGCTTGTATTTCTGCTTCGTGAAAGTATTGCTCTTTGCCTCTCACATCACTTCTCACACAGCGTTGTGGAAAGCATAGCTCCCGCAGTCAACATGAGGAAAGCTTTCAAAAAGGCCTTGGAGGAGGTCAAAGACGCCGTAGGTCTGAAGGATGAATCCATGGGTACGTAACCCTTGGTTTCGCTGCCTTCTTGCATGATGTCTTTCCCCTTGTGTTTTCTGCTTGCAACAACTTGAAGATTGGGGGCCGCCGGAATTGCACACGGAGAAATGCGACGTATATATATTGTCTCCATTGCTGTCTATCTTGCCCGTTCAAAATCAGACACGACTGGCTGTGAGATGGCCTGTGGTGCTGCGGCACGTCCTTGCGATAGGCTTTCATTTCTAGCTCTGCAGCACGCCGACTTACCAGATGCTCGAGCCTGCAGGACCGCCACCGCCTGCATCACAGCAACACTACCCCAGTCCCTCGGTAGGTGGACAACAACAACATCCAATTGCGGGTCCTCACCATGTCCAGCCGACGCCCAGGGACATCCTCCGCTACCGCTATCAACATGGCTGTAACCTCGGCAGTATCTTCGTTCTTGAACAATGGTTGTTCGGCGGAATGTATGATGAGGGCGTCGGAGGGAGCAGCGAGTTGGATGCCATTACTGCGTGAGTCGTTGTGCTCCGCATCACAATGTGCGCCTATTCACCCTTCACTTGCCAGGTCTATCAAGTCTCGCGGCCTCGACGCCACTCGCCAGAAATGGGAGACACACTGGAACGCCGCGCTCACAGATGCAGACTTCGACTGGCTTGTCCACTCCGCTCATTGCAATTCCATTCGTTTGCCCATAGGCTATTTCACCCTTGGGCCAGCGTTCTGTGCCCACACGGCCTTTGGTGGGCCTCCATCCGAAGTATATGTCAACGCCTGGTCGGTTGTTAAACGTCTAGTTGCCCGCTGCTTTGAGCGCGGCATTGGCGTCCTCATCGACCTGCACGGTGTGCCGGGTGGTGCCAACCACGAGACTCACTCCGGTACGAGCAGTGGTAAGGCTGAACTGTGGGGCAATGGATTCTTCCTGGATCTTGCGACTCGGTGCCTTCTCTTCATCGCCGAGGAGACCGCTCGAGACCCGCAACTGGCCGGCGTTATTGGGGTCCAGCTTTGCAATGAAGCCATCATTGATCCGCCTGGCATGTACGAATGGTACAACGACATGATCCAACGGATATCGGCCATTGATCCCTCTCTACCGGTATATATCAGCGATGGGTGGGACTTGGGCCGCGCAGTGGCCTTCACTCGAGCGTACAACAACCCCAGTTTCCCGCCCAAATGCCCAGTAATTGTGGACACACACAAGTACTGGACGTTTGATGAGAAGGATACCTCCCGCTCGCCATACGAGATCATCGGTCAAGTCAAGTCCGAGCTTTCAGAACTGAATGCAAGCCTCGTTGGGGATGTCTTCGCCCACCAAGCTGCAGTGGCGGTGTATATTGGCGAGTACAGCCTTGCGTTGGCTCCGCAGACCTGGGGCAAAGCTCCTGCAGACCAGAAAGACGATCTGATGAAGCAATTCGGGCTTGCTCAGAGTCAGACATGGCAGACCAAGGCTTGCGGGTCGGCATTCTGGACATTCAAGATGGAATGGATGCCTGGCTGGGAATGGGGATTCAAGGCTTCGACCGACAATGGCCAGCTTGCTCCGCCTGGAATATTCAAGCTGACCGTTGGGAACATCACCGACAAGCTTGCCCAAGCGGATGCAAGAAAAGACCAGCTTCTCGAAGCAAATCTCGGTGGGCATACCGGATACTGGAGTTCCACAAACCCTGGGGCCCACTTCGAGCATTGGCGATACGCTGATGGCTGGAACCTGGGGTGGAGCGACGCTCGAACGTTCTTCGCAGCCAGGCTTGATCGGTTTGTTCCTTCCGCTCTTCCAAGCGGTGTAAGCTCTGCTTCGACGAACGGGGATGCAACAGTCGGAGCTGACTTTATCGGCGCCTTGGATCTATGGATTCTCAAACGCATGCGGGAAGCTGGTGTTGCAGATGCTCAGAGGTGCCCTTTCGGCTGGGAATTCGAGCATGGGTTCCGCGCAGCCGTGAGAGAGTTCGGGGCTCTCGTCCGTGAGTGAGGGGGCGTGTGGTACACCATGGCAGATAAGCAGAATGATGTGGCGACAGTCAAGTTACAACAACAATCAAGGTGTCTCACACACACCCCCTACAGCAAGAAACGCAGCATAGGGTTCTAACTGGCAGACTACTCAACACCTATATCCATGGTCAAGAGGACGTGGATCGCGTCTTACAGGGTCGGCATCAGCGCCACCCTACGACAGACAGCCTCTAACTGTACGCCATGGCCCATTGACGATGAAGGCCCAAGCTATACTCAACTCTACAGCTCGCGAGGCCCCTGCACAAACGTAATGAGAAATAGATGTTGAGGGCAGCGGTGTCAGTGGCAGAGCAAGGATAGGAAGACGTCGACCGGCGCGGGAACAGTAACTGTTACAATGAAGGTTATGATGTCGGTGCTGGAGATCACGCCCTCTATCCCGCGCTCTCAGCGCCAGCGTCACTAGAGCATTCCGGACCAGGGTTACATGGCTCTCTACGTGAGTGATATTGTCCGCGGTCAATCTTTCAGTCACTAAGCTAATTGATTCTTCCTCCAGAGTGACACTTCGTCACTGATATATCACTTAAGATCACGCATACCTCAGCTTGGCAGGGTGACGGCCAGCTCTCATCGCGTGTCTCGGTACTGTCCATGGGTATAAAGGACTGGCCTGCCCCAAGACAAAGGCTCCCTCTCTCTCCTTCAGTCAGACACTTCCCTCACTCACGACTGTATCCACTCCTCACACATCCTCTCCTTGACGCCGAGCAGCCACATACTCACAGCTTCCTCACACATCCTGTACTTGACGTCGACCAGCTACAAACCACAACTCCTCGCACATTCTGTCCCCGACGTCGACCCGCCACAAATCCCTCACACAGTCCTGTACCTGACATCGACCAGCCGCGAATCCTCACACAATCCTGTGCTTGACGCTGACCAGCATCATTTCCTCACATGTATCCTCTACTTGACGCTGACCTCACACAATCCTGTCCTTAACGTCGACCAGCACCAATGCCTCACATATGCTGCAGCTGACGTCGACATCACACAATCCTGCAACTGATATCGACCTCATACAACCCTGTGCTTGACGTTGGCCAGCACCAATTTCTCACATATCCTGTCCTTGACGTCGACCAGATACAAATTCAGCCACACATCCTGTACCTCAAGTTGAGCAGCCAGAAATTCCCTCACACGTTCTGTGCTTGACATCGACCTGACACAGTCTTGTACCTGACGTGGACCAGCAATCAAATCCTCCTACGTCCTGTACCTGGAGCCGACCAACAACTAACTCCCTCACACGTCCTGTCCTTGACGTCGACCAGCCCCTAGTCCTCACACATCCTGTCCTTAACGCCGACCAGATACAAATTCTCTCACAAATTCTGTACCTGAGCCCAACCAGCCACAAATCACAGACTTATAAACTCACAATGTCTACCGCACCACAAGCTGCTGCTCCCGCATCACAAGCCAACGTCCCTGCACCACAAGCCAACGTCCCTGCACCACAAGCCAACGTCCCTGCACCACAAGCCAACGTCCCTGCACCACAAGCCAACGTCCCTGCACCACAAGCCACCGTCATTCCCCAGCGAACTGAAGCCTTCTTCCGCCTCTGCAACAACAGAAACGACAAATCGCCATACCTGCGCACCAAACCCCGCATCATCGCTGCTCTTGGTCTCTTCGGCGTCTCAGACCAGAAAGCCAAAGAGATCATGGAACGAGTGTTACGCATCTGGCGGCGTGACAATTCAGAATTAGTGAATCTGCGCACAAAGGAGGGTCAGCGGCGACGAGCTAACATCACTACCGAAGTCAAGAACATTTACCCAGAGGTCTTTGAGATGCTGTGCAGAGGACCTGAAGAACGGCAGTTCCTCAGGGAAAAGGCAATCCATGCCATGGTCTGGTATGCCACATCGAGGACCCGGCCCCCGAGACGCCGACGACGGGCGGCACAACCTCAGGTGTCGGCCCAGGCACAACCTCAACCGGCGACTCAGGCGACGGCCCAGGCACCACCGCAGGCACAACCACAGACCCAGGCTCAGTCACAGGCACAGGCGGCGACCAACGACAGCCTGTTCGTTAGTCCGTGAGACTGGTGAGAGCGGTCCCGATCTATGGCAAGACACCATAATCGACAAAGGGACAGTGATGGCGATGGCGATAGTGAGAGCAGTGGCAATGGCGAGAGCGGCAGCAAGGTCGATAGCGAGAGCGATAGTGTGGTACACATGCACACCTTTCCTTTTCCTCGCGCTTCTTGCCCCTACCATGTGAGGCAGGCACGCCTACAGTCAGCATACGGCAGCATACGGCAGCATATGGCAGCATACATAGATAGCCATAGCTGAGGGACTAGCCCTCACATAGACGGACAATCAGACCATCTCTTCAGACGATTGCAGTGCCCTACTACGGATAGCAATGGCGGCGAGCAAACAATCAGGACGGCAACGTGAACCAAAGTCAACTAGCTAGCCATACACACAAATCTTGATAGCAACAGCGACAGCGATAGTGATGGCGGCGGCGCAGGCAAACAGACAGACACAACTGCAGCGTGAACTAGAATCAGCTAGACAGCGATAGTAATGGCGGCGAACAAGCAAATAAACATGAACTGCAACGTATATCAAGATTAAGCAGGGCCGTTCACACAAGTTCTAATTGGTGACGGCATTTGCATCGTGTAGTTAGTTAGCTGAGCAACAATCACGCCGACGCTCGCCAACGACATGGACATCAACATCGACGTTAGTGGCTTCTGCTTGACGACGGACTGCGGTGACACCAGTAAAGTTCTACTTGTCAATGGAGTGTAGTGGCAGCAGCAGATCCTGCTTCAACGATGGAATGCGGTGACACCAGCAGATAATTACTGCTTGATAATAGACAGGGGGCGGCCGCTGCTCACGCAAACTGAGAGTGAAGTATTAGGAGGATTCTGCATGCTTGTACAGGACGGTCAGAGCGAAACAACAGGATAGGTATAACAAGATATATCTGATGACGCTGGTGCTGGCGCGCACTATAGATGAATCAGAGTGTTGGGTTGTCATTACAGGACCTGGAATTCATTACTGATCGATAATTCGATGATGCCTTATCCAGCGTACGTTGCTCTAACATGGCAGTAATTAGGTCCTGATGCTACCGCGATAAGCAAATATACAGTTGACGTTCTTTGGCCTCGATACCACAAAGTACATACACTGATATAATTACTAAGTCGGCTCCTGATGCCAACACGACTAAGCAAACGTGGAGCCGACGTCCGTTGGCACAGGAAATCTAACAGCATCTCAAGGTAGATGCACTGTCTTCCTGGCGAACGTCAAGATCAAAGGTTCTGCTTGAAGTTCAGTTTAGCCGGTCTGTTTCGTCTCCCATACTGATGTCCTTTTGGCGAACGTCAAGTTGGATGGTTCTGTTTGTAGTCCGGTTTAGTCGGTCTGTTTCGCGCATAATCCCAGTCACCGTCTCACCCACAGGTGTGCACAATCATGGTAAAAGCAAAGGATTCCAGACGCTCAATGACGATTTCTGACTTGGGTTCGTTCGTCTCAGGCTGCTCAGACCACGTCGATGATAGAGGGCAGTGGCCCGTGCACCTCGAATCCGTGGTACGTATCGACGCTCCAGAAAACCCATGTGCCTACTGCGAACCTACCAAGGTGTGCAAGGCCACAAGGCTCTCTGAAATCAGGGCACTCATACGAGGTACTCCGTAGCGATGACTTCCTTCCCGCTCGAGCCGGCGACTTGGCCAATCGTAATACGAGGTACATAAATGGCGGCAAGACTGTTGCCTATCCCGTGTTTCCCCGCAGAGTACGGCGCCACGAGTCGTGGTATGGGGTATGAGGTATCCTTTTACTGGATCCGAACACGCGTTGACGGCCTTACCCAGTGCTCGTAATCGTACGAGTACCACGCTGCTCCACGTTGGAGAACCTGAGCGTCTCACGCTCTTGCCCGCTGTTGTTGCCTGATGGATGGTGGCGGCTTGGAGGCAAAAGCTCGTATCCCTTGGCGCTTTACGCAGCTGGAAGTGATCACAAAGGCCAATCATGCATGACCAACGTATCCTGAATTGGCCCGGAGCTGGAAAAGGTACTGGTGCTCGTAGCTGGTATTGAAGCTCTGCAGGCCCCAAGTCGAGACAACTTGGGAATACTCCAGACGGCAAAAACTGGTACGAGATGGTGAGAGAAGACCCTCAAGGCAGCGGACAGGTAGTTCAGGTTGGCGATCTAAAAGAGGCGGACTTTGCCTCGCCTTCAGAACCAGCTTTTGCTCCTGAAGCTTGATGATCTTTGGGCTCGTCGACGTCTCGTGTGTCACGCATCAGAACCAAATTGACCGTGCTTCATGTGTGTGGGTGATCGGGACTTCCACTGCCTCAGTCACCCTGATTGCCGTGTCCTGCCTGGACCTGCCTCGCCTTGGCCTGGAGCACCGATCCGGAATGCTTTCCAGCATTTGCCACTATTTTACGTATGCTCCTCCGCAGTGACTGAAATTACGTAGGAAGGGCAATTCGGGCATGCAAGGCACCAGCCCAGGCAGAAATGACGCCCTCATGTGCCTCACCGGGACGACGGGTTCTAGAGTGGTATCAAAGTGGGATCCCTAATTGCTCTCGCCGTTGACGGTGGTCGTAGTCCAGACGCGAGTGCTCTAAGCCGCGATGGCAACATTCGTCGCTGTGCGAGCAGATGAGCGTCAAATGGCCAGCTATTGAACTCACTTCGGACGCGAAGGCCTTCTGCGATCCTCCGAATATGCACCAGCCACACCACTCGAGTCACTGTGGCGAACCATATCTCGCACAATGATTGCTCCAATTGAGAAGCGGAATTACGTACCGAGGGTGCGCGGTCCTGTGCTGCTGGCCGTCGTCAGGTCGGCGCCCTGTGCAGAGCCGGAGCCATCATTTTGGGCCTCGACGCCTCAGCCGTGTTGCGATGAGGCTGAGAATATTCCAGCCCAACGGCTGTCACACTGCCTGCCGTATTGCGATTGCTTCGATCGAGCGGCTTGTGCGATCAAACTCACGTTCTAGCTGGTTGTTGCTACACAGGACTGAGATGCCGCCATTGGACTGATCCATATTGCCGCGAAACACTCTCGTCACTTAGCAGCACAATCGATCCAATGTCGGTAGCATCGTGCTCGAGCACAAAGCTGACAATCAACCCGACTTTTGGCACACCCTTGAGGGTCGGATCTGCCGGCATATTCGAGAAGACAGCATCAGTGAGGGGATGCCCCCAACCCGTGTAGACGTCTTTTCGTGTTCAATCACGAAGCGTAGCCGCTCTGACCCTTGCGGCTGTGAGCAAGGGCTAGTTTTCTGACAGCTGAGAGTCCAGTAATACAGCATCTGGGCTGCAGATACGCACCTACATGGTACATGTGTGGCATGCAAGGAACCAGTTGGCGGTACCAGCGTTGGCATTTAGCATCATTGGCGAACGGGGCGCTTGGGGCCCGCTCGGATATTTTGAGCCTTCTCAGGCATACTTCGATCGCCTGGATCACGTGTCGCCGTGACTTGAGTTAGGATACGTTTTGAACCACGTTCACGGAGGTGCAGGAAGAGCAGGAATGATGACAACTCGAAAGTCGAAATCGTCGTGTGATTTATGATAGGATCGAAGATGCAGGCAACATCGAGCTTGAAGTCTGACCAAGATGGCATTGTCTTTACTCCTCCGACGATCTTGCATGGCGCATCTTCCTGCGTTATTGCATTTCAGTCATCGTGCGAAGTGTGAGCATGGACGCTGAGCTCGATTCCGCCAATAGAATGCAGGTATATTCGGTATTGGTCAAGTTTCCCCTTGGGCATCCTGACGGGTCTGGGGTGCGGTCCGCTCGGAGGCCCGCTCGGTTGGCTGATGGTGGAGAAGGTGTAGGTTTGGGACGGAAAAGGTTGAGGGGTGTGAGGGCGATGAAGCTTGGATTGGCTGTCGCTGTTTGTAGGTGTTGATTCGTGTACCGCGCTCTGCATCGAGGTCGATATCCATCATTGTCATCTGCAAGGTCGCCTGGAGACTTTTTGGTTTGTCTTTGACTTGGGGCATGCATTGACTTTGCCGTCCTAAAGTTGACGAGTAGCAACAACCCTCGAGCTGCGCCTCATAAGCTAGGTCGAATAGAGATGTGCAGGAATGGTCAGAATGATATACTCCGCCAATGCGATACCATAACTACGAGAAGTGGAGTGAAGACTTATGCAGCTTTCTCACCAGAGAATGACTTGCTCGATGCGCCAGAACTGACTTGTGGCACAACGTGGGCGAGTAAGAATAGGGTCACAAGATTCCGAGGATAGTATTCGATGAGATGGCCCGCCTGCATGTGCACAGATGGAGCTCCGTGGGGAAGAAGCACCGTGGGACCAGTAGGTCTTTGTTGTCAATGTGAAGCGTGACACGTTGATGCAGAGGGCGAGATTCGTTCAGGTCTGGGGTTGATTGTAGCTGTGTCTGCCTGCCTGGCGTTCCGAGACGCCTGCAGCACCACTCAGCACTCGCCACTAGGTGACCACAAGAGCTACGTTCTCACCATCGCCGATAACTGATTGTAGTGTACTGGTGGTTCGTCTGGTGTGCGAATCATGCAACCCAGTTTCTCCGATCGTGTGGAGACTCAAAAAGAAGCAAACGGGAAGCAGAGCGATCTCTAGTCAGCTGGGCGCAACCCAGTCATACCTCACTGATCAGTCACTCAGTGTTCTAACCGTATGCCCAGGACTTCGCACGGGGAGTCGCCAACCCACTTATGATCGATGTCATGGTTGGGCTACAGGGCGTGTCTCAGTACTATGTACTCCGTACACGTACTCGACGATTGTCACCAGCTGTGATCTCCTCAACGGGTTGTGCCACCTACCCCGGAATGGATCGTCAGGACACGCCACGTTGGACAACAAAGGCAAACAGAGATTTCCACAGGCACGCAGGAACAGACATCGGGAGCATGGCTCAACCCTGGGTGGGGTTATCCGGGGGCAGAGTTCCCAGTGTACTCGTGCCCTGCGAGCCTGGGCCGCCTGGAGGCACCAGGACGATATTGCTTCTGAGGCTAGTGATCGGCTCGGGGAGCTGGTCGGACTACGCCTCCAAGCAGGGAAGTGCTGGTCACGCTTCACTGAAAGGAGTCCTCCTGGCAAATGACGACAGCCAACAGCGCCTCTCTTCTTGCGCTCCACTTATTTCTTTTTGGCCTGAATCTCCGCCCTCCGTAGTATTCAGCACCGGGTTTTGCACAGCCAGACTTCCCACGCCTTTCATACGCTCACACGCTGCGGACTTTGACTTTTCTTCTCACCTCAGAGTCCGAGGCACAGGCATTGGAAGATGCAGAGTGATGGGGATTAGCGGTTCTGTAGGGCAAACGGCCACCACCATTCACCGAGGTGCACGAACCGGAGGAGCCCTCCATCCATAACAGGACGAAGCATTTTATTTGCCTCCCGAAGAACCTCAGGTGAAGGGGCCTTCCCGCGTTGACGTTGAACTCTATCTCGTGCCTTTTCATCCACAGACCCTTTCCTTCTCAACCCAACGTGCTACGCGTCTCGGTCAACACTCATCTCTCACTCACCTCTTGACACGTTGGCCAGTGATCGCATGTCGACGACGAGATTCCAACTCTCCAAGCCATGATGATGCCGTGTTGATGCCATAAATTGCCGCATCGAGCACGGCCCCCTTTACATAATCCCGCGGATCGGCTGGCCAGGAATCGATCCATCGTTGAATCGGCTAGGGGCACCGGCGTGCCACGAAGCCTGCAAAGAAGCCAGGCGAAGCCCAGGGTACGAGTAGCCAGGCCCAGAGGTCCCAGGACACACCACGATCACAGACCACCTCATCGGGGCTTTCACTGTCCGCCGTTTGTTACCCGTTTTCGCCCTCTGTCAAGTACTCGACTCCTTCTCTTCTCCAGACGTCAGCGGCTTTCACGCTGCCATCCACCAAATACCTCGACCTTGACGGATCTGTCTGCGACTACAGATTGATTTGCGAACAACGGAGAAGCTCTTCTTGCTATTATATTGTAATTGATGCGCTGCATTCATTTAACCTGATTTCTGCTTTACCAACCACCTCACCTCCAACTGCCAACCAGAATCCCGACCACCGACCGAGGCCAACAATAATGCACCACGCCACGACCGCCTCTTGACCGCTCTGTACCAAAACAACACATCAAACCCGCCTCTTGGTCAATTCCATTCCTTGGACCTCCGGTATTACAACACACAGCTATGGCCTCGTCGCCGTTACCCCCAGACCCCTACGAAGCCCTGGGGGTCTCCAAAGATGCTGACATTACAGCCGTCCGTTCTGCCCACCGGAAGCTCGCTCTGAAATTCCACCCGGACCGGATAAAGGACGAAGCCCAACGAGAGAAAGGCAAAGACGAATTTCAGAAGATCCAGGAAGCCTACGAAATCCTCATTGATCCTCAACGAAGAGAACACTATGATAATCAGGTGCGTCTCGCCACGCTGCGAAAAGAGGCCATGATGCGTGGACCACCACCTGTATCCACTTCAAACATTCGATCATATCCAATGAGACCTGCGCCGCCACCTGCACCTCCTTCAACCCGCGAGTACAACGAGTATGGGGAGTACTTCGAGGAAGTCCGCCAGCCTCGAGACGACCACCGAGACCCATACGACGAGTTGCCACGAGGCACTTCACGGAAGCATGCTGATTATGAGAGGCGAGCCCCTCCACAACCCAAAGCGTCCGAGAAGTCCAAGAAGGCGACAAGCACTGCGGGGATTTTTGGTGTTGCCGCAGCTGCTGCCAAGTTTAAGAGTCAAGCAGAAAAGTCTAGAAGTGGGAAAGCGGACGAAAAGAGATTTGACAAGGAGAAGACGAGAGAAAGAAGGGAAAAGGTTGAGACAAGAAGACCGACGGCCGTTGATGTTGATAGTGATTCCGACTACCCAGAGATCCGTCCGTCAATGAATTCCTCTCGTTCGAAGACGGCCTACTTCGATCGTCCGTCCGAACGAGCGCGTACATCAACCCGAATCGAGAGACCTCGTGACTTTGAAGAAGAGAGCTTGGATGAAAAGTGGGAGAGGCATCACGAAGAGAGCAAGGCTTATATGGCAAAGGCCGCAAATCGTCCCAGCTTGGATCGTACTGCGTCAGATGCCTACCAATACTGGGTTGGGTCTGAATCTCGTGGTAGCGGGCGAAGGAGTGGTTCGGACAACGAGAAGAGACCCGATTCATCGAAGGGACGCCGCCCTAACCAGGAGGACTACTTTGCACCGCCGTTCACAAAATCCACCTCTTCGCCCTCCAATCTCCGAACCCACGTTGACGAACGCATTCCCTCGAGACCCACTCCACGTGAGCGTGAACGAGATCGAGACAGAGAAAGGGATCGCGAACGCGAGCGAGACCGGGACAGAGAGCGAGAGCGAGAGCGAGACCGCGGTGACCACCGCAGCAGAATGCCTCCCAGCCTGCATCGGGCTCAAACCACCCCGGTCCCTAAGTCATCGACGACGAGGAAAGACTCTGTACCCTCCAAAGGCTCAAACTTGAAGCATGGCGAGACTCATATGCACGACTCTGGCTATGGGAGCAGTTCCAACCCTCACACGCCAGAGATGAGGGAGGAAAGTCCCCCAAGAACAAACAAGGCACGATATCCTGCAACCACCTCGACCAAATACCACATCGTCGATCCCGCCGATGATGGTGATGACCATGGACGAACACCGAGACTCAGAGAGATGTTTGATGATCACGGTGATCGTCCGAGCCGAAGATATCAGCACAGCCCCGAGTCAATTGTTCCGGACCTGCCGCGGGACTCTGAGCGGCGCAGAGAGAAGCCCGAGCGTCCTCGGGTTGAGACTAAGAAATCGTCCAAGACCGCTGCCATGATGCAGGACTTCATCCCTCCAACGGTGCGAAGGAGCGAGTCAGGCCGATATGAAGACAGACCAAATCCACGCTCGCCACATGATACACCGTCCATGTCGCGCAACAACAGCGGTCGGGAGAAGCTCTTTGGCGAAATGTCTCCGATGTCGCCTGATGAGCGAGAGCCGTCGCGATATGCTCGCCCATACCCGGCCGATAAGGTCCATATCGCTTCTCGCGGCGAACCACAATATTCCCGATATGAATACCGCGAGCCGGATGATCGCTCCCGATTCCGAGAAGCCCCTCGGATGACGTCCCGGCGGCCCTCAGTGAACGCATACTAGGAGTATGGATCTCACTTGAGGGCCACCGGAAGCTGAACATACGTTATCTAGCCCGCTCGCTTTTTTCGAGCGTCCCATGACACAGTCTTTACGCGCCCAATTCGAAGTACATATACCACGGACGAATCTTTCCATATGGGGATCTGGATTCGTCCACATGTCTGAAACACATTCTTTTGACGGTGGTTGAGACACCAAGGCAGAGCTCTGGGTGCAGGATAGGTTCGGAGTAGGGCAAGGATAAGGACGGCTGGGAGAGCCGGCGGAGATCTGGGAGGAAAGCATCTAGTTATATGCATCTGGGGAGTTGGTTCAGAGACAGGCAAGTCTCAGGTCGACAGGACACACTGAAAGCCTACCAGGCGGCTTATTGCAGATGCAGCGAAAGGAGTCCACTCTCGTCAGGAGCAGACAGGACACGCTTTGTACAGACTTATAACCACAAATCTTCCCAGGAGGGAATTGATGAGTAACGACATCGAATCTGTTACACCGAGAAGATTCCAGTATTTTTCTTGCTCAAACTTGACTCTGTTGCGTGAATGTGGCTCGCTCCTGCCTAATCGGTGTGCCTTTGTTGACATGGAACATTGGTCAGATCAACCAGAGGGTGAGTTAAGCGAGAAACGCCCCCGACGTTCAATCAAGGACACCAAGCAATCTGCACTTTTGCTCTCACATAGAATTACTCCCTGCGACATTTCGTGCTTGTTCTTTCTTGTATCAAACACGCATTGTTCCTTTCTCGACGGCACGGTAGTATTCCATCTTAGTCACCTTTGCCGTTCCGCCTACCAGCTTGGAGCGACCAGCAAGGGTGTCTCCCCCTGCAGACCGCCATTCTGCAAACCCCTCGATACGAGCATAGTGCTTCCTGCGAACTGAGCCCACTCCGACCGATCGAGCGAGCCTGCTATCCTCCGAAATCTGTCAAGCTAAATTGGTCACGTTTTTGTCGCGAGGTGGTCCGGTGGTCCGTCGTGTTAGGGTCATTGGAGTTGCGGCCGATACGCATGGCGCATTCATCCTGAGGTGCGGACGCGGCCCAACTCGTGCTCATGAGGATTGGTGAGACCTCGTCATGGCAGGAATAGTTGCCGCAGGATCGACGACTGCGGTGGTAAATGGGACGCGCTCGCAGTTCGATGCTGTGGGTGCCAGTCAAGAGGTGAATTGTCCGCGCCGACCCACGGCATCAAAACACTGACATATCGCACCGCATAGAACACGACCGCGAACAAGAATCGCCCAAACGGCGCCCGTCAAAACTCGTCAGGTTCCACGCGCTCACCACTATCGACCTTGGCCCCCAATCGCAAAGAAAGCGGCAGTGTCAACGGACGTGTGGCTCCCCACAGTAGGGTTGAAGAGCTGGGTCAACGAGACGCGAGTCTAATACGTAGTGGGAGTGAGCCAGACAGCCTACTGGACCTATACAAGAGCAACCCTAGCAGCGGCGATGTCAGTCAGCATCAGCCTGACAATGACATCCCCGAGAACATGTATCGGCCGAACGAGGACGATCCCGAGGGCTGGATCCACAGAGACAAACTTGCCAAAATAGAAAGTGAAGAACTACAAGCCGCAGGTATCAACCTGGCAAAGGCTAGGAGGAACACGGGCAAGAGTGCGCAAGGTGGGCAGAGAGAGACAAGCCGTGGTCGGCGAAGTGACGACCGCAGCCATACCGAGCTCCGTAGAGGCGACGCGGAAGATTCAACAAGACCGCGGCTCGCAGAGGAACCGGTAGAAGAAGCAGAGGAGGACGAAAGATCCCATTGGGACCTTCGCACACCAGAAGAGATTGCAGCCGATAACACGTCGCCGATATACTCGAATCCGGTACTCAGAAAGTCCGGTTCGAAGATCCCGGTATTGACATCGAGTCCTTTACCGATAGCACAAGAGAGGATCGAACGGGACACGCCGCTGGTCCGGAAGCGTACCATGAGTAACAGTATGAGCCCGGAAGATGGCATCCCCGTGCTGAAGATCAAGATGCGAAGAGGAAGTACCGGAAGTCAACCTTTGCAGGACGAAGGCGATTCCTTATTACCGACACCTACTACCTCTAGACTATTGACGCCCAAATCATCATCACCCACAAAAGGCCGACTCAAACCAGCATCGGGCCAAGGGTCACCCCCCAATACATCATCAGGCCGGAAGACATCCAACACACTTAGGAAACCATCGACGAACACCAAACCTGCCGGCACACCCACGCCAGGTCAAAGACCAGGGACAAGATCTGGAGAACTAGATCGCCCGCGAACAGCGGTCAACCGACCAGAGGGCGATCCACCGTGGCTTGCAACCATGTACAAGCCCGACCCGAGGCTCCCTCCCGAAGAACAGATCATCCCAACGCATGCGCGAAGACAGCAACAAGCCCAGTGGGAAGACGAAGGTGCCGTGCCACGTACATACGACCGGAACTTTTCACCTCTGGCGATCCACATGGGCAACGGTCAGATCAAGTCACCTTCCGCAGCTAGTCCTCCGCCTACTCCCAAACCCAAACAACAGGGGACAGAAGAAGAGGGCGGCAACGCGTGGCCTCTGAAACAAATGCCAGGCATGAGAAATTCTGTAACGGGCAGCATCCGACCCGGCACTGGAGGCAGCGCGAATGGTGGGTACAGCACAATGCCTAGAGTGACGAATCCCGTACAAAGTCCTACGATGGGCAGCATTACGTCCGTGCCGGCTCAACCGCCTCCGCGAATGCAAGTGCAGCGAATGCAGGATGCCGATACCGAAGAGAAAGTGAAAGAGAAGAGTTGTGGGTGCTGCGTGGTCATGTGAGGGATCGGGCTCGCAGAAGACTGCTTGTACAACTGCTTGTGTGCAAAATCACGGAACGTTTGCGGTGTTTCTTTTGTGGCTGGGTCATTCTGACGGTTCAGACGCTTGCTTCTGGTTTCTTTGATTGCAATTTAGCGAAAGTGATACACCTTTTCCGTGTTGCGGTTGTGATGTTTTGGGGAGACGTCCGTTGGGGCGATTGCGTCTGCGAAAAGGCTGGACAAGGAGAACAGCCGGTTTCTTGTCCTCAAGCAATTTCTGATACATAACGTGGTGGATGAAAGGGCTGAGAGATCGTTGCCAGCATCCGGGTGCGACTGAGGAAAGAGGAGACTGTTCCATTGCGGCTAGCCATGCCGTTGGCCGTTGGCGGTGTTCGACGACATGGTCGGCTTGACCGTGCCTAGATTCAGGTACGCCTAACAAATAATGACATGGCACATGTTCTCAGTTCCAACAGCGGAGTGAGAGCGATATTCCTCAAAGCGCCGGATTGTGAGTTCACCAAGGCTTTCACCCTTCAGCGTCTACTGGCAACAGTCTCAAGGCTCACACAAGCTGAGCCCATGGCGTAGGGTTTCAATAAAGAGCGACCTATGCATTCGTGAAACTTCTCTCTGGCGTATAACAGTCCATCCCTTACTCCGTACTGTGTACTCCGTACGGCTCGATGATCGCGCTCGCTCTCTCACGCCGTTTTTAGACTGCGGAGTCGAGGCCCGATTGGGGATCTGTTGATGAGCTAATCTTTACCCCATCGGGTCCAAGGCCCGCAATGGCATCATCGTCGTTGGCTCAGGATTTGTCACTCCAAACCACTCACTTGCAGCAACTGTCAGTATCACCTGCATTCATCCTCCGATTGGCAATCATCCGCGCAAAGAACTCCAGAATTGACTCGCCTCAAAGACACTTATCAAGGTCATTCGCCTCGCTCTTTCTGATCCGAACCACCACACAACCACAAACCGCCACAATAGCGTCCTCAATCTTCTCCCCCTTCCGCAGCCTAGCCCGCACCTTTTTCACATCACCACCGAGGACATCCCCCGCCGCCATGGTCTCCGCCAAGGAAAAGGCCCAGAAAATCATCGACGACAACTCGGTCGTCGTGTTTTCCAAGAGCTACTGCCCGTACTGTCGGGCCAGCAAGGCGCTGCTGAATGATATGCACGCGAAATACTTTCTGATGGAGTTGGATCAAGTCGGTATGTGTTGAGGAGTGTTGCGCATGCAATGAAGTGGCGAATCAGGGGACGTATGCTGACGGTGATACAGAGGACGGCGCGGCCCTTCAAGATGCCCTCGAGGAGATCACCGGTCAACGCAGCGTGCCGAACATCTTCATCGGCCAGAACCACATTGGCGGGAACAGTGACTTGCAGGCGAAGAAGAGTCAACTCGGTGATCTGCTCAAGAGTGCTGGTGCTGTCTAGGGGAGTCAGAGTCAATCGTGGGATCAGTCCAGCGTGCAAGCAAAGAGTGAAGCATTATCTACAATGTGACTCCTTTGTCTGAGCTTTATTGCAAAGCCCTGAGAAGCCGGCACAGGAATCAGGCCCATGGCCGAATACAGGTTTCTGAAGGAATCAGAGAAATAGATGATGTGGCTTTGAAGAATGTCTGCACGCAGTGCACGTCCCTTCTTTCTATGTAATTTGCGCTTTCTTGTGCCGTTCCATGCGTGGAATTTGTAATACTCTACGGCAAGTGCTGCGCAGATCAGTTCAACGATCTGAAGATGTCGTGGTAAGTTTTTGAACAGTCCCTTGAAATATAGCATTTGTTGACGACCGAACTTGACAGAAGGAGCGACAATCATGCCCCATCAGCGTTTGCTATGAGCTCTGTGCATGGAATCAACATGTTTGAGCGGTCACAGCGTCTCCCAACTTGCGTTGTCTGGACGTCCTTGTCATCAAACTGTAAGCGCAACTTGCCATATAGATATTTACTTCTGTCACGCCCTTGCAGTGTTCAGAGGGTGCAGGTGATACAGGTTGCCTGCCGGTTGCTTGCCGTGTTTCAGCGAGTTCTGCTCGGCTTTTGCCATGTTCTTCGTCTCAGCCAAGTGTTCAAATCAGCTGTCATGTCATTTGCCACCAGTACATCAAGTGTTCGCACTCACGTTGTCAATTTTGCCTACTGCTGCTGAAACGGTTGTCCTTTTAGTGAACACTTCCATCTTCACAAGACATGTGCCTCGAATCAAACAATCGCTGCTGGGTCAACTAGGTATCTACAAGTTGGACGAACGATGTTGAGATCACACTGGCATACATCTTCAAAGACATGTATGTAACACGGATCAACCAGTCGCTACAACATTGACCAGGTATCGACAAGTCAGACGGATGATGTTGAGATCAGACCTGCACTGGCTACCTGCCGGCATCGGGATCCCAATCAAAAATTCCAGCCCCCTGATCAATGGTCTTGGCGATCAGACTGGAGCAGCTTGGGAAGAGGCAGAAGAATCTCGTTGAAGCGGAGCATCTTTATTACAGGGCGCCGAAGACTCACTCAAAAAGGATATTCACCATAGCCCGTTCGAACTCGTACCGCCCGAGGGGACTAATACTGACTAACAAGCTCTGTACTGATGGGGGCGTCAGACTATCAAGTCATTGGTGTCCCGATGCCTGCAGATCGGTAAGCGATGGTCAGCCTCGTTCTGAATCTCCTGGCACAGTGAGACTGAACCCTGCGACGAGCTGGCCAGCTCGGTACTCAAACCCATATGATCCTTCTTTTCCGAGCGACCGGGTGATTAGACATGGCGATACAAGCCAAGGGGACAGTCTAACGGCAGTCTGGGACACTTGAGCAAGGACGCGCCGGCGGGTGCTAGAAGAAGAGATCGGACCTTGAGAGGGCTGAAAACGGCCTGGCTGTGAAAGATCGATGCCTGGTCCAACTGGTAAGCGAAAGAAATCTCCGAGGGAATGATGAACTTAGGGTTTCTATGCTCGCGACTCTGGGTATGGCGCAGATTGTCACAAAAAATAGGTTCGAAGGGGCACAATGACAATTGGCTTGGTCTGTGTACACTGATCGAAAGAGGAGCTTCTGATGATGGTAGACAGCTGAGGAGGTTCCCACTGGAGCTGATCCGGACGGGTACGTAATGCCCAAGAACAGAGTGAGTACTTCCATAGCAGGAGGGAGTACATAAAATGTACCTCCAAGAAATTGTCCGAAACGCCCCGTGTGCGGACGAAGTAATCAGAACGCCGTCACTCAGTAAATCAATCAACAAACAACTCGTTCCTCAGCTCACTATTCCTGTTCTGTGCTGTGCCGTCCTACGCGGCAAGACTCGACCTGCTGAGTGCTGACCCCTACCTGCTTCTTTTCCTCTTCTACTTCCTCCCTTTCTCCTCCCTAACCGTCTCCGCTCCCGCTCCAGCCTCAGCTCCAGCTACACCCAATCACGCCAAGTAAAACACCTCCTCACACTCCTTCCACCAAGAGGGCACCTTCTTCCCATCGGCGCCAGCAGTGCCCGCCTTCTCCGAACTCACGGCGCCCGCGTTCAGACTCTGCTGAAACCCGTCCGTCATGGCCCACCACCTCCGCGTCGGCTCGTGGGCGCGCATCTTAGCCATATCCCCCTCAAAGTCGCGGCCCGTGTACTTGAACGAGGCGAACAAGAGGGACGTGTCCCTGTCGTAGGCGATCGAGTAGTCCCTGATGTTCGATGCGCGGATCTGCGCCACCACGTCGGGCCAGACTTTTGCGTGGCTGGCTTTGTAGGCCGCGTAGTCTTGCGGGTTGAGGCGGATGACGGTGTGGATTCGGCGTGTCCCCGAGAAGTCGTTGTCCGGTTGGGATTGGGATTGGGATTGTGACGCTGATGATGGTGCTGATCGTGAAGGCTGTGCTTGGGAGAGATTGGGTCCATACTGAGATTGAGATTGTGGGTGGGATTGTGGGTTGATGGGGGCTAGCCACGACATTGTGTCTTGCCGTTGATGGTTGAGAAGGCAGAATATCGCTCTGTCTGTGCTGCGGAGATTTCACTCTGTCTGTGTAGTGTAGATCTCACTCTGTATGTGTGGTGTGGATCTCACTCTGTATGTGTGGTGTGGATCTCACTCTGTATGTGTGGTGTGGATCTCACTCTCTCTGGGTAATGTAGAGCAGTTGATATGTTGGACGGGTTAGGGTTTCGTGAAGCACAGTGCTCCGTACTCTTTTCTTGAGATATTATATGCAATAATTAGCTACGAGGTATGTCGCCATGACAGTATGCTTCGAGTGGAGATGGACGGATTGGGGTCCTGACGTATGTTGAATATGGGCTGCACCAGGTGTGTACTCCATACCTACATTCAAAGGCAATGTTATTAGCAGAATGTCGCATGTTCTGCATCCTATGTAGGGTAGATTAATGGCAGATTAGAGTGACGCATAGAGAGCACCGGTTTGTCGCACTTTCTAAATTCTGCTTTGGATGCAAAACTAAAGATGGAGGAAGTTGATTTGCACTCAACTATGTTGATATCATTCCTCCTAGTCCGTGGTATATTTATCCATTTTCATCCGATTGTTGGAGATTACTGCGACGGATATTCATCCCGATATCCGTACCTGGCATTGATGGGTGGAGTGGAATCTCGCCTGGCCTGGTCTCTCTGCACACATAGTCCCCTCGTCTGTACTGAACACTCGAGAAATCAAAGACTCTTCTCTTGCTTCTCTCATGACGATTTGCTCCTCGTCTCTGTCGTCAAACAACCTGCGTTGCCACTGTCCCCACCGGACGTTCGACAAACTCCATGCATCCCTCGACAATATTCTGCCTCGCTGGCTCACTGCTAACATTCTTCCCCGCCAGATATCCCAGCCACAATAACCGACCCACGCGTTCATCACTGATATCCCCCATTTTGACCCGGTCGCCCGTCTTGCTAGTCTCTTCCCAGACAGACATTTTCCCTTGCCCATCGCGGGCAAGGAGGAGGATCTCGCCTTTCGGCAATTTCCGTCGCGCACTGCCGCCGAACGCGGATTTGAAGTCGTTGAGTGCCGCGCCAAATGTCTCGTCTTGAAAGGAGGTATCGTTCCTGTCTGATGCGAAGTGGGCAGACCGAGCCGTTATGCCCCGCACGAAGCCATCGCGAAGGTGCATGAAATCGGTGTTCCGTGTGGGCACGATCCTAAAAGCCATACGTAGATGGCCATCCTTGAGGATTTCGTTCCAGATGTCCTCGCCTCGGGTTGGGTCGAGGAGGAGTTGGCGGAGCTGGTCCTTTTCGCCGGGCACCAAAGTCGTAGCCACGCTTTCACTGGGCGGCACGACCGCGTTGATGAGTCGCTGTTGCAATGCCGCAATGTCCGACACGGCGATGTACAGGCCCACGACATAGACTTGGATGCTGAATAACGATACCGTGCGAATCCCTAGACCCACGAGTTGGTATTCTTCGTCTGTCTTGCCTTCATTTGCAGCGCCGGGCGTGCTTGGCGGAGCATCAGAGGTGACGTGGATGATGCGAGGGAAGAAGGGGATGGTGGAGGTGCCGGTCGGGATCTGTTCGACTTCCTTCGCTGAAGGTTCTTCGAGGATGGTCGACGGCGTCGGGGGAGGGGGTGCGTCTTGTCTGATAGGGCTCTCACTGGGGTATAGTGCGATTGTAGCGAAGATTGCTACCGTGCAGGCGGCGATGCCATAGCCCGAGTAGCGCATGCGTTTGACCGTGCTTGCTCGCTCGGCCTTCTCTTTCTCCAGTTCTGACGGTTCCGACTTTTGATACTTTCGACGGAGCATCTCGGACGAGCCGTAGCCCGGGACAGGCGCGGAGAAGCTGGTTTGGGCATTGTGCTTGGTACTGCTTGACAGGAGTCGGATCAGCTGAGGCCTCGAAGGTGCATGGGCGGCTTGGATTTGGGAGAGATTGCAGGTACAGACTCGTCGAGAGACGAGCATACGCAGCGGTGATGTCTTCATTGTCAAAATCTCATCGATGGTTGCGGTCTGAGAGCAGAGCCTCAGTAACGTAGACAAGAGCACGAGTGAAGGTCGATGACGCCAATGAAGCTTTGGTGGAGACTGCGAAGTTCAGCCTTGCGCAGCTGACGCTCAGCCTTGGCCTTTGGCGGCTGACCATTAATTACTTAGCTCGACTGTGTTCGGCATCATTGTAGATGTCCAAGTCTTCTTCGCTGACTCGCAAGTCACCGCACGTCATTCTCATCGCCTTTGTTTGTGAGCAACGGACATGCAGATGTCACTATTGCTGATCTTGTAGTCGAAGGTGGCTACATGGCATCGCGTCAGACCAGACAGGAAATGAGTGAGAAGTAAGACACCATATCAGTTAACAATGTCACAGAGGCGATACTAATACCTTAATGAACTGTCAACACGAATATAAGAGGGACAAGCGACTTCTTTTGCCATCAAGACCCGAAAGCTGTTCCATCTCATATCACAAGCCGCCCGGAAGGGGCCAGTCGAACGTCCGTTTGACTCTCAGTACTTCTAGCAGCTCTGAGAATCCCCATAACCCCGCTGCTGCATGCCCTCATCCGTTGAGCACATTCCAACACTCTACTTCCTCAAGCTCACATAGCAATCCAGGTTCTTCTGCTTGACGAACCACGCATTTTCCGACTCCAGTGGCCGATTGGGATCAACAAGGGTGAAGTCGAACTTCCTGACGAGCTCAGGGATCAGGATGGAAATCTCCAGCAGACTGATATTCTTGCCGATACACGTGCGGGAGCCGGCTCCGAACTAAAGGATATATAACATGTCAGCATCCTTCCCTTATGTGTATGGCTCCAAACACGGCTGTGGAGGATGAGGTCAATAGAATCTTTCGTACCGTGAGGATGTTCCGATTCATTTCTGCAGCTCTCTCAGCGTCTTCGAGCCAGCGCTCCGGCTTGAATTCTTCAGCATCCGCTCCGAACATGTTTCGGTTGGCGTGGGCGACCCAGCTATTGACACCGACTTCGGTCTGCGCACAGAATCCAGTTAGTCTTGTACATACAGGCTGCGTGGCTGCTTGGGAGACCCTTCTTACCTTTTCTGGGAAGTAACGACCAGCGATTGTCGCGCCACCCTTGGGAACCACTCGGACCATCGGAAGGCCCGTCGCAGGATGCATGCGCAAGCCCTCTTTGATTACAGCCTGAAGATAAGGGAGTTTCTGAGCTTCCTGGAACGAGAGCATGTCGGAGGAGCCTCGTTCCTCAATAGCTTGGTCGAGCTCTTGGCGAAGCTGGGAGCAATCAGCCACGCCACAAATTGTGTCGAATCCCCGTCTACGCTCACCTTCTGCAGGGTCGCTGGAGACTTCATCAGTTGGTGCAAAATTCCAGCCAGACTGACACTGGTGGTGTCCGAACCAGCGCCAATGTTTGTGATGCATGTCGAAACGACAGCCCCCATGGGGAACCTGTCCGGCTGCAATGCATGCATTCGCAACAGCTTTGTCAAGAAATCGTCCGTGGGCTTCGACTCGTCCTTTTCAAGTAAGCTCTTTGGCTTGGTTCTCTGGCCCTCCTGGACTTGTTCTTGCGTAAATTTACCCAAGTAGTGGGTGCCGGTGGTGGGCCAGAAAGAGAGACACCATGTCAGGAACGAGTGCCATTCATGGTAGATGCCAACCTTGGAGAGATAGTGAAGATAGTGGTCGAGGGCAGCGAGCATGCCAGCGTTGTCTTCACCGGTATCGAGGAAACCGAATCTTTTGCTCAGCTAAGGGTGATGTGAGCCAGTGCCAGCGGCGGGGCCATGCCGAGTGTGATTGACTTACTGTGATCAGAGCGATAGTGTCGAATGCGACTGGGCGGCTGTTAGTGGCAGCGACACAACCGTCTCGAGCGCCGGGCTTTGGAGAAAGATCCTCCAGCAGTCCTGGCTTCCCAAGGGTACTTACAGTACTGCAGCCAAGCTGACTAGTTGTTAGCATTCGCACAATCGCGACAAAGACGTCTCTTTTGGTGAACACATACCTTGCAAGTTGAAAGAGGCATGTCTCTCTGCAAAGCCGGTGAACCTTTCGACCAGGATCCTCGCGCAGTCGATTGCGTTCTGCTCCATGGGCACAAGACTCGACATGGCGTACAACGACGCAACTCGCCGTCGGATTTCCGCGTGGACCGCTGGGTTTAGTTCGGTGAAGAGATCCGGAATATCGTTATTCGGGATGCCGGAAGCGATGTACCATTTACCTTTGACGAATTGGTTGCCGTGCCCGTATATCGTCTTGATGGCGTCTGCATCGTCGATGGAATAGTAGTTGGGCGCAATGCGAACAATGGGGCCTACCAGCATCAGCTACGTCCGATGCCCGCGGCATACTTGGAGACGCTACCATATTTCTTGTGGAGGGCAACATTTGTCTTCTCAAAATCGCCCTGCCAGACTTTGCGCAAGTACCAAAGCCTGGTGAAGCGGGCTAGGAAGGGTCCAGGAACAGATCTCAAAGGATCCCTCAGTACGACAACGAACTGATAGATGAGCCAGAAGCTCAGAAGAGCCCCAATCAAGACGAGTGGGGAGACACCCTTGACATCAGGCAGGACGCCTTGCAGTTTCGCCATGCTGATTTGCAAACCCCTGACAGTCGCTTAGTGGAAATAAGCGAGCCCGTCTCGAAACGCACTGTCCTCGAGATGCACTGTTCAGCTTTGGGGACGAGTAGATAGAAGATATGCTCTGCTATTTCATTTCCGGCGACACACCGTCAACCCATCTTTATACCTAAGTTGGCGGCTGCCGCTTTGACGGAAAATACGAGCCCCCGGGAATTGCCATGCCCCGGGTCTCGGTTAAGTACCATGGGGAAGCGACACACAATCCTCCTGCCCCCCAAACTAGCCACCAGGTTCTCCACATGAACATTGGAACCGTTCATGTGGGCTCCCTCGCTGAGGTTGCAGTGGACAGTCTTATGTGGGACCGTTCTCGTTCCATGGCTTCTGCCTTCCTATATATCAGGCATAACGGGAAGGCAGTCTCATATCAGGGCCGAAAGAACGGGCACAAACCCACTTGACATCGGCGAAGAAAGTATGGGAGTGCTTCAAAATCTCTCGAGTGCTCCAGGCACGCTGGACCTCGCCCTTGACACCTACACTCTGATTGGGGCCATTCTCATTGGAGTACTTGCCGTACCCGTGCTGCTCGTCCTCGTCGACTATGTACGAGTACTGCGGATCCGCCAGAGGCTGCCTCCGGGTCCTTTCCCGTTCCCGCTCGTTGGGAACTTCTTCCAGATTCCGAAGCACAAGCCATGGATCGAGTTCGAGCAGTGGTCAAAACACTACAACAACCCGATGTTCACCATATGGCAGGGCCACAGACCGACCATCATGTGCAACGATATCTGGACCATCTCGGACTTGCTTGACAAGAGGGCGAACATCTACTCTTCCCGACCGCAGATGTACGTCTTCCTCCGGCTGAGAAACCGCCTGCATCGTGGGTCATGCCGTCACGTCTGCAGATGCTAACCGCCAGGCGCAGGATTGCAATGGGTGACATGATCAATGCAACGGAAAGCAATCAAGTGTGTCTGGTCTACGGGGACAAGTGGCGCCATCATCGCCGTCTCATGGTATGCCAGAGGCACGCAGTCTGGAGTCACGTAATCTAACTGGTGGCTCTTAGCACACAGCGACGGGGTCTCAGGCCATAAGACCATGGCGCGAGATTCAGGCTAACGAGTCAAAGATCCTCATCCGCGACTTGATGGACAGACCGGATGACTTCGTCATGTCCATCGAGAGATACTCGTGCTCGATCGTATCCATAATCGGCTGGGGTCGACGAATCGACAAAATCAACGACTACGTTGCGCAGATGGCCCTCAAAGCCATGGAAGGTGTTGACTTGATCATCCCGGGTCTGTTCCTTGTCGAGTCCATCCCAATCTTGAACCGACTCCCAGCGTGGCTGAGCTGGATCTATCCCATGCCGAGGCAGGCATTCAAATTCGCACAACATTTGCAACGCTATTTTGTTGCGCTATCCAAGGAAGGCGCTCAGATGCCAGAAGATAACTTTGCCAAACGCCTTTTCCAGGAGCAGGAGAAGAACAACATCACCGACGAAGAGATCTCCACTCTCACGTCTAATCTGATTGGCGGTGGTGTCGATACCACTAGCGGCACCATCATCTCGTTCATCTTGGCCATGTGCGTCTTTCCAGACAGGATGAAGAAAGCCCAGGAGGAGCTGGACCGAGTGGTTGGCCAGGACAGAGTCCCCGATTGGAGTGACGAGCCTAATCTACCATATGTTAAAGCCGTGGTTAACGAGACCCTGAGATGGCGGACAGTCACCATCCTGGGGGGCATTCCACATGCACCGACCCAAGACGACGAGTACAATGGGTATTTGATCCCCAAGGGAACCCCCATAACCGGCAATGTCTGGGCCATTCATAGACACCCCAGGGAGTTCCCTGAACCCGACAACTTCCGACCAGAGCGATTTCTGAACGGGCTAGAACGACCCTATCCCAACAAGCAAGGCCACAATGCATTCGGCTGGGGCCGGCGGGTGTGTAGCGGACAGCCGCTCGCTGAGCAGGGGCTCTACCTCACCATTGCGACCTTGCTGTGGGCGTTCGATTTCAAGCCTGGACTGGATGAGAATGTAGGTGCTTACCCCTTCGTTGCGGGGGATATTGCTGACTGGACGCAGGGTAAGGAGGTGAAGCTCGACATCTTCGCGTACACCAAGAGTGAGAACATGCGACCTGAGCCATTCAAGGCTCGCTTCATTCCACGAACGAAAGGCATTGAGCAGATCCTGCGCCAGGAAGCCGCGAGGGCGAGGAAGGAGCTTTGTGCTTATGACGGCGAGACCAGATTGACGATGGAGAATGTTGCCTAGACGACACAGCCACGTAGTCGGGACTAGGATTACACGTAACGGCCGAAACCACCTATAACTTTGCGGCGTGCTTCATGCGGAGCAGCTTTGACGAAGGATCTATATCAATTCCCGACCTTGACTCCGGAATCCATTCCTGCAAAACGTCTTCGCCCCCCGCGCCCTTTTTCAGCTCCGGGTACGACTCCTGCACCGAGACATCCAGACTGGGAGAAGCCGACAGGTCGACCAGCGGCTTGAACGGCCGTTCCGTCTCGTCCATGTTCAAGACCGGCGTCACGCAGCCATCAGTGTGGTCAAATACAGCGCGCCACTCCTCCATCGTCTTCTGCTTGAATATCCCGGTAAACAGCTCCTTCGTCTTCGGCCACTGCGTGCGATCCCACTGCTCTGGCATCTCCTTCTCATCCAGTCCCATCCCCTGCAGCAGACTCTTGTAGAACTGGGGTTCTTGCGCCCCAACAGCTACAAACCTGTCATCCTTCGTCTTGTATACCTCGTAGAACGGCGCCGCCCCGTCCAGCAGATTCTCGCCCCTAGGCCGATCATTGTTAGGGTGCCCCTGCTGCTGCCTCATGAATGTGGCAAGGTACGCGCTCCCGTCCACCATATTCGTCGTGACGACCTGCCCGCGGCCGGTGGCCTGGCGGTGTAACAGCGCGAACAAGATGCCCGTCACGCAGACCAACCCTCCACCTGCGAAATCTCCCAGAATATTCGCCGGTGGGGCCGGGTTCTCGTCCTTTCGTCCGAGGAGCGACAGGATCCCCGCCGCGGCGAGGTAATTGATATCGTGGCCCGCTCGGATCCCATACACGCCCTCGGGCCGGAACCCGTGGAGGTGAGCGTAGATTAAGCGCGGATTCAACTGGCATAGCGTCTCCGGCCCGAGACCCAGTCTCGTCATGACGCCCGGGCGATATGGATCGATCAGCACGTCCGCGACTTTGACCAGGTCCAAGAACACGCGGCGCGACGGGGCGTCTTTGAAATCTATCACCACGGAACGCTTGCGGCGACAGAGCGTGTCGCGTGGTGGACCGAAGACTTCGAACGTGCGGTCGACGCGCACAACGTCGGCGCCGTAGTCAGCCAGGATGAGGCCCGCGAAGGGGGACGGGGCCAAACCGCCTAGTTCCAGGACCTTGAGGCCTACGAGGGGCGGTGTACAGGGCATACTGACTGTATACCTTTGGGTCGATAGAGACAGGTTCGTTCTGTGGAAAGGCGGGCCGATCCCTAGGTAAATGGTCTGACGGTTCGGACTGGGTGCTTGAAGATCTAGCTCGCTGGTTCTCTGTCGGCTCGATGTCGACTTGCAACGGGCAGCCTAATTGTTTGCGCTGATGTGTCGATGCACTGTGTGGCTCAGGGAGGTTCTCTAACTAGCTATGTTAATTACTTCTCCTCCAACTCCTGGCGAGGCTGGCCTGTGCCTAAGGCTGTCCATATCAAGCATCGCCATTACTCCACATTTACCCCGACATTCACATCCGTGGAGCCTCGTGCAGTGGAGGAAGTCACTTCGACAGGCGAAAGAGTGACGCGCACACCGGCTCTTGGTGCCTGGCTTCGTCTTTACACGATCCTAGAGGCTCCTAGCAGGAAGTGACGGACTATCAGTCACCGCCACCGACGCTCATATCTCCTGCTCAACGTCTCGACACGTATTACGGGGTAGAAAGCAGTGGTGAGCGACGATGATCTTCGAATCAGAGTACCACGTCGAGATACCCAGCATCGACTTATTATCATTTCTCTTCTCGCGGACGCCATTCAAAGACGACGACCCAATATGGATCAACCCGACAAATACCGCCAACCACGTCACACTTGCCAAAGCCCGCGATCTCACGCAACGGATAGGCCAGGGCTATCGAGATCTCGGCGTCGGTGCTAAAGAGGCCGGCAAGGATATCGTCGTCACGTACGTGGAGAACCAAGTCATGGTGGCGCCGAACACCCTGGGCGTGCTGTGCGCGGGCGGCATTCATGCGACGTGTTCGGTGACGGCAACGGCCTTTGAGCTGGCGCGCCAGATCCGGTTGAGCGACCCGAAGGTTTTGGTCTGTTCGCCTCAGACGAGAAAGGCAGCGGAGGAGGCCATCACGCAGTCGAACACCGCTGTCCGGCTTGTCATGATGGTTTCCGACGATCTAGACATCGTGGATGCGGGCAGCAAGTCTATCATCAGCGAGAGGAAGCTGGAGTGGCAGAGAATCACGGACCCAGAGGTGCTGCAGAAGACGACGGCTTGTCTGGTCTACTCGAGCGGCACGACCGGGGTTCCCAAGGGTGAGTACATAAGCGGAAGCCCCAAACGTGCTCTATGCAGCAATACTCTCTTGACTAACCAATGCCCATACACAGGGGTTGTGACCACGCACGCCAACATTGTCGCCAACCTGTGCCAGATGGCGTTCTTCTTTGACCACTTCGCCGAGAAGGCCATCCGCGAGGGCGTCTACCTGCGCATGCCTGGCGTCATGCAGAACGCCGTTGCCGTGGGCATTTACGTCCAGACCATGCTGGCTCTCCAATGTGGCATGCAGGTCTACATGTTCCCAAAGTACGACTTCTCGTCCCTGATGGCGAGCATCAAGAAGTTCCAATTGTCGGCGTGCTTCATCGTGCCCGCCATCTGGAACCGCATCCTGCAGGAATGTACGAGGGAGGACGTGGCGAGCATTCGGTTCGCCATGAGTGGTGCGTCACCGCTGCCGCTGCCACTGCAGTTGAAGATGCACGACATGTTGCCTGAGGGCGTGGTATTGAGAGTCAACTGGGGAATGACGGAAACCGTGACCGCAGCATCCCAGCCGAACGTGACAGAGGTGGACAGGGAAGGCAGCTCGGGCAGATTATTGCCCAACATGCAGGCCGTGATCATGGGTCCGGCTGGTGAGAAGCTGGGACACAATGAGCCTGGCGAGCTCTGTATCAGAGGTGAGTGAGCTCGATAAGTACAGATTCGGCTTCTCTGACGTGACAAAGGACCAAACATCATCAAGGAGTACTTCAACAACCCTGAAGCGACCCGCGCAGCGTACACTCCAGACGGGTGGTTTCGGACAGGCGACATTGCCCATTTCGACAGGAACGGCAAGCTCTACATTGTGGGCCGCTCCAAAGAATTGCTCAAGTACAAATCCTTCCAGGTCTCGCCGACAGAGGTGGAGTCGGTCCTCGGCCAGCTGCCCGGCGTTGTAGACGTTGGCGTGATAGGTGTCCCGGATGGCCAGGGTAACGACTTGCCTCGCGCGTACGTGGTCAGATCCGACAAGCCTCCGCGGCTGGAGGAGAAGGACATCCACGCCTTCTTGAACCCGCGCGTGAGCCACTACAAGAGACTGAGAGGCGGTGTACGGTTCGTGGATGAGATCCCACGGAACCTCAACCAGAAGATCATGCGGGACGTGCTTAAGCAGTGGGTTGAGCGGGAACACGGGCAAAAGGACAATTTCAAGGCGAGGTTGTGACTGTCTGAATACCTACTGTAAGTGGCCCTTAGACGCCATACCTAGCTACATTGGGTACTGCTGCCACGACGGGAGTGTCCCTTCCTACACAATCGTCCATTAGACCTCTATCTCCTGAAATATCACACGCTGAATCAGCCACGCATCAACCTCAAGGGTGTCTTCTGAGCGCAATCGGTATTCAGCATTGTAACGGAGCCACGATGCTTGACCTCGCATGTGTGCACTGTCCACCTGGATCAGATCGATGAAGACGCCTGTATGGAGCTGTGCTCCAACACTTACTCTACGGAGCACTTCCTCCGAAGCTTGTCGCTGCTGGCACGGCCTATAGGCGGTCCGGGCTTCCAGCTGCCCGGCATGATTCACCCACGTCGAATCAACTCGAGCCCAGCAAGCCACAACTCGATTTAGGGCTGAAGGTGCCTTGTCGTAGCCCAGACGCGCTGCCGCCGTGCGTCCAGCCGCTTGCAGCCGCAACAGCCACGACTCCCCCCTTGATAGGGCCGATTGGGTAGCGCTCCCAATGCGGAAAGCGTTTGGCACGCCCGCGATCTCGCTACCAGCGTCCAGGCATTATGATACCCACTTCGAGATAAAACGGCCAGTGCGGCTACCCGTCATCGGGCACGCTCCAGACTACTGTGGTAGAAGGGGCGGCAGACTTGTGCGTCGATAAGTTTATCCATGCCGGTTGGCGACAAAGACGGCAACAGTCTCAGCCAGCCTCGAGTGACCCTTCCCCTTGACGCAGGAAAGGTACCGAGCCTCGACGCTGTGCGATGGCCTGGCCGGCCCACGAAGTCGAGTATAAACATGGCTACGAGCATGCGGACAAATCTGGCCACACCTCGACAGCCGTGTCTTCACTCCCCAAACCTCCACCATGCTCGAGTACATCAAAGAAACGCCCGCGGGGCAATTCCTCCGGTTCCTGGGCTTCCGGCAGCCATGGCTCACGTATCCAGAAGAGCAACCAGGCTTTATGCCGAGCGTGGTCTGCGAAACGAGGGCCTCTGCCTCCGAGACCGACCTGGAGAAAACCCTGCCCAAGGCATCCGCAACGATTCGAGCTACGGAGAAAGATGTAACGGCACGGTCTCCATTCCCGGATACCGCGGACACGGACGTCGCTGTCGTGGGCTTCGCGGAAAATGACCTCGACGATCCTCGCAATTGGCCTCACGGCAAGAAAATGTGGACCTTGACCGTGGTCAACCTGTACACCTTTTGCGTGTACTGTACGGCATCGATTGTCACGCCGACGGCAGAGGCCATGATGGTCCGCTACAATGTTTCTCTTGTGGTAGCGAGCCTCGGCCTGTCAATGTATGTTGTCGGATGTAGGTCGCCGCCCGCTGGAAGGATCCAAATGATCTGGTGCCGGTGCTGATACTCCTTGACAGACGCGGTCGGACCCATGTTCTTGTCGCCCATCAGCGAGATCCCTCGCATTGGCAGGAACCCGCCCTACCTGTACGGCTTCGCGGCATTCTTTGTCGTCTCCATTGCGCTCGCCTTTGTCGACTCATTCCCTGCCATCATCGTGCTCCGGTGGCTGCAGGGCCTTACGGGAAGTCCTGCCCTGGCCAGCGGCGCGGCGTCGATCGAAGACATCTACGACATATACACTGCGCCCTACGGATACGTGTGGTGGATTGCCGCCATGTACTGCGGCCCGGCCATCGGCCCGCTGATCGCAGGGTACGCCGTGGCCGACAACTGGCGGTGGCCCCTGTACGAAGTCATCATCATGTCCGGCATCATCTTGTGCCTACTACCATTCTTGCCCGAGACCTATCCTGGCACGATTCTGCTGCGGCGCGCACGACGACTCCGCAAAGCGACAGGCCAGTCCCGATACCAGACGGAAACCGAACTCCACCCCACCCGGTTCAGCAAGGTCCTCTGGGAAGCGCTGATCCGCCCGCTGGAGATCACGATGAAGGACCCCGCCGTCCTGTACGCCGCCCTGTACGGCGGCCTCGTTTATGCCACATACTATTCCTTCTTCGAGGCCTTCCCGCTCGTCTACCTGGGCACGTATCGCATGTCGCTCGGCGGGCTAGGCCTGATCTTCCTCAGCCTCATGACCGGCTGCATCGTCGGCCTTGCAGGGTATTACGTGTACCTGCGGTCGTGGTTCATCCCGCACGCGCGCAAGTACCACGCCGACAAGGGCAAGCCCGTCGAGCAGGAGGAGTGGCTGCGTCCGGGCCTCTTCGGCGTCTGGGGCCCGCCCGCGGGGCTGTTACTCTTCGCCTGGACCGCCCGCGCGGACATGCACTGGATCGTGCCTACGGTGGGGATCAACATATGGGCCGCGGGCAGCTTCTGCATGTTCCAGAGCATCATCTGCTACGTGGCGCTCGCGTACCCAAAGTACGTGGCCTCGCTGTTCGCGGCCAACGACTTTGTCCGCTCCATGATGGCCGCCGGGTTCGTCCAGTTCTCGCACTCCATGTACGTCGACCTGGGCATCGGCAAGGGCGTCACCGTCATTGCGAGCCTCTCAGGCGTGGGCGTCGCGGGCATGTATGGCCTGTATTACTTTGGCGCGTGGCTGCGTGCGAGGAGCAAGTTTACCGGTTAGTGCGGCTGTTGCGAGGTTGATTATTCAGGTTGCATTCGTTGTGTTTATCTAGCAGTCCATTAACAGCCATAATTACTGTGTACGTGGTTGTTGTCGAGCGTAGGGGTTAGCGTCCAGCGAGCGGGCAGCGTTCAGCATGCATACTTCCTGGGGATTGCGTACTGTACCACAGTACGTATGTAGGGGAGCCCGAGTCGAACTGTATGGAGTACTGTGCGATAGATCCCCATCCTCAAACATTTGTCAGCACGTTCAGCTTGCTTGCTCGCGCATCTATCTGCTCGTGCTCATGGTTACTGTACGGCCAGAGACGACACAGCGGCTATGTAGGTCAGCCCAGCGATTCGGGCAGCTCATCTACAGGCACCTCCATGGTCCAGTCGGTCATGTCACGCGTCGAACTGAAGCGACCTGATAAGACTACTTGACCAGCATGCATACATACCGCGAGCCAGCCGCGGTGGGTCAAAAGGAGCACCCATGTACAGTACCCATGTGCATAACCCGCGAGTCCTGTGAGATGAAGATACTGCGCACAGAGTACCGTAAAGCTACAGTAGACGAGTCGAGAGTCTCTACTGTGTACAGGTACGTACGTTCGAAGATAGACGGAGCCTCGTGAAAACCTCGACGGCCACGACGACACCCCACCACAGATCGTGTTGTATATCATGTTCGTGCTTGGAGAAACTTAACGTTCACCCCCTTCTTCCCCGTTCTTCCCTTTGCCTTCCAAGCTACAGTAGCAAGCAGCCCGTGGTAAGGGCCCTTCCAGGCAGCCACGAAGCCAGATCTGGGCAACCGGACATTCTTCTATCCCCGCGCCTCCTCCTCCTCCTCCTCCTCCTCCTCCTCCTCCTCTTCCTCCTCCTCTTTCCTGCACGTCCCCGCAACGGATGCGTTCCCCACGTTTTCCGACGAGGGAGTTTCCCCGGGCCCATGCTCCCCATGGAGTACCTTAGGTACTGTAACTAAGGCATCGGAATTACCTCCGTACTGGGTTCAGTATCTACCAGGTGGGTATGCATCCCTGGGAACCACGAGCTTCGGTACTACATGGAGCACGGCAGCCCATGTGGGGTCCCTGTCTAACCGGATCGAAAGTGATGGGTGACTGTCCTGTGTACTCCGTAGTGTGTAGTCTGTACCAGACGTGGTCCTGCATGTGTACTTTGCACCCATAGGTACGTGCCGACGACGACAGAGAATCGACCCCCAAATCTCGTCATTCGCCAACCTTACTGTTACTTACATCGTACTTACCAAGCAATTGTCGTCTTCACAGAGGTCGTGAAAGTCCAGTCCAGTGTGACGACGTGTCTTGTCTACGCAGCCCACGGAGCCTGTCCTGTTCTGCTTTGGTCTGTCCGTTCGAGCATGGATCCGGCCAAGTTCCCCGTCTCGGCGATCCCGCTGAACCACGCGCAATATGGGCCCATCACGGACGAGAACCTGAAAGGCATCAACGAGGGGAAAGTCGCGCTCGTGACGGGCGGTGCGAGAGGTGAGTCAGGCCAATCTCTCTAAGTGTGATGTAACGCCCTTACTGTGGTGATGTGGCTCCATGGTTGGCAATGCGTGGTCTGCGGAACCGTGATCATGACGATACAAAGTCATGTCGTGGTCACCGTGTCTCGGCAGAGGCTCTTGAAAAATTGGGTGCGATCGAGCACCAGGGTGTTTGGTGCTGGTGTCGGTGCTGGTATTTGAGGTGCTGACGACCGCACGATCTCTAGGCATCGGCCGCGCAATCAGCGTCAAACTCGCCATCTCCGGCGCCAGCATTGCCGTGCTGGACAGATTGGAAGACGAACTGGCCGAGACGGCGAGATTGTGCGAGGAGCACGGCGCCAGGGTCAAAACCTACGTCGTCGATGTCACGGATGTGGAGGCCCTGAGGGGCGTGTTGAAGCAGGTCGAGAGTGACTTGGGAGAGATCGAGTGAGTTTCCATCAATCCACCCACCTATGGATCTAGCTCCGGCCCTTTCTTTCCTGTGCCTGGACCTATGCTGTACATCGTCCCAGGACACTGGCACACTGCATTGCATCCCGAGGGTTGAGCAAGCAAGCGCAGCGGATGGTTTCACATGTCCAGCCTGTGCCACACACTAACAGAGCGCCCGCAGTATCCTGGTCAACAACGCGGGCGTCTCGCCCGGCAGACCACAGTGGATGGAATCGTTCGAAGACTACTGGCGCACCATTGAGATCAATTTCAAGGCGGTACGTCTATCTTGCCGTCCCCTTTCCCGAATATCAACCTCAATCACTCACACTCACGGGCCCACAGACCATGGTCACGAGCTGGTACTTGCTGCCCAAGTTCCGGGAGCGCAAGGCCGGCGTCATCATCAACATTGCCTCCCGCGCTGCAACAGTCGATTTCCCCTTCGCGGTGGGTTACAACAGCTCCAAAGCGGCCGTCGCGCGCGCCACGAGCACGCTGCAGGAAGAAATCGAGCTGGACGGCCTGGGCGACCAGATCCAGCTTTATGCCCTGCATCCGGGGGGTGTGCCGACTGCTATGGCCAAGAGTGCGTATACCATACAGACAGTAACCCTTTAAGTGCTTGCCCAGCTAACCCGACTTCAAAATCTGTAGAGGAGATCCGGCAGGAACTTTTGGAAAAGTACCCCTCCCTCGTGTCGCACGGGACGGATTTCCAATCACTGTTCAAGGACCCGCCTGAACTCTGCGGCGCCACGGTCGCGTATCTTGCTGCGGGCAGGGCGAAGGAGTTGAGAGGTATGTATTGGGATTGTCGGCAGGATGTTGAACGGGTGAAGGCCTATGGGCGGGAGAAGTTGCAGAAGGAAGGGAGGTATACGCTGAAGATGCAGTTCTTGGACGGTTATGAGAACGAGCCGTAGTCTTACGATAAGATGAGATCGGGCTCACAGGAGGCTTGATAGTTTGATGTTGATGTTGACAATGACGGCAAAACAGATGAAAAGTTCTCAGTCCATGCATGCTTCTGAGCAAAAGGTAAATTCAGCCATTCGATCTCCGATATCTGACTACCTCAGTTGCTCTGTACACCTCCAGACATGGCCACTGGCCTGCTTCACGCTGGACAGCTTAATTTAACCTCCTTCAGCTCCAGAGTGATCTGTCTCCAGGTGCAACCACTTCAACGCGTTGTGCTTGTGCCAGAAATATCGGTACTTCTTGCCAAACACATACATTGGGATGGCAAGGAGACACAGGAACCCCGTGATTCCAGCCATGATGCCTGCCATGTCGATGGCGCCTGTTGTAGCGTACCAGTCAATAACGTAGTTGGTCAGACCGTAGAAGAAGAAGTTCTTGAAAACCCTGGAAAGCACCCGTTAAAACAAGACATCGAGATTTGGTTAGAGGGCAAACTCACATGTTCATGATAAACAACTCGGTGCTGTTCTGTCTGTAAGCGTCAAGAGCCCACTGTGTCGCAAAGCTGGCGATGACGGTCATGCCAAAGAGGATGATCGCCCATATGAAGCAGACCAGGTAGACACTCTTGAATTCACTGACAGCGTAGCCCCAGCCGACGAGACCTGCAACTGAGCAGACACCTCCCAGACTGATGGGGAGGAGGGCAAATTCGGGCTCGTAGACGCCCTTGTTGCGCCTCGTCATCGATTTCACCAACGGCTCCGAGATGACGAGCGAGAAGATCGCGCCGATGAGACCACCGATGAAAGGGCCCACCGACATATATCCCACAGAGGCTGAGGACAGAAGATAGGGTGGCGAGGCAAAGACAACACCGGACAAGATGGCCACCGCAACGTACCAAGCAATGATGACGCCGGTCATCAAAACTTGGTAAGTAGCCCCCACGTTGAGGAGAATCGCGACCGAGGCGATTGCCATTTTCCATACCGAGTCATCCACGAAGGTGCCATTGTAGACGGCGAGCTCTTGGAACCACGTCTTTTTGGGAGGGATCGAATCGACAGATGCATGTGAGGCCGAAGTCATCGTCTTCTCAAGATCTGCACCAACTCTGTGATCGTGTCGTTCGACATGATGTGCAGCGGCGGATTCGATTTTAGCGAGTTTCTCGAGATTCTCCTCGGATCCGGCCGTGTCGGTCTCGTAGATGGCTTTGCGTCGGTACATTGTCTCCGGGCAGTACAGGACGACCGCGATTAATTGGAGGGCCGCAAAGGGAATGTAGATATGGAAGTTGTACTTCCAGCCAAGATACTCGGTGATGACTCCGGCGATGATCGAAATCCCGTTGGAGATGGCTGCCAGAAGAAAGATCACAACGGCGACTCTGGGGCCTCGCTCATGCACGAAGAAGATGTCTCCGATTGACGATACGGCTAGGGATTCGTACGCGGCAATACCAATGCCTTGAAGGATACGGCCAGCCAGTAGTACGTTGTAGCCAGTCGCGACCTCGGACACGATGACGCCAATCGTGCCAATGAGCGAGGAGAAGACGTACATGGGTCGCTTGCCATATTTTCGGCCCAGAGCGGATGCGAATGGACCCATGGCGCCAGTGGCAAGAAGACAGTAGCCGGAGAGTTTAGCGACATCAGTGGGTGACCGTTGGAGATCGGCAGAAATTTGAACGATGCCAGCGTTCAAGAGGGGCCCCTGGGGAAACAGTAAGCCGCACAGAGAAGGTAGTACCTGAAGCAGGCCACTCACAGGTATCACACCGACAATGATAACCCCAAAGAAAATAACGGCCAGCACGATATGTTTCTTTGCGGACGACCAATTCAGTGGGTCATTGGGATCTTCGGATGGCTGTGGTGACAGCACGATATTCGCATTCTTGCCAGTTCCATGCTTCAAGCGCCCCGTCTGATCCTCAGAGTGAGCAGCCTGCTGGTCCAGGAGAACTGTTCCAGGAACATGCGCGGTGGTGTTCGCCTCCAGCACGCCTAAACCCATGATTGATATCCGTCACGGAGTAAGCTTCGGACAGGATGATCTTTGTTATTCCAACAACGAAGGCCGACCTTGACGCGTTCAACCTCGACGCGAAACCCGACATCTAATATGTATGATATCAAAGAATCGGGGTAAGGTGGAGAGCAGGCCAGATTTTCCGGGGCGCGTGGCCGCCTAACTACCCCTGTCCGAAACCTGGGGATCTCCCTACCCCATCTTTCCTTGTTGGACCAATCCATTGTCTGTACGTGGTTAGAAGCGTTCAGTCATGACGGCACAATTGCCTTGGCAAGCTCGTGGAAGTTGGTAAATGGTATGGCCTAGCCCAGGCTGTGGAGACAAAAAGCTTCGCGCGGCTGGTGGAAGTTTGATTATATTGGCGGATGAGGTTCTGACCATGCGAGCGAGTCGCTGCAGGGGTCGCCTGCTCCGAGATAGTCACCGAATTTCCTAATAACCAGGGGAGATAGGCGAGCTGAAGCTCCCCAGAGCTGTGGGCCAGGCGTGGCTTCAGGGTTCTGCTGACCGCTAGATACGGAGATGGGTTGGAGCAAACTTGGATCCCAGTAAACAGGAACCAGCAACTGGTACTGTATGTCGGGGGAGATTTTGAAGCCTTGCATGACGGCTCACAGTCCGTCCCCTGCTGGGAGTCTGGACCAAGGATCGTTATCGTTCTCCCCTCCCGTACCTCGTACAGCGCACTGCTTCCTAACCGATACGCGCCAGCGGCGGACGCCATGATCCAATCCAGAAGTGGATGTCTTCCAACCCGCCAAAGATATCGGAGACCTCAGAAGGAGGGTCTCAGTCCCGCTGCCCTGGCTAGTAGATACCTGGAATGATCCTCCACTTGACACGCTTGCAGTAGAGCTCCCAATCTTTCCCATACTTCTTCCGACACTTCTCCTCGTCTCTGAGCTGTCGGTGCACTAGTAATACGCCGAAATATATAACATAGAAGTAGCTGAATATGACTCCCCAGCCACGTACGTCTCCTTGCACAACCTCTCTCGTTATGTTACCGGTGACAGGATTCTGATATCTGTTGATGATATATCCGGCCACGCCAGTCGGAAGTGAATAGCTCCAGGACATGATCCAATCGCCAAGGTAATTGATATGTCGAGCGGTACCCCACCATCCAGATACCAGAAGCTTGGAGCCGGATTCAGTGGTCATCGTCTCCAAGTGTGAAACACGAGGGTCATTTGGGTTGGTGCGGAAACGGTTCTTTTCGTTGTTGGCACCCCGGAAGATGTAGTAGCCCAGAGCTTGAACCGCCAAGACCCCAGCGATGCCGGTAACTCCAAGAGTCAATGGGTAGACGGCAAGGTAACGGGTTTGCAGACTATAAATGAAAGGTACCCAGGTCAGATCGCCAAAGGCGAGCATGAAACCAAACCCATCGGTCGTTACGTCGATGGTGGTCATAATGGCTGGCTCCATGTACAGGGCGTCCATGACATAGAGCACCTGGAAGAAAGTGACCAAAAGGATAGAATCGGTCATATATCCGTGAGTCTTGTACTGATGAGCGACAAATGCCAGGTCGAGTATTACCCAATTGAGTAGACCAGGCCTCATTTCGTTGAAAACTTTGATATCAATGACCTGACCACCGGCGACCGGGATCCATGTGGGCATTGCGATGCGCGGGTTCAGTTCGCGGCCAATGAAGAAGTCATAAAGCATGTTTCCGGTATGTCCACCTTTAGCAAGCTCCCGGTGCTCGGGGTTGGGCTGACCAGGGTGAGGAACTGAGAATGATGCCAGATAGACGTAAATTGCTTGGGCGTAGGAGATCAGGAGGTTTGCGGTGACGACTTGAGGCAGGTTGTCCCAGATGTATGTCCACACCACAAAGTCGGCGCCCTGAAGAGCCGTTCCGGCACCAAGGCCGGCAAGGATGAGGAGGGCTGAGTTGAAAGAATTGAACTTATAATGGTGTCTACCTCCTGTACCGAGCGTGGTGCCATCCACTTCTTCGCCAGGCAGGAATAATTGCAGGGCAAGACTGAGAGCATAATATGCCAGAACCCATAGTGTGACTTCGAGATCGAACAGACCTGCAATTCCGTTCTCGGGCCAGGGTGTTTGTTTCTTCAGCTTCTCGAGTGTCAGTGTCTTAGGGTCGAGCAGGGCGGGCGCAGGGCATCCCGAAACGTCGTTGCAGAGAAAAACAGTGGCATAGACCACTATGGGCAGAAGGAAGATGATTGCGGCAGCGCCGGGACTGTCGAGTATCAGCAATCCATCACAGATGGAAGGGACAACCACAATACTCACGGACCAAAGAACTCATACTCATGCTTTTCTTCTGTACGAGTCTTGCTCTTCGAGCTGTTTAGGACTGCCATTACGGCGGAATGGAGTGGCACAAGAGAACGGTCGCCAGCAGTGACAACTCATTGGATGCAGACCATCAAACGAGTGACATAAGAGAGAAACGTGAACGATCGTGCTTTTACATCTGTATGTGAAATGCAAATGAAGCAGAAGTGAGTTACCGGAGACGCAGCAGCCGAATGAGATCATCATCTGCGATCGCCATCAAGTGTCTCGGAAAGGCTGCATCGCGTCAAGCCGAAACCTTTTTGCGGGCGAAGAGACCACGAGTACACAATTATATTATACTCGTACGTTCCAAAGCGAGGTCCGCCGTTGAGCAAGTGAAGGGGACCGAGCTCGAAGGCTCTGCGGGAATCCTTCATATCGAAACGAACACGAGCTGCATTTATTTGTTGTCCACGCTTGAGCCGAATCATTAGGCCCTGTCCTGCCGCTGCAGGAACGCATCATTTCTGCTCCTGCGGCAAGTAGCGCAGGCAGCCACAGGCTAGTCGCCGTGCATGAGAGTTTGCTGTTAAACCTTTTACGCTTCCTTCAATGTGTCCCCTTTCGTTCACGTTGCCCTCATCAGAGGTCATATTCCGTCGTGAATTCCACATTGCAGGTGCAGCATTTACTTGTTCGCGCCGTCTGCGATCGTTATCCCTGTCTTCTTCTTGATCGCACGTCCAGCACGCCGTCTGCCAGCCATGCATCTCTCCACATCGCTCTTGGCCCTGCTCCTCTCATCATTACATTCAAGTTTCGCTGCAGCCGATGCAAAGCCCCCACCGAAGCCATGTACCATCCTCTCTCCATCCACTGGCTCGTTCTTTGACCTGCGGTCATTGCAATTGACTCCCGAGGGCACGAAATACCAGGCTGCGAGCAATGAATCCTATCATGCCAAAGGTTACGATTATCCTGCAAATTTCACCCTCAACTTCTGCGGACCCGTTGTCGAGTCGTTAGAGGACGTGGAAGGAGTTCCCACAAGCCGTCAGAAAAATGTTTCGGCCTTTTACAAGGACCAGCGAGGAGACATATACAGCATTGGCCAACAAAATGACCAATTACTTTTCCGCGGCAAGAAGCTGCTGTTGAACTATACCATGGGCTCGCCCTGTCCCGAACTCGACGAGGACGGGAATCCCATTGACGATGACTTCGTCGTCAAGAAAACCAGCAAAAGGCGGAAGTCCACCCTCATGACCTTCGCTTGCGATACCTCTCCCCTCCTTTCAAATCGGCCCATTGTGAACTTCCTCGGTTCACCCGATCACTGTACCTATGTCTTTGAGATCCGCTCCCGATCCGCTTGCGGTGGAACAACTCAGTCGGAGGAGAAGGGAACGCTAGGTCCTGGCGCTGTTTTCGGTCTCATCGCAGCCATCGCTCTGCTAGTCTATCTCATCGGAGGTATTGTCTACCAACGTAACGTCCTGCACCAGAGAGGATGGAGACAACTGCCCAACTACACTATGTGGGCGGGTATACACAGCTTTTTCTCGGTTAGTCCTCTCTTGCTTTTTCCTCTCCCCCTTGCGTTTGCATGCTGTCTCCCTTACACATGGTGCAACTTACAGAGGCCCTTTTCTTCGGGGTTACGCCACACCCGCTACATGCCGGCTGGGAGAGACCACGCCTGGAAACCCGATAGTGCCTGATCACCTGCAGCTAACCTCATATGCTTTCGACCGTATTTTAGGACATGTTTGTCATTCTATTCTCCTCATGCACACAACGTATGCCGGGAGGTGTCACGCAACTCTTTGCTGGTCGAAGAGGGTACCACCGTGTCGGCACCGACGAGCGACACCCTGGACGTGGCCGCACTCCCGACGACGAGAATCGCCTAATTGATCAGCTCGACGAGGAGTGGGAGGACTGAGCATGACTGGACAGAAGAAACTAATTGCATGCTTGACACATGAGACACCCTTGCGTGTACATCTGATGGTATATAATGCCGACGTGGTCCTCAATATACGGTCCTTCAAAGTATGTGAATCTTGCAGCCATATGTCCTGCGGGGGTGTCATGCTTTATACGCGTCCGTTTTAAACAGAGTCGAGTCCAACTCGACACGACCCAGCGACCTTCACGTCTGTCCACCAGTCCCAGAGTTTTGGTCTCCAAACTGTCCACCGACGTCGCTTCCGCCTCCCTGACCAAGATCACTCAGATCCATTCCATCGAGCGCGGTGTTTCCGAACTCCTCCATGCCACTACCCCCAAAGCTCGGCGGTTCAATGTTGAAAGGCAACAACCAAGCTGACGAACTGGTGTCCATCGTCCCGTGCCCTCCTGCAAAAGGGTCGTTCAAACCATATGTGGTCAAGTCCAACTGATCCCAGGGATTTGTGCTTGCAAAATTGCCGATTGGAGGAGAGCCGAGGTTGTTGAGCCCTGAGGAGGCGTTATGGCTGCCGTGGTTGTTCGATATGGAGGGATCGAGGCCGCCGCCATAAGCTGCGCCATATACCATCTGCCGATCAATTGCCGGCAACGTCGAAAGAAAATGAAGGTTGCCGCCGAACTGGGGAGACGTCGGAGAGTTGCCATAGTTGTAGGGATCGGGGAATTGCGTGTTTTGATACAGCGAGGGCGAGGTGATGTCGAAGCTGGAGAGGTCGAAGGGTTGGTTGAGGTGGATATTCAAGTTGAGGTCGCCAGCTGTATTGGAAAGGCGCTGGTCCGTTAGTGTTTGCGACGTGGATTGTCGCCTTTGCGGATCTTGACCAGAAATCGACGGACCAGCGCCTTTGGCCGCAGACGAAGAGCTGGCCTTCCCCTTGTCTCCGTCCTTGGCTTTCTCGTCCTTGTCAGTCTTCTTGTTCTCTGCCACGCTCTTCCCCCTCCTTCTCGCGACTTTCTTGTTGCCTCTTCCGATGGTGTCATCTGCCTTGGACGGCGGACTGAGACTCGCGAAGAACTCCTCGACACTCTGCAAGTCACTTCGTTGGCTCATCACGGCCTCGGCACCGCCGTGCGCGTGCTCACTCCTGTACTCGAGGTGCGACTTCTCCCATTCGCTCTCCGACACCCCGTGCGGGTACTTGTCGAACCAGTCACCGTACTGGAACATCGACCCGGCCTTTGCCTTTTCCCCATCTTTGCTTTTGGTCGGGTCTGCGGGTGTGTCCGACCTCGACGGCGGATTCGTATTGCTTGTCAGCGTCGCCGTGGCATCCATGTCCATCGGCGTCTGCGTCCCGCTTCTCCCGCCCGGGCCGCCAGCAGAGGAGTGCCGTCGCAACATACTGGTCGGCAGTCCCGCGCTGTTCCGCGCGTGTTGAGCCTGACGGAGCGCCGAGTCCGCGAACGCGCGGTAGATATCCTTGACACTCTCGGCCATGTAGTGAAACATGCCCCAGTATCTCTTCATGCGTGTCAAGTATTTGTAGTTGTGCCTTAGGCTGTCCTTGCTTTGTTGTTCGAGGGCGCTGTTCTTGCTAAAGATGCCCCACACGTGCACCGTCGCGGCGGCGTAGGCGCAATAGCCGGCAAAGGGGACTGTGAGGGTGTGGCCTGTCGAGTCGGCGATGAGCTTGCTGATGAGTGAGGCGGATTCGAGCACGATGTTCGCCGAGCTCGTGAGGAACGGTTTAGGCATACCTTGCTGGGTGTAGTAGTGGTGGTGGGGCCGATGGGATGGGTTGGTCGGAATGGCGAAGCGATGCAGGAACAGGCTCGTCTGGGCGAGCACGATGTGTAGGAAGAGATACTGGTTCGCGAGACGCTCGGAGGTGTGTGTTGCGAGGTTCTCGGGCGTATAGGTGATGTCTTCTGGCAGCGAGGATTTCAGCTGATTGATCTGGCGTTGCAGAGTTGCGAATTGGGACAATGGGTCCCAGATGGGGTGGGGGTCCTTGTCTTTGCCGCCTAGGTTCAAGTATTTGACGATGCGTTTCCAGAGAACCACGCCACGGACAATGTATGCCGCGACGCCCATGTTTGCCTTTGCTTCGGCGGCAAGCTCGTTGGCCGCGGCGGTATCGAGTGACGACGACTTGTTGGACATGGGCACGTTGCCGTATAAATCCTCCGTCGGGCCGGGGACTTCCATCTGGAAATGCGATTCTTTGATCGGCAGCTGGATCTGGTAGTAGTCTTCATTCAGGAATGAAGGTCGCTCCGTCCCCGAGGAGTTGAACGTGTCCATCAGGTAGCACGCCCACATTGTGCGACGGCGGATCTCGCGGTCCGTGAAGGACAGCTCTGGTGGCTTGGGACCTTTCTTACTCTCGTTTGCATTGTTGGCGATTTGATTGCGGCCGAGAGGATCATGGTCGAGTTCTCGGTGCAATTGAAGTGCGTAGCCCATCCGCATCGCCTGGCCGCCAAAGGACCACGATAATCCGCCTTCGCACGTCCCGAAGTAATGCAGCCCCAGCATCAGCATTGCTGTGAGAATTGTGATGTTCGGTTCATAGTGACGCTTTTCCACAATGCGTCGCGCGGGAGTCGCCCACTGCTCCCCACGGAGAAACGCCGGTTCGGTGGAGACTTGTGGGTGAGTCGAGAACCTGGCTGAAATAGCACAGACGGCCAAGATAAGCACCGGCGGGATTGTCCCAGCCTTCAGCTTGCGCATGAAGCTGGGTTTGTGTAGCAGGAGGTAGGATTGGCCGTAGACGCAATCGAAGAAGACTTCGGCGAGGTGTTCTTGGATGTGTTGCGGTGGCAGAGATTCTGAGCCCTCGATGAATAGTTTGTTCTCGCCCTCGCGCTGTTTGCGTAATCCGGCCGTCGGGTCGAGGAGAGTGGTTTTCTCGCGGGAGTTCCTCCAGTCGCTAAGTTCTTGGGTAAATGCTTCGTCTGCGGAGCGCTTTTTGGGTTGTTCTTTCTCCTTCTTGGGTGCCTGGCCTGGAATTGGAGGTCGCACTGAAGCCCGACCCGTGCTGCTTAGGTCGGGAAGTTCATCTTTAGGGATGACGCGGATGACACGGTCCTCCATTCGCTTCAGCCGCTTGTCCAGCATGGCCATATAGTCCGTGCGCGGGGCAGCTTTTCTAGTGGTGACCTTGTAGACACAAGGTATCCGAGCACGGAGACAGTGCTTGCAAGCGGGCTTTTCGCCCGAACATCTGATCTTCTTCCTCCGGCAAGCAATACAGGCCAGGGGAAGCCGCTTCCTTTCCTTCCCTGCTTTCGTCTTCAACTCGCTCCATGCGGGCGGCCTCTCCTCCTCGCCCTGCGACTTCTTCTCCTGCTCGCCGATGCTAGCTGGAATCCGAGGTGAAGAATCGGCATTGCTAGGTGCCTGGTGTCCTGAGTTTGTTGGGGCCCATTGACTCAAAGCCGCTGAGCCGAAGAGATCGCGGTCAAAGGCAGAATCAATGCTTGCTAGGCTGGCGCGATGTTGGGGACTCGGGACCTTGCCATACGCGGGCATGGAGCCTCGCCCAGCAAACCCTTGATTCTGGCTCAGGCGCAGATCTGGGGGAGCATCGATGCCACTATTGCTAGAACCATGAGGACTGCCACCAAACGGAAAGCTGAAATCAACGGAACCAGGAGTCGAGGCATCAAAAGCAGATGTGTTCGACTGCGGTTGAGGCAGGCTGTCCATGCGGGGGTTTGGTATCATGTAGCCCGAACACGACAACAAATTATTCCTCTGGTCGCCTCGAGCAAATCCGGCTTGATTCGACGAGCTCGTCATGATTTAGAGAGATGTTATGGGCAGGCGACAATCAGCGGCTGCATGTTCCCAATTTGAGACGAGAGCTCAGACGCGCAACATGTCAGATCTCACGTGGAGAACAAGGATCATGTGCACGGTGCCGAGGCAGCTGAAAATTCGCAAGAGCAGCGCGAACTCGAGCCGCGCCCAAGCATGTATCTGGCTATGATCAGGACAGTGGTCTCGTCACGACATCGAGGACGACGAGGCTGAGGGATTATGAAGTGATGGGATCGCGGAGAAAGTCAGAGGTGTAGTGTAATGGTCGAGGTCCGAATCTTGCGAAAATGTGGGAAAGTAGAAGCGGGTAAGCGTTCGCTGTGGATTCGTGGATTCGTTCGTGGCTTGCCCTCTTGAGGAAGAAACCGGGGTAGAGCTTGGTGGCTCTCGGCCACAGTCAATCAGGGTGTCGACAATAGAGTCTGGACCAGTCATGGAGTGCCAGAATGTAATGATGATGATCGGTGGCGTTTGCGTGTAGACAGCTAAATTGGATCAGGCTGGAGTTTCTTCCCCATGCCGTCACCTGGGAAGGAATGCTTGTCCACCTTTTGCGAGATAGCCTACAGTAGTGTGAGCTCTCTCCTTCCCTCAAGACCCTGAAGATGTGACGACGCTGCGACGGGCAATTCAGGGCTTGTCGCCGTATGTCAATAGGCTAAAATGGTCGTGATCGGTGGCGCGGAGGCTGTCCGTTGTGGGGAGAAGAAAACTCGCCGGGAGGATCAATCAAGTTCACAGTCCCCATGGTACAGCGCGAGGATCGCCGGCGGGCTTCGTGGCGGAGGAAAGTCGATATGCGGAACTCCCGTGGACGGACGCCGAGTTTGCGTGATTATACAGAAGACATATGAACGCCTGCGCCGTATCTGTGAGTAAAGATTGGGAGACATTGGCCTGTCTTCGACTTGTTGATAGGGCTTGCTGCCAACGGCAGAGCACCGCGATGCCGCCGGGGACCCCCAAGCGTGGCTGGTGTCGGACTGTGGGGCCCCCTAGGCACTTCTTAGGCTTCGCCAGAGTTTGTCTGAGTCCCCAATAGGCGGGCTGATTAGGCGCGTGCCTCGCCCAAGACGCTTTTCCAGGGCTTTTGCTTTTCATCCCCTTCGCACCATTGCCCTGTTGCATCGCCATCACTGTCGTTGTCGCCGTCGCCATTTACTGTCTGATCTTGCCTGCTATCAATCATGGAAAGCCTTTCGCAGCAAGCGCCGTCTTCGATCGCTACTCTCACAAGTGATGTCCTCTTTAGCCGAGCAGGTGGCTTATGCCGCATTGGCTAGGTTCAATTCATTACCCGAAAAATGTAAGCCTCGCACGCTGGCTGATGGCAGGAGAGAATGGACTCCCATGTCAGCGGTCGTTCTTGTGGCGCAGAATGGAGGGGCCCATGATCTCAACTGTGTCTCGTTAGCAACTGGAACCAAGTGTCTTTCGGCCTCTGCAATGCACAAGTGCAAGGGCTTGGTGCTACATGACTCTCATGCGGAAGTCCTGGCATTACGCGGGTTGAACCACTGGCTACTATCAGAAGTGCAGGCAATGCTGCAAATTCCAGCTTATCAATCACCGTATCTCGAATTCTGTCAAAGGCAAAGTACTCTGACTGACGAGGAAGACTGCGCCCAAGTCGACGGGCCACCGTTCAACATTAAGGACAATATCAAAATCTGCTTCTTCACCACCGAAGCTCCATGTGGGGATGCATCGATGGAGCTATTGATCGAGTCATTCCCTTCCAGTGCGGCAACGCCATGGCCAGCTGATGGTCAAAGAGACATTCAGCTGCAAGGCCGTGGTCATTTCTCGCTGCTGGGTTACACCCGCCGCAAGCCCGCACGTGCAGACGCAGAACCAAGTCTGTCCAAATCCTGTACGGACAAGCTGGCGGTCAAACAGTTCACAAGCGTCCTCTCATTCCCGGCCGACCTGTTCATTCAAAAGTCCGCCAGTGCCTTCATACAATGTGTGGTGGTTTACACTAATCAGTACCACGCCACAGGCTACGAGCGCGCGTTTGGTCGAGCAGGTCGTCTATCTCAGCTCAGCAATACTGGTCACTTCTTCAATGTCGAACCCCTTCCTGCCGATTTTCCACGCTTCACCTTTGATAAAAGGCAGCAAAGCTCTGGCGCTCTGCCGAAGACCACATCGAAAGTGACCAACATTTCGGCTTTGGCGATTCGAAGGAACAGACCAAACAAATCAGACGTCGTCGAGGTTCTCGTCAACGGAGTAAAGCAAGGCTACAAGCAATGGGATGAAAGATCGAGCAAAGCCAGCGTCGTCTGTAGGAAGAACCTATGGGATCTTGCGCTAAGTATCAGCGATCAGCTCGGAACTTCCTGGGTTGCCGAACAAACCACAGGCGCACCAGCACATCCAAAGATCGATTGGTTGGGTGATATTCAAGGTGCACTTTCAGCAAATACATATGACGATGCAAAATCGTCGTGTCTGAGAGGACGTCCCAGGCACTGCAGAAAACGGGTCACCGATGTTCTTGGGAACTGGTGCAAGAACACCGGCGACGGCAACTGGTGCCAGAGTTGACTCGGCCGTAAGTCTTGCTGATTGCAGAGTTCGCAGCGTCCTCTTCTAACATATTCGGCCACTTTTCACTTCCTCAAGTCCAGAATCCTAGCCATGGCATCGATTCTAACACTGGAGAAGATTCACCTGCCCTGCCTGTGCTTCGTTAAGTTGACGACTGCTTCCACCTGTCACTTCTGCTGCACTCCGATCTCTTCTTGTTGATATGACCCACTATTCTTGATCCCGCGGATTTGGAAGAGTTGTACCCTTCTGCCTCTATTGCGATCAAGTTTCACAATGCGTGTTGACTTGTGAGTATGATGCAATCTGGTTATCGACCATAAGTACTTGCCCATGGTCGAGCACTGTTCAAGAGGGCATGATCGAGTCGACTTGAGTCGCGAGACGCGTCGGTAACTGGAATCAATTTCTTCCGACCATGCAGTCGTGATGTGTTTCTTCAACTGCCTCTACCTTCACGCTCCATGACATTGTCACTATCTACACGTCAGGCAGCAGCAGTTGATCTCAAGACCTCAGCTGCCTCTTGCGACCCGGTTCCGAACTATATCAACAAGATCCTTTGCCTACAATGACTTCCACTACTCTTGAAGAGGACTGTTTCAAAAATCACTCTAACAGAAAAATCTCATTGTTGTCCGACACGTACTGGACTCACGATGCCGGATTTCACACTCGCCTTTCGGCCGGCCTCTTCTAAAGGTCTCACTCGACCAAGCTCAAAGTCACATCTTCGGACAACTGCATCGTCTGCAAAACTTCGCCCAGCGACTTCAAGTCCCAGTCTTCGTGCTCCTCCAGCCCCTAATGCCGGATCGAAGAGTACTCCTCCTATTCTGAAACCCCCACAGTCGCGATCACAACTGACGCCTGTGAACACTGACAGAATCAACAAACCTGGCGGGAGGAAGGTGGTCATCAGAGGGCCTCCGGCCAAAGTCACGTTGAAAGCCGAGAAAGGGGTAGAAGACGAAGTTGAGCGCGCAATCGAAGAGGAGAGCTGGGCCTTTCCTTGAAGACCATCTAAGGCATGAGGCGAGCATGAAGGAATTGACGCAGAGCACAGAGATCTTCGAAATAACACCCAAGCAATCTATTCCCAGAATGAGGCAGCTCGCCGAAAACGAAACAGACGAGGAGACCATCAAGAAGCTGACAGCACAAGACGTGCCCACAAACATCTATTTCCATGTCTCTTGCAGATCATACAATGGAGGAGTGCCCATCAACGCGACTGTTGTGGTCCTTGTGAATGACTATCCTCATTTCGCTGCGTTCTCGAGAGGCCTTCGGACTCAATATGGTCAATTGCCGGGGATGGTTCTCCTCCGAAGACAAAATCCCAGACACTGGTTATTCCAAAGCGAGATTGGAGGAGTAGACATGCACTCTCATGCGCCAGGTGGTGGTCAGGCATTTGCTAAACATTGCAGGCCGGAAGATGCAGAGCAAACGTACCTGGGGTTTCTTGACTTCATGGCGTGGAAAGCGAAAACTGATGTCGAGCAGGCGGTCCAGGCAGCCAAGAAGAGACTTGCGCTTGCCAAAGCGATGCGCAAGGGAGTGGCGGAGTACACGGCGGAAGGCAAGAAGAGAGAGTTCCCGGAGTTCCACGTTCCCAATGCTGTCAATGTGCATGGGTATGTGGATATATTCTTCTGACCATGTGTTGATGCCGCTGTCGGTCAGCACTGCTGATCTGCCGCAGGAGAGACATTGAAGGAGAGGCACTGAACGAGAGGCACTGAAGAAGAAGCACCGTATTATGAATCCGGTGAATTGGTTCTCGTGACCATGTTGAAGCTATGGCTGTGGGTATGAGTGGGTTGGAATGAATCATGAGAGGTTGTGCAGTACCATAGTTTTGTACTACGGATGTCAATTAACGACGAAGATGAAACTTGTTCCCATCCACGCATGTGCTCGCAGAGCTGATGCATGCGTCATGTTGGGACCGAGAAGTTCGTTCTCTATCGAGTGCCAGTGTGTATTGTCTTCTTCTAGTCTATCCATCGAACTCTAGGTTATTGCTTGTGCTTCTCGAGAGTAGCTTTATTCAATGCTGATAACTCTTGACCTCATCGGCTGCAGCCATACAATCCTCCAACGTCCGCCAAAACTTGTCCAGATCAAGAGTCCTCGGAATCCTGACGCCCTGGCCATTCTCCGATCTTGTGATGACCGTCCTTCCAACCTGTTCACCTTCCAGAATGACGTCGACATCCCATCGCTCCCCGCCACTGTCGTCGAACTCGATTTCGAAGTTCGGATCCGAGTGACAACTCAAAATTGCAGCGACAGCTAGCGGGTCATGCAAGGGCGGCCCGTCCGCCAACCCAAACACCTCGGCATAGGTGTGGGCGAAGAACATGAGCAGCTCATTGAACATCCTCCTCAGCCTCGTCGGTCCGTTGATACCATTCAAAAGCATGTCTTGTATCTTTGGCGTGGCGTATGCTTGGTGCGTTACGTCCAGCGGGATGAGTGTCGTCTTTGGCCTGAGCACGGGGTTTTGGAGCACAGAACGAGCAGACTCGGGATCGGCCCAGATGTTGAACTCTGCAAAAGGAGTGCGATTGCCTGAGCGGGGATGGGCCGTGCCGCTAATGTCAAGGTAAGGCTGGCCCATCTTGTAAGGGGTTGATGAAGTCAGCGCCGGCCCTGGACCAGAAAGACCGGGGTCAAACAGCGCCGGTTTGACCACTTTCAAACGGTGCAAGATATAGCGTGGTCTCAGTCATGGCAGACAGAGTCGTAAGTGGGTGAAGGACTTACTGAGATGTGGGTGAAATCGGAGCCGATTGCTCCGCCCATGATGGACAATCCAGCAATGTGGTCTGCGAGGCTGGGGAAGACGGCAAACAACAAAGCGATGTTGGTCAGTGGACCTGTTGCCACAAGCCATGCTTTGCCTTTGGGCTGGGCAAAGAGAGCTTCTTTTATCTCCAAGATGGCATTGCAATGGGTCAGCGCATACCGACTTGGTTCAGGGAGCAGATCCGTCCCAGCTAGTCCGCTTGCTCCGTGGATATCAGGAGCGGTGTGAACCGTCCGGCAGTATGGCTTGGACGCGCCGGGGAGAACGGGAATCTCAGGTTTTCCGATTGCTTCCAGGACTCTCAGAGCGTTGACTGTGCATTTCGACAATGGCGCATTGCCGTGCACTGTGCTCACTCCGAGGAGGTTGATGGGAGGGTGATACGCGGCGAGGAGGATAGCACAGGCGTCCTAGGTAGCCACTGTGAGCCTTGTTGTAGACAGCCTGGAAGAGAGTACGCTGGAGATGGGCGACTCACATCATGACCTGTGGGTGGTCATGAGCATACGCCGCGCTGAGAGACCGGCGCTGGTGTAGACCTACCCGGATCGCAATCGAGCCAGACCGGGATCTTTGCGTCGACATCCATATTTCAGCGCGGTCGGAAGACTTTATCTCAGAGCGGGCGCATTGACGACGCTCACTCACGGACTTACTGTACTCACTCACTCTGATCTCACCTCTCACTCACTACTCACCACGGCGGCCCGTGATATAGACCGAAGGAGGCAGGTAGCCCGGAAGATTCTCCAACAACCAAGTCGCCTTCTCTCGCTCCTACTCGTCGCCTGCTCGCGAACGCAGCCTTTCCACGCCCACCAATCACGCATTGACACATCCTCTCGACACCCTTCTGTCATTGGAACCGGTGTGAGCAAATCTTTGGTGCCCTACCGCACCCCCTGCATTGCCAGCGTGGCCAGCGGGAACGTCGACTGAACAAGTACAAAGACGTTCGCCATGCTCCTGCGCGGCGTGGTCCTGATATGACCGCCTCAAGTGCCTCCCCTTCAAGACCGCCTCTTCCTGCCATCGCGATCAAGGCCTCTTCGACCGCCCAGTCCTCTCACTTGACCGCCGTCGCGGACAGCAAGCTTACCTCGGCCTCTCGGTCGGCCTCTCAGAGACCCCTCCATGCCAGAGTCCGGCAAGATGCGCCCGTCCCAGACCCAACGTCGGAGAGAGCGACATTGTCCCTGATCAGGAGAACGTTGGTGGCAGATGGGAGTAATGGGGCAGATACAAGGCTGTCGCCGGCACCGATTGAAGGGATCTTACCTCCGCTTACCAGTTCCAACGATGTAGATGTGCAGCTTTATGCCATCGTCGCCATAGTCATCAAGGACTTTGTGAATTCGTGGTACTCCAAGATCACCCCGGACAGGGCATTCGTGGACGAGGTTATTCAGATCATCGCTCACTGCAGTCGCGCCTTGGAACAGAGAATACGCCAGATTGATATTACGGAATTGGTATTGGATGAGCTGCCGGTCTTGGTGGAAAGACATATCCATGGTGAGCAGCAGACCGATGTAGAGGACTGCCGTCTCTTGTGTTGACAGCTTTCCTGCACAGCCTACCGCACGGCGACCACTGCTCAAGCCGCCCTGCAGTATGGGGAAAGCCCCCGACGGATCTATCATGCCTTAAACCCACATCCAGCGCTCGACCCATCGCTCCCACCAGAACAGCAACAAGTCTACGAGTCGGCCTATAGACAACTACTCATTCAGGGGGCACTGGCGGTCCTCCTTCCAACCGAAGACCTGGCGAACGCATGTCTCAGAACCTTGGTGAGCGACATCATCTCTGACCTGATCCTGGGACAGGCACTCGCGCAGAAACTCTGTCAGCCATGGTTTCTACACGGCACCGTCTCCAAGGCCGTGGAGATCGTGACTTCCCGTCATGCAACCTCCGGCGATGACAAGAATTTCCTCCAGCCAGAGGGACGCCAGAGCCGGTTGGAAAAATTTGGCCTATTATCTTCCAATACGCCTGCTCAGCAGGGTAATTCGTCAGACGGTCACCAATCATTGCTTAGCGCATGGTGCTGGAGACTGCTGCAGTACGCTTTCATCGCATATCAGTCTGTGCGGTTTATTCTCGTCGGTCTGGCCCATGCGCACCATCTGCCCCGGAGAAGCCGCCATCATCAGTTGGACGGCTCCACTGCGTCGCCGTCGCGAACGAAGCCACCCCTTTCATCCACCCGGCACGCATCGGACCCCGGTGCTCGATCCCCACGCGCAGTGATCAATTACAGGTTCTTCTCCTGCCTTTCTGCCATGCTCGATTTGACGGTCCGCATGCCGTGGCTGGCAAGCTCATTGGGGTTCTATCAGCACGTTCTGGGCACGGGCCCAGGCAGATACGGTGCTGCAAATTCCACGTTGGACAAGTAAGTGATCCGTGTCCCTCTTTATCTCGCGTCTGTCCTCAGCCTCGCCTGTCGCCCGCAATCTTCGGCCATGATCCGTGCTGTCGCACGATGTACCCGGGACTCGGTAAGACTTGAAACCTCCTATCCTTCGTGCTGCATGAAAAGCTGGTCATCTGACGAGGTCTGAACCATCGTGAGCCAATGATCCCGGATATCAGCATGTGTGGGATTCAATGCTGTTGTTCGTCATCCTCGGTGTGAATCAGGAGGGTGTGGGTATCGCCGCAAAAGCCAATCGCAGCCGTTACCTGTCATGACGGTAACGCTACGGTATTGTCAGGACCACGGATACGGACGCTGATTGGACGGAGTTTACCTCGTGCGCCTTGCCCGATTCATTCATTCGGGTCGCTCTGGTCTTGGTCTGGTGGACATGGACGGCCGCATCTTCTCTGCTAGCTGGACTTTGCTTGCTCATATTGTCGTCCACGGTACGTCAGCGCTATCTCGACAAGATCGAACCATCTCGCCGATCCTCAGAAGAGATCATTTGCACCTTCGACCGAAAAAGAATCAGGATTTGTGCAGCTGGCCAATCCAGACCCGGGATTTATTGGGCTTTTCTCGCTTACAGGAAATGGCTCCAAAACGTCGAACAAGGAGAGCGACATGGATCGGCCCCGCCCACGTTTCCCTTCTCCTTCTTGCCTGCCCCTCCTGGAAACAATTCACAAAAAGGCAGAGACCCAACCTCCGGCCAATTGGTCGTCTCACAGCGTCCTTCGGTCCTTAGCTGGGCTGTTGAATCAGCCCATGGTTTCCAACCATGGTTTCAACCTGGCAGGCCAATATCTCACCAAAAGAGCCATTTTCCGGAATTAGTCGCCAATGAAACGCCTCGCTTGGATGGAATTTTCGAAAACATGGCTGTTTGCCCCTACAATTGGCTGCTGGTGGCATTTTTGCTCTCGGGGGTCCTTCTGAGCAGATGACCACGGCTTCTCACTTTCTCGGCGGCCATTGTCGGCTGCCTCCGGCACGTGCCGATTGCAGTTGAACGCAGCCATGATATTCGCCGTCCAGACATTATTCTTTTTACGTCACCAAAGTGTTACATCCCCAACTTATCAATCCTTGCACGGAAGACGTTATCAATCAGACCTGTCAACCATGCGATCTCTGGAGCTGTGTCACCCCCCGAGCGAGGTGGGCAAGGAAACTAGTTGGGTCTCCAGCATCCAGACACCCTGGGCTTACCAACTTGGGCTTGGGCATTGTTCTGCACATCCTGCGCCAGCAACTCCACCCCAACCTAATTTTCTCTGCAATTGGCGCTTCGAGGCCCAAAACCACTCGCTGTGCAGCAGCTGGTGGTGGACACCTCGCACCACACCTCGAGTCCTGCATCATTCTGGCCGAAGATTTGATGATCCTTGATCCTAGTTTCAAGGCCCGCGAACATGCCGCATTCTGCTTGCAGAAAGTACTAGTCGCAACTTGCGGTTCATGCTTCACTTCGAGCCACTCTTGCCTCTTTTCTTCTGGGGCTAGAGCTGCGCCGGGTGCATTGGGCGCTTTTCATGCATTTTCCATGGTTCTCAGTAGTCTGGGCCAATGACTTTCCGGCTTCATTTCTGCAAAGAAACACGCCAGCGCCAGTCCCACGAACACATGCTCGTCTGCATGTTCTGTGCATGCCGTTTCTGGCACCGCGCTCCGTCTCCTGAGTCCCCAACGCCTTGTCACCGCCGATGCAGTGTGACCTCGAGGAAGTCAAAGGGCAAGGGTCACGTGGAGCTGGCATGGCTCGAAGGCGTTGGGCTCAGAGGGATGAGCGGTGATCAGGAGACGAGGAGGCAAATTGGGCACACATGAAGGTGGTGGCAACAACCGTGCCTGGAGGGATCGTTTCCAGAGCCTTGCGTCACTGGAAACTGGGAGACTGGGAGACACAGCAACAAAGTGTCGGCCAGACTCGCTTCTTGGAAGATCTGATCCAGGCAGCTGTACGTGTAGTACAGCTGCCTCCAGCTTCGCCATCTCGCACTGCTCTTCCCATCATGCGACATATGCTGCGTGGCAGTATTTGCTAACACACCTCTTTTGCTACAGATTCTTGTATCACACCGTCTCGACCCGGCTGTTCTCAGCAGCACTGATTCCACCTCTCTTGCTGCAGATTCGTGTCCTCATCTTCCCCAATAACAGCCTTGGTCCGCCTCCTCCGCCACCTCCTTCACCCGAGGAGGCACGCCAGATCCGCTCCAAAGCCGCCTCCGACATCCTCTCTCTGATACCTCAACCGATAGCCCGAACGTTCTTCGCCGTCCATGGCGATGGTACCACAGAGATGATACGAGAGGAGATCGAGGAGAGGCTTCTGGGATGGACCGACGACGGCGAGATGAACATGTACCTCGTCTATGCGATCTTGGAGTACGTCGTCCTCAAACTTGTTCCTGAGATGAAGGACAAGACGCCGAGCGAGCTCCTCGCCGAGCGGGGTGTGGATATCCTCGACTTTGACATCCGAGAAGCCGAACGCGAAGGAGCGAGGGGGTAGGTGGATGTGAATGTGAACGGTGCTTAGGCAGTGCAATACCTAGTTGAGGGATATAGGATCAGTCCGTCACTTTCCAGGTACGAGAAATGAGAATCGTGAAGAATCTTAAAACATGTATTGTATGCTGTCCCGCCTTGAGTATGTCCACCTTGGTGTCCTTGACGTCTTCTTGTCTGCCTGTGCCTCTGTCCACCACATCTTTATCCTCTTCACACTGGTTTTCACTCCAAGTTGATCACTTTGCCGTTGACCAAGACGGTCCAAATGGACCCTTTTCTTCTGCTCTGCTCAGTTTGCTCTGGTCTCGTTTCCTCTCATCGTGAATTGCTAAAGGTCCTGTAACAGAGTCCGCGGCGCTGGGCCTGGGGTGGAGGCCCTCCTTCGAGCTCTCCTCTACTCGACTACTCGACTACTCGACTTGATGACTGAATGACTGATCGGAACGCAGAGTTCGCAGACAATACACAATCCCACTGCATAGACGCCCCCACTCGTCGAACTCTTTCTCTGTTCTTCTCTTTTCGGAACTTTCTGCTCTAACCTTGGTTCCCCCGCGGCCATTCAAGTCGATGCTTCTTGTCTCCCTGAGACTGAATCACGCGTGCTCAACTTTTGATCGCTCTTGCGCCTGCGCCTGCGCCTCGACTCAGTCCAGCCTGGAGGATGAAGAGGAAGTTTCGCTACCTGAACATTCAGCCAGCCAGTTGCGTCTCCATTTCAAACCATCGAGCCGCGTCATCTGTTTGCGATCCTGACGCTGAGGTACTGGCTAGCGAAGAAGGCACCCACGAGAGGAGGTGCTAGCAGGGAAAGAAAAAGAAAAATCAAAGGAAGGTGGATGACGCAGGTTAGTCAATCGTACGAGACAATATGAGGCAAGACGAGACTGGATGAGCTGACGAGACGAGATGATCAAAGGGCAGATGTTGCGGCGCGAAAGAAAGGACGAGAACATACGTGCTGTATTCGTGCGTGCGTAGATGTCGAGGATGTGAAGTCTCTACAGTCCTCTAGACTCTCACTCTCTCTCTTTCTTACTTGCACGATCATTCCCACATGGAGACGGACAGCTGGTTTCAACACTCAGGAGTCATGGCTGCGATGGAACAAGGTCACATGGTCGCAAGGTCACGATAGTGAAGGGGCTCAGAGGGAAGAGTTTCTCATCTCTTCTTACGTGCCCGTGGATGTATACTGCGTCGATGAATCTCTGTAAAACTGGGGAGATAGGCAGGCTGATCGAGGTGAAAGTGGGTGGCAGTGAGTGAGAGAGTGAGTGAGTTAGTTCCCTCCTCCTTCGTCCTCTTCATTCTACTTCTCTTCCTATCCTGCGTCGCTTGACTTACCCGCATTGCACTCTATCCTTTATTCGATGGCTGATCATCCTGTCTCACCTTTCGTGTCGGTTCTTGAAAGTGGCGCTCGGAGTCAGCGATCGACGACCGGCGAGCAGCTTCATATTCATTCTCGGTCGCCTTTCTGTACCTGTACTACCAGCTGATCCTTTCTTTTGTCCCTTTCCTTTCCTGCTTGCTCCTTTGAGACCGTCTCGTCGTCTGAGGTTCTCGTTCGTGCCTGGCATGAAGATCTCACTTCGCTCAAATTTTGTTGCCGCAGTAAAGGAGACTAGCTCGTGTTGAAGCTCTTCTCGCCGTTCTAGCTAGGCATACGTCTTTCGTGAGCATGCCTGCTGTCTCTCTGTCAGTGAGTCTGTCGAGCAGACAAGACTAGACCTTCGGGCCCCGTGATCCTGCGCTGGAAAAGGGTCATTGGTGTAATATCCACGAGCACAGCAGAGCTGGGGGCCACCCCTTGTTTGGCCGACGAATGTATTCCCCTCCCCGGCCTCAAGAGCAGTCTGTGCCAGCTCTGGGGTGTCTGCTGGTGATACTCATCATGCGTTCAGAGAGGAGTTACGTTTGCGAAAGCCAAAATCCCTGCTGCCGATGCGAAGGGGGCCGGGATTGCGATTGGTAAAGTCTCATACCAAATTGACTTTACGGGCTGTTTGCCTCTTCAGCGCCGCGATTGGAGAAGCTGATATACAATGAGCTTTTCAGCTCGTGAGCACAGGTAACAGACCATAGGGACTTGGAGTAAGCAAGTGCCGTAGTTCGAGGACCAGCTGTGACAGCCTGGCCTGCCACCAAATATGGACGACGGCCATCCAGTCATGTGGCAGTTCGAGCATAATGCCACGACATTGGTACAAAGGCTGAGGTATCTTTTCTCATCAGTGTCTCGAACGGACTTCTCCTTCGACAGAGCAGAGCAGAGCAGACCCGCCCCTAGCGTTGTATTTGATAGAGTCGTTTTGTCTCGTAATTCCTGGGGTTTCCGACACTGCATCTGGTGTGCAACCGAAGTTTTACACTGTTCGGGGACTGTTCTCGGCTGTGACAGACAAGAACCCCGGATGGAAACCTAGTGAGTGCTGGGTGGTAGAAGCGTGGCGAACGAGCACCTGCGCCCAGTGAGCAAGGATTGATGATGAACAATTTCAACATGCCAAAAGCAGACCCAGCTTCTGGCAGTCATAGTCTTCCGTCAAGGATCAGCGACGCCATTGACGTTTGATAGTCACTCCGAAGAAGAAAAGCAAGTGTACTCCTGGGGGAAGGAGACAATGATTTAGGTTACGCACGGTCAGAGACCCTTCTCTCCAGGTCCTGGCTACGTTGTATTCTTGATTGAGCGTCTTGCATCTGACGTTCTTTTTGGGCAGCAGACTGTCGCCTCTTGGTAGCCACTATGGTGTCGTCGGTTCTTGAAACCGGCTTCCACGCCCGCGGGCTAGTGAAAGTGTCAGGAGTGGAGGACAAGGTTCGCAAGGAGGATTGTTGCCGCGTGTCGAGGGTGTTTCTTCCTCGTGGTGGCAGTCACTGTCCGTATGTCCCCCGTATGATCGACAGGCACTCGCCCGTGTTCGAGGATCGACCCGTGGACTTGCGAGCCTCACTTCGTTCCGAGGTTGTCACACACGCTGCGAAGGGAAGCCTTACGCGGGATCGCCAGGATCTGCGATTGTCTCGCCTTGACGTTGAAACAATGTCTGCAAAGTTCTTTTGGACGTGCGTGCGTTAATCATTGCTATCTCAGAATGCCTCCCATGTGCTTGCGCGGTGGTTGTGTATGTTCTCCGAAGCCCTGCCCTCTCCCGCGCCGTGCTGGCAGCCGCGCCATCCCAACGACAGCACTATTTGTTGGCACAGCATTTGCCAGACGGCCATGAATCGTCATGCGTGTCAATCTCGCTCTTTACACGTTGCTGCATTCAGGGACATGAAATGCTAGTGGCTCCAAAGGTCAAGGTCCCTAAAAAAGAGTGCGAGAAGAAACGTTGTACATCCTCGAGCTCATCCATCCGTCGCCCACCACGCTCGTCGCCTGTACATCCACCTTGGACACTGCAACCCAGATCCTCGCTGCACATGTAAAGAGAAAAGGAAGCCAAATAATTCTGACGCGTATTAGGCATAGGCGTCGGACACGTCCACAGGAGTGGACAAGAAAAGAAAGGCAGCTGAAAACAAAACCGATTTCCCCCTGTGAACTCAAGTTGCTCGCCAGCATACTCTCCTTCTTCCCACATATACATGCCTTCGTACCAGAAAAAGGAGATTTGCCACGAGGCTGGGGTACTGTCTATGGCGGTGTCGTTGGGAGTCGTAGTCTGGTGGTGTGGCTGGAACCAAGAGAATTCGTAGAGCCAACTTTGCTCTGTGAGTCCGAAGCTGTTTCTCGTGACCGGAGATTGAAAGAAAAACGCAAACTCCTGCATCATGCTTTGTCCCTGAGCACGCAGTTGATGAAGGTCGTCACACTCCCTCGTACACGTATTTCGCCCTTTCTTCTCCAAATGCTCAACGCTGTTTAAGTAAAGGATTGTGAAGGAGGCTCGCTGTGGTAAAGGCTCGGAAGGATAGTCGCCAATGTAAACTGAAATTGATCCAACAAAGTTGAGGCGAAACGTCGCATCTTCAGGTGTGCACCTATGTCGAAATCCCGAGTATGGTCCTCTTCTTGGAGATGCGAGGACTGTCCATAATGTCGATTGGGTGCATACCACCGGGCAGCATTGGCGCAGCTGGACGAAGCAGCTTCATCTTCTGCATCAATTTCCCAATGGCTAGGTAGTCATCCGGCTCCGCCACAGTTGGATTCTGCTCAAGGAGCGTTTTGATAGCATGCAATGCTCGGATGTTTTCGTCTTCCGCCGGTGAAGCTGGCACACTGACAGGCGAGGCATCGGCAGACCGAGGCAGTGGGGGTGGCTGCATGGACGAAAAGCGTACTTGATCCGGGTAATGGATGTCGGGGACGCTCTTGTGTCGTTTCATCATCTGTCGAGGATCAATGGCAGTTGGACGAGGCTCTTCCGGCCCAGCGGTCGCCGCCGTGGTCGTCAAGGAGCGCACGGGCAGTGCTTGACGGCTGTTGCGCGGTGAAGACGGCCGCGATCCAGTTGTGTGACTCGGGGCGTGGGAAAAAGTTTGACTCCGGTGGCGACTTGTAGCTCCGAATGCCTCTTCTACACCTTCGAGTAGCTCCATGTCATCCTGATCTGTGCTCCCCTGGCGGGGGGACCTGGGAGATAAACCCGATTCTGCGGTTGCTTCTCCTGCATGATCCTTGAATTCTCCGTCCATGACCGAGGAATCATCGAAGGCCCTCTTCCCCTCTCCGAAATCAAAAAAGTCCTGGTTGCTTTCAATTTTGACGCCAGATTCATCCTCGTCTTCTTTGATGGCTGACATAGGAGGCGATACCAGGCCAGTAGAGGATGTAGGTGACCCATCAAGCGGGGTCTGTGTGAGCGAGGTTGTGCTGGAGTCCAACAGCGCGGAATCAGCGTCCGTCTTCGTTGCGACGAGGCGGTTCTTGCGCTTGAATTTCTCAAGCCAGTCGGTGCTTGAGACTACTGCTTGATCACTCCTGCTGAACGAGAATACTTTTGCCTGTTTCCTAAGATCCTCATCTGTGAAAGCTAGCCCTTTCCTTTGCTGGTTTTTGACCCAGTTTGTGAGGGTCTTCTCAAAGTCCGGCAGTTTCGCCTTGGACTTCTTGCCCGGGCTGGCACTCTCCTCCTTCGGCTGCGGATTCATGTACTTGTCGCGCTGGCGAAGGATCTTTGACACCGTGCTACACACCGTCAGCCCGCATCAGTGACCCAAAAGTGCGATCAGCATACCTCCTCTCTACATTGAACTTAGCTAGGCGAGGTTAGAGTCGGCCCAGGAGGAGGAGAGGTCACTTACCTCCAATTTGAGTCTGCTTCATGGTTGGGTTCTGCTCTGCTTCGATACACATCTGACGGCGTTCATCGTCAGTCAACTTGCGCCGAGATGTGGTCGTTTTGGCACTCGTTGGCGTCATGTCTGACGCTGTGCTTGCCGACAACGGGGTTTGCAACGGTCCAGCAGGTAGAAGGGGAGTGGTGTAACTCGGCTGGGGTTGGCTCGCTAGCATACTGGGCCATAACCCGCTGTGAGGCATGATTAGAGGCGGCGGCATTTGTGCGTGCGACGCAGCAAATGGTCCAGGCCGTGGCATGGCATATGCCGCCGGTTCCATCGGCATCGGCGCGGTGTGGTGATAGTCAAACTGCGGGAATTCGTGCATCGGCGACATGGTAGTCTGAGGGCTCGAGGAGTAGCCACCTGGGACGCCCATCCAGTTGCTCTGGCTGAAGCCAGAGTGGTGTGAGTCCTGGTGCTCCTGAGGCATATTCAACAAGACCTGCATTGGTGTTCAGGCCTGGGGGTGATACTGTATTGATCCAGCCGCCAATCCGATTTGTCGATGCATGCCAGTGACCTGGGTAATAGCCCCTTCGCAATGCAAGTACCCGGCGGCTCTAGAAGGCTGGTTTCCACGATCCCAGAGCCTCGAGGCTCTCAGGGAAAGAAGGTCTAGGCAGAAAGGATTGTACGAGATCGACCAGACATGAGTAGTGTCCACCTGGTGTCAGGCACGGAAGGAACTGAACAGCATATGATAAAGAAACGACCTCTCGAGGACGGGATTGTGGGGAGGTGCAGATGATGCGGATCCACGGTCGATACTGTGCAAGCCCACACTCTCTGCAGGCGAGCCGACGAATTGAGGAGGCAATATCGCACGGGGGGGCTTTAGGCCGGAGCAGGGACAGGCTCGAGAAAAGGCTCGGACCAGGGCTTGCTTGGAGGCGCGAGGGGGGTAACTTTGGGCCGCAGGTGGTTGAAGCAGGGCCGTTGTATGGCGGTTTCTGATATCACTCTTGTCTCGTTTGGATTGCGATGCTGCAAAGAGCGTCAAGGTCGTGTCGCCTGCCGATTCTCGAGAAGCCCGCAGCAGGTTATGCTCGAGGGGCCACTGAGAGAAAGTGTAGATATGCTTCGAAGGGGTCGTTCCGCAGGGGAGAGGTTCCGACTGCCCACTGCAGCTGCAGGCCTGCAGCTAAAACGTCAGGGCGGCAGGCGAGCCTATAAAGCAGAGGCCTAGCGGTAGTCCGCGAGAGGAACGGGCCTACAGTCCTCTTGCCGATTAGTAGGGATTGGCATGGAGGGGAGGGGAAGCTTGGGCAGGTTAGGGCAGAACAGGGCATCGGCCGCCCAGGGATGTACGCACCGTTTTGCTAATCCGTCGTCGCCTGGACCCGCCTGCTCAATCCCTGCACGCCACCAAACATGCACCCGTGCTGTGTAGTGTTGACAGCCGTCGGGAGAAATTGGCCGTTTAGTCCTGATCGTCACCCGAAAAGGATAGATCGACGGCGTCCGAGGTCCTACTGTGTAGTGAAGGCCGAGAACGTGGTCGGCACAGGAGTTCAATGCCTGCTCGACGGAATGCTCAAGTGACGAGAGTTGAGGCCGGCAGGAGTCAGGAAGATAGACAGCGAAATGAACGGGGAGAGTCGTTTGTACAAATGTAGACTCGCTCTTTAGACACTAGGACCATGTTGGCTTCGTCCCATGTCGTGCGTCTCTCCATACAAGAAGAACTCGAGCTTTGCAATGCCCCACGCTGCTCGCAAAGCAGTCGGGGCGTCGAATTACAAGCACACGCAAAGGGACAATGCAAGATACTGCTCAATGAGTCGCCGCAGCCCGAGCAATAAAGGCTATGGCGCTCCGCCTAGCTTCGTCCCTATCCTTGAGCGGTCCGCTGCCTACCGAGGAGGGACGCGGGGCGATCCCAAAGCCACCATGATTATCTGGCCCAGAGAGGATCTCCCATCTGCTCAATCGCATGGTTGGAGTGTACAGACGAGGAGTACATCTCAAGGACTGGCCCCAGTAGTCGTGGCGTAAGCCAGTTAAGGTTGTGGCCACGGAGTTCTCTTCGTCGACCCTGGCCATTTGGTATCGTACAGTACGGACAGCGAACATGACGATACGACTCCTGCCCGCGGATGTATTTTTTGTACTTGTGTATGATCTGATTTAGCCGTGGGGGCAGCCAGAGTCTGGAGATTCACCGGCCGAATCCAGTCCAAAGATGCTTCAGACGGGGCGTGGGTCGCAGGACGATGTGGGCGGATGAAGGTTGGTTGGTGAGTGGGTGGTGAGGGACAAGTGAGTGGTAGGTGAGATGTAGGCGAGTCGTCAGGCACTGAGGAGAAACGACAGCCAGGGCAGCTACTTCCCCCATTTTGTGCAGCGACAACTGGCTCGCCGTGCCCTCCACCCTCTCCACCACTCCGCGCTGCCAGAGAAGCCAAAGCCCGTTCGGGCAGAAAGGTAGAATTTCACCCGATTTGGGCGGCGCCAGAAACAATATGCAGCAATAAGGCAGGGGACCAACAGGCACCGCGAAGCCCCCGCGGGCGTCATGGTTGGCTGGAAGGGAAGGCCTCGGCGGCAAGAAAAGGCTGAGAGGAACAAATGAAAATATTGACGTAGCCCGGTGGAAATGGGCAGGCCTGACTGCTCCAGGTGCTGCTACAACACGCCCAAAGCGGCAGGCTCGAAGCTTCCTCGCAAGTCACGACGAAATGAGCAGTGAGCGCCAATCGTCATACTATATACTGTCGTTGCTTCGAGCATCATCTCTTGAGAGGCTACAATCAGTAACGCGGAATACAATGGAGTTGTCCCATGTCCGATGAAAGTACTGTAGGTCAACGAGTGCTCGTGCAACCAGAAGTGATCATGACTGTACATGAGCAATTAGACGAAGATGAACAGAAGACGTCCATCACTGCTTGGTACGTCGGCGTTCGACGTCTGCACAGTAGTGATTAGCTCGCACTGTCGTCTACTAACGCTCGTTAGTCGAGCAGCAACTCTGAACCCGGCGCTGACTGCGACATTCTTCCTTGACACCGTAAAGTGCGCACGGTCGAAGTACTTTATTTCTACTTGGAGCTGCGAAACAGTGATGTTACTACTTCCTCTTTCTTTCTAGATCGCGAACACAAGGTTTCCACCCGCGCTCGAGCTGTACCTGATCTCGCGAACCTGAAGACGGGATAGTCTCGGCTATGCTCCGGACGCCGTCGTGGCGTCCCTAAGTGGGTGGGAGAAATGTGGGAAGCCGTGGTGCACGAGGAAATCACCAGCGGAAGAGCATGTCATCCACGGTTCGTCTGGAGCACCCGAGGATATAACGACGTCCTCGCATTGTCATGCGCGCAGCTTTGCTTTGCTCAGAAACCCGAGAGGACCACGCAAATGTGAATCCGTAAGAGGACTTGTTGAGACGTCTGCTGGCGCGGTGTGTGGGCCTACCTAGCGTGTGCGACTTAACCAAGAGTGACGCAGCGTTTGACAGATGCAGTAGAAACCCTGCAGGTTGGCGCATGCTGCCATGGCATGGAAAGAGCCATTTCAAGCCGTGGTATGCAGGCCCTGAGGAGTTGCTAGAACTCACTCTGCACTTGGGTTTGACTTTGGCCAGCGTGATGCGCCCGGAAAGCGCCTGCCGGAGCCGCCAAACGTGCTCTCGGCGTATCGAAGGCCGTGCTGACCCTCCATCAAGATATCTTCCATCCACAGTTACCCTACACGGTACTCCCGTCCACGTCCTTTATGCATATGGAACAGCACGAATTTGCAGCCCAGATTCGTGTCGCATCGTCCTCGCAACTCGTGCTCAAAGCCACCTGCAAGCCCTACTTTGACAGCGGAGAATTGAGCGTTGCGCTCATGCCAGGGCACACCACTAACTCCAAGCCACGGTGCACAGTACTGTGCAACCCCTGCTGGCAGCTGCGTCTCTGAGCGAGCGTCTCCATCTTGATCCACTCCACCCTCATTGGGACACTGGAGCCGCCATAAAGTGTCAGAGCCCAATAGATCTTCCCTCCTGGCCTCGATTTTATTCGCTCGGCGAAGACCTTTTCTACCTTGCCGCACGCCAGCCTCTTCTTCCTACCGCTGCGGTGGATGAAATTGCTTGACTCCACGAAGGGGAATAAGGAAGTGGAGTCCACCGCTACTCGACTTCGAATCTTCGAATACATAGCGTGGTGCAGCCCGTAGGCGGGCGGTTCGAGATGGGGTGCTTTATCCGGCCTGCATCTGGATTTTTGAGACAGGCTTGCAAACTAAGCGAGATGGCGTGAAATCGTTGCATCAGCACGGTCCTTTTCAAACGGTTGATTTGCCATACAACTGTGGCCGTTCATGCTGATCGATCAATCAAGGATAACAGTGTTCGAGATCTGACGACGCGGGATGGCGGGAGGTTCAGCATCTAGCCTGTCGCGCGGGGAAGTGGTCCGCGGCCGACGGTGTTAAACCTTGCAGCGACCTTGATTCTTAAATGCAGCGTCTTGGAATGCTGATAGGCCTCGGGCATCATCAAGCCGAAACACAAGGCCGAATGATAACGATCACTTTTTGATAATGGTGACTGAGGAAACGAAGGTGAGAAAGATGCGGATCAATGTTGTAGGAGCAAGTGGTCGGACTTACTAATGTCTTCATCTGCCAGCTCGTGTGCGAGGCCGACTCGTTGTGGTTGGTGCTTGACAGAGCGCCCATAGACGATCGCGTGCTTGAACTGCTCGACGATTGTCTTATGGATAGCATTACACTGAGGAGAATGTCAGTAAGCGAGATTTCGCAGGATGGTTGTCTCAGCTTACAAAGTCCTCGACCGTTGAAGCGTTCTTTCTCAAGACGACGGGAGCAGTATAGTCGGGCTGTTTGCCTTTCGGCTTCGTGTAAACCCGTTTGAGCTGCAATTTCTCCCACATTTGTTCCAGCAGCTCGTCAATGTTCCAGCCATGCTCGGAGCTGATCGGAACAGCATTCGGAATCCGATAGAGCAAATCCAATTCCTCTATCGTTATGGAGTCGATTTTGTTGAGCGCATAAATCACCGGAATGTAACTCCTGCTCTTCGCCTCAAGGACGTCAATTAAATCGTCTATTGTAGCGTCACACCGGATCGCAATGTCAGCTGAGGAGATACGGTACTCGTTCATGACAGCTTTGATCTCGTCATGGTCAATGTGGCTGAGCGGGACAGTGCTTGTGATGTTCAGGCCGCCTTTATCCTTCTTCTTGAAGACGATGTTGGGAGGCTCCTTGTTGATTCGAATCCCGAAACCCTCCAACTCGGACTCGATGACCCTCTTGTCCGTGAGTGGCTTGTTGACGTCGAGGACGATGAAGATTAGATGGCAGGTCTTGGCGACTGCAATAACCTGACGACCACGACCCTTGCCGTCTTTGGCTCCCTGGATAATACCGGGCAAGTCGAGCATTTGAATCGCCGCCCCGTTGTACAAGACCTGCCCAGGTACGGTGGTAAGGGTCGTGAATTCGTAAGCCGCGGCCTCGGAGTGCTGGCCCGTCAAGCGACTCATCAGGGTTGATTTTCCGACGGAGGGGAAACCAATAAAGCCAACCGAAGCCACGCCAGTCCTGGCCACGTCGAAACCACTGCCACCTCCACCACCCGAGGATGATGGTGTCAAGAGTTCTCGCTTCAATTTTGCCAGCTTTGCCTTCAGCTGGCCCAAATGGAAAGAGGTGGCTTTGTTTTTCTGAGTCCGAGCCATTTCGGACTCGATCTCCTTGATCTTGTCTACCGTGGTCGCCATCGTGAGGGCGTAAGCAGTGGCTCGATGGGGACAATTACCGGTCTCGGAGTTGTTCGAAATGAGGAAGGAGATGGATGTTGATGAGTAGGGGCGAGCGTAGAAAAGGAGAAGCGGGATCCCTGAGACCTAGAGACGGGACAGGAGGCGCAGATGGAAGCCACGTTCAAAAGAGTCAATAGTCGTATGCTGTGTGACAGTCCTTTGCGCTCGAAGAAAATCCAGGTTGCGTCATTGGTGGGAGAGAAGCACGAGATGGGTGTTCAGGCAGGTTTGCCGAATCCCTCGTGGGTGACAGAAGGTAGAAGGCAAGTCGTAGCGAGTCCCGGCTACAGATGCTAGTGTGGCTTCCTCGATGCTCATTGATCAATGATGGCGCCATCACTGATCAATGAAAGGAGTCGCTGCTTGAACCATTTATTGTATGAGCCATGGTTGAGATTCCAAGTAGCGTTAGGAGCCTTGTTCTTCTTTAATATATGTTCGGATATCATCTCCTTCCGCAGCCTTGCTAGACCTCGTTGTCGCCTCTTCCCACATAATATCGGGTTTTCCTGTCTTGCTCGTTGAAATTTTTGTGTCGCTGCTCGCAAAGTGCTCAGCCTAGCCTCCACCAATCTCGATCGCCCAATGGCTCCAGTTCTGACCGCCGACAAGCCCGAACCACCCGCGCCCTTGCCGACCCCATTGGTCTCGCGACACGAGGCGATAGGTCACGCCTCCATCTGCGGAATGGCGGTCTCCCGGAAGTGTCCCCTCGAGCACATTTCCGTGAGTCAGAACAACAGGAATATCGCTTTGTGCTGTCTTCTCCGCAGTGTGTCATGAGACTGCGCCCTTCGTGCCAGTGGCCTCGGCGAGAATGATACAAAGGTCTACTGTATTCTCCCACGACTACCAAGTGCTTGCATGCAGTGGGACTCCCTTGATTGTGCACCTCTTATCTAACGCCTGATTTAGGTCGCACACCGCTCCCGTTGCTTGTTTCTTTGCTCATCGCTCTGCCCTCATTCACAATTGTCTGTCCTTTTCCCTACGCTTTCTCCCTATGAAAAGTTGGCATCTACCATATTTTCCATCGATCATACCACTGCGTGTCCGCTATGCTATCATGCCAACTGCTGCCGAGCTCGGCTGGCTCTCACACGGCCCATCTCCAGCTCTACCCAACTCAGCATCACACTAGCCTCAGTGTCATCAACCCTGAGGACGACTTCCACCATCTTGTTCAAGCGCTTTCCGACGTGCTTGGGCCTTCTTCGGGCATAAACTCAGAGGACGTCGACGAGAATGACTTGATTCGGCTCATGCAACAGTATACATCCCAAGAGAAGCAATGGCGTCACTACGCCTTTGCAGACTTAAGCCGGAACTACACACGCAACCTTGTGGACGAAGGGAACGGCAAGTCCAACTTGCTGATTATTGTGTGGAATCCCGGACGATGTAGTCCAATCCACGACCATGCAGATGCGCATTGTGTGATGAAGATCTTGAAAGGCAGTCTCAAGGAAACACTGTACGCCCTACCCCAAGGTGCGACTGAACTGGGCGCCTCGAACGCCTCGAGCGACGTGTCAACTCCACCACAAGTCGTCAAAGAGACCTTATACTCTCAGAATGAGGTCACGTATATATCGGATAAGATTGGTCTTCACAGGATCTCCAACCCGTCGAATGACGAGGTGGCAGTATCCCTCCACCTCTACACACCACCTCATGCGGCCAATTTCGGCTTCAACCTCTTCGACGAAAAGACAGGGAAGCCTACCCACATCAAGCAAGCCGGCTTCTTCTCAGACCGAGGAAAGCCCATCGAGAAGTGCCTCTTCGGGACTTTCTGAGCTTGGTCCTCTGCGATTTGCTCAGGACAGGTGTCCTTCATAAGGAATAGCCCTGCCTATCGGCACATTCCAAAAACGACCCTGCAAAGATTGCCGCACAGGTCTCAAGGCGTCCCGGATATGACATGATGAAGAAAGGTCTTTACCCCCAAGCGTCGGACCCTGTGGGCGGATGGAGATTGTCACGAACATAGATTCCTGTGTATGGCGAGTCCATTTTCCATAGGCGTCGATCAGGCGTCTGTGCATGTCCAAGTTGCCTCGAATTGCGATATTTGACACAAACTGCAAACAGGTTTCGTCTTTAAAAGTCTGTATTCCAGCGCTCTACACTTGCATGGTGGCTGGGCATGTTGCTGAGGCCTAAGGAGACGTGTGCTTCGATCAATGAACTCGTAACACTGTGCACGATTACAAACAACGCATTGGTGCTACCACGGCGGCTTATCTTCTGTTCGTACCATACACATCCAGCGATATTCTGGCCCCCATGGTGCCAGGTTGAGCCCACAGGAGGAATTCCCCGGGCTGACCTATCACGACGGGCACGTTTCAGGTGTGAAAACGCTGGACTTGGATCTCACGTCAGGCTGCCGCTTAGCTCATCCGCCTTCTCACTTTCTTAATCAGCCTTTGACTTCGGCGCTCATCAACCTGTGTGGCAACAGGTTTGCGCTGTTGCCAATTCCAAGCGCAGAGGATCTCGCGTGGCCTTCTCTGGTCCAACGGGTTGGGCCCAACATGGGGATCTGCGGCTCGATTACTGGATGCGTGTTCTTGATGATCGTCCGCCTGCTCACAAGGTGGGTGGTCTAGATGTGGTTGTGCCTGACAATTATCATCCTTTAGTCTGTGTGGCAACTGTCAACGGGACGAGTCGTTTTCCACTCGCTGTCACCCTCGAGGATATTAGTGAGATACCTTCGCTCCTGAATCTGACTTCTCTCGCTTCACCCCGTTCAATCTCACTTTATTCCCCATGGTCAGGAACAACGGCAATCAATAAAAGTCACCACAGCAGCCCAATGCACAGTCATATATCTGTTTAAAGACCTCCCTCTAAGCATCCCATCCATGCAAGCCTGCTTCGTGCAAGAGTCAGTCCTCCGGAACTCGACCATCACCCGACTTCCCCGAGGGACTTCATTCGGATCCATATCAGAGGCCAGCACTGTGTCAACCAAAAGCAGGAACAGAATGACATTCATGTCCTCGTTCCCATTGCACCTTCCATCTCAGCACCAAGCAGCGTCCTACTCCACCCGGGGGACAGCTACTCACTCTCCCTCAGACGCAGCATCAACGCCCGCAGCCTCATACTTCCGCAACAACCGTCGACAAACCCAAGCATCCACAGTCACGCATTCCTCAAGCTTCAGCAAGTCATCCCGGTTCTCCCGCATCACGAGCAGGTCCTCGTCTACCACGTCAAGCTCCACAGACCCGGTCGTCAAAGAGGAACGCCGGCTCCGTCGCTGGGGACGTAAAGCGGTCGAAAGTCTAGGCCGGGCCTTCAGCGCCTACCCACAGGGCCGAAGCGTCGGCGTCGTGTGGTACACCGGCTTCTGAACTGAAGGATGGTCACGCAAGTCGTCGAGACGGGCCGCAGCCCACCACCACCTCGACGAGGCGCCACAAAGCTATGGAGCAAGATGGCCTACGTCGTCGGTCTGGGCTGTTGTATGACCGAACGACGTGCCCAGCCGGCGTCCCGGTCCTGGTGCCCACTCGAGCAGATCAAAACCAACGACATAAACTGGAGTACCTCGACGCTGGGGATTGAAACAGAGAGGACCTTCCGCACCGAAGCCGTCCGCTCCGACCCGCCTAGGCCACCGGACATTCGAGATATCCCCCTCTCGTCCATTGAGTTCTACGCCCCATCGACGGCACCGACACCTCCACCTCCCGTGGCACGCCCACAGTCCCGGTCACGTCCTTGGCGGGAGAAGAGACGAGGACGCATCGACAGCAGCAGCCCCGTCGTCACCATCACGGATCATGATATCGCTACAGGCACAGGCACGACGCCGTCGACGGGCGAATGCCAGCGCGAGAGGAAAGAATGCCGCTTTCGACGACAGCACAGGGACAACGAAAGAGAGACAGAGACTGTCGGGACAGTCCAGGCCTGGAGCCAGGTCGATCCCCTGTACGGCATGTATCAGCGCGAGCACCGGGTCCAGCGGGACAGACAGGCCCAGACAGGGGGAAGAGGTCGGTACGTCGACATTCGGGCCTTTGACTTTATGAGTTACGGAGGGTGGATCGTGATATGACTTGCTATGGTATGGTATACCTTAGTGAGGTATGATATGGCATAGGATGGTATGACTGTGCGATCTTTCTCTGCGTTCTCATTGAACACAAACGACGAGGAAGTTGTACCTGTAGGAGTAGCGAATACTGGATATAGGCTACAGTACCGGACATGGGCTGGGTATGCGATACGGATCATGATCATGAGCATGAGATACGGAGTTCAGAGCGCGGACCACACCAGACTGGACTGGTCTAGCAGAGCGTTGATCGACATCTTCTCCTTTGTTATGAGTTATGATCAGGAATACCAATTCCTAGTTACCAAATTCTAGTTTTTTTGACCAGTGAAGAAAGCAGCACGCCATGGATCGTCTTGCCCTGTGTACCTTCTCTGCCTGCTTGTCCCTGTCCCGTACGTAGGTCACGATCAGTGCTCCGAGGGCGAGCCACTGTCAAGTCAACCATTGGATAGCGCCACTATGCGCATATTTTGATGGAACTGTGTCCGAGGTAGCAAGCTGCTCCACGGTCCCGAATCGCCATCTCTGGCAGTCTCAGTGAAGGGGTGATGCAAACACTTCGTGCGGCTATGTACAGTGCTCGTTCTCGGCATCTCCCCCAGCACTTACGTCTCATATCATCTCTTCTAATCACCACGTGTCGCTCATTCAAAGACAATTCTCACTAAACTGGGTCTGACTTTTGCCTTAATTTTCGATCGAGAGTGAAAAGCTTCAATCTCTGCGACTAAAGCCGGGAGAATATTCAACGAGCGGGTAATCGTCCGCATGGCTGACTTGCAGCGCTGTGGAAATGTCGGTTGATGTCTTCAGTGGTCGAGAAACCGGTGAGATCGTGCCTGAGGCACGTTGGTTCCCGGGAAGCGGTTCCGGCATGGATATGGGACCAGCTGACACTGCATTCTTCCATGACGGGTACTTCTGCTTCTCGTTACGGCCGTCTTATTGTCTTTGTCGGGACATTGGCGTGGAGGAATCAGGCATCGAGAGGAAGTTCGATAAGCAGCGTCAGCGTTTCCAGGCTAGTTCTGGTCTTCGTTGTACCCAGCGGTACTCTTGGATGCGTACAGAGGCTTTTCTGTAGTCGCAGTGGTGGAAATTCCCATAATGAGGCCTTCTTTCGAAGTTGGAGGGTCCTCGAACGGCCGTTGCAATGACTGATGCTCGAGAAACCAAAGTCTGCACTCGTATTTGAGACGTGAGATTGTGCCTCACTCAGGCAGGAGACAATGCTGACATGCGGGACTCTTCCAATGACCAGTGTCATGTTACCAACAACACAAGGATGGATGGTGTTGGGTTTGGCTGAGGTAACAGGTTGTTGCATGTGGAGCGGTGCAGATCAATCATCCACGGGCAGAGAACCAAGGCCCAAAGCCGGTCGTTGAGGGCCTTACATTGCGCCGATGACGAAGGAAGAAATACCAATAGTAAGAGACGCCTGCGACGACGTGGCTCCAATACAGTCTCGTGGTGGTCAAGCCGTCTCTTAAGAACTGATCACCGGTGTTCTGTGGATGGGAACCTTCAGGTCGCTTCCGCCGTAGTGCTCACATGCTCTGTCTTCTGATGACAGCACTCTTCGGACAGTGGTGGCCCTGGTCAATGGTGTGGCTGTCTGAAGCAACCATCTGGGGGGCGTGAAAGTACCTATCTTTGAGAGTGCACCGATGCGGCGTTTTTGACGATATTCAGACAGGTCTTCAAGTGCAAAGCGGAATGCACGATCTGAACTGAGCTTTGAGTATGCGGTAAAAAGGCGCGTTGGTGTCTTCACGAGATGTTGCGTGTCCTTTTTCAACCGTAAGAACAAGACAGTACTCGCATCATCTCTTATATCAAGCTCGAAGAACCGGTATGCACCTGCGACATTAGCTAGTTTCCCGCTCTGTAGCCTGATGGGGCTTATTCCCATCCACGACGGGCAAGTCCAGATCAATCACAATGGGCTTATGGAATCTTTTCCCTCCATTGTGCGGAAAGTTGGTAGCCATGAATGCCGCGTTGACAATGCACGTCTCTTCCCTGCCTTCTCGACCAGATAGCGCTTCCTGGTCTGACCGAGGACTCGATGCTGGACCGCCCTGACCACGTGTTCCTAGATGTCTTATATGATGAGAATTGTTGGCCTTGTATGAAGCCGGTCGTTCGGCTTTTTCAAAATCAGGGAATGGGGGTGTCGGCGGGTGTGGAACATCCGGCAACACAGCTTTGCCAGCGTGCTGTTCCCGTGCAGCAAGCTCCTGCTCATCCGCCGCATCACTAGCCGCATCGTCGGACGTGTCGTAGTCGCGCTTCTCAATCATGGTCCAGTCTGCAGGGCCGTCGACTTCGACGCCTCGAAGCCTGCAGAGCTCGGTGGGTGGAACGAGATTGCCAGTACCACCATCGTTCTTCAGGGCCAGCGACCTGGCCCTGGAGGTCAGATCAACTCTGAACTGCTTCTTTGAGCCGGGCTCAGGGTCAGTGCATTCTCGCAAGCTCCGCTCTTTAAATCTGACGTTGAGCGAAGACAGGTCCCAATTCACTATCTCCACACCATAGGCTTCATGAATGTGTCCACATACAAACAGGCGGGGCCTGACTCTCCACAGGGTCTGGCGAAGGACTTCACATCCAACGCTGCCGCCCTTGCCAGTTTCATCACGATGGTACTTGGCGGGTGTATGGGTGACCACGATGTCTGAGTCTAGTGGGATCTGATCCCACAATTGGGGAGCAGACTCTGTTGAGTACCAAAATGCCCGGAAGCCCCGTGCTGGTGAATATGGCGATCCGAAAACCTTCAGCCTCGACTGTTGCCCGTCTTCGTGCGTGATGGTAACGTGCCTTGCTTCATGATTAAGATAAACGATGGATGGATCTGACTTGACCAGATCCCTGCACCGTTGAGCGTCTTCCATTCTCCCATGATGGAAGTATGGCCCGTACTGCTGGTAGAATTCCTCATCGCATGTGATGTCGTGATTCCCACAGACGATGATTTTCACCTGGAACTTTGACTTCTTTATCCAAGCAACGGTCTTTTGCAGCTCTGAGAACGTGCCCTGGTTGCTGAGGTCGCCTGCGTGGATGAGAACGTCTCCAGAGGGTAGCTTTGGAGTCTGGTTGTGGGTATCAGATATACAGACGATGCGGGTCCGTCTGGTGGTCATTCTGCGGGATAATGATATAGACGATAAGAGATGAGATATCCAAATCCCCCAAGGAATGTCGTTGTTAATACGTATTCAATTGCCTATGCAAGGCAGCCGCGAGTGACTCACCTCATGAGTGACTCATATGGCGGCCTGGAAGCGCTTCCATCACACCTTTGTCTGTTGCTCGCTCTCGCCTTTGCAACATGCTGCCATCACACCTTGTCGGTTGCTTGCTCTCGCCTTTGCAACATGACTCCTGACCACGGCTTGCACGGTCGACAAGGCCTCGGCAATAACTAATCGTGTGGCAAAATGGAGGGGATTGTGCATAACGCGAGGTTTGTCCCTTGCAGTAGCTCACGACGCAGTCATGCATAGCCGAACGCCGGCGTAGCGCACAAGGAAGATAGCACTCTTGGAGAACCGTTCACCACAGATCAACAAAGCTGCAGTGGCCGATCCTACCTCGTACTGTGTCCTGTTCGGAGGGCAAGGTGGGCACGGCACATAAGGATAAGGCGGCGACTGAGAGTCTCTCGATCGACGAAGATTTTCGACAAAGGTGTAAGGACGACTGTGGGCGGCGGGGTCGAGGAAATAGGGGTGCGCCGCGATGATCAAACAGGCTCGAGGGTCTTGAGGGCGTCGTGGGGCGTTTTCCTTCAACTGGGATAGTGGCCATTAATTAGTCTGTTTGAATTGGGGAAATGGCAGCTTGGGTGAGATGTTTACCCAGTACCGAGTCGAATCAGCAGCCCCGGCATGGCGTTTTGCGCCCAAGTAAGAGAAGCGGCGCGAGCAGCGAAGCACGCTCCTTGGAGCATCACATTCTCGTCACAGCCTCTTCCGTCGCATGCGAGAGAAATGAGGCAGATCGCGGGCCAGACTCGTCGTGTACGGTACATTAAGTAGCAGTAGCCACATCGTAGTGTTCTGCTCTCTTTTCTGCCCAATGCTCAGTCCGTGGAGGACCTCAGCACCTGAGCAGATCGAAGCTCTAGGACGACCCGGAAGTGCATGTGGTGGTGAGGGAGCTGGCGTACTGTGTAAGGGGTTTCAGACACAAGCGAGGGCCGAGGGGAGATTAAGGATTATCAGATGAGCAACTGGTCGACGGATGGCCTCAACTTCACCTTCTGCCGCACCTTGCACACAGCAACATACTCATCATTCTCTGCCATACTATACCATAGATACAGCCTCACCATCAGCGTCCGGACGCCGTCATGAGCTGGATGGTTGCGTCACAGAAGCATTCTCGCAGGGGCCTCACTACCCACACCCGCGTCTGTATCCAGCCCGCGTTGCAGATGTCAGAGACGACTTGACTTTTCGCCCGCCACTCCGCAAGAAGCCCAAATTGACAGCCCATGCTACACCGACACATCGGTCTCCTGGAATGCGCAGGCTAGTTGGCATTTCAAAAACTACCAGTGTTCCTTCTTTCAACAGTCGCTTCCTCGACGCCGACCCCGAACCCAACAACAACAACGACCGCCGGCCGTCTTCCTCTTCGGGCATCGTCCAATCTTCCACCACCACCCCCTTGCGGCGGACACACTCGAACTCACTGCAGCGCTCCCCGTCTCAGAAGAGACCGCCCGCGTCTCACAGCAGCTACGGCGTCGAAACCACGTTAGGCCCACCTCCGTCCTACAGTACTCAGCGAACACTCTCGCAAGATCGGATCAGACTCGATCGAAGTGCAGCTTCAAGATCGGCAACCAGTCCGTCGCGCGAAGAATTCCCTGCCGAAAACAAACGCGCGTTGTCTCCTCCTACGTCCCAGCCCGATTCATCCCCTTTGAAGCCAAATGATCGAGCCGCCTTGCCCGAACCCACTCCCGTGCGACTATCGCCCGTGAAACTTGACGCGACACCTTCAACAACCGCGTCCTCTACAGAAGACATCTCGACCCAGGACGTGTCTAGCCCGGAGACGGCAGACACGGAGAGCGTGCTTGCACCTAGCTCAGCTGTAAACAAGGAGAACGCGATGCCGACCACCGACGCGCCCACGCAGGAGAAGGAGAATACAGAGCCCCACCTATTGCGACCAGCGCGATCGGAAGAAGATAGCAAAGGATCTAGCAGCGATGAAAAGAAGAGCGAGGATCTGTTCTTGAATATCGCAAGGACGGACGCGTCACGTAGTGGGGGACAGGTCCAAGGCAAGCTCGAAAAGAGACGGTCGCGGGTTTCGCTCCCCTTCTTCAGCAGCAGCACCAGGCCGTCGACCGGATACAAGTCGTCCCCAATCCAGGAGCGGTTTGATACTACTAGCATGTCTGGTCGGTCGGAGGCTTTGAACTACTACAGCAAACGTGCTTCCCTCGGGCAACATGTGCCAGGCGCGCTTTCGCGGACATACACACAGGACTCTGCACTCCGGACAGGCGGTCTCGACACGCAAAGCACTCACCCTGCCGATCCGCCCCATAGAACCATGTCCAGGCGATATTCTAACAGCAACTCAAACACAAACACCAATACTGAACCCGCTCGCCCATTTTCGCGTCCGAACACAGCACGCAACAGTCGCCTGGTTTCAGACGGGGGAGCCTTCCTTGATCGTCCTCGAATGCCTGACAACAATGCCACCGAGTCGACCATCTCCACAACCGCACCCTCGACCGTGTGGGATGAGCTCGACGATCTGAAGTCTCGCATCAAGAAACTAGAACTGACTGGAAAATTGCCCCCCTCCTCCGCCGCGGCGATGAGCACATCGGAGAGACCGAAGACTGCCACCACCGCAGCAACCACCATGTCGTCTTCCCCGAAGCACAAGCCCACAGCAGTACCCCAGCTGGCATCTGCTATTGAGGGGATCCCATCCAATATACACCCGAACCTTCACGAGGCACTGGGCAATGCCAAGGCCGTCCTCAGCAACGAGGTCTATCAGAAACTACAGGCGACTGCACAGGATGCGTTACAATTGTCCATAATGATGAACCCCGAAGGACACAATGCTGGCGCAAGTACTCTCGGCCTCTCTGCCATATCTGAACGCCAGTTACGGCGTCGAACAGAGAGCATGTGCAGGAGTTTGACGGAGCTGGCGATTGCAATCCTAGCAGACAACAAGCAGCCCCCTCAACCAGTAACCAGACCTGTGAGTCGAGATGCTTACCAGGCCTTACCAGGTCTGCGAAGCCGTCGGTACAGCAATGAGCCCAACGACCGGCCTCCAGTCGCTTCTCGAGTTCAGTCCCGTCTCGAAGCTCGACGTACGAGTGCACAGCTCGGTGCTGCGGTGAACTCACCAGCAGGACCACCGGAAATCACGTTTCAGACACCACCTACAGCGCTTCCGACAATGCCAACATCTTCCTCATCACGTCTAGGCCGGACTACTTCGATGGTTCGCAGCAGGCGGACTCCAGGTTATCATATGGACGGCGCTACCGATGATGAGGAGAGCAGTCCTTCTGTCCGTCCCGTCAGCAGAGCGATGACCGAAGTGAGCACGTATCGCCAGGCCGCAAGAGATCGAGCTGCGTACTCGAGAGAATACACCGCTCAACACCCAATGCCGCAACACCCTGTACCTTCCACAGCCGAGCCAAACTCGGCAACCAGAAGCCAGCTTCCGGCGCACATCAGCACTCACCTCGTGCCCCGACGCAAATACGGAAATCTCTCGTCCAATACAAGCAACGTTGGCAATCAAGATCATACTCCCGTCACGCCGAAGGAGCCCTGGGGCCGGATAACGATCGTGCCAGCCGTTAGTTCCAGCCCGATTGAAGCCACACCCGAGACCCATGTCGTAACGCGACCTACAAATACGCGGAGAAGCCTGGGTTTCACCAGCAGAATCAGCAGCGTAAGCAGCCGACTGCGAGCAGCCAAAGGAGAACGAAATGTGAGCATGAGAGACGTCCCGGAAGCGCGAAGCTCCCGGGACATTGCACCATCAGGACCAGTATTGGACAATAATGCGCCATTGGAGAGACACGGTTCTGGCCAGAGCCTTGAACCCTGATGCGATGACCATGACTCGTCACCAGATTGTATTCATACTTGTACAGCGTGGAATAGACAGAAGGCAGTCCTTCTGATCACTCAATCAGACACCAGCAGATCTGAGCTTAGACGGGTCCAGAACAGACTACACGGGCCACTTGAAAATGATAGCGTTCTTTCCCTGTGAAGTTATGGTTCCTGAACACGCTTGGAGACGATCCTGTCGGACTTGTTGTGCCGTGGCCACGTAGATACATGAATGGGCAGCAGGAGCCGGAATGATTGAACGATCGCGGACCCAATGAACACTCACACATGCGGAAGCATCAGTGGAGGACGGTGAGCACAGTGAGGACCGTCCACGTGCAGAGTTGAGTTTTCGTCGTGCAGCCGGCCAAGAAGAGCAAAATCTTTGTCGCAGCAGCCAAACAGGACGCACCACGAGTCCTCGATCATGCCATTCTGTGGCCACAGGCACGCAGTAAGATCGTTGATTTATGACTAACAAATATCGCGAGCGTGCGGGTTCTCGCATTCCCTGTGGCCACCACCCTTCGATCATCCTGCTCGACGGAACGCGGTGGAAACACGTTGGCCTGAACACGCCATTCGCAATAGTTCTTGAGCAATTCCAGCGTGGCAGCGGAGACGCAGAATGAGCACCTTAAACAGCCCCCCTCTGTGAGCAGGCTCTGCCGGTTGAGTACTTTTAAGCTTTTATTCGTGCCTTTGATGTCGCAATATCCAATCGACATTGCATGTTGTCTGAGCAATGGATGAGTCTTTGTCCTCAGTTTCCGGCCGCTCTGCCAAATCCGATACCGCTCCACGCTGCCTAGGACCACAGATATAAGGTACGTACGTGGCATTAATCCGGTTTCCCGACCTTCTATGCTTCCCATCTTCCTCCAGTACAAACACAGGAACCACGGAAGAAGAATCCCAGGAACACCAATCCCGGCCGGCAGGCAGCACACGTAAGACACCGGGGAAGGCAGTTCCATCCCCTGCCACTACGTGGTACCTGTGGAGAAGACGGGACACGAAATACGAGTGACATCAAGATTCCACTGTCATTGTGCATTCTCGGCCATCTGCATTCGTTCGGTGTCAGTGTACAGCTGATCCCGACCACTGCCGCCGAGCCAGTGCAGACGTCGCGGACCAATATACCTCACGCCGGGCGTCGCGACACCGCGCCCGTGCCTGCGAAGTCTCCAGTCCAGGACTCTTGTACATAACCTCCAGCCATCCACCCGTCTGGTGGTAGCAGGCAGATTCCACGTCAGGACCTCAGCCATGGCAGCCCTTCATCGCTCCACGTCTCGGTCGCCGTCTGAGAACCCCCAGCCGGCGGATTCGGGTTCCGGCCGCTCGTCAATGACCGAAAGAAAGGGCTCTTCATCCTCCACACATTCAACATCATCTACCGCACCGGGTAACTCTCCTAGAGTGCAGTTGGTGCCGCATGCCCGCACTGCCAGCTTTGACATCTCGTTATCAGAAGCGGAGCGGGTCCTGGTAGACCAGGCGGCCACGCAGTTCGATGCTCTTGATCTGTCGTCCAAGGACTTTGATTTTGACGAGATCTTCACCTACGACAAGCCTCAAAGAAAGCTGATCAAAGGAGTGGTCGAGGTGTCAAGCCCGACGCGGACTCAACGGGACTGGTCCTCCTTTTCCTTTTCACACTACTCGGCCGCCATGAACGTCCGGAACAAGGTCAATCACAAGGTGAAGCCCAGCGTCGGCGAAACGTATGTGAAGAAGAAAACCCAAGGGAGAGCGTATTGAAGAGGGAGGAAATCGGCGCAAATGATAATGGAAAATTGGCGTCATGGCTTGGCGGATTCTCTTGTTTTTCACCCGATTCATGTTTCTCTAATAGACTATATCTTCAGAGAGACCTACCATTTGCATTGACGACGGGATTTGGATTAGCAAGGACCAAGCATGATACCCAGCGGCGTCTGGGAGAATGAAGAACAAGAATGAACAAAGATGGTTTAAAAAGTCCACGGCGTCCTGGAGGAAGACAAAAGGGATATGGCATCAGAGAAACGGCGACTGGAACTCGGATTCTTCGAACATGGGTATGGTGGGATGTTACGGAGCATTGCGAGCGATATAGCTGACACTCCTACTCACCCAGGAGCTCGCATGGAATGAGCTTTGAAGTTCGAAGTTGATGAAGTCCAGGCGATACCGTCAGCAAAGTCAGGGACGTTTCGTGATTTCGCTTGCGCATGCCTTAACTTATTTTCAGCACTTGCTGGAGAGAGCCGGACTCCTTGCGAGGGACCGATGGCCACGTTGCTGGTGTCCAGTTCCGAGTCCTCGCTTGCTGCTCTTCGTCGGTAACCGAACACGAAGCCATGGGGCTGTAAATGCTGCCGCAATGAGAACGCTCGGATGATGTTGGAAAGCGGCCGGCAAGATTACCTCATGGACAATATATTCGGATCACTTTTCGTACGGTGCCATTTCTGGGAAGATGCGATAGAGGACAGCTAAGAAGAAGGCAGAAAAGCGGCCCCCTTGTCCGTAGTTATTCTCAGGGTACGGAGTACTGTGTGCTGCAAAGCGTAGGTTGCGACGGGACGCCATATTTGGAAGACACTTGACTACGTACAGTCGGCCGTGACGGCGGGGCGCACTTTGCTTTGGGTGTAGCAATCTGAAACGCCATGGCAATCTTGCAGGTCTCATGCATCGACTCTGATGCGCTGGGTCCTTTCTTCTACCGACAGCGGGTACACACGATGCCACCTGCGGTGGATTGTTCGAGGCTTTGGGCTCACAACTGTGCAGTGAACTATTGACTTCTAAAGCAACAATAGCTGCTCGTCTGTAGATGCACGATATCATTTCTATCGAGACTCCTGGGGCATGCCTAATGTGCCCCTCGGTTGCCCTCGCCCGCTTCCGGCAGCCTGAGCTCCAGGCGGCAAATTTGTTTCTAAAATAAGTTCGCCTGGGGGCTGCATGCGTTTCAGGCCTGTGGCTCGATCGCTGACGGACCAATCGCTGGCTGGGACTGCCACGGCCCTGAGCCGGGCACTCCTGGTGATTCGCCTGTTGCAGCAACCCTAGAATATTGTCCAAGCGCCGAGGGAGCCCTTGTGCAGTGAAGCGCTGACTGGTAGGCAGCGAGGCAGGCAGGTAGCAGTGTTGCTTGCCAGATCCCGACATCCTCACATCCTTCTCACTTCCAGCCTGCGCATTTGACTTTGCCCAAAGGAAAGGTCCAACGGCAAGCCCGCGCTTTTCAAGCACCGGCCCATCCATCTCCACCAGTGGGAAAGGTCGTGGCTGTCTGGCTTCATTGCGCCATCCGCGTGCTTCGTGCGTGGTCATTTGCCAGTCGGCTGAGTCGAGCGAGCGGCCCACCAAAGACTGTCCCTCTCCTCGAAACCCCGTCCTTGTCGCAAAGTCCACGTCCAAGTCCACTTTTGCGTTGCCGCCAGCGATCTCAGGAGCTGCTCTGATTTGCACGAAGCCGCCGCCGTCGACGACTCACTTCTCACGCTCCCCTCGGTCTCTGCGACCTCAACTTTATAGACCAGCCGGTCGCATTTCGATAGTCGGTGCTCGCCCTCTCCTGCGCATACACCATTACCCGTTTCACGGCGCGGTAGTCTGATCCCACCGTCCCAAATCCGCATTACACACATTTGTGACCTGGTGGAGTCGGTGGTCGAGGCTCAGCCGCAACACGTTGGATAAACTGGAGACGCGCCGGATCTGAAACTGCTGGGAAGCAACTCCAGCAAACACTCGCGACAGGGACAAGGCAGCTGCTACACTCTTGCTCTTTGACCGTTGTTTGCGCTACTCTTCAGCTGTAACTGTTTGTTTTGAGGCCTCAACTTGGGCCACTCCTCCATTGTACGTCCATACTACATCTCCCTTCTGACCTTTAACTTTGTTGATGCGGTGGTGCAATGGTTCTCCTGCTGCCTGCTGTCACCACTGCCCTTGCACCCTCTCAAGAGCCTCAATGGACTGCCTCACTGACCGTCACCAGCGCAAGAGATCGTTTGATCTGGCCAACGACTACCAAGATATCACGAGTACAATCCGCCGCTGCGTGCGCCATGCTTCAACATCCTCAGCCTCGTCGATAGCTTGCCCTGATTCCTCCCAATTCACCGCTCCCGCCATCAAGCGGCGTCCTCCTCTCTATCCGACCAAATACTCGAATATGCCCCACGTCGAGGTCGGCTCGGTCATGTCAACCCCGTTTCCGTCCTTCATGTCAGTCGTTGGAAAACCCGATTCAAGCCTGCTGAAGGATATGGAAGAACTGGCTGCTGCTGCTACCGGCTCGATACCAGAGAGTGACACCCAGGTCTTGGTTACTGACGCAAGCCCTCCGTCCGAGGCCGCCATTCAACGCTCTGCTCTTTCTCTTCACCACCGCGACAGCGTCACTTCTATTACCTCGACTTCAACAGACTCCTCGCCCACAAACACCAATTCCACCTTTGACTCTCCCGTCATAACAGACTCCTCGCCCGGCTCGTCCCCCGAGTCAGCGTCATCGAATGCCCCAGTCTCTCCTTTCCGGAACATTATGATCAGACCATCGATAGAAGTACCTCGAAATTCTCCGCCCCAGAGGATACCGCCACCCCAGGACGAGCCACCGAGGCCTGGTTTGGTCCCTGACGCTCCAAAGAATGTCAAGAATCTATCCTTGAACATGGGCGCTGTAGTCCTCTCGCGGCCCGCGACTTCGCATGGGTTCGAATCTCACGCGTTCTCAGCACCCACTTCCCCCTCGAAGGACGCGCCGAAAACAGGGCGGAGGAAGCCGACGAATCTGACAATCCGGACCCCTGGATTTCAACAGTCGACATTCAATCGGGCCATGGACGTCCCCCCAACACCTAGCTTCCGGCCCGTATTACACCACATGGCTTCGTCGCCAGCACTCGCCTCGCTGGCTTCGCCGAAGAAACAACCTCCTGGTGGCCTTTTTCTCCACCTACCCGCCTCTGGTACTGTTATCTCCGGTCAAGGCTCGGACTCCAGTAGCTCGGGTCAATCCGTCAATAGTCAGCTGCCCGAGCTGAAGGAGGAGGACGAAAGCCACCGTGCGCAAAAGTCACAGGAAACTCAGGAGAGAGGTTACCCCAAGGGACCAGTGCTGATCTACGACACTGGAGTGTATTTGTATCTCGAACCCACCGCGGAAGAAGCAAGCAAGTTCGACACGGTCATCAATGTGGCCAAGGAAATCAAGAATCCCTTTCTGATGGACGCTCCAAAGCCAGAGATATCGGAACCACAGACCGCTATCTCCGAAATGTCCTTCAAGTCGGCCTGGGAGTGGCCTCGCCAAAGTGACCTGCCGACACCTTCCACCCCTCGACCGAGTTCATTCAGTCAAGCAAAACGACCTGAATACTTGCATGTACCATGGGATCATAATTCAGAAATACTGGAGGATCTGTATTGTCTATGCCGAATCATTGATGAGCGGGTTCAAGAGGGCAAAAAGGTGCTCATACACTGTCAGCTGGGCGTCAGTCGATCAGCATCACTGGTGATTGCATATGGTCTGTACAAGGGTTACCAGCCAGATTTCCACTCGGTGTACATGGCGGTCAAACAGCGAAGTCAATGGGTCGGGCCCAACATGAGTCTGATCTATCAGTTGACGGATTTCCGGGCAAAGGTGGTCAAGGACGTCTACGGAGACCATTGCAACAAACCTAAATCGAGCTGGTGGCAGATTAAATCGTCGAGCTCTCCGGTAATGGATACACCCATTGCGAAGCAGTCGTCCTGGCAAGCTCCGTCTCAAGCTGATGGACAGGCGCCGCTTTCTAGCAGCGCAATCATTGCTTCGCATGTTCCAAAGGCCGCGGCGCCTTTGAGATTGAATAAAGAGCTGCCTCCGGTTCCCCTTTTCCCGCGGAACGAGCCGACTGCGGTGGCCACACCCATCAAGCTCAGCCAGATCTTGGGAGGCATCGCACGATCATCCCCTGAACCAGCAAAGACTCCTGAATTGGCAGTTGCTGCTGAGACTCCGAGTCCGCCTCGCACCCAGAGTTCTCCACAGGGTGCATCCCCACGGCCGCTGCCATTTCGAGAGCGCTTCGATGCCTCGCCTTCTCAACCACTGTCCAACCCCTCGAAGACTCCTCGGTTGGGACTCCTGACCAGCTCACCAAAAATGGATCTAGCCATGGAGGAACCCAGCAGCCCGTCGCTATTTTCACCTCGGGCGGCCGAGTTTATGGCATCACCATTCGGTATCACGGTCGCAGGAGACCTGGCCGTGAGTCAGAAACTCAAGAAGAAGCCGTCAAAAGGTGGTTTACTGCCCCCACAGATTCGACCATCGATACACCTGGCGGCACCAGGAGATACCATACCAGTTCCTTTTGACCCGCGAAGTCCCCATCAGCAGGGCGAAGGACCCGAGATATTTCGAAATATCGAAGACTTCTTGTAAAGCGAACAGGCGACGCATGCATGTCGGAAAGCGGGCATAACCACAGGTTTGAATTTGGATTTAATGTCTAAGACAGGGACTAAAACCGACATGATTGGAGTGTTTCTTTTGTTTTTTGAACATAGCAAGGCGTTTTCTCCGGGAAAAGCGAACTGGGGAACCAGCAGTGCCACGAATGTAATGGTCAACATGCATGAACGGGCGCCTCTCATGCCTCTAGAGACGAGGGCCTAGAGGATGGACATCGGGTTCAGCGATTTGTACAATTAGTCATGACAGCAAGGGTTGTATGAATCATCTCTACGTCGGATGAGACGACATGCGGAGAGGAGCACCATGGTGTGACTGACTGAGATGAGGCGACGTGGCTACTAAAGCAAACACGCATTGTCTGAGTAGCGGCGAATCAAGAAGACGACTTGATCATGCGGCTCCGTTGTTTCAGCTCTTGAATGTCCAGCCATCACTACCACAACCACAGCCTTGTCTCGGGTAGTACAGACGAGGCTGCGCTAGGAAAGACGTGGATGCGGCGGGCTGTCGTGGCATTTCACTCTGACGCCGATCTGCCTGGCGAACGGCTCCTGCGCTTTAGACTGATCGGTGTCACAACTGAGAGGAATGCCGTCTTAGACAAATCCAGATGCCACTCTTCGCGTAGTCGTCGTTACCCGAGCCCCTCACACCCGCGAACAACAGCAAGAGCACATCCAAGACAAGTCGGCACAAGATGGCGATGGAACGCACGCGCATCGCGAAGGTTGGACGGTTGCACCATACCCTGACCTGTCTCGCTGACGGTTCTCTCTACAGGTCGACGACGTGACCCTCTCGCGGCGTGGGACGCAAGTCAACGGCACTCTACACCTGACGCCCCACCACATCATCTTTGTGCATGCCCCTCCTGCCACCGACGGAAGTCGAGCTCGACCACGCGAGACTTGGATCACCTACCCAATCATCCACTTCTGCACCTTCCAACCGAGTCCTACCGCCTCGAGGCAGCCCTCGTCTATCCGGCTACGTTGCCGTGACTTCAACTTCTACTGCTTCTATTTCAACGACGACCGGAAGGCAAGGGACGTCTACGACAGCGTGAAGGCGTGGACATGCAAGCTTAGCGGGATCGAGAAGCTCTACGCCTTCTCATATCACCCGACAGGACCAGAGAAAGATGTCCAGGGCAAAGGCTGGGCTCTTTATGACCCTATGCGCGAGTGGAGACGGATGGGTCTGGGTGATGAGAAGAGACAGACAAACTGGAGGATTTCCACCATCAACAAGGACTACCAGTTCTCCCCGACGTACCCGGCGGTTCTGGCTGTTCCGGCGAACATCTCAGATAACACCTTGAACTATGCCGGCCGCTACAGATCGAGAGCACGGATACCCGTCCTCACATATCTTCATCCCGTCAACGACTGCACCATTACTCGCTCGTCACAGCCACTGGTCGGTGTCAGGGGAAATAGAAGCATCCAAGACGAAAAGCTCGTAGCTGCAATCTTCAACACGACGAGGGCGGAAAGGCCACTGTCGGCATACGGCTCCCCTCCGCCCGAGCGCGAGGAGTCAGGGTCAAGCAAAGAGACCAATTGCTCGGTGGTCTTGGACGAGCAGATCTCGCAGGCAGACGCTGAAGCGGTAGAGGATGCCATCATCTCCCGCTTTCGTGGCGATGACGATGCACCCGAAGGCTCAGATGACAAAAGACCAATGGTGTACGGGGCTCAACAACGAAACATGATCGTCGATGCACGCCCAACCATCAATGCGCTGGTCATGCAGACCCAAGGCATGGGGTCGGAGGATATGAGCAACTACAAGTTCGCCACCAAGGCATACCTGGGCATCGACAACATCCATGTCATGCGGGACAGCCTCCAGAAAGTGATAGATTCTCTGAAGGATTCCGACCTGACGCCGCTGGGGCCTAATCAGGAGTTACTGCAAAAAAGCAACTGGTTGAAGCATATCGGCCTCATTCTCGATGGATCCGCCCTGATTGCTCGCCAAGTCGGGCTCCAGCACAGCCATGTACTCATTCATTGCAGTGACGGGTGGGACAGGACGAGTCAACTGTCTTCAATCAGCCAAATATGCTTAGACCCCTATTACCGCACGCTCGAGGGGTTCATGGTGCTCGTGGAGAAGGATTGGCTCAGCTTTGGACACATGTTCAAGCACCGATCTGGATTCCTAAGCTCGGAGAAGTGGTTTCAGATCGAGAACGAGCGAATTGGCCGAGGCAGTGATGATGTTGACGACAAGGACCAGAAGAGTGGAGCGATGGCCACGTTTGAGAACGCCTTTCTGAGCGCAAAAGGATTCTTCTCGAACAGCAAGCACAACGAGTCCAGGGAGTCAATCAACGTCGACTCTGACGCCGACGCGGGTACTGCAGCAAACTACGACTCAGAGTCTCAATCCGCTCGGCGAATCGTTTCCGGCGCCCACAAAAAGGAAAAGGACAAGGTCGTCACCAAGGTGAAAGAAACGTCTCCAGTTTTCCACCAATTTCTCGACGCCACATACCAGCTCCTGTACCAATACCCCACCCGCTTCGAGTTTACTGAGCGGTTCCTCCGCCGTCTCCTCTATCACCTGTATTCCTGCCAGTATGGCACGTTCCTGGGCGATAATGAACGAGAACGCAGAGAGCTACATCTGGCCGAGCGCACGAGAAGTGTATGGGACTACTTTATCGCCCGTAAAGAGGAATTCCTCAACCCCAAATATGACCCTACGATCGACGACAATGTACGAGGCAAGGAGAGGCTTATGTTTCCCAAGCCGGATGAGGTGCGCTGGTGGAACGAACTGTTTGCACGCACAGACGAGGAAATGAATGTGAAGACTCAGCCTGTGGCCACAGCTCGGCCTAATGGTACAAGTGACGCTGAAGGGTCTGAACTGTGGACCTCTGTTCCTGCATCCCAAGCTGGATACTCGTCTTCTGCCAGCGCGCCTGTTTCCAGGCCTAGGACACCTGTACTCGTAGGCGTGGAAACGAGCGAAGCGACCGTTGGATTGGCGACTTCTCCTCGTGCGCAGCAAGAGCCCGCCCAGGGTTCCGAGGTGCCTGGACGTTCTGCAGCTCGGTCGAGGAGCCCGTCGTCATCAATGCCACAACCACCGCTTTCGCGATCGCGGACGCCCAACCCACCCGAGTCCGAGGATGCAACCCCGCGCAAGGACCACGGCCTCTCCAAACAACCCAACGAGCCAAGCCCTGAAAGAATAATGAGCGACCGCCTCCGAGCCATTAAGGATGACTCCCAGGCCGGTACCGCCAACGTTCTCTCAACTTCCGACCAGTCGACAGTCATGATCCATCATTTCCCGCACGGGAACGAGGCCAAGCGTACGCCGCTGCCAGGGAGCCCTGCCTTGGCAGGTCAAGAACAGCGGACTGACGCAGATCAAAGGGCAGCCGAGATCACGACACAAGAGCAGAGCACACCGACGCCCCATGAGAAGGGTGATGATGCTGTCGAGCCAGACAGTAATCCTTCCACCGAACAGAAGCCCCTCGGCGTGGCAGATGATCTCGACCCGCTAGGTTTGGGTGAGGTCAAGGACATGCCCGCCGCGCAGAGCAGTCTGAGCATGCGAGCCCGCGAGCGGAGACGGGAGCAGCTAGAATTGTTGATGAAATGAGCGAGCGTCCTTCCTCACTCCGCGACATGGCGACGGGAGCAGGTGGAGTTGTTGACGAAATGGCGTCGTTCTTGCTCACCTCGCTGCATGGCGACGAGAGCAGGTGGAATTGTCGATGAAATGAAATGAGCGTCCTTCTTCACCTCCCGCCGCTGCACAGACGACGAGTGCTTGGGGAACAACGGATTTGATATTATGTCACGTCACTCCAAGTTTAAGTCGGCTCAGCTCAGGTCCGTGCACGTTCCTGTGCCGAGATCGAATGGACACGTAATCATTCACTCATTCATGATGACCATGTTTGTTCGCCATAATTTAGTGGATGATGAGCATGAGCATGAGCATGAGCATGAGCATGAGCATGAGCATGAGCATGAGCATGAGCATGAGCCACTGGCGGATCGCACGAGCCGAACAATTCGCTACCGTACTTCTGTGTAGGGTAGTCCAGTCAAGGGGAGTACCTGCCTAGGTACGGAGTCCCTACTGTGTACTCCGTATGTACAATTGGTTCATAATGTAGTGACTGTAGCATGGCGTGGCGTACGGTGTGTATGTTCAAGGTTGCATTGCGTGGGAGGACGGATGGATACTTGAGTACTTGAGTACTTGACTACATTGGATACTGGAGTACCTAGATACCTGGATACCTGGATTTCTCGAGTCCTTGGACGCTTGAGTACTCAAACACTTCGACACACGGACACGAAGACAGGGACAACATGGGCGCATATGTACCTTACACACTAGCGCGGAACGCACAGCTGGCCCGGTCGGTCGGTCGGTCGGTAGGGGTCTTGGACATACAGTAGACGGCGCGGAGGAACTCATCTTCAAAGGGGGCGCACCCGAGAGGTCGACCAGACCAGTAACGTAACTAAACCGAATAAATGAACGGATGGACGGACGCACAAGTTACTGCAGGATGATATTGTTATTGTTACAACCACCCACTAATCAACAATAGTAATCAAATGATTCGATGCCGTCCGAATCCAGGCCTCGTTGTTTCATCCATACATAGTAATTATACACATACACATATGCACATACATGTACATGTCCATGCGGTGTTGTGTTGCGCTGTGCGGGCCCCGAACGGGGGGCGTGCATGTATGAATGTACCATGCATGGTAGGGTAGATAGATAGATAACCAAGGTACTGTATGTATGTGTGTACTCTAGAAGAATCATCTCCACGCCACCGACCTGGCAGGCAGGCAGGCAACGTCAGCTCAGCACGGCAGCGCGGATTCTTCACTACTCTAACACATACTCTTCAATTCCACGCAGTCGGGGACGGAAAGATTGCGTACGCTCCACAAGGGCAAAAAGACAGGCAAGTGGGCAGACAAGAAGAAAAGAATGGAGGGGGACCTGGGCTTCACACTCCGTCTTATGTGGTCAACGCCTTGATTCTGGCCGACTTCTCTCACCCGCGCTCATCAGTTCCACTCTGTCACCGGCGCGAGATTGTGTAAGCTCGACGAGGCAAGAAGACAGGCAAGGAGACGGGCAAGGAGACCGAAACAGGGACCTGGGTTCTACTACGTACAGTAAACAAGTGGGAAACTCTTGACTCGCAGGATGTCTGGATTACAGTGTCATGCCATTCTGCCACGTCCTGGCGAGTAAAGGTAAGCTAAGCTATGCTATGCCGTGTTGTGCCATTCTGTGCTATGCTATGCTATTCATGACGGTCGGCATGGCTTGCACACGTACAAGAATGTATGTGCCTTCTTCTGTTCCGTCATCTGCTAAACCTCTGTCGTCGTAATTCAACGTATGAACGTCAATGCGGTGAATCTGGTATCCCTCCGCCTGACTTTCAACCCATGTCATGTTCATCGTCGATTTCCCCGGTTTTGACGCCGTTAAAACGCCCCAGCAAGACAAGATGAAAAACCATACACCAATCAAGGGCTAAACCGGCCTCCGCACTTCGTGTGACTGCACCCACCCCTCAGCCGAAGTAACGATACTGGACCGGGACCTCAATGAGATGTCGATAGGCATGAACCGCCACCTAGGCGCTCTCCTCGACATGCCTTAGAACCGGGTACAGCTGCTCCGCGTCCGTGGTCTTCTCCTTGTGGTCATCGGTACCGCCCATTTCGGTATCATCCTGCTCACCGACATCTGTCTTCGTAACGTCCTTGGCCGGCTCTGGCGTAGCACCGTCGTAGTCACCAGTCTCCAACTTCTTCTTGATGAATTCACGCATCCATTCGATCAGCCGCATGTTCTGGACCCATGTCTCGGTCTGGTCTGGTGGGCTGTCCTTGGATTCGCGTGGCGTGTCAGCAGTATCAAGAGCAGGGTCGATAACGCTGCTGACAGGAGAATCTCTCTTCTTGCCTTTGGACTCCGCGTTGATGCCCGACGCGGGAGGCGTGGCGGAACCATCGCTGGCCATGTCCATATCATCTCTGCCCTTGCCAGGAGCGGCGCGTTGGAGACGGCCGCCCTCCCACCGACGGCGATCTTCATCATACAGACCACTAAGCGTCGCAGCGTTGGCTGCGGCATAGGCCATGTCGCTAGCAGAGGCTGGCAGGGTAGGGTACATGGCAGAGCTGGTCGGAGCGGCATGGCCTGGCAGAGGACTCTGGCCAGAAGTATAGCTCTGGGCGGATGAGGGCGGGGTGAGTCCAGGGGTGCTGGCGTCAGTAGTGTTACTGGCAATGCTCTCTTGGTGGCCGTGCTGCAGCAACGAGGTAGCGTTGGCCTGGGCTGCGGCAGATCCATGATGAGAAGTGCTGGGTGGGCTATTGCTAGCTCTGGCGTACGTGACATACCCAGCACCAGTAGGGGCGACACCAGCGGTGAGATGCGCATCCTGCTCGTAGATGGTTGCTTGCATCTGCTCCAGGATCTGGTCGATCGAGGTCAAATCTTCTCTGGTCTTTGCGTTGCCCATTGGTGGGAGGCTGTAGGCTTGAATGGGATCTTCCTGGCCATAGCCGCCACCAACTGCGACGGGTTGATAGGCAGGGGTTGGGACAGCAGCTGGGATGATCTGAGGCAGTTGAAGACCTTGCAGCTCAAAGAGACGGCGGCTGACATTGTGGAAGTTGATGGGATCAACTTCGCGACGTCGAACTTGGCCGAAGAAATGATCGAGCGCATCAAAACCACGCTTGCGAGCCTCAAAGTCATAACTGGCGGTGGGCGGAGCGGTGCTGTAGTAAGTCACTGGACCGTAGCCCGGGTGTCCTCCTGTCTGTGATGAATCAGTTTGTGCTCACCGGGTGGCATAAAGGGGGACCACGTACCGGAACTTGAGGATGAGGTTGGTAATATTGGTTAGGGTGCTGTTGGGCGGCGTAGTCGTGGGGACCCGGCATAGCAGGCGCGTAGTAGTTTTGAGGAACTTGTCCAGTCAGACCGCGACCATAGTATGAGGCGTTGTAGTGCCCACCTTGTCCCATGCCGTTTTGAACCGAACGCTGGCCGCCACCTGGCTCGAGGTTGGGGGAGCGCATGATGACGCTGTCATCAGCATGAGTCTTGACATGTTTCTTGAGATCCTGGGGGCGCTTGAAGGCCTTGCCGCAGAACTCGCATTTGTGAGGCTTCAACGGCACATGGACTCGGATGTGAGAGGTGATGTGGTCGCGCTTCACCGTGGTGGTGCGGCACTGGCCCCAGGCGCAGGTCAAGTTGAGGTTGTTCGTCGACTTGCGACCAACATGACGCTCGCAGACATGTTCCTGAGCATCATGTCAGCGAGGTCCACATGGTTTGACGAGGGCGTGAACTCACGTAGAGGGCTTCAGCGGTCGGGCAGCGCTCGCCGCATCCTTGCCACTGGCACTGCAAGTTCTCACCTGCCGAGTTGACATTCGGAGCAGGATTCGAAGCCAGCGGCGTCTGGAGTTGACCTTGCTGCTGGGTCGCGTCCTGCGTCGCCGCAGTATTGGGGGTAGTGGTGTTGTTCTCTGACATTGTCGCGGCGGAAGAGGATGCAGATGCTGGCGCCAAGCTTGCCGTCGAGAAAGCCAAGAAAACGACTTCTTCGACGTTCGAGCGCGACTTGAAAAGACCACGAAGTTGATCTTTCCCGCAGTGCGCCTCTCACAGGGGAGGTTACGCGAGAGACAACTGCGCTGGGTGGTGAAGTGAAGAGAAAGTGAGGGAATAGTGAATGAAAGGGTATCCGGAAAAGAGGGAAGATTTTGCGCGAGCAGCAGCGAAGTAGCCGGGGGGAGTATGTAAGTTATGCCAGAGGAGAGACTCACGTCCCGGGGGCCAACTGACTGACTCAAGCGGCGGCTAGAATGACGATGTGGCCAGGGATTCACGGGAAATAGCTTTATCTACAAGGGAAAGAGCTACACAGTGCTTGGTCGGGAGAAATAGAGGGCAATGAGGGGCCAGCCACTCATCGAAACAAGTGCTCTCTCAGAGAGGCAGAAGGGCGGGAGCTGAACTGGCCCAGCGAGACACTCATCACGGACCAGAGGGAAAGAACCCATTTGGCTTTTGGCACTGGCATGCATCCGTGGCACTGAGAGGAAGGGAGGCCACTGGAGGCGTGCGCCGATTCAAACTGAGGCAGGAGCAACGCCGAGCCGCTAAAACATGCCAAGTGCAACCTACGCAATCCAGCCAATCCGCGGCGCAAGCTGGTGCATCTGGGTGGGGAATTCCTGCTTCAGCGCGCCGGCTAGAGAGCAACTCTGAGCGGCCTTCAACCCTCCAGGCCCGAGTCTCTCGAGTCGGCTGTCAGCGTGATACGCAGCTCGCAAAGAGCAGACCACTCCGGGAAGATCCTGCGACACCTTCCCAGGGCAGCGTTGCCGCACGCGCATTTAATAGAGCTGCTGACCGAACACTCGGTCCGAATCTCACCGTGGCGACGACTGAGCGGAGGAGGCCTGATCAAATCTCCTCATGGTCTTGGTCTTTCTTGGGTCGAGAGGAGTTCTTGGACAGCGGGACGAGCATGGCCAAGGGAGGAAAAATGCACCAAGACACTTGGAAGGAGGCGCAGCCAAATGTCTGGGTCGTGTTGCAGGTGGCAAATCTGGCGATAACGGGGGCTTCTAGGCGGCCCATACCCATTCAGCTCACATTCTCATTTGCCCCTTGGCTCCGGAAACTCTTGGGACTTCGCTTTGCCATGCATTCTCCGATTGAGGGGCTGCCTTTGGGCCTCTCGCTTCCCATCTCTCGCGTTTCGTTTTGGCATCCGAGGCATCGACGATAAGCACTCCGGACGATACGATGCAGCAGATACTGTACATTGCTTCTTTCGTGCAAGCAACTTGCTCACAGCTGGCCGTTGTGCGAAGCTTGGTTGGACTGACGCAGCATTGCCTTTTCTGGGGATGCGCTTTGGTTCCGTCCATCCTCGCGAATACGAGGCCGTGCCGAAAGCGGTTTACAGCAGCATCGCCTACAGCGTGCACAGTGTGAGTATTGTGGTATTGCTTCCACGTGGAGCGAGGGTCGACACGGTTACCACAGGGCATACGAGGTAGTGACGGCACCAACGACCGAGATGCGTTCTTCGGCGTGAGTAACTCACAAAGATCGATCCGTAGCTTCGTCATGCCACATGGCCACACTCTGAGTTCACCAGAGTTCGCCTCAGGCGCCCTTGAAAATCCATGGTCCTGCCAGGTCCTGCTTGCTCGTCATCAACAATGAACATTTCGACTCCTGGCTGCCAATCATTGCCCCCAAATACGCCATCATGCGCTCTAGCTTTTGACTTGTGTTAAGCGACAGAGTTGAGGTGGTGGAGTTACCCCGCTTGCGCAAGCAAGCCTGGGCTGTCGTCGCTCGCTCGAGATGAAAATGAAATTTTGCCCGCTTTGCTACGTCCGCCGTTTCGGGACGCGTGTTGCCCAGCGTTTGCCAATGTCTGGCGGAATTCTTGGGACGTTCCAAGGATCCCAAGACTCCAAGAACTCAGCGGAAATCTTGGGCAGATGGGGACACCACCTGTCTGCCTGCCGTGAAGTTGGTTACGGCGATCCCAATTTCAGAAATCTGCTCAAGCATCGGCACATATTTTACGGTGTGCGCGTACATCCAATGGAGCTGGATGTTGAGCGTGGCAGGACGAAGAGCCCTTCTGGCGTAGGCCGGACCTGCGTCTTCGGTCGATGGCTCTGGTCCTCATATCATTTCGATTGCTCCTCAACGGGTTCGACTACAAGCCAACATATATCCATGTCCTGCATCGCCTCTCTGCACATGTACGTCTCATCTCGTCTTGCATCGTCCCAGAGGCCAACCTCGATGTCGGCGTCTTCGAATGGTATCAACGGCTCTTCAGCCTCGTGCAGAATGACGCGTACGCCGAGATAGTGCAAATCCGTGGTATCACAATAGCAATGCCTGCCCCTTTTCATTAACCCGTGCAATCATGCCAATGCCTGGAACCACTGTATCCCAGGACCTAAGAGTGAACGCCAGATACGTATCAACCTTCGGTGCGGAAGCGGTGTCCATATTGCTGCTCCGCCCATGCCGGGTTCCAGCTCTCGGAGCCGAAATAATCCAAGTTCGTCGGCTGCAGGCCCTGCGCTTGCGCTTGCGCTGGTCCTATACCTCCCTGTCCACCACCCATGCTCTTCCAGTATGCACCTGCGTTCGCCGTGCCATTTAGATCGTTCATGGTCCCCGGCTCCGTCGATCTGGGAATCGCACCCAGATGGCTCATATCATGCCCGATCCCATTCTGCACCAGAAAATCGGTAAAGGGGGCATGGAAATCTCGGTTGCCCTGTGCTGCAAACTGTTGTGCCAGGTTGGGATTGTCGCCCAAGGCCTGCTGAAAAGCAAAGTCATAACCACCAAAATGCTGGGGTATTTGGTGCGTGCCACTGCTCGGTGTCCCAAACAGATTTGACTCGTTTGGAGTCATGCTTGCCTCTGAGAACGGGTAGTGCCCGTCAGCTGATTCTAGTGCACTCATTGGTTGGCTCGGGTATGCAAAAGGGTTGTCGCTTGGAAACATAACACTCTTAAGATCCGGGATCTGCGCGTTCCCTATCTGAGGCGTGAACTGATAGTTCGGTGACAGCGGGGACGAAGCAGATGGGCTGTTAAAACCCATCAAATGTGGATTCTGCATCTGTTCTTGGAAGGAAGACAGAACCGCGTCCGGGAGAGACTTTCGTTTGGCCAGTTTGGCAAGATAGTCTGATGGGAGCGTCCTCGCCCTGCTGGGTGTTCCTGATTGCTCTCTGGAGCTTACCGGAGCGCCAAGGTCGGGCAAAGTCTGCCTTTCCTGCAGTAGGCCTGCTTCAGATCCTGGCGAAGGCCGCTTTCGAGCGCTTGCTGGAGCCAGATTCAGTGAACTTCGCCGTTCCTTTAGTTTTTCTGGAAGGACATCGAAAAGTCCCTGGCACGGAACCGTCAGCATTGGATTCTCCGCGACAACTGTCATTGGGTGTTGCTTACCGTCAGGCTGACCGTGCACCTGTCGGCAGCCATACTTCGCTTCGCTAAGCTCGCCAGGGTATCTCTCCCTTCCAATGCATCTTTCAGGATCTCATTGCTGGTGGAATTATTCGGATTTTCGATGACGAAGAATACGAGGGACAGGATGGCGAAATATGTCGTGTACATGAAAAACCAGTAGGATCCTACCAGCAACCCCCTCCTCTTCATCTCGCTCATTATGTGGACGATGTTCCTGGCAACGCTGATACACGCTGCAGCGCAAGCAAAGCTTCGTTTGTCCACGTTTCTCGCCTGGCATGCTTGAGATACATAATGAACAAACGGGCGATAGACCATCATTTGGACGTGGGCATACCCCATGCGTAGGTGTTGCTGGACCCTAGATCATGTCAGCCCTCCTCGTGCGCCATTCAATTCATAAACATACCTTTCAAGCTCACGTCCGCAATTGTCCGACGGTCTCAATTCCATTGGCAATTCATCCATCCAATTCTGCAGGTCCTTTTCGAGCTCGCGGATCTTCTTGTGACTGATGCTATATACCGGCTCGGCTTTCGAGTTGTCTAGGGACTTGAGAGGGTAGATGTAGCGCACGACTTTCCTCATAATCATGGTCAACCTGGTGTGGGCGTTGGCTGCTCGCATGAGTGGAAAAGTGCCTGCAGGCATTGGCAGAATAGCTTGGTCGGTGATATAGTCGTCGTCAACCTCGGAAGGGTATTCTTGGTCGATTTCTTCGTCACTCAACATCTGGGGAAGTCCGAGTGCTGCACCCACATAGGCATCCAGCTTCCGTACAAGCCAGAAGATCCGCTTGCGCTCCTCGGACTCGATAGGGTTGAATTTGGTGGGCAGGTTACGGTGCAGGCCCAACCGACAGCAAGCCCTCAATGCAATGCCAATGTAGGCATAGCAGATGGGTAGCTTCGCCGAGGACTGGAGAAAAACTATCATGAAGACAATGGCCTGAATCGTGACCAAATCCCTGCAGTCTGTGATGTCGAGGAGCTGCTTGGCGGTGCTGAAGTATTGGTATCTGACTAAACGTTAGCACAGCGGTGCCCTCTTGTCCGGCCAGCACATACCCTTGCTCGATTGCTTCCTTGTAACCCTTGATATCAAGCACCGTGTTCTCGTTTTCGGTTTTGGAGAACAGGCAACCAACAGCCAGAACCACATAGAGCAGCGGCAGGAATTGAACGTGGTGGTTGTTGTATTGGTCGGGCTCGGTGTCGTAGACCGAATGAAGTCGTTTGAAGAAGGTCGGTCGGTGGATCGGCCGCATGAGAGCACAGGCATCGTCCAACGTATTGCGGCATAGATCGATGGCCACATCTCTGGGAGGAAGGTCAACGTGAGGAGGGAGGTTGAAATCTATCGGTGACGAGTGGGCGGATTTGGGAGACTCAAGGATCTGGGCTATCGTTCGATTTTTGCGGGGACGCTCATACTCCGACAGGAACTGGTCACCAAACTGTGCGCGGAACTTCCGCATAAAGACGTAGCCGGACGAGTGGCCATGGAAATCCCAGTTACCGTGGTCGTCAAGGTCCAGCGCACCGGTTCTATCGACCATCGACTGGAGTTGAGCATCGTCGTCAGGCTTGGCGGCCTCCGAGGGCGCTCGTCCTTCACCACTGACATTTGCTTTTGGCCGGCTATGCTCGATCAGCTGCTCGACACTGCGAGCGTCAAACTTGGGATCGTCCAGGTCAAGTCCCGGTAATACAGTGCGCAATATCGACTCGGCCTTTTGAAGTCGTTGTTCGAGGGCCTCAATGTACTGCGGCGCCGGGTTCCGCCTCCTGTTAGAAGGCTGGTCATAGGTACACTCTAAGCTGCGCGTCAGTCATTCGAGCAAGCAGCCGAAGATATTCACGGGGGAACGCGACAGACCGTAGCTGTAGACCGTGCAATGTGTACACGGCTGTTTACCGTCGCACTTGATCTTCTTTCTCCGGCATTCGTCACAGGCTCTCGTCACCCTCCGTCGCTTCTGCATGGGCGCCTGTGGCTTTGCGCCGGAATCGCTTGGCGGTGTGTCTGGCAAAGGAGACTCAGGCCGTGACTCTGAAGCATGTTCGTCATCATGATGTGAGGCGCCAGCGGTCGAATTGAGCGCGGCATTGCTCAGAGCCTCGTCGGACGGGCGACCCAGGGACTGGGGGGTGTTGAAGTCCTGGTCGCCCATCCGATCCAAGCCTCAGGCAGCGGGAAGAGTGGGTAGATGCTACGGAGGAAACCGAAGCGTTGCTGCAGTCATCCACGCGCGACGTTCGACTCGACCCTGCAACTGGCTGAGGCCAGCCGAATGACGCATACGATGCTGAGAAGAGTCACAAATAGCTGGGTAAAGACAGATTTGTCGAGGCCGGTCCACGGCGCCGCATTCGGAATTGAAAACCTCCGCAGTCCGGTCGAATCTAGGCGAGAGCAGGATGGGCGATGCAAAGATCAAGAGAAGCAACGAAAAGAGAAAGAAAGGTGAATAGCGATGGAAAGAACAGATGTGTGAAAGCGATCGACTCTGGCGGTACGAAGCGTACGAGGTTGCGGGTTCGCCCAACAACAAGCCAGGGCGTCCCTAGGAAAGGCTACGGGGACGCCCACTGACGCCCAGTGACGCCCACTGGGTTGGGCTGAGGGCCTGTCACCCAGCGTGGGCGCTCGTCTAACCCCCACCTCTACTTTTGGGACGTCTCCAATGACGCAGTCTTGCAGCCCCTAGCTGCGGAGCTGGGCTCCCGCGTGGATGCAGAGGCCAACCGGATAACTGTGCGATGGACCCTCGCTGGCTGTTAGAGTTGCCCTTTGCTCCCTTTTTAGGGTCCCTTATTCAGGTTTATCACAGCGCAGGCAGGTGGTGCAAGCGCGATACGACAGTCGCTCCACGGTCCGGAACCCATCGCAACGTGGATTGTCGATCCTCTGCCGCTGGGCGACGAGTAGGGACGGACAGTCGCCGATCCTCTGAGGCCTCGATGGCACGTTGGGTCACGTTCAGAATGCTCAAGTGGTTTTTGCGTGCGAGCAGAGGCGACGAGAATACCGGAGATAGCAGATCACGGGCGAGGCTTGAAGGGTCCAGGCGAACACCCCTGTACAAGTAGCAGTCGCCTATGGACGAATGACAGCGACTCACAGATGCCCTTCCAAGACAATTCTGCCCTGCAAGCAACCGCTTTACCCCCGAATAGCAGCTGTATCCAGGCACGCTAGGACTCAGGTGCCACTTGAAATCATCTCAAAGATTCTCCTGTTCTTCTATACAGATGTAGAAGCGTTCAGAGTCCTGAACCGAGCGCGATATGCTTATAGCGAACAGGTCCGAAACACGAACTCGGTGTCTGGAACTTTAACTACTTCGTGTGAGGGGAGGAGGGGCATCCATGCCTCGCGTGGCCATCCCACCATTAGCAGGATCCTGGTGGATATATCACGCCAGGGTCGGGGAAACGGACAACGAGGAGGCAAGCCCGGTCTGTGGTTGTGGCACCTGTCTTCAAGACACGGATAAAGCCCGGCCTACGCTTCGCTTCCTGTCCTCAACATGGCGGTGAATGGCGCCGGCGGCCTTGATGATGGCATAGAGCAGCACTCAACACATGCTGTGGATCGTTTGGATATAATTAGGCTTGCGAGGCTTGCCCTTTGCTCCCCCTGTTGTTCACGCCCAATCATGGCCACCCCATTGCTGGGTCAAGTAACAATCGACAGCCCTCCAGGCTCACCATGCAGGGAAGGTTTGTTTGTTTGGCTAGATCCTTGTGATGGATATCAATCACAAACATCAGGATGCTGGCTTGGTCGAAACTGCCTGATCAGGAACCATCACTTTCTCCACATCCAAGGCGGTATTGATTGTCCGACGGATATCGATCTCCTGCCTGACCTGAAGCCGCCGACAACTCGTTAACGCTCTCAAGAGTATGGCCTTGTGTTTCGAAATAGAAGAAATATATAACAACTCCTGCGGTCCAGTTGAACGTGGTGAATACATAGAAGTAGCAATACCTCATCTTGTGAGCACAATAGGCGAGCATTTGGGCGAAGATCAAATTGAACACCCGATTTCTGAACGTGGACCAAGGAGGTGCTTTTGGCGCGCGCTGCTGTGGAAAACACTTCCCTGGAAAATATCCCCGAGATGCGCCCAAGGCTCGCGAAAAGGACCGCAAAGCCGAACACATAATTAGCCACACTCGCACGGAGTGCCTTACCATTGCGACCAGGAAGCTGTTCCCCGTCGATGTAATAGTGGGCCAGAGTAGCGTTGACATAGAGTGCAGCTCCCATGCCTTTCATGGACGGGAATCAACACCTGCCTGCGTCCGACTCGGTCCACGAACGCGATGCAGACGGTTTTATACACTTGGGCCTGTGCATCATAGACGCCGATGATCATGAGGCTCCTGCTAGTGCTAGAGCGCGGATAGCCGTAAGTTCGTGGCCTGCAATAGTTGATGGCATTTACTCCACTCGACATTGTGAAGAGCTGAATCTTACAAGTCAACAACAGACGCCGCCGTAAACTTGGCACTGGGATCAAATCAAGCCAGCCCACGCGGAAATGGCGTGCGGCTTCCAGCTGTCCAAAAATCGTTCATATTCCGCTTCGACGAGACTATGTCCGTTATGTAGTCGACTGAGAACGGTGTGCGCGCTGCTTGTCTCTTCATGTTCCGCAAGCAACCGTGGAGACTCGGACAAGACCAGATCCCGGCCGCGAGAACCAACACAGGCAGCACTTCGATGGAGAGAGGAAACTTCCAGCTGAAGGGCCTCGACCAGCCAGCTTCCATATCCTATCCACCGGGCGTAGACGAATCTAGCTCCTGGTTAGTATACTCACATGGAGACGATTTGCGATTAGGGCTCGGCCCCAAGACCAGTGTGCCACTTTTGTAGACCTGCCACTTGACTTGATGTTGCCCAGCACAGTTCAAGTGCTCGAAGCCATCAAGGTGCCGACGTGGCTCACCATAAGCTAAAAGCAGTGCCCCCAAGCACGCAGAAGCGCAACAGGAGCTGACTAGCAGCATTTGGCGGGCATCTGGAGACTGCTGAAAAGCAGCATAATCTGACAGAGAGCCGCGTATGTGATTTGAGCGTTCCTCCGCTGTCGGCTCTAATGTTGAAAAGCACCTGCAACTGTGAATTAAGCCCGATCAGTGGCTGCTCGACGAGGTTGTGGCCGTGATGATTGATCGATCAACAAAGGCCGAGGCCGCAAGAGCACGAGGTTACGGCTGCTCTCGCGTGGGAAACAGAGCCCTAAGACTTCCCCGGATCCAGCCTATTGGTGCCGCCCAGTCAGCTCAAGCTGTTCCGAAAACACTAAACCATCGCTCTGGGCAAAAGCTGGCGAGACCGGCTTCAACGCCATCCAAGGGACGCGCACTGACGCGCAAGTCTTGCCCAGTATCTGTGTATCGATGATCCCGCAGAATACTCGAGCCTTGGTCTCCGGCCCTGCTCCTAACTTTTGAGTTTGTGACTCTGGAACCCAGACCTGAAAGAATTATCGCTTGATCCGAAATATGCTGGTGCTGGCAAAGCCTCTCATCCTAGGAGAAAAGACGAGATTGCCACGCACGACGGGTTTTCTGCTATTCTCGACCACTGGGTAATAAGAATCATGCCGGCTTCATCATGAACCATGACCGATAACTGACCAAGGGCTCCCGCAAAATCTCCGTGCGTAGCTCGTTTTCCCAGTCGACCATGACGGACTGAGCTCTGGACACAAGGTAAGGAAGCTGTGGAGCAACCCGTTTAGCCTTTCAAACGTAGGCCGCGACAGTCGTTTCGACATTTTGAGCATTCTACCCACAAACCAAGGCCTTTCTGTATGGAGCAGGACCGGAATTTTGCTGCCACTCAGCAATATCTGTATGAGTGCTTCCACAGAAAGGTGTTGATCTAATTGATTGGGCATCATATTGTCCATGAGCTCGGCAAAGCATCCTTCGCTGAGCTCTGTGGAGTAGCGGTATTCCTATATGGCCGTATTGATCGTCATCAGCGCACCCAGCCTGGATATAAACTGTTTAAACTGGCCCGTGTCGGTATACCGTGCACCGTCTGGACTTGCAGGAAGGCTATGTAGCGGCCGACCCGGTAGGAAGACCGAGTAACGCAAACGTTGCTGCCTTCTTGAAACCGGATTGCTCTGCATGCCCGCTTGTACGAGCGCGAGGTGTTCGGCACACTTGAGAAACATGAGGAATTCTTCAGTCTGCTGTGCGATTTCAGTACGGCCAATGGCCTCGGCCTCTTTCTCATTCGTATGTCTTGGTGAAGATTGATGGTCAAAGTAGAATGTGGCACCCTAACCCTTGTAGCCAGAGAAGATGTAATCCGACCAATTGATCAACATCTGTAATCTTTTGTTTTGGACTAGAGCGGTTGGTCCGCCTCTGTCTCTGATTTTCTGCACAACCGCTTCCCAGTGCATTCAGGCATAGATGCGGCGTTCGATACGGGGATCGAAATCCTCCAAGGCCGCCGCCGAGATCGTTGCCGAGATGGTCGCATCTGAGGTATCATGCGGGTATTGCTGGTAGTGATGAAGACGCAACTGTGAGGCCTTGGCACGATGTCCAATGGCGAGACACGTTTCTGGAAGGCCTTGGACCCAAGCCTGTGAGTTGGCGGCGTGGACAAGGATTGTATTCTGGAAGCACAGGGCCCCTTTCATGGCTTCTGGTATGAAGACTGACAGGTACCAGTTGTGGGCCAGAGGGCTTCGTCGCTCAAACCCGTACGAGCATGCCGGCATGACGTTTGGATAGAAATCGAAAAGCTCTTGGCCCTGAGCGCTCAAGTCCATGGGTAGGCAGTCGAACGGGTCAGTCCGAGCAGCACTACAATACGATTGTGGTTCTGGACTTTGGGACGTGGCTCCGCGTGATAGCCATTGCCGATTATGCGGCGACGAGCGATCGGCAGAGTCCCCGGACGATGGGCGTGCGGCGAGTGGCTTGGGGATCATATCCGTCAGCTCCGCAAAGGCCGAAGAACCCAGGAAGAAGGAGAGACTGGGATTTCTGGGAACCGCCTCCAGGACAGGGCTGTAACAAACAATCTCTTCCGCAGGATCACCATGATGGCTTTGGTGCTGTCGTTGCTCCTTTGACGCTCCTTGCGCAGATGTACAGCCCCGGGTGTCACGGGATTCGAAAACCGGCGATGCTTTCTGTGTGGAACGTCCATGTGTCGGTCGTGACTGCGGCCTAGCTTTCACAGCTCTCTTGCGGGTCGGCGAGTGAGAACTCCCAGCAATATTAGAATGGGAACGAGCCTCCCAACGTGTCTCCCTCATGTATTCCTGCATAATATGGCGTCGAACTTGAGTAGAGTTGGAGCCTGACGAGCTGACGTTGCTATTGTCGATGAACCGGAAGCGCCGTTGAGGTTTCCTCGAGCCAGAAGACATGATGGCTGCTACTCGTATGAGTGTTTGGTGGAGCGATCGTCGTCTCTCGAAGCCGCAAAGATCCTGGAGAGTGGGCGTAAGAAGCCTGCCAACGGAAAGGATGTGGACCTAGTGCTTCGAGCTTTGTTTGAGGGCATGGTTAGAGAAGAGCCTGGCTAGCCAGGAGGCATTGGCCAGGGTCCGTTTTGGCTCTCGATTGAGAATTGTTCTATCCTTTCCTGAAGACCAGCCACCCGGCAGAAAAGCAACAATTCACCAGATGGGTATGTCAGATTTTTTGGAAGTCCGAAGAGTCGCCTCGCTCCAGGCCTGCCGTCCGAGACGCAATCAGCAATGTAAAATCTGGGAAAGGGAGACTCGGCGGGCCGAAGCCTTCCATGACGGGCAACGGAAGGGGCAATCGGTGTCCTTCAAGGTCTTGAGAGCGGCAGTGAGAGGCATCCACGAGGATCCTAACTGTTAGGACTGGCTGGATGTTAACCGAGAGAAGAATGTGGTTAAACCAACTACATCAAGCAGCTGGGAAGTCGGACTCGAGAGGTTGTTGCCCGCTCAACAGGACGGATAGGCATGGAGTCTCTCGCAACTGTAGAGTTAGTCAGGGCCCGAGCGAGTCCATCATTATCTGGTTTGGGGGCTTACAAAAGGCTTAGGCATCCCTAAGGCTCGGTTTCGCTGGCATCTCGGGCCAGCTGTTCCGGGGATCGCCCTGCAGGCTGCTGGGTGGCTGCAAGCATCAACCTTCTCCGTCCCATCTGGGCCATAGTTGCCGGCGACTCCCTGCTCCGGAAGATGCTGGTCAGATCCGTTTGAGAAGGGCAAGATCTCAACCTTGAAGTTGAGCGGAATCGAGTGCCGACCCTTGCACTGTATTGACGTGTGTCACGATCCAATCAAACAATGCGATATACCCTGGGCAGCGACTCGGGTCCTGCACCTTGGGGACTTTGTGACAGATATACAAAAGTGAACTTAGGCGAAAAGAAACATAGTACGGTCGGTGACAGCAGCTAATAGATAGTGCTCGCGATGTTGGACTCGGGTTTGCGACAAAAGGCGGTACTTCTGCTAAGCTGCAATGCAACAGGGTCAGTAGTCGCGCCTTTGGGTTCGCTGAATGTCAAGACTGGTGGGAATATTAAGAGATGACTGAAGGGCTATATCGAGAGCATCTGCCGACCTTGTGACAGAGTTTGCGCGTGTTGCTGTCGGTATCGCTATCTGCCTCACCCTTCTATGGAGGATCCCGACATAGCCATAGCCTTGGTTTCGAAATCCGTGACGGCTCTGTCCATCGTCCACCGGGTGGCTTCGAGGGAACCAATACTGACAAACAAAGGTAAGTAACGGACGGCGGGCGCCTGGCTCGTCCGCCCCGGTTCGTGGAAACAGTGACGGCAACAGCAACGGCATCCCGCGAGACGCGAGTCTGAAGCCTGGGATTTGTTCACGTCAGTCCACGCATACTGACTGCGTTGTGTTGAAGCAGTCGTTCCCTTTGCGGCCGATTGGCTCCATTGTCACAGATTCCTCTCCCGTAAGTCTCCAACACTCCAGCGTCTCAGAATCCGCCTCAGCCTGTGGCCAAGCGACGTTGCTGGGTCTTTGACTCGTCCATTCTCCCCATAAGCCATGCACCGGCCTCCGCACTTCTCAAGGTCTCTTTTGATCACTACTGGACGCCTGCAGCAGCCGCCTCAGAAATCTGAATCTCAAGCCTAAAGCCGCATCGTCGTCGACGGACACTCCCGCAAGTGCTGTGTTGGGTTGCACCGACACCCCTTGGACCCTGACTTTGCTTGTCCTTCTTCCACTTCTGGTCCACAGCCCACTGTAACTACCACTGTGTGGTACTTACATTGCACTGCATCAAGCCAGCATCTACTCACTAGCCAACACCTGCCCGTGATCAACTTGACCTTCCGCCGAACTGCAGGTCCAGTTCCTGCATCCTCGCCGTGCAACATCTGCCCAAGCCGCTCCGGAGGACAATCGCCACGCGCCCATTGCAGGATACAATTCGCGTCCCTCGATTCTACGATCAGCACAAGCTTCCTTTGAGGCGTCAACGCCACTTCGGGGGGCTCGTCACTCCTCAATTGATCTCGACCAGCTTTCTTCTGCGGAAAGGGACCTGATACTACGCCAAAGCCATGGCGCAAGCAACTCAGTCGATAAAATGTGTCGTCACTGGTGATGGCGCTGTCGGAAAGACGTGTCTGCTGATATCTTACACCACGAATGCTTTCCCCGGCGAATACATCCCGACCGTCTTCGACAACTACTCGGCCAGTGTTATGGTAGATGGGAAACCAGTATCGCTGGGTCTCTGGGACACAGCAGGTCAAGAAGACTACGATCGCTTGCGACCTCTTTCATACCCACAAACAGATGTGTTCCTGATATGCTTCTCTATTGTCTCGCCTCCTAGTTTCGACAACGTCAAGGCAAAAGTGCGATTACCCTGTTTCTGTGCTCGGAATTTTCAGGCTGACGATTTCGAATGCAGTGGTATCCCGAAATCGAGCACCACGCACCCAATGTGCCCATCATCCTTGTCGGAACCAAGCTTGACCTTCGAGAAGACAAAGCAACGGCCGACAATTTGAGGGCCAAGAAGATGGAACCAGTCTCGTACGAGCAGGCGCTGTCCGTGGCGAAAGAAATCAAGGCGGTGAAATACCTGGAATGCTCCGCACTCACACAACGAAATCTGAAGAGCGTGTTTGATGAAGCCATTAGGTGAGCGCAATCTTACTGTGGGCTGCTGGCGTGCCGCTGACCAATATATCCTTAAGAGCTGTACTCAACCCTCGCCCTACAACGACCAAGAAGAAGTCACGATGCACCATTATCTAGGGAATTTCCAAGCGCGCTTCTGAATTGGTTTTTTGGCTGTGAAGAGGACTGATCCAAGATGCAGGGCAACAGATGGACCTAGACTTCTCTGCTTCGCTGCTTCCTCTTTACTTTGATACACCTTTGCCGTTCACCTTTTGGCCTGCTTCTAGGACGCAGCTGAAAGTGCTGGGGGAAGGATTTGGGCATCCAACTAATACAGCTTCAACCAAGGCGCGAATGGAGGCGTTGATATAGGAAGGGATTCACATCCAATGTTTCGCGCAGAAGCATGCTTGTCCTCATAATTCGTCAACCTTGCACCACCGGCCCAAACCCCCGTGCTTCAGTGACTCACTCGAGAGAGACGGCTAGGATGGACGTCCCCACGAGTGTCCTTGACTTCCACCGTGTTTGCACCCGTTTCGGGCGGCCCCTTCTGCTTCCGAGTACTCTGCTCGCGCTCAGCCTTTTCCTTCAGTCGCCTGCGCCCTCGTTCCTCTTCGAGTTTTTGGTTCTTTGAGTTGATTCTAGCCTTGCGTGCTTTGCTCTTGCCCCCTCCTCCGGCCGTAAGCTCGACATTGAGTCTTCGTCCCTTCTGCTTTCTGCTAGGGTTCTTCTGCTCTTTGTCGTCTTGCTGAGCATCTTTCCCCTTACCCCTGGCCTCCGGATCAAAGATAGAATGATGGTACAATTTCAAACACGTCTTCATCTTGTCGTAATGGTCGAACTCGAGAAATGCATACCCCTTACTCTTTCCACTAGCTTTGTCGGTCGCATGCCGGACAGAGGTGGGTGCAATCTTGGAGAAATGGGCGTTGATCTGATCGAGAGTGGCGTCGTAAGGTAGATTGCCGACAAAACAGATAAATCGAGCGGGAGCGGACTTCTTGCCGCCTTCATCGTTCTCGTTCTCGGCCTTGTCCTTGCCGCCGTCACCGCTCTCCGTCTTTGCCTTCTTCTTGTCCTTCTTGTCCTTCTTACTCCTCTTCATCTTCCCTTCCGGCTCTTGTGTGGGACCACCCTCGGCTGGCGTTGGCGCAAGCGATGAGGAAACATCTGCGGCATGACTTGGTGAGGGATCTTGTTGTGTCACTTCTTCTTTCGACTCCTTCTGTTTCTTTGCTCTTCGTTCCGACTTCTCCTGCTTCAGCTGTCCCTTGGACTTTGTGGGAGCGGTCGAGCCTTCTTTTTGGGGAGTTTCGTCAGGCTGTGGCTTCGTAGTTTTCTGGTCATCCTGATCCTGAATCTGTTCGTGCTTTCTCTTCTTGGACATCTTGGACTGTAGCGAAATGAGGTATTATCAAGAACAAAGCAGGTACGCAATGTGGCGCAGAGGGCCGGTGGACGTGTATCTGCGGACTTTCTGAGAGTCTTGGAAAAAAATAATCTAGGAGCGGTCGGGCTGAAGTAGGGCATTCGTTACTGCGCGCCACGAGCCGCCTAGCGGAGGGACGTCATCCGGCCCCTCTAACGCCATACGTGGGTGATAGGCATCCTCGAACCCGCGGCGTGGCATTGGCATGCTCCGCTTCCGCCTAAACTGCCAGTCCCGCCCGGAGTAACACCTGGATATGTCCTCTTTCCTTTCGGGGTTGCCTCCAGTCTCGAACTTCGATTCCTCGTTTCGCACGCTCATGCAGCGGAGCTGTTGTCTCCTTTCCCTCACTCTAACAGCTATGATAGACAGATGAACCACGAGGTCTCCCGCTCCTTTCCCACCCCACCTTAGAGAAAGCTGTCCCTCTTCCTCCCGACCTCAGCTCCACCATGGCAGTCTACGCATCTCAACTCGCAACCAAGGGCCACTTCGCGAACAGCGTCCCGACTCTACCGACGCAGGCGCCTCCTGCCGGCACGTTCTTACCAGGTACCAAAGTTCAGGTGGGAAATCACAGGGTCATTATTGACCGCTACCTGTCCGAAGGCGGCTTTGCCCATGTCTACGTTGTACAGCTCCCCCATGCCGTGGATGGAGACCAGAAGGCCGTGCTCAAGAGGGTGGCTGTGCCCGACAAGGATCATCTGGCCAACATGAGAACAGAGGTCGAGACCATGAAGAGACTGCGCGGGCAGAAACATATTGTCAAGTACATCGACTCGCACGCCTCTCAGTTGAAGGGTGGTGGCTATGAGGTGTTTCTGCTCATGGAATTCTGTCAGGGCGGGGGACTCATCGACTTCATGAACACTCGCCTGCAGAATCGGTTGACTGAGCCTGAGATTCTGAAGATCTTCACAGATATAGCAGAGGGCGTGGCGTGCATGCATTACCTGAAGCCGCCTCTGATGCATCGAGATCTCAAAGTCGAGAATGTCCTCATATCCACTAGCGGCTCTTCCAGGATATACAAGTTGTGTGACTTTGGGTCAGCAGCCCCTGCGAGACCGGCCGCTGCCAGTGCCGCCGAAGGACGGCTGATAGAGGACGACATCAACCGCCATACCACCCTGCAGTATCGCAGCCCCGAGATGATAGACGTGTACAGGAAGCAGCCGATCGATGAGAAATCTGATATTTGGGCTCTTGGTGTCTTCCTGTACAAGCTTTGCTATTATACGACTCCGTTTGAGGAAGCTGGGCAAATGGCCATCTTGAATGCCAAGTTCAAGTTCCCTGGCTACCCAAGGTTCTCCGATCAGTTGAAGCTTCTGATAGCCTCGATGCTCCGAGAGAAACCAGCAGATCGACCCAACATATATCAGGTGTTACAGAAAGCTTGTCAGCTGGACGGTCGCGAGTTGAGATTTGAAAACATCTATGCTCGCAGGACACAATCGGAAAGCCGTAAAGACCAAGTGCTCCCACAACCCTCTAGCTCGCAATCACGAGCCGGTGCGACGTTATCCCCTCCGAAACAAGCAGCTCCTCCTACCATTCCTGATATTGAACCAATGCGACGAGGGCGACCGACTAAACCTGCATCCCACCACGGTTCGGCCAAACCGAGTCCGTCACCACTACGAATGATGGCGGACGCGCATTCAGATCCTTTCGCTGCTCTAGATGGCAACAGGGCGTCTGCGGAGGACGAACTCTCCTCGCGCTTTCCCACGCTTGATCAGTTCTCCTTAATGACCGACAAGGCGCAAAAATTTGCTTTTGAATCCCATCTCGAGAAAAAGGAGACAGTGGCCGATCCCAAGTTGGCTCAACGGGTGACGAACGCATTAGCAGATGATGCGTTCGCGAGGCCTCCCAGTCCTGCCAAACCAAAACCGCCAGCAGAGAAGTCAGCTACGGTTGCCAGATCGCAGACTGTTCTGCAACACAAGAGATCGCTCGAGGGCAAAGAAACACAAGCACGTGCAAGCATAGCCAATGGCCCACCAGTCACTGCGCCCAAGCCGGCCATGGTGTCAACCGGTACGATGACAGCCTCGCCACCAGCTCATGAACCCGAAGCCAAGCCGTTTGCCGAACGTACAATACACCGTTTCCCGTCGAAAGAGCAACCTTTGAAAACTACGATCACGCCAATTCAGACATACGAAGACTTGGAGCTGCCTCCACGAGAGACCCGGCCTCCCCGCAACAAAGATGCGTCAAGGCTATCAAACCTGCTGAGGGAAGATGCCTACCGCTCGCAGCTCGCCGGTGACGTTGAGCCAAGGTCGCCAACGTCGTCGCGTCCGTCTTTAGAAGGTGCACGCCCTACCATGCGAGAGCTGGATTCCGGCGTGAGCAGGTCCAGGTCGCTCAATTTCAGGAACCGACCTGCCAGCGTAAACATCGGGGCGCGACCTACTCATATCAAGGACAAGGAAATCAAAAGCCTCGACTATGAGACGACTTTCCAGAGTGCAGAACCGGAACCAGCTCCTCTGCTACAGGTAGAGTCAGCCACAAATATTACATCGGACGTTGACTTTCTCAAGGCTAAGGAAGAGGAGGAGAAGGAACGCCGGCACCATAGGACGCTGGGCAGCGGTCCAAGGCATCTCAAGAGAGCCAGCTTACCGTCGATTGTTCCCAATATTGCGGGTACGACAAAGCTGCTGGCTGGCAAGTTCGGCGACGCATTCAAGATGTTTGAAAGTAATAACGACTCAAACCATTATCGACAACGCAGTGGCTCTCCCTCACGGGACCCCATCAACGTCCTGACCCCGATAGCAGGCTCGGAAGCGACCGATTTAAGTGACGATCGGCACCCGTGGGACGATACGGAGGACCAGACTCCTGAGGTCAGACGGGAGATTGAGAAAAGAAAGCTCGAGGCTGAGGAGAAAAGAGTCGCTCAGGCGGCTGCGGAGTACCGTCATCGACTAGCAGCACGGGGCGGTGGTGCTACCGTTGGTGGCGGCGTTGCCAGATCAGCGACGATCCAGCACAGGGTCAAATCGCTTTTAAGTGAGAACACTCGGCCGGCGCAGAAGACAGCCACCGGATACGGCCACTTCACCGAACCTACAGCACCTCAACAGCCGCATGGGGATGAGAGGCGGTCCTCTCAGCCGCCTGGCCAACCTCCGGCTCAGTTGTCTAGCCACGTTGAAAGGCATGGTGTCCCAGGAGTCATTGCGTCCGCTCCATCCTCCACCACAGATCTTACCCTGGTCAATTCGCGCGGACAGAAACCTGCAGCGCCCCCAAAGCCAAAGGTGCTGCGGACAGCTGGAGCCGGCGAACCGAGCGTTGGCCGTGCAAACGGAGTCACTGCAGCTTCAAGCACACCACTGGATGATGACTGGGAAGCCAACTTCAGCCGGCGATATCCTAGTCTCGCGGGCATCGAGATGGTAGAGACATCGATTGACGCGCCCAAGCCCACAACGACTGTACGAACGAAAGAAGTGTGATGAGTGATGTTGTGAGAGGCCGTATACACGTAGAACTGAACCAATGACACCTGCGCCTTGCAATCGCCGTTCCAACGCAGTAGATGACTCGAGCGTGAAGTGAAAGGGAAGTATTTCCACTTCACACTTGCGTGACAGCCACTTCCTCTGCGACTGCCAGACTTTTTCACTCCGTCTCAAATGTCGATCTTCTTCTCTCCTTGCCCCATAGTCACTTCAACCCACAGCTGTATGTTCTTCAATCCCCGCCCTCCGTTTGCCGCTCTACATCATTCTCGGGATCGTCGTCACGGAAGGCTACCATGGCAGCGCCATTTGCGTGGAGGACCACAACGCCTCGGGGCGGGGCTCAAGCGTGGAATGCCGAGACAACCAATGCGCAGTCACAGTCACTTGGCAAGCCAGACAGTGACCAGGATCATGGCCCCGGTTCCCATGCCCCGTCCCGAGTCGGAGCAGCCTCGGGCTCAGGCTCAGGCACTCGGCCTGTCGCCAGGGCTGCTGGAGTCAAAATCCAAGGCAAAAGATTCGACAACAACCCCAACTTGCGCGTCCACCGCCATCGCAAGACGAAATACTCGTACAGAATCGGCATCCGGCTGCCTCGAGAGAAGTTAGTGGCCTTCCCTCAGTACAACGGACGGGTCAGGGACTTTGTGCACCAGTGGGGAGGCTCGTTTGTGACTCTCAAGGTTGCACCCTGTAAGTTGCGCGCCATCGAAGTCGACGCCATCGGCGCTGCACCGAGAAACAACATTATCCCAACGGTCGTTGTTTCTGTACCTGTACCTACTCTAATCCTACCGCCACATCCAGCGGTGTCGACAACGCGTTCGCCTTCTTCGACAACATCCCATCCGGCAAGGGGCCGATCGAGCTCTTTCTCAGACGCGGATCTAAGTACTCAACCCAATACGCCGTTTACAAGTACTGTATGTCCGTCGCACGAAGCAGAGGCGGACCCACGCTGCATCGAGGCCAAGACAGCAGCTCAGCAGGATCTGGTTCTAGCACAAACTACTACTGGAGCATTCAGCGCCCGTGATCCAAAGGGACTACGATTCCCTGCGCTTACTACCGCAGCAACAGCAGCTTCTTCCACGTCGGCGGCATTCCAGATCGGCACCACCTTCGAGGACCTCCCCGTATCGGAGCGCCTGATCCGCAACGCCACCATGGCTCCCCTCAAGGACACCAGCAGCGTGCACAACACCATCAAGGGCATCATCCAGCACCTGACGGACATCCAACTCCAGACGCACGGCTACATCCCGCAGACGCAGGACCTGCTCGTGGATAAGCTGACGGACCTGACGACATCCTTGGCCGAGCTAAAGAGGTTGACCTCCCCGCAGGAGTCGCCCAACAACTACATCCACCAGGTGGCCATCGCGCCGGAGATAGTCGATTATGTGGATGACGGGCGCAACCCGGACATCTTCACGCGCGACTTTGTCGAGATCGTGCAGCGGGGAAACGCCGTCGTGCACGGCAAGCAGCGCGCGTTTCGCGATTTCACGGAGGTGTATGCGCGGAAGTTGAAGGAGGGGATTCCCGGCGTGAGTGCCCAGGTGGACCGCGTGCTGAAGAATGCTGGGTTTGAGGAACGGGAACGGGAAGGGGAACAGGATGGGTCGGGGTCGAGGTCGAGGTCGAGGTCGAGCACGAATGGGGCGGCGCACGATGCTGAGAGGCCTGTCGGCCCGTAGAGACGTGGGCATGGGCATCAACATGGGGCACGCGGTCTGCGAAATGAATCGAATCAGCCGGTGAAGAGGCTGTTTCGAGAGCTTAGGCGGCATGCATGGCCTCCAAGTGGATTCTATGCACGAGAGATGGAATTTGCGTTTCCACCCGGATACCTTACGCAGGACGCAGACGATCATTGCAATAATCAACCCTCCCAGGGCTGGTGAAGGCCAGAGGGACAGCAGCAGCCATTCACATTGCCGGTGCAAACACTCTTGGACTCAAACATTGCATTGGCTGAGTTTCAGGGAGCACAATTACTACAGTATTCGCGGCTGTCGGCTCGGAATGCGAGTTCCAGTGACAGCCTAGTCCGACATTGACCATGTCATCAACTGCGAGCTAATTGGCGTGAGCATGCCAATCTATGCTCAGAGATCCGATATTTTATGTCTGCACTCGAGATAGAAAGGGAGACCTGGGAGCATCTCCATGTCTCCAAGGGATTCAACATCGACGAGAATGCGTTAGGACCCAATTGTGGACAGGCTATTTGAATCGGGTGCTGGATCTGCAGTAGATTCCTCAGCTCACTCTCTAGGCTAGCCGCGTGTTCGAGGAAGTTGGCTCCAGGGTCCATGAGGTGCGAGTAGTCGCTTGTCCACACGTAGGGCGCCCATGCGTTATCGATACCTGGAAGATGAATTAGCATTCAGATTGACCGATCGACGTTCAGATGACACGAACAGTGTTTCGCAAGCTTCAGAGCCGTGAATGCCCAGATGCGCCGCCGTTGACGGTCAGAGAGTTCCGTCGACATAAGTTCTCGGATCCTGCGTGCTGACTCAACACAACAACGGTCGTACGTTGACCTCGGGGAATCAGTCGAGTTGAGGAAGGCATGGATAAACAGAAGAAAATCCAAGGCGATTTCAAGCCTCGTGGTACCGAACATTGCCAATCTCGCATACTCGGCCAAGGGCCTGTCGAAGGCATCACCAATACCTTTAAAAGGTTTCCCTCGGCGGGAGAACAGGGCATACGAAAACCAAGTAGGAGGCATCGTTTCAAAAGTCGTGTCTTCAAGCTAGTAAAACTCAGTCAAGGACGTCACCACAAGGGAGAACCACCTACCGTTCTGAGCAATATGTATGTCCGAAGATACTGAATGAGGGTCCCGGTGTCACTCAAGTCGCATTTGCATTCTGGAAGACCTCGTGGGAGGACATCGGCAAGCTCATCCTGAACCTGGGGCTCACGAGGTGGACTTTCACACGTCCGGGCCGTATCTGTGGCTGTGCCACTCCCCAATTCATCCTGAGATACTCTCCGTCTGGACCTCATGTCGACAAGGTCTTGTCTCAATTTGATAATCTCTTGCTGCTGCCGATCAATGATTTGCTGCTGCAGCTGGATCGTCGTATCTCCATCACCTTCTGAGACGAGGTGGTTCTCTTGCAGATCTTGGGCAACTTCGACTTCTAAGCCCTGGGTGTGATCATCTCTCTGCTCCTGGTGAACACTGTGAGCTTAGTAAAGATCTCAGAAGGTGAACTGAAGGGAGTAATCACCTTTGAGACCGACTTAGGTCTTCACCCTGAACCCCGATCTGATCACGATTTACGGCGGAGGCCTTGAGTCGCTGTCGTCGCTCGAATCGCATGATCTTGGCTTTTGGAACTTGGACACCGCGGACGGTGGCATTCTCGATCGGCTTTCCGAGGACTCCTTTCATGTCCTTGGAGCTGATATTCTTGCGAATGCCCCATCTAGCAAATTGACGTTTGTACTGTTTGTCTGTCGCGCGAAAACCAAAATCTCGCTCCATCCGCTCGATCACGTCTGTGAGTTCATGAAGCCGATAAAGACCTTCGATAACAGAACGGCGTCGATCCCATTCAGCTTCGCAGATTGGGAGAGCCCGCGCATTCGATCGATGCTCCATGGACATTAAGACAATGGATGTGCTTGTGAAGGTATTGGTCGTCAAGCCTGAAAGGCTGGAGTTACCGCAGCGAAGAACAGAAGCCTCTGTCCAGACTGCAGGAAGGTCTTTTAGAAGTGCAGATCATGCTCCTCTCGTCTCAAGCTGGCCGAGGTGTAGACACCACGGAGTTGACCCAAGTGGGTGTCATTTTGAGTGGAAGGCATAATTTGTGAGTTTCAGGGAATGGTGCGTGGACGACCAGCAGACAGATACGAGGACTGCCGCAACAACTCCAGTTGACACAAGTTGCAACTTATGGCACTTGCAGGTGTCCGACGTCAACGTGGGCAAGCCAAGAACGGCCAAGGACGCATGGTGAAGCACTTTAACGACTGAAGTGTCGCTAGTCATCGCCCAGTATCCTGTAGGTGCCTGGACGGAGTACGGAGTACGGAGTACATATTCTCAAGGCGCAGAAGTCGCTACTGAGAGACGCCACTTGAACACCGCAAGACCGCCAGACGGAACCATTGGGCCACTCTGCAGGCAATGTCGACAAGCCAATCGGCATTCGGAATCGCCTACCACAAGTTGCAACTTGTGCCACGGAGGCCTCTTTGGTGATTGGAGTCCTGCCCCGTTTCAAATAGCTGGTCTTTGCAAAAGTTGTTCTCCATCCTTCCACAAACAGCGAAAGCTGCAAGGTCCGTTCAACACCATTATAGGGACAGGCCATCGCGGCCAACACGGGTCTTCTGATCACGATGACCTAGACCACAAAGGTGCTGGTTGACCCTGGCCGCATGGGGCCACCGGCGCACGGGGATAGGCTGAGGCGCGATCCCTTCAAGGTTGCGGCCAGGTCCAGCAGCCTCCTGCACAGCCTTGTAGAGACTGGGGTCTCAAAGTCGTTCGAACAAAAGTTGTTGAGAAGAGTATATAGGTGCTTCTGTACTACAGCAATGGCAGTTCGTCAACACGTCGCCAGCACTGTATTCTGCTCCAGAAACTTCAAGATCGACCAGACTGTACCATTATCCTCATTCACCTCAACCGGAATTTCCTTGCAACATTGAACCTTGCGACGACCCGGCAGCAGCAGAAGTCTGCCTTGTCAACAGCCCTTACTCATCCGGACATCCCCCCCCACCACGGCTTGCGCCCGCACAGCCACAACGAAGTGTACACAATGAGGCTGGGGGCCGAGGTCACCGTGTCCATTGTGTTTGGGGTCTTCATGGTCATTGTTGCCCTCTTAAGCATGTGGCAGGTCGCCCATTACGCGGCTCGAAGCCTCCGAAGTGAGTACCCTGTACATGGTCCATCTCTTGAGGTTGCTGACCAGTGTAGCACAAAATCGCCAGAACAGTTTCGAGCTCGAGGCATGACACCACTGATGACAGGTCGCACAGCTTCGGTGGTGGAGGGAGATCTGCTAGGGTTCTCAAGATTGGCGATTATGTTTGAATCAAGGTGTTGACACTTTGGTGAAAGAAGTGGTGAAGCTCTGTTGGGTGCAAATATACTTTCGACCAAGTCAAGCCGGTCCTTAGGCCCACCTTTCCTGACTGAGATTCAACCACCAAATCAAGTCGACAATCTTTGGGAAATGGAAGCCGGTAGTGACAATCACCAGATGGGTTCGAAGTGTGGGAAAGATCTGAACTGAAGCTCAAACTAAAGACGTGACGACTTCCGAGCACTTAGACGCACCTTGCAACGTTCCCTCCATCGTGGTTTCCACAGCAAGAGCCTACAGAGGACGAGACGAGTTTCTGATCCAAGTCGTCGGATATCATTAAATAGACACTACCTATTTGAAGTCTTTGGGGTACTCGTGACATGGTCGTCGGTCTAGAGACACCTCCTCGCCTCGATGGTTTCTTCATCAAATCTCCCCGTACCTTTGATTAGCGCAAAAAGGTAAAAATGCGATCAATTCCCCTTCTGTGTATTACAGTGACTGTGTCTCCTGTTCCGTTATTCTCCCTCATCGGGGGCGCGTCAAGCTGGCTCCTCTTTCTCGGCAGGTGTATATGTTATACTCCATACTCCTTGTCTTGTACAAAGCTACCTCGGCTCCTCGTGCTCCGGCTTCGTTTACCTCCGAACCCGAATCCCTTTCGTTTTGAGGGGCTTGAATCTCGTCGTGATGTTCCGCCCATACAAAACAGGATCGTGCAGATGAGAAAGCAAGCAAAAGCTGCCCACTCGAAGCCGAAGGCATATTTGCCAATATCAGAGCGTTGACCATTGTTGCGGAAGTTGTTGCGCCCCTTGATATATGCGGCCCTGGGAGCTCGTTAGTATCGGACGAGGCCTCCAGCTCTGTTGATACTCACGTCATGAGAGAGGCATTGACCGCCTGGAATATCATGGCTATCATGGTCATCAGGCTGCTAAGGTATGATCCAAGTCTGGTGCAGAGTGCCAGCAGACCAGTGAACAAGCCCAAGACGGCGAAGAAAAGGGCCATGAGCATGAAAGCAAACATGATTCTTGTCAAGTAGAAGTAGTAGGCATGATGCTGGAAGAAATTTCGGGGGACACCGACCCTAGTGTCGAAGGTGCGACGAGAGGAAGGATCCAGCGGAAACGCAGGGTGAATGTTTGAGTAGTCCTGGTCGCCGCAGAAGGTCCGTCCATTGCGAACGCCACAGACATTCCAGTATGACCATCTCGAAACCGGAGGTGCGCCTGGTATTCTTGCCGTATCCGCTTGGAGAATGTAGAAGCGGTTGACAGGATTGGCGTCAATCGCGCCGGCGAGGAGGATGAAGAACATAAAGAGCAGGCCGGCAGCGAGAAGTATCAGCGATACCAAGCCGAAGAGGCTATTTCCTGTGCGATCGTGGTCAGAGGCCCGCAGGTCTGAAGAGGTCTAACGTTCACTTACGGGACGCCATGGTGCGCAGAGCCCAACAAGTGCTAGAACTCGCTGAAGGGATCCGCCAGACAACACTTGCAGTCGCGGTGAAGAAGTGGTAGCTGCGCGACAGAGCTGTCGAGCTATAAGCAGGGCAAGCGACGCAGGTGAGGTAACCACGATCTGTGGCAGAGGTAGGAAGAGGTCGTGGCGCAAGAGCTCGTGATGTATGCCGGCCGGGATGCTACCGGCTGTCAATTGTGTCTTGGATTTCGTCACTGATCGGGTATCCTGATCACACACCTGCACCTAGCTGCCTCCAGACCCTTCGAATGAGCTCAGATGGAGTAGCAAAACACTTTCATGTGGTGGCGTAGATCCACAACCGAGGACAAGATTAGCGAGAGTTTTGGATGCCGTCAATGGTCTAACAGAGCACAGTGGTAGCTGCACGAGCAGTGCTCCTCCGTGCGTCCTCTTCGAAGCTCGATTGTTTATGACGGACCTTTGTAGGACAAGCTCACTTTGCCACAGTTAAGCGGACCTCCGAGCAAGAAATGGCCCCAGGGCAAGCAACCCGAGCGTTGTCATGTCACGTCATCAGTCATCAAAGCCAATGCCCACTTTTTGACCATGCCATACCCAAAGAGGTGAAGCGTCGTGGGCGTCGTGCTTGGCCTGCCAGTAGCGCAAACCTTGGCTCCCAGTTCTGCAGGCAGGCGCTACCGAATCCGATCGCAGGCTCACACTCGCTGTCCCCTGCGCGATTGCGGCCTGGAGCAGCCAGCCTCGTCAGCAGCCTGTCGTGAGAGAGAGTCGACATCTGTATCCTCTAATCGACTGCCCTCTTCCCAAATGTCGACCTGGGTTTATCCTCCTATCCCTCCTGACGAGCTTCGAAAAGCCGAGGATGAATCCTTGGTAAGGTCAGCAAGCGACAGCTGCCTAACTCTCCAACTGATATGACAATAGAAACTTGAGCTGCAGTGGCTACTTCAGACTTTACAGGAGTCACTGGGCGCATTGAAGGAAGGCCTTGAGGAATGTGCTGCATTGCTCGCGTCGAAGGAGCCCGGCTCGACGTTGGTTCTCTCCTCCCTCAGGTCAGAGAGCGTCAAAGGCTTCGTGACAAGGGTCGGCACGAAGCTCGTCAAAGGAGTAGGCCAAAGTCACCCCAAGTCCAGCGCCTCCTCAGCTTAACGCGAGACTAGGATATTCACCTCCGCCTGACGACGCTGCCGCCAAACACACCCAGAGGCACGACCACGTCTACGCCGTCTACGAGGCTAATCTTCCACTCGTCGTCCTCGTCTGCCGACATTATACTTCCGCAACTTCAAGCTGTCAGGTCACTGGTTAATGACTCGCTGGATATCATCGACGTCTCAAGGTGGACCGGCCAGTCCACGGACTCCTCCTTCATCTCAGGCCAGCTAAAGCTTCTCCACGATCAGCTTCGCGAAGCCAAAGCTTGCTTGAAAGGTCCTGTGCCAGGCATTAATCTTAGCTCAATTCCCGGAGCAGAGTGGTGGACAAACAGTCCCGATGAGAACGTCTTTCAGCCGCCACTAAGTGAACTTGTCAGTTTGCACTTCACCATTCAAGATGCCAACCTTGTCCTCACTGTGCGAACATTGGCGCCAACTTCACCCGGCGGAACTCCCAGCACCCCTACAGAGGGAGCTTTTTCTCTGTCTGGACTGAACCTGAGAACGAGATTACTGGGCCTCGGCCCCAAACCTCCCAATCACGATGAAATGGGTGAAATCTATGAATGGCGGGGACGGCAAGATGTCACTGTGCGCGAGAAGGTACGAGTCGAGTCCGGAGATCCCAGTCTGATGAGCATTGCGGCAAAAATCAGTGCACTTGAACACGACGTTGCGCGCTGGAGGATGAATCTCCGGATCATTCTCACCGGCAGCACCGAGGAGGATTGAGTTTTCTCGTCGTTCATCTTGAACTCTAACTTTGGCCATCCAAGCTCGAATCCGCTAGCCTGTGGGTCTACTTGGAGGTCCTACCGCATCTTCTGATGCCTGCCTGCATACCCACCTCCGCGAGCGTCGACATGAGCAAGCGGAAGCGTCACGTGATGCACGACTTTCCGCTTCGGCAACGAGGATCTGCAGTTGAACCTTGCCGGTTTTGGCGCCGACGATTGTTGTGCTGCCCAACCATGCATCTCAGCTACAGCGTGCTATTTCTCAACAGTCAGCTGTTGCGAACCCAGTTTTCGCCCGCGACAATGTCTTCAGGGGCACGATGAGACCAGACAAAGAGCTACCCTGGTGCTCGATCAATGTCTTCAATAGACTACAAAGCGATGCATTCAAAGGCAAGTCCCTGGCCGCTCTCAAAGCAGTTCTTTGTTCGCCGCGGATTTCTCAAGACTCCGACAATATATCTCCCAGTCCTGCAGCCATAAATCCGAGGGGTCTTAAGATCGACTAAGGTTATCCTTGATCCCATGGATAAAGGACTCTTTATTTCCACGAAGCAGTACGGCACGATGACTGTTACAAAAGATAGTGCTACTGCTAAGGTCGATCCTACTGTACCACAGATCACGATAATGCATCCCCAGGAGAGTGTGTCGTTTTCGACGGATGAGTCGTGGCAACCACGCCCTCGTGGGCGTCGAATCACGATAGGTGGCTCAGATCGGCGCACACCCAGTCATCATAGTTTAACCCAGAGTGACAATCGTGCACCTAACTTGGTTCCACGACAAGCGAGTCCAACCAGCTCAAAGCACTGTACTTCAGAGCCTGGCACAGACTCGGGTTCCATACCTCGTCAGCAAATAACGCCAAAGACACAGCCTGTGAGAAAACTCTATCCCCCTACGAGCTGGAAAAGCACGTCAGCAATCGATTCTATCACATTGGACGCTGGTGGAGGCTCAGTCACAGATGCTACTGAGAGGGCAGGCGTCTGCGGCCAATCAGCTCAGCGGCATGTCGGTCGAGCAGGCGACAAGGCCAATATAACTATGGCACCGTTCGTCGCGACAGCCAGAGCACCTGTTAAATGCCCGCAATCAGAGAATCGTCTTCCGGCAGACAAGCCTGCTCGAACATCGTCCCGTCGCCAGTATACAATAGTCTCGTCCCATTGCGCTAAGCGGGCAGGTCTGGGCCCCTCTGAAGCTAATAGCGACACATCGTCATCCGGAAACGATCGGATTGTGACCGGGAAAGCTACATTGCCTGAACCCGAAATAGCCTATGCACAAGCCTTTCACTACACCACCTGCCCTCATGTCTCACCTCCAAAGTCTCGGCCTCTAAACGTACAGCCTACTCCGGTTCCGTATCATGAAGGTCTGCTGTTGCGCCGACCTCCGGACCTGCAAGGATTCCGAAATGACCCGGGGACTGCTCCGTCAGATATCTACGTACTTGATGGAGCTTGTTTCGACTGTGACCTCTCAGCACGTCGCCAAGCCGAGTCAGGCATTCTCGCAACGTACACTCGCAAGCTCGAAAACCTTACCATTCAGTTGAGTTTGTTACAACACGATATTGCCGCCGAAGATTCCGTGCCGCCAATAGCCCGGGAGGATGGTGCCTTGACCGCGTTCACTTTGCCCTCAACCTTAGAGCTGAGCACCGACGCGACTCAGAGTATCCTGGAGATCGAGGACCAGCTGAGCGGGCTGGTCAAGAAGCGCGACAAGGATATCAGGCAAGTCTGGAATGGATTCACGGCTCGCTGGGGTCCAGGAACAGTTCGGATCCAATGCGATGAGAATGGCAGCACCCGGGGCCGAGCCGAAAGCCTCTTAACGACGGGCACCTCCAGCTCGACAAACAGTTTTGGTGTTGTATCCGCTAACACAACTCCTGAAGAAGTTTCGACGATGACTTCCACAATGTTTAACGGCGCGAACGACCTTGTTTCGCTGAGTCGACAAAGCAGCTTCACGCCCCACACAAGAGCGAGCTCCGTACAAGGACGGTATTCAGATGGTACCTATAATGTTAGTGTTGAGTCGTCAGTGGATAGTGTCACGGGAAGAGGACGCATGCTGGTTGACTGGATTCGACCTGGACGCAGTGCGAGCAAGACAGGAGGCGGTACCCACCCTCCCAGTAGAAACGACAGTCTGCAAGGGAGACGGACTAACAACGGCGCCTGAAGCAGTGGAGCCCATTGGATGTGAAGGTATTTTCTCTCGTATGCATCATCATTTTGGCAAGTGGGACATGCATATAGACGCAGCATTGGATCAACAGCACAATCCGAGTTCGAAAATCAAAGCAGAAATGTTAGAATTTCAGGTCTGGAGCCAAGGGTAATGCCTGATATAATCCCAACTGGCCTATTTAGGTAGACAATTTATTGCTCATTGACAAAGACACCAGCCATGCCCATACCCGTGCCGACACACATGCTGGTCACGCCGACCTTCTGGTTCCGTCGCTTGAGCTCGGAAAGCAGGGTCACCACCTGTCTCGTGCCGGTGGCGCCTAGAGGGTGTCCAATGGCACTGATGATTTCTTAGCAGAAGAAAAAGCAGGGCAAAGGGACGAGAGAATACTCACATAGCACCTCCCCGGACATTGACCTTGTTGATATCGAGGCCCAGTTCGTTGACGCAATAGACATACTAGAGTTCAAGTCAGCTTTCGGAAGAGAGTCGGATGAGACATGCGAACTCACCATGGACGCAAAGGCCTCGTTGATCTCAAACAGGTCCACATCGTCCTTTGTCAGACCGGTCTTCTGCAGGATCTTGGGAATCGCCAGGCTGGGCCCGATGCCCATGATCCGGGGCTCCAGTCCGACGGTCGTGCTCTTGACGTACTTGCCAATGATCGGTTGGCCTAGCCTCTCGGCCGTCGAGCGCTTCATCATCAGCACGGCGGCCGCACCGTCGGTGACCTGGGACGCGTTGCCGCCCGTCGTGGTGGGACCCCATTGCGGGAACGCCGCCCGGATCTTCTGGAGCCCCTCGAACGTGGTGCCCGGTCGGATGCCCTCGTCCCTGTCCACGGTGATGGTCTTGGCCTCCTTGGTCTTGGGGTCGACCCACTTGGTCGTCAGCGGGGTGATCTCATCCCGCGTCCAGCCTTCCTTTTGCGCCCGCTCGGCCCGGTTGTGCGACAGCTCGGCGAACTTGTCCTGCTGCTCGCGCGTGATGTGGAAGTCGCGGGCCACGTTCTCGGACGTCCAGCCCATGGGCTCGATGTTGTCCTTGGCGATCGGGTGCGACAGGATCTTGTCGCTCATCTTGGGCGGCGCGTCGCGGTTCGTCGACATGGACTCGATCCCCACGGCGATGCCCACGTCGATGGCGTCGATGGCGATCGACGACGCCAGCGTCTGGATGGACAGCAGGCCCGAGGAGCAGAATCGCGAGACCACGTTCGCCGACGTCGTGACGGGGAACCCGGCTGCCAGGACGGCACTGCGGGCTATGAACCCCGGCGCCGGTTGGAGGACGTTGCCTACGCAGACATCCTCGACGACGTTGGGGTCGATCTGGGATTTGTCCTTGATGGCTTTCAGCACGTGGATCAGGATTTCGTCTGTGGGCGTGTCTTTGAGACCGCCCTTGCCCGCCTTGGTCAGAGGCGTGCGGGTTGCGCAGGTGATGACGATGTCGTCGGGGTTCTTTTCGAGGATCTTCTTCAGCCCTGGAGCATGTGTGGTTGTTGATGTGCTGGACAGTTGGCCTGAGAGCGCTTCTAGTCTTTGTTGGGCGCTCATCTTTGTCGCTTGTGTCGTTTGGATTCCGTTGATGCTGGATTCAAGATGGTTGTACTGGTAGCTGTATATAGCGCAAGTCGAGCCCGAGAATCTGCCACGGGAGCAAGAGTAATATTCTAATCAATGAAGCTGCTCGCACGGACATGTCTGATCAGTCGAGTAGCAACCCGTGTGGGTCAAGCCCAGAGATGCCTCGGTACTTCGCCCGCGCCCTTAACTAGGCTCCCTGCACTCACGCTTCCGGCAGTTGTTCCGGGTGCCAATTTGCCTCTAACACCACGGAGTTGGGCAATGCTTGCGCCCACGCCCAAGCCCACGCCACCCTGACCGCCCGAGCTCACTGGCCACGGCCGCCTTTGCCGCTCTTGATCTGGCCAGAATCGCCAGCCTGGGAACGACTGAGGAGACAGTGAGGTGATAGGCGGCATGCTGCAGCAATCCACTGGCCCCACCTCCACATACTGCGGAGTACAGTGCTTCTGAGTGCTCAATCCCGCACGTTCTGGGTAGAGCTGGAGTCGGTAAGTCTCCTGTGAGATGGCCACCGATAGCTTCATGTCGTCTCTGGCGCTTTTACATAAGGTTTGATCAAGTCCGTTCTTACAGCTCCTGCGCCTACACAGTACTAGTCTAGAGTAAACAACTACTCCATAGCTTACTCCAGACAAACCATCCTCAGAGATCGCTGGCCTCGCCTCGACGCTTGTGGGGCTCCACTTCTTCCCCAATTCCTCGGACCGGGACTGTTGAGCTTGGCCTGCTACAGGACCCTCGTTCAGCGCGCCAGGCGCGTCTGATTTCTATCTGAAGGTTTTGCAGACTACGTGCGTAGGACACATACAGCATCTGCATCATCATCAGCATCAGCATCAGCTCGCGATTATACACGCATACACCATCCCCGGAGGGTTGAGAAAGGCTTACGGCATCCTGATCCTCGCAGCTTACTGCAAGGAAGAGACAGTCTACGCCTGGAAAAGGAGCCCGATCCCGGTTCCGTCAGCACTTACCGATCTACTCTGGGATAAAGCCACCAGATCGTGGGTGCGGATAGTAGTTATTCAATAGGACCGCAGGTTCCATCAAGTGCCATTTTCCACCAGCCGGAAGTTCTTCCTCTAGCGACAGAATACACCAGCAAATTGCTGCGCGGAGTCTGCGACAGAAACGCCAACCCATCCTGAAAGACTGAATCAACATGGCCACCATCGCAGCATCTACCGCCGCAGCGGCTGGCCTGCTGTACTATGCCGACCAACGCGTCCTGGGCATCAGCCGCGACCTACAATACTACCGCGGCGAGCAAAACTTTGCGAAACGCATGCCCGGCTTCATCAACAAGGTCGGCCCCCAATCTCCCCATCTGTACCGCATGTTGGAGCTGGCCGACCCAAATGCCGATGCACTGTATTTCGAAGGCCGGAGCTGGAACTATCGCGCCTTCAAGGCCAAGGTCGATGAGATCGCGCTGGGTCTGCATGAGAGTCTGGGCGTCAAAGACGGGGATATCGTCGCCGTCTTCATGACGAATTCTCCCGAGATGGCCTTCACCATCTTGGCCCTGACGAGGCTCGGTGCGGCGCCTGCGCTGATCAACAACGCTCTTCGAGACGATACGCTGCTTCACTGCGTGCGGCTGCCGAATTCGAGCCTGATACTATCCACCCCGGATCTGGCTCCCCACGCGGCGTCCGCGGCGAAGTCATTAGGCGGGAGTATCAAGACCGTGAGCCTGAACGTGGGCACATTCCGCCCGACGCCTGTATCTGACGGCAGTAACACCATCATCGACTTCCCTTTTCCCGAACCAACAACGTCGGCAATCCTCCCACCCACGCCACCAAAAAGTGTCGGCTCTGTCGCAGCATTGATCTACACGTCCGGCACGACGGGGAAGCCCAAGGCCTGCAGTGTGAAGAACGGCCTCATCCTCGGCGTGTCGTGCACCTCGTCGCCGGACGCCGCGAACCCGAAGAAATACCTTCAAGGCCTGCGCATCTACTCATGCATGCCCCTCTTCCACGGCACGACTTTCTTCGCCGGCTTCTGCTACTCGATCAGCCAGGCCGGCTGTTTCTGCCTCGGTCGCAAGTTCTCCGCCCGCAACTACTGGAAGGAGGTGCACGAGAGCCGGGCCACGCGCGTCCTGTACGTCGGCGAACTGTGCCGCTTCCTGTTGGCCACTCCGCCCTCACCCTACGATCGCAAGCACCACGTCATCGTCGCGGCGGGCAACGGCCTGCAAAAGGACGTGTGGGTCGACTTCCAGAAACGGTTCGGCGTGCCCGAGGTGCGCGAGTTCTACCGCTCCACCGAGGGCCTCGTCAAGTTCGACAACATCCACCGCGCGGGTCGCCCCGGTGCGGGTAAGGTGGGATATCTGGGCATGCTAAGGAAGCACGTCCTCGACAAGGACCAACATATTATCCGCTTCAACTACGACACGGAGCAACCGGTGCGGGATCCCAAGACCGGGTTCTGCCAGGTCGCGGCCAAGGGCGAGCCCGGCGAGGCCATCGCGCGCATCCACAACATGGCGACATACACGGACTATCACAACAACAAGGACGCGACGGAGCAGAAGCTGCTCCGTGACGTCTTCGAGAAGGGAGACCTGTGGCAGCGTTCAGGGGATCTGCTCGTCCAGGAGCACGACAACTGGGTCAAGTTCGTGGACCGCATAGGCGACACGTACCGCTGGATGGGCGAGAACGTCTCGGCGGGCGAAGTCCGCGCCTTTCTCTCCGAGTTGCCAGGCGTCAAGGACGCCGTCGTCGTGGGGAAACGACTGGGCAAGTACGACGGACAGGCGGGCACGGCGCTGATCGTACTGGAATCGGACGGCACGAACGAGAAGGCAGGCGAAAAGGCCTTGATGGCGCGGCTGTTCAGGGATTTGAGGGCCAAGGGCGTGCCGCGGTATGCCGTGCCCAGGCTCGTGCTGGTGCGGAACGAGCTCGTCGACGTGGGCGACACGTTCAAACACGCCAAGGTCGTGGTCAAGAACATCGAGTGGGGGTCCGAGGACCCGAGTGGGAGGACGAGGAAGTACTATCTCGATATGGACAAGGAGCCTGTCTTTAGAGAGTTGGATGTGAATAGTTGGAAGAGGATCGAGGAGGGGAAGGCGAAGTTGTGAATCCACATTATCTGGGCTCCAGTTATAGCGGGCGTTGTGTCCCACCAGGGACAGAAAGAGTATTTACCGTGAATCTTAGATGTTAGATATAGCGTCGTCCGGCATTTCCTCACCGTATACAGCAATTTGCAACTCGCCAGTCAGGTTTCAGGTGACACGGCGTGCAGAGATCCTGTATGTAAGGCTATACACAATCTCGACGAGGGTTTGGAACTCGATGCCTGATCCTATGCCTCTCTCTCAACGCCTCTCTCTCAACGCCTCTCTCTCAACGCCTCTCTCTCAACGCCTCTCTCTCAACGCCTCTCTCTCAACGCCTCTC